TGTTTATTTATTTTCTAATTTAGAAATTAGATTTATATAGATTTTCTCTTTAATAAAACTATTAAGAAAGATAATAATTATATTTAATTAATTGATTTCTAGATTAAATATAATAATTAGAGTTAAAAAAATCTGTATAGATCTAATTATAAGAATACTAGTATATATTTCTAATTAATCAGATATTTATAAATTATCTCTAATATAAATTCAGACTTTAAAATTAGTCAAATAATCAGTTTTATTAAATTTATATAAAAATATCTATTTTAATAATAATACTTCAGCTCTATTAGTTTTATAAATTAAATATATATTTTAAATATTTAGAGCTTTTAATTAATTAATTTCAGTTTTAACAGTCTAAGTAAATTAACTTAAAAATATATAATTTCTTATTTCTTATTAATTAATAGACAGAGATAAAAGTAATAAGAAATTAATATAAAGAATTTTATTTTTATTAATATAATTAATTATTATTTAAATAATTTAGAGAGTAAGTCTAGCTCTTTTAAAATTAGAATTAAATAATTCTAAGCAGATCTATTTCAGATCTTTAATTAATTTAATATCTAAGAACTTAGTTTTATTAATTAGCTTATTAATATTTAAATTATTAATAAGAATCTGAGACAGTAAAGAAAATAAATTAGATAATAAAAATAATAAATTCTCTATAATTATATTATTATTTTATAAGATATTTAATTAATTACTTAAGACTGTCAACTGGCTTAATTCAGCAGCTAACTAATCTAAGATTATTAACTAATCTTATTTTAGTTAATTATCTGATAAAGATTTAGATATTTATTTTAATATTTCTAAATTAGAAAGATTCTTATCTATATCAGATTCTTCAGATTCTTTAGAAATAAAGATATCTGATTATTCTAATTAAATAGAATTAACTAATTTAATTATTTCTTATTTTATTAATAGATTTTCTAATTTAGTATATTATTTATAATTAAAATTTTTATCAAAAATAATATCACAAGCCGAAATTATTCTTTTAAAAATAAATATCTAGATTTATTAAATATTAGTTATCTAATAATTAATTAGATAATTAATTAGAGCTCTAAACTCTAATTTATCTTCTTTAAATAAGTTACTAATTCAGATATAGATATATAATCTATATTTTCTTAAACAGAAAATATCTAATTTCTCAGATAATTATAAAAGACTTTTTTAGATAATTTTATATAATATTTCTTAATTTAGTTATTTATTTAATATTCTATTTAGAATAAAAATAGCTGAATCTATTATTTTAGATTATAAAAATATAAAAAGTTCTAAATTAATTAATAAACTTTTTATTTTAGAAGTAATTAGAGCTTTAAATTTTTCTGTATATAAATTTTACTCTGGCTGATAAACTAATAAATAATTAATTAATAAATTTTTAATATTAGTCTAAATTAGAAAAATATTAAGATTCCAGTTCTAATCAGAATAAAATCTCTTGAATATTATCTTAAACTAATTAATAATTAATTAAATTATATTAATAATTAATTCTAAAATATCTGATTTAAAAGTTAGGGCTTGCTCTAGATAAAATTTTAAATAAAAATAATAAAAATAACTAATATATCTCTATTTATTAATTTTATTTATTATATAAATTAAGTCTTAATAAATTAATTTAAATATCTAATTTTCTTTTTTAAATTTTTATCTTAAAATTTATTTTTCTAATTAGCTAATTTTATATATAAAATATTTTTTAATTTGGCTTAGCTTATCTAAGCTAGTCTATTTTAGTAAATTAGTAATATTAATTCTCTGAACTAAATTATTTAGATAATTTAGAGCTTTTTTATTAAAATATTCTAATTTTTTATACTATTCTTTAGCTGTTCTAGATATTATATATTAATATTCTAAGAGTTTAATTAGCTTAAGACCGCGAACTAATAAGTCTAAGATAGCTAATTAACTTATCTTAATAATAATAATTATAACAGAACTAGATTTTTATTTTTATTAAATATAATATATTTCTTTAATTTTCTTAATTTAATATAATAAAATTTTATCTGTTTATTCAAGAAATCTATTTTTTCTATTTAAAAATAATCTCTTTTTATCAGCTTTTGCAGCTGAGAGAATATTTATATAAAATTAAGAAATATAGACTATTTCTTTAAATTTAAAATATAGATTTTTTCTATTTAAGCAAATAGAGTAAAAAATAACTATTTTATAATCTTAAATAATTAAAATAATATTTTTTATTCTTACTAATTTACTTCTATTTATAATAGAAGTATAATTAATAAAGAAATTTAAGAAATTACAGATATAGCTATCTAAAGCAGTATCAAAAATCTATTAAAATAAATAAAATATTAATAATTATTCTAAATAAATAGTTTATTAATTTATTACTAAGAAGATCTTTTCTACTTTATTAATTATTTTATTATTTTTATTAAATAAAGATAATATTTAATAAGTCTAGCAGTATTATTCAAAGAAATATCTTAGTTTAAGACTATTTTTAAAAATATTTTTAAAGTAGTTTAAGATTTTAGTCTCAGATTTTTATTCAAAATCTCTTAGTTTCTTATTAATATAAAAATAATTATTAAAATTATAAAATCTATTATTCTTGCCTGATTTATATAGACAGGACCGATTCTTAAATCTTTATCTTTTTATTAATATTTTATTATTTTAAGAAGTTTATTTTAACTTAGTTATTAAAACAATTATTAAAACAGTTGATTTAGAATTATCTGAAAGATCTTAAAAGAAGATATAATTAATTTTATTATTATTATTACTAACTGGCTTAATAAATTATCTAATTTAAGAATTTAGATAAATCTAATTATATATTCTTTATATTATCTTAAGAAACTTAAATAGTTCTTTCTGATTATTTTTATTATTAATTAATTTTAATTATTAAATTATTATAAAATTATCTATTATTTTCTGAACTAATTCAAGAAAATTATAGATTATTTAAATAAAATTAGTAATCTTGTTTAATTTCAGCTTTACTGCTTCTAAATAAATAAACTTTTATTAAATTATATAATTCTTAATAGAATTTTTTATTTCTGAGAATTATAGCTTATAATATTTATTAATAACTTTTTTTATATAAAACTAATTAATAGAAATAATTCTCTTCTTTAAAGCTTATAAAATTTAATAAAATCTTTTTAAATTAAGTATAGTATACTGATTTTACTTACTTAATATAAAATTTATTAATAAACTTAAAAAGACTAGTTCAGAGATAATTTTCTTCTATTTCTTAAATTAATAATTAAATTAATTTATAATTTTCTGATATAAAAAATAATCTGATTTACTAAGATTTACTATTAAAATAATATAATAATTAAAGCCTGAAATAGATATAGTAACTAACTTAATAAAATAATTAAATTTCTTAGATAAATCTGGATTTATATATTCCCAGACACTCTTATTAATAATAAATAATTAAATTTAATTAATCCAAAAAAACTAATTAGATTAATTATTAAGAATAATAGAAACTTTCTTAAATTACTAATTTTAAAATATAATAAAAAAATAATTAAAAGAATTTGAGAATTTAGATAGATTTTATTTTTTACTTAAAAATTCTATAATTTTCTATATAAATTTTAAATCAGAGATAAAGTAAAAATAAAAAAAATAAAAAAATATAAAAAGTCTCAGAAATATTAATAAAAAATTAATATAAAAATATAATTAGACTTATAATTAAGAACTTTTCTTAAGAAATAAGAACTTTTTTTAAAAAGACTTTATTAAACTTTTATTTTCTTATATAAATTAGATACAAAAATAAGATAAAAGTAAGAGAAAAATAAGAGAAGTAAAAAATAAAAAAAATTAAAAATTAAATAATTAAATAAGAATTTTTCTCTAATCTTTTAAAAAGATTTTACTAAACTCTTACTTTCTTATATAAATTAAGTATAAAAATAAGATAAAAGTAAGATAAAGATAAAAGAAAGATAAGAGAAAAATAAAAAAAGTAATAAAAAAAATTAAAAATTAAATAAATAAAAAAAAAATTAAAAGCTGATTTAACTTAATTAAAACTTATTAAAAAACTAATTAAAAATTAAGAGATCTTTTTATTTATATTTATAGCTAATTAACTATCAAAAGTATATAAAAATATATAAAATTATATAAAAATTATATAAAAATTATATAAATAAAACAGAGCTGAGAATAATAAAATCAGTGATTAAATAGAGACTAGAATAATTAATAAAAGTAAGATCTCTTACTTCACTGCGAGATAGATAAAACTTAGAATTATCAGTCTGCTAACTGATGGTCTAAGACAGCCAACTAGCCTGAGACCACAAACTGGCGAGCCTTAGGCAGCCAACTGGCGGGCCTTAGGCAGCGAACTGGCCAGTCTGCCCATATTGTTGACAGGCTGTAATGTAGTGTTCCGATCTTTACCCCGTAGATCGATAGGAGGGATGTCAGGATGCAAGATGTCTTGGTGCGATAACCACCCCTGTCAATATGAGACAGAGACAGTTGGACAGGTCGTGTCACGGTCGAGCATGCTGCTGGGCTGGAGCTGGAGCTACTCCAATCAACATACCTTTGCCATTTCAATGCTGCCCTGCGTAACCTCCGTCGTAGAAGTCGAGCGATGGGGGGTGAGAACAACGACGACCAATTAATTCTCAACACGGTCGCAGGGAAAAGCGAAGACAGTGATTGTAATAATAACAATGCTGTGGCACAACAGGATGTGTGTTATGTACGTCCAAGCAAGTCCGCTAGCCGTGTCGCAACACCTTCCCCTCCCATTGTCTGAGCCATGTGGCGTCGGCGCCCCGGTGCAGAGGGCAGCACAATGACGTGTCCGGATGCAGGCAGTTCCGCCTCGTACAGCCGATCCCAAGATTTGGGATGAACCGCAAACCGGGGAGGATGGCGGGGGGCGGAGGACTCTAGTCCGCTGGCTCGCCCAAGAGTGTCGAGAGGAGTTGTGGAAGGGGCAAAATCAGGATGGCGTTCAGCGTCGCCGGATCTGCTCGAGGGGAGGTCACCTGACCGCAACGGTGTCTGGCAGGCGGTTGTATATAACTCGGCCAGCCCCCATCCATCAAGATCAAGTGTGAGTGTTCTGTACCTGTTGATTGAACGCTTCAATCCATCGATCCGCGTGAGCCTGAACCCATCGGACCCACCGCCCAGGTACTACTAGTACTACTAGACTGCTCACTGTCCTGTTCCTCTAATATCCATATCATTTATACTATATTGTATTTCCCATGTCGCATCTCATCCGCGCCGGGAGCATTGCCCGCCTCGCCCGTCCGTTCTCGATCATCGTGCCTGCCCGACGCGAAGGAGAGGCCATCTTCCCCAAGCCCTGTGGGTTTCTGGCAGAGTAAGTCGCGGTGCCTCCCCGGAAGAGGGCCGGACCTGGCTCGATGACGTCATTGACCACCGGACGACAGCGGTCCAGCGGTCCAGCAGTGCAGCTAACACCGTCACTCCCCCAGCATCCGTCCCGAATCCAGTGGCAGCTACCCCGGGAAGACGCAGGAGGTGGAGAAGTTCATGGTGGTGCGACAGAAGATGCACGAGCAGCGCCGCCACCTCGACGAGCTGGAGAGGCACATGTAAGTGGCTGGGCGGGGATCCGGGGGTGGCAGAGTGCTCGCTGACAGGTGCCAGCCAGGATCTTGCTCGAGAGCAGGACGGGGGCATACCGGGTGTGATTCCGCACTATTGACGTTGCTGCAGTTTTTCTTTTTCTTTCTTTTTCTTCCCACTCAACGGTGGGCTAGCTGGCCACGCAGCTCCGACCGGGATTACCTGACAGCCGGGGTTAGGATCGGGGTTTGCCTTGTGTATATACTTTTTTTTTTTTTTTTTTTGCATGCGATCGGACGGAGTTAAGGTGTAGGGAATGAGGAATGCGATAACCAATGAAAATGAGAATTAGCCGATTGTTGGGAACAAGAGACAGTATCCCAGGATGGATAGAGGATAGATAGTAGATGTGTAGATGGATGGATGGATCACATTCCCATACTATCTATGATGGCCTGCATGCCGCGGCGGCCTCGGAAGTTGGCGACCTCCGCTGAGTCAGGTCGACACCTCAGACATCACCGGCCCCTGGCCACATATCTCCGCAGCGTCCGCACACCTCCGCGGTTGCCGCAATCCGCAATCCGCGAGTCGCAGGCGGAGACGCCGACCCGACAGCGTGATCGATAACCCTGGCCCCTGGCGCAGACTGGCAGACCGAGCATGATAGGGCTGGGGGGGAAACGACCCCCGGCGGCCCGTGTCGCAAGGAACACCCGATCGGGAAAGGTGCCGGTTTCTGGCCCGGTTCGAACTGTTCGACACATGGCCGCCATGGCTGGCAGGCTGCGATCAGTTTCAGAGGACAACTCTCTATCTCTGATGAGGCGTCCTGACCATTGACTCCTACTGGGGGTTGTGTTTCGGGGATGGACATGAGTCAGTCCACGGCGTAGTTAACGTGGCTGTGATACGATGGAGTGGAGATGATCCTTCAGCCTGATGGATAAGTACTATCTAGATATAGTATGTTGCTGCCGTGCGAAATTGGATAGATGGAGGTCAACGTGGATTGACCAGAGGCTTCAACACTAACAGTAATACTAATCCAGCAGGGCATTAGTTATCTAATATTACCAAGTTCACCTTGTTCGATCCCCACCGGCCATTTCGGGTGGGCGAAAGATCCGCTGAGTCAGGGGCAGGAGATGGAGGATGGGGATACTATTGGAAGGATTGGAAGGCGACCTGCTCGGCTTTTGCAGCCTTCCCGATCCCGGCCCCGTCCAGGCCTGGCCGCTAGTGGAGCGCTCCCCGGTGCACCCAATCAGCGGCGGCCCTCCAGCGGCCGAAAGGTCCGCCCGGAGGCTGAATTGTTCCTGGCTCCTCTGAGTCAGCACAAGTCCCGTGGCTTGGCGCGCGCTGATTGGCCCACTCGGTTCGAGGCCTGGCAGGTGACTCAGCGGAGCGGGTGCTGCTGCTTCCTCTCTCGTCTGGGAGAAGTTTCGGCGCCCCACTCCACTCCTCTGTTGACCTGCACTATTGCTGCCATTATATGAGCCACCACCCCCCCCCTCCCCCCCCGCGTCCATCCCATCATGCTTTCACTCCCAGCCTTCAGGGTGATCTGGACGTCCCGCTACCTCGTCGAGTCCCCGTTGCAATCACCATGGAGGAAGAGAGCAAGGAGCAGCTCCCCCATGCCGTCGCGCTGTCGGCGGACAGTCCAGATGATAGCGACGGTACCTCCACCGTCCTGGGCGACGAAAGGACCCCCGACCCCCCCAACCCCAACGTCAGTCGCGCCGACAACTGGGCCCTGATGTCCCAGGTCAAGATGCAGCACCAGCGCGACATGCAGTCCGGCTTCAAGCGCCGTGAGCTGGGCGTCACCTGGCAGAACCTGTCCGTCGAGGTCGTCAGCGCCGAGGCCGCCGTCAACGAGAACTTCCTGTCGCAGTTCAACATCCCCACCCACGTCAGGGAGTCCCGCAACAAGCCCCCCCTCCGCTCCATCCTGCACAACAGCCACGGCTGCGTCAAGCCCGGCGAGATGCTGCTCGTCCTGGGCCGCCCCGGCTCCGGCTGCACCACCCTGCTCAAGATGCTGGCCAACCGCCGCCTCGGCTACCGCTCCGTCCAGGGCGACGTGCGCTACGGCTCCCTCACGGCCGACGAGGCCGCCCAGTACCGCGGCCAGATCGTCATGAACACCGAGGAGGAGGTCTTCTTCCCCACCCTCACCGTCGGCCAGACCATGGACTTCGCCACCCGCCTCAAGGTCCCCTTCCACCTGCCCCAGGGCGTCGACTCCGCCGAGGCCTACCGCCAGGAGACCAAGGACTTCCTCCTCGAGTCCATGGGCATCACCCACACCAACGGCACCAAGGTCGGCAACGAGTACGTGCGCGGGGTGTCGGGCGGCGAGCGCAAGCGCGTCTCCATCATCGAGTGCCTGGCCACCCGCGGCTCGGTGTTCTGCTGGGACAACAGCACCCGCGGCCTGGACGCCAGCACCGCCCTCGAGTGGACCAAGGCCGTGCGCGCCATGACCGACGTCCTGGGCCTGTCGTCCATCGTCACCCTCTACCAGGCCGGCAACGGCATCTACGACCTGTTCGACAAGGTGCTGGTGCTGGACGAAGGCAAGGAGATCTACTACGGCCCCATGGCCCAGGCCCGGCCGTTCATGGAGGACCTGGGCTTCGTCTGCCGCGAGGGCTCCAACGTCGCCGACTACCTGACCGGTATCACCGTCCCCACCGAGCGCAAGATCAAGCCCGGCTACGAGAACCGCTTCCCGCGCACCCCGGACGCCATCCTCGAGGAGTACCAGAAGTCGCCCGTCTACACCCACGCCACTGCCGAGTACAACTACCCCGACACCGACCTGGCGCGCGAGCGCACCGCCGAGTTCCAGGCGTCCGTCTCCCAGGAGAAGAACAAGCAGCTGCCCAAGACCAGCCCGCTGACCGTCGACTTCCTCTCCCAGGTCAAGGCCTGCATCGCCCGGCAGTACCAGATCATCTGGGGTGACAAGGCCACCTTCTTCATCAAGCAGCTGGCCACCCTGGTGCAAGCCCTGATTGCGGGCTCGCTGTTCTACGCCGCCCCCGACAACTCGGGCGGGCTGTTCGTCAAGTCCGGCGCCCTCTTCTTCTCGCTGCTCTACAACAGTCTGCTGGCCATGGCCGAGGTGACCGACTCGTTCAGCGGTCGTCCGGTGCTGGTCAAGCACAAGGGCTTCGCCTACTTCCATCCTGCCGCCTTCTGTATCGCCCAGATCACCGCCGATATTCCCGTCTTGCTGTTCCAAGTCAGCATGTTCTCCCTCGTCGTGTACTTCATGGTGGGCCTCACCATGTCGGCTAGCCACTTCTTCACCTACTGGATTCTGGTCTTCACGGCCACGATGGTGAGTTCCTGCCCTGCCCCATCCCCCCCCCTTTGCTACTATAAATGAACATACTAAACCAGTCAGGTCATGACCGCGCTGTTCCGTGCTGTCGGCGCCCTGTTCAGCACCTTCGACGGCGCGTCCAAGGTCTCGGGGTTCCTCATCTCCGCCCTGATCATGTACACCGGCTACATGATCAAGAAGCCTCAGATGCACCCGTGGCTCGGCTGGATCTACTGGATCAACCCCCTGGCGTACGGCTTCGACGCGCTCCTGTCCAACGAGTTCCACAACAAGATCATCCCCTGCGTGGGCACGAACCTGATCCCCAGTGGCGAGGGCTACAACGGCGATGGCCACCAGTCGTGTGCCGGTGTCGGTGGTGCCGTCCCCGGTCAGCCCTATGTCACCGGCGATGCCTACCTGGCCTCGTTGGACTACAGCTACACCCATGTGTGGCGCAACTTCGGTATCCTCTGGGCCTGGTGGGTTCTGTTTGCCGCCCTGACCATCATCGCCACCTCCCGCTGGAAGTCGCCCAGTGAGACCGGCTCGTCTCTGCTCATTCCCCGCGAGTGCGTCGATGCCAATCGCCAGGTGGCCCGCCCCGACGAGGAGTCCCAGGTCAACGAGAAGTCCAAGAAGCCCCACGACGAGAGCTCCCAGGACGAGAGCGACCTCGACCAGCAGCTCGTCCGCAACACCTCCGTCTTCACCTGGAAGGATCTCACCTACACGGTCAAGACGCCCACGGGCGACCGCGTCCTCCTCGACAACGTCTACGGATGGGTGAAGCCCGGTATGCTGGGCGCCCTGATGGGCTCCTCGGGTGCCGGCAAGACCACCCTGCTCGACGTGTTGGCCCAGCGCAAGACTGAAGGCACCATCCACGGCTCCGTCCTCGTCGACGGCCGCCCGCTGCCCGTCTCCTTCCAACGCTCCGCCGGATACTGTGAACAGCTGGACGTGCACGAGCCCTTCGCGACCGTGCGGGAGGCCCTCGAGTTCTCCGCCATGCTGCGCCAGGCGCGCGACGTCCCGACCGCCGAGAAGCTGAAGTACGTCGACACGATCATCGAACTGCTGGAACTGCACGACATTGCCGACACGCTGATCGGGCGGGTCGGCAACGGGCTGAGCGTGGAGCAGCGCAAGCGCGTGACCATCGGCGTGGAGCTCGTCTCCAAGCCCAGCATCCTCATCTTCCTGGACGAGCCGACCTCCGGTCTGGACGGCCAGTCTGCCTACAACACGGTGCGGTTCCTGCGCAAGCTTGCGGACGTCGGCCAGGCCGTGCTGGTGACCATCCACCAGCCGTCCGCGCAGCTGTTCGCCGAGTTCGACACCCTGCTGCTGCTCGCCAAGGGCGGCAAGATGGTCTACTTCGGGGATATCGGCGACAACGGCCAGACGGTCAAGGACTACTTCGCCCGCTACGAGGCCCCGTGCCCCGGTGGCGTCAACCCGGCCGAGCACATGATCGACGTGGTGTCGGGCACTCTGTCGCAGGGCCGCGACTGGCACCAGGTCTGGAAGGACTCGCCCGAGCACTCGGCCGCGGTGCAGCAGCTCGACGCGATCGTCGCGGACGCAGCCTCCAAGCCCCCGGGCACGGAAGACGACGGGCACGAGTTCGCCATGCCCCTGTGGCAGCAGACGATGATCGTGACGAAGCGGTCCTGCGTGGCGGTCTTCCGCAACACTGACTACGTGAACAACAAACTGGCCCTACACGTCGGCTCCGGCCTCTTCAACGGCTTCTCCTTCTGGATGATCAGCGACAGCGTCAGCGCGCTGCAACTCCGGCTCTTCACGATCTTCAACTTCATCTTCGTTGCCCCCGGCGTGATCAACCAGCTACAACCCCTCTTCCTCGAACGGCGCGACATCTACGACGCGCGCGAGAAGAAATCCAAAATGTACTCGTGGATCGCCTTCGTGACGGGCCTCATCGTCTCCGAAATCCCGTACCTGTGCATCTGCGCCGTCCTCTACTTCGCCTGCTGGTACTACACGGTGGGCTTCCCGTCAGACAGCAACAAATCCGGTGCGGTCTTCTTCGTCATGCTGATGTACGAGTTCGTCTACACCGGTATCGGCCAATTCGTATCCGCCTACGCGCCCAATGCCATCTTCGCCTCGCTCATCAACCCGGTCATCATCGGTACCCTGGCCTCCTTCTGCGGCGTGTTGGTGCCGTACTCCCAAATCCAGGAATTCTGGCGCTACTGGATCTACTGGATGGACCCGTTCAACTACCTCATGAGCAGTCTTTTGGTGTTCACCACATGGGACGCGCCCATTCGGTGCCGGGAGATCGAATTCGCCATCTTCGATCCGCCGTCCGGCGAAACCTGCCAGAAGTATCTGGCTAGTTATCTTAATACGACCGGCGTGTTCATGACACTGGCCAATCCGGACGCGACGGCTGAATGTCGGGTGTGCGAGTATTCCCAGGGAAAGGATTATCTGATGTCGATCAATCTGCTCGATTATTATTATGGCTGGAGGGATGCGGGCATCGTTGCCCTGTTCGCGTTCAGTTCGTATGCCCTGGTTTATGTGCTGATGAAGTTGAGGACGAAGGCATCGAAGCAGGCGGAGTAGACAAACATCTTTATCACTCCTGTCTGTCTGTCGATTTTTGGATATCCATCCCCCCCCCCCTTTTCTCCTGGCTCATCGCATATTTTCTTTTTTTTTTGGATATACTCATATTCATACACATACACATACACATACACATACACATACCCCATTTACCCAACATACCCATACCCATACCCACACATACACTTTTGGACTGTGAATTTTGAAAGCATATAGACAGATAAACCAACCACTGTTTCTTGTTCTACTCCCCACTCTGCACTCTATTTGGTCTCGGACTATCTCTTCTCCCTTTCCTCTTCTTCTTGTCTATCTTGATGTTGCATGTGCATATCACGGATATACGATATACCTGTCAATACAGCCGCTGTCTCCCCCGGGAAGATGACAGAAAAATGGCCATTTTGCATTACATACCATTACATTTATTCCTTTCTCACTTCACTTCTACTACATTCCGCACATATCCCCCCCCCCCGGTCCCTTCTCATCAACCCCACAAATACAAATCATTGCAACTGTGAACCCCAGACAAAGGTATCCTAGCCTGTGCTTTCCTGGGGTCTGGGGTAAGCTAGGGAGTGGAGCAGAGCGGAGCGGAGCTTACTTTATTTTTTCTTTTAATTAAATTTACATTGTTTTGATATACTAAATGACTGATGCGGATGTTGATACTTGATTATGTGTGATGTGGATGTGGGATGGGTGGATGGATGGATGGATGAATATACTCCGCTATGTCGTTTACAATCTTATCTGCTTGCCTTTTTGATAAAGAGTAGATTGATAGAATGGTAGAACAATAGAATCAGAATAAGGAATGTAATTCGATTCAATTAATGTGCAATTCCCACTTAACTGATATTAATCAATCAATCAATCAATCAATCACTATCAATTCTATTCGTACTCGGTCGGACTCGCACTCGTAATCTCATCTTGCTTTCCCGACTCCTCTTAGGAAGGATCAAAGAACAATGGATGGATATAGATCATTTAAAGGAAGTAGGTAGATATTCCCCCTACTTATCATCATGTAAATTCATATCCATGTCAATCTCACTTTTTGTATCTAAATTCAATTTCAATTTCAGTTTCAATTTTACTTCAGCTCAGTTCAGTTCATCTCATTATACCTGGCATCAATTTCCCAAAACAGCACGTCTGCACACCACACCACTCATCCTCCTCTCATCCTCCCTCATCCTCCCTCATCCTCCCTCATCCTCCCTCATCCTCCCTCATCCTCCTTCATCCTCCTCACAAACAGCCCACAGCCCAAAAGCAAGCCCGACAGACCAGACCAAACAAAACAAAACAAAAAAAGCAAAAACATCAACAAACCAACCAACCAACCAACAAAAGTTTAAACTATACCCAAAAAGCCCAACCACAAACAAACAAAAAAAAAGACCAAGAAAGACAAAAAAGAAAGTCTCAACCCGCCCCCTCACCTCCATCTCCACCCCCATCTCCATCCCCAACAAACCCCCCCCAAAATCAAAATCCAATTCCAACCTCATTCCTATCCTCCCCACCAACTCCCCCAACGACGCACTCCCCAAAATCTCCAAAATAGAGACCTTCGCACCAATGACCCTCTGGATCCAATTCCGCAGATCAACAGCAACGTGCGAGTCAATACCGTAGTGCGTTATGGGATTGGTCGGGTTGATGTTCTCCACTGGGATGGAGAGGTGGGAGGCGATTCGGTTAGATAGAGCGGTGGAGATGATGGAGGTGGTTTCTTCGGGGGATTGTGCGGATTTCAAGGTTTTTTGGATTGAGAGACAGGGGTCGGATTCGGTGGGGGTGGAGGATGCCGATGAGTTGGTGGTGGAGATGGATGTGAAAATTCGTCGGTATTGCGTGAAGAGAGGGGCGTCGAAGTTGGGGAGAGAGTGGAGGGGGGAATAGGTTCCTAGGCCGGATATAATTTGGGGGTTTGGTCTGGACATAGAAGCAGGAGCAGGAGCAGAAGTAATGCCGGCCGATGCTGAAGCAGTTGCAGCCGCAATACCCGCCTCAAACAGCCGCATCAACCTTCTGGTATCCGTCCCCGCGAAACCCTGCTTGGCCATCTTCGCCGCGAGCTCAGCATTCTCAGCCAGATAGCCGACATCAGTAATCACGCCCAGATCCAGTGAGACGGTGGGCAGCCCGAGGGAGGTGCGGTAGGCGGCGAACGCGTCCATGAAGATGGAGCCCGCGGCGTAGGCGGCCTGCGTGGCGTTGCCAATGATGCCGCTGATGGAGGAGAGCATGATGAACCAATCCAGGTCGCGGGGGAGGTGGCGGTGCAGGTTCCAGGTGCCGGCGTGTTTGGGGCGGAGGACGGAGGTGTATTCTTCGACGGTCATTTTTTCGATGTGGATGTCCTAGATAGACTCGTTAGATGGGTGGGATGCAACCCAGCGAAATGAAACCCGGTGAAATAAAACGCAGTCGGATAAATCGTCGTCTGATCAAGCCCATATTAAAAACCCAAGTGCTCAATGAAAGCCAGATCGATAAAAGCAATTCAATACACTGCAGTTCGACGTAACCCAGTCAAAGACATTCGGGTTCTAGAAAACCAAGCTCGATAGAACTCCAGTCGATAAAATGCGACCCACCAAAGCACCTCACAAAACAGCTCCAACAAAAGACCAAGAAGATAAAAAGGTAAACTCACCCTCAAAACCATCGCCCCCTGCACGACACCCCTTATCCTCGGCACACCACCACCACACAACCCCCCCAGCATCTCCCTCACCTGTCCCTCGTCAGAAATATCCACCTCCCTAACCAAGACACTCACACCCCTCTCCTCCAGTTCTCTCACTGTCTCTCTAGCCTGCGGACTCGACAACCCACTTCGGCTCACGAAGATGATGTTCCGGGCGCCGTGGTCGGCCATCCAGATGGCTATGGCGCGGCCGATGCCGCCTAGGCCACCGGTTAGGATGTATGAACCTTCTGGGTGGAGGGTTGTTGGGTTGTGGGGGTGGAGGGTCTGTGGTGTGTTAGTATTAGTGTGGATGGGGTTGAATTGGATTAGATGGGAGGAGTGGGACTGGCGTACCTTGACGAGGTCGGTAGATGCAGCTGTGAGGACTACCGAGTCTGAGTTCACTGAATGCTCGGAGACAAGAAAATCCAGTGCTTCGTTGACTTTCGAGACAGGGTATGTTGTAACAAATGGAGGGCCGCGGAGCTTGCTGTCGGTGAGGAGCTGGCCTACTTCATTCCATATCTGATCTGAGGTGTTTCGGAAGCTGTCAAGGGTGAATGTTGCGAACTGCATATCTCTGGAATGGGAATGGGGCAGCGCCCATTGGCGGTTCCCAGTGTGAGTGCCAGTGAACTGGACGAATCGCGATTGTGCGACAGTCCATAATTCCTGGATCTGACTCTCCGACTCAAGACAGTTGATAACAACATCGAATGATACCATCTTTCCCGGTACCGGGAACAACCTCCCGAAACTCGATTCCTGGTGCAGAAGAATCTGGTCCTCGGGGATGTTATAAAAAGCAGAGAGGGAATTTCTCTGATCTGCTGTTTCGAGAACGAGAAACACACGGGTGCCGTATAGTAGACATAGTTCGACTATGGCTTGCCCAAGAACCCCATTTCCCACAGATATCAAAACGGTATCGGACGCACTGACTTGGGCTAAATGGACAGCATGGACCGCGGCACAATATATCCCTACCAGAGCTGCCGACTCAAACGACATGTCCGTCGGGATCTTGTGGAAGGCTGTTCTTCGATCCTGATATAGACTGGCTGCCGTGCCGCTTCCGAACCCTGGCACTGCGACCCGGTCGCCGGGAACAAGGTCATGGATGTCTTTGCCCACGGCTTCCACGACACCGCTGCAGCCTGAGCCCAAGACGACGTCTTTCGCCGCACTGAATACGAGGTCCGCGTCTCGTGTGTCCATACCGACGGCATGGACCCGGATACGTACATGATCCCCCGGCAGATTAGGCAGGTCATACCGCACGAAGTTGACCCGTCGCGGACGGGCTGCGTTATCGCATACAGCTCGAAGACACGCCTGGGAATGGAACAGCCCATCTTTCAGGATGAACCCGTCATCCGACGCAGCAAGAGTCTGGTTCAGGGCCGTATCTTCCACGATCCGCGGAATATGCAGCAACCCGTTTTGCTCGGCGTACTCGTCATCGATTTCGCCTTCGTCGATCAGGAAGCGGCGGTGGAGGATATCATAAATGAGCTTAGACGCATCTTCCTCATCAAGAGGTCTCTCTTTATCCAAGTCCAGCGTCACGATACGTTTCACGGCTGATTCTGAGCGAGCTGTGCGTATAAAGCCAGTAACCAGACCAGCGTCAGGATCGGTTGACGAGATGATCCCGCCCTTGGTTACCCAGAGGACCCCCGATGCTTTTAGGAGAATTGATTTAATCCGCTCAAACACATCTTTGCCAGGAGACACCAGCACAGGCGCGTCGAGGTCGCTCAAAACAACACACAGCTTTCCCGCCGGGTCGGCGTGTCGGATATCACTGATCTCCACGTTCAGACGGACAGAGAGGAGAAAATCTTTCAGGTAGGCGCATATTCCTCGGCAATTCTCCCCTGTAATGAGCAGAAATTTAGGGGCAGTGGATGGGGGGTTGTGTACAGGCCGCGAAATTATCATCGATTTGCGACCTGACTTAATAACCGCCTTTACGTCCAGGCTGGCTGTGTTGAGTATCGTAGGCCAGTCAACGGAGCGCCTTGCTCGATCAAACCAGGCATCACAGTCAGCAGAAAGCAGAACATCAGCCGCGGTGTGCAGCGAGTGAACCAGAACCAGACGCCCGTCGGGTTTAAGCAGCGAACGGATATTCGCGAGAGCAGTCTGAACCGACCCCGCCCGCAGCCCATAGGGAACAATCACCACATCGTACGACCCATCAGCATCGCAATCCCCCATAACATCCAGCATCTTGAAACTGACCCATCGTTCCCACGTGGAAAGTTCCTTCGCTGCAGCCTCGAACCCCGATTCATCCGCATGCGTCAAAGTATATTTGCCGCACCGAGGAACGCCATCTGGCCCGGACAATTGTCGAAGGAACTCGCATGATGCATCCCCTGCGTAGGCATCTACCTCCAAAACCGACATCATGGGGTTCTTGTGTCCGATTAGATTCAGGTACTTGCCAGCACTTGAGAAGATTGGGTCGCAGAGCACGCTGTCCCGGTATGCAGTGCCGGGGCCACCGGAATCCACCTGCTGGAGTATCGTGGCCAGTCTATCACCCACATCGCACAATGCTCTCCCTTCGGGACCAGAGGATCTTGTTGCTTCGATGAGACTTTCCGAAGAGTGCAATACCGCCTCACCATCGATGAACTCCTCAAGTAGTTCCTTTTTCGACGGGGAAATCCCATCAAACCCATCCAAATCACCCTTAGCCTTCCGCAACAAGAACAACGCGCACTCGTCATACACCCTCCCTATCTCAACATCGCCAACATCCGGCCCCAGAATTCTCTCAAGCCCACCTACCGACAACAAGTCCGGATTAACCCTCCACTCCAACTTGTAAGCGATCTTCTGCACCTGAGTCGCAGGATCTACCATATCGAGCCGTCTGCAATGGAGTCCTGTTATCGACATTGTCGCCGCGCCCCCCTCCGCAACAGCAATCGAAGCCACGATCTCACGTTTCGTTTCCCTGGTGATCCGCGTATGCACATCTAGTCTGCTGCCAGGGGTGCTCGTGATACCGGCCGCAATACGAATCTCGTCGATCCGAACGGGGATGGCAGGTCCCCTCGCCATATCCGTGTTGATGAAGCATGAGTGGATGATGCTGTCCAGGGTGCATGGGTGGATAAGGTGCGGATACTGGAAGTGCATGGGCATGACGGTCGCAGTGTCTGGGATGGTGATCTCCGCGACGCAGGTCTCGGTGGCGTGGCGGGCCTGCGTGATGTTGGCGAAACAGGGTCCGTACTCGAGTCCGGCGGTGGTTAGGTCTTCATAGAACGCTTGTATGTTGACCGGTGCCATTCCAGAGCTAGACGGTGTACTCTTCCCGGTATGGAACCCATCTAGATTGATCCCAACAGCGCCTTTGCAGTGTTCTATCCATCGGTCATCGGTCACAGAGTACACGTGGAACTCATACAATGGACCCTTGCATGTGCCGTCATCGACAGCTCTGAGGGATGTTACGACTTCTGCATCAGAGGTTTCGTGAACAACCAGGGCGGATTGTATCAAGACATCGCGTAGATAGAATCTGGTAATGTTCACGTCGCCCATAACCTGGGACGCTGCCTCAATGGCCATGGCGATGTATCCAGCAGCGGGATATACGATATTTGACTGGATCCTGTGGTCCCGCAGCCATGGAGTCTCGGACAGACGAACGAAATTCCGCCACCGCGGTTCGAATGGATACGTTTGGTCCTGCACACCGAGGATATCTGTCCGGGGATACTTGCGGTTGCGGAACGCTCTGCTGGTCCGTGGCTCTGCCCAGTAAGACCGAGAGTGGTTCCATGCGTAAGAGGGAAGGTCCACCACGAGACACGGCTCCTGGAGGGTCTCGGGGTCGTTGGTCGCGCGGAAGTTGATAGGAAAGCCACGGGCAGCCAGAGTGGCGGCCATGGACAGAGCAGTCACGACAGCCTTCTCCTTTCGTACCAAAGCGCTGAAATATGCAATCTCCGCTGCGTCTAACTTGCTGTCGTGTTTTAGAATCTGCATGATGGGTCCAGATAGTGCTGAATGTGGGCCGATCTCTACCAGGCAGTCCACATTGACCTTGCGCGCAGTGCGTCGGGGACGCTTCTTGTTCAGGGCTCTGCTCCCAGTGGTTTCAAAGCAAAGAGTCCGCAGTGACTGAGCAAACTTCACCTGGCCAAGGAGGTTCTGACACCAATATTGCGGCCCCAGCTCCGTGGGTTTGATTTCCGCGCCGCTGACAGAGGAAAAGAACCCCACCGACCGGTTTGATAGCGTGCGGATTATCTCCGGCTCACTCCGTGGTCGGATATGCGAGATGGACTCCAGATACAAATCCCTCACTAGTTCCATATGGTGGGAGTGGTAGGCGACCTCGACGGCCAGCCGGCGGCTGAACTCCTTGTCGCGGATCAGACCTTCGAGCTCCTGGATGGCTGATACGTCGCCGGATACTGTGACACTTTGTGGACTATTGATGCACGCTACGACAGCCCTGCCTAAATGCAGCTGATCTATGTACGGCTGAATGTTATCAGCAGACATCCCCACGGCGAGCATGGCGCCTTTCGTCTCATCGGACAAGTGGCTAGCTGCGACGCCGCGGTAGTACGCCACGGCCATGGCATCCTCCGTAGTCAGAGCCCCAGCGGCATAGGCCGCGGCGATCTCGCCGCTGGAATGCCCGGTGACCGAGTCAGGATGGATGTCCCAGGACGCGAGGAGATCCACCACGGCGAGTTGCAACGCGGTGCAGACCGGCTGACTGAGGAGGGGATGACTTAACTGGACAGACTCATCTTCGAGTATTTCTACGTTCATGCATCAGCGTGGATCTGAGATTAGGTGCAGTATACGCACCCGCGATACGAAATGGCGCGTGGATCCTCTTCAGGTAGGCGTCAATCTTCTGAACCGAATTTCTGAAGACTGGGTATGCCGCCATGAGGCCCTGTCCCATGCCGCACCACTGCGCCCCTTGGCCAGTGAACACGAATCCAACGGTCGGTCGCCGAGGGGCCTTGGAGACCTTCGCCTGCGCCAGCGCGTCTGCCAACCCCCCCGGTGAGTCACCCAGCACCCCAACTCTATATAAATGCGCCGTGCGACGCTTGTTCAAAGTATATGCAAGATTGCTCATGGACCCAGCTCCTAAGCCCTCTAGATATGTACGTAGGGTGTTGATGTATGTCGACAGGGACTCTTCATCGAAGCCGGACAGCATGAAAACACGAAGTCGGTCTTTCGCCGGGTCAGACGGCAGCGGGGACAAGCCACGGGCAGACAGGTATCCCTCAGCATCTTCCAAAATGGCGTGCGCATTGCTGCCACCATACCCAAAGCTGTTGACGGAGACGCGATGCGGACCGACCGTATCCCACGGTTCGCACGCAAGTTGGACCTTGGGTGGTTGAGAAAGAGTCACAGACGACATCGGGAACACGCACCTTCAGCTTCCACTCGTCGAGCAGGATCCGGGGATTGAGCGTGGTGAGGTTGCGATTGGGAAGAAAGGTGCGGTTCGCCAGCATCAGCGCTGCCTTGATGACCCCCGCCACCCCGCTGGTGCCTTCCAGATGGCCCACGTTGGTTTTGACGGAGCCGATGCGCAGCGGGCGCTCCGCACTCCGTCCGGGGCCGAAGACTCGGGCCAGCGCTTCAGTCTCAATGGGATCCCCGGCCTGGGTTCCCGTGCCATGCGCCTCGACGAAGGCCGTTTCCACCGGATCGAGGCCCGCTCGCTGGTAGACCTGACGGATCAACGCCTCCTGGGCGGACCCGCTGGGCAGGGTGATGCCGGGGGTTCTCCCGTCCTGGTTCGACCCCGTGCCGCGGATGACCGCGTAGACATGATCCCCGTCGCGCATCGCGTCTCGCAGCGGCTTCAGGATCAAGCAGCCGACGGCTTCCCCCCGCGCGTATCCATTGGCGTGTTCATCGAAGGTGTGGCAGCGTCCCTCTGGCGACAGAAACCTGGGCGGTTAGCCGCGACGGGCGTACGAGGGAGAAACTTACTTCATCATCGTCATGGTGGACATGAACTCATGGCTGAGGATCACATTGACCCCGGCCGCGATGGCCATGGAGGCGTCCCCCGTGCGCAGACTCTGACACGCGAGATGGAGGGCGACCAAGCTCCCCGAGCACGCGGTGTCCACCGTGACGCTGGGCCCCTTCAGATCGAAGAAGTAGGAGACGCGGTTGGCCGTCATGGCGCGCGACTGACCGGCGTTGGTGCATTGGTACATGGGGATGCAGTCGGGGTCGCGGAGGAGCAGGTCCGTATAGTCGGCGTTGAAGCAGCCGACGAAGCAGGCGGTCTGGCTGCCCATGACGGTGGGCAGGGGGATGCCGGCTGGGAGGATGGTCGGTCAGTCGCGGATTCGGATCGTCGGGGGTCTCCTACCGTTCTCCAGTGCCTCGTAGGTCACCTCTAACAGGAGTCGCTGCTGCGGGTCCATGGCCTGGACAGAAATAGATCAGGCACCGTCTGGGATCGACCGCTAGGAGGTGGGTACCCACCGCGGCCTCGTCGCTGGTCATGTTGAAGAAGGGGGCGTCGAAGCGGGCGACGTCCTCGGCGAGGAAGTGGCCCCCGTGGACGTTGATCTGCAGCAGTCAGGGCGGTCCCTGAAGATCGGGGATGACCTACAGACCGTGCCGTGGCGGGCGTGGTCGGGGTGGAAAAAGGCCGAGGGGTTCCATCGCGAGCCGGGGATGTGCGACCAGGCCTCGCGCTGGTCGACGATCATTGACCATAGCCGGGTGGGGCTGATGGCGTCTCCGGGGCCACGGAAGCCGATGCCCACGAGGGCGATGGGGAGGAAGGCATCGTGGTCGAGGACTGATCGGTCCGGGGGAGGGTGAGAAGAAGAAGAAGAAGAAGAAGAAGAAGAAGAAGAAGAAGAAAAGCGGGGAGGAGGGGGATGAAGTGGACGGGCAGAATCAGCAGCCATGGCGGGCGGCGAGACACTCTCTGCCTGGTGGCCTTGCTTGCCTACTAGTTCAGGTATTCAGGTATTCAGGCAGCGGCAGCCAGATATACAATCCATTGCAATAAGAACCGATAGCCGCCTCAGCTGCAGCGCGTTGTACGACGCGAAAAAAAAAAAAAAAAAACCCCCGACGCTACCAGGGCTACTCGGAACTATAACTACTATATACGTACAGAGAGTATATATGCAGCGGAGACAGATCACCCAATCGTCAAGGCTTGGATGGCTAGTTTCCGGATGGCCAGCGTCATGGCGGCCAGGTTCTTCCGGTCGCTGGGGATGTCATGGCCGCGACTGTGCACCACACAGGTGGCCGTGGCGGGATCGCACAGCCGGTACAGGATGATGGAGAACTCGAGCAGCGGATCCTGTCCGCCGGCGATGGTCACGGTCGGGATGGTGATATAGCCGTCGAGGTCGGGGTCGACGACGGGGGCACCGCCGGGATCCATGCGGAAGGGGGGGAGGGAGTTGATGAAGATGGCGCAGCGGAACAGCGGCTCTGCGCGCGGGGCGGTTTTGGCGTGGTGGATGAGGAAGCCGGCCGCCAGAGTGCCGCCGTGCGAGAAGCCCAGGATGCCGTCGAAGGGCCCGTCCTCGGCGACGACCTCGTACAGCCAGTCGTACGCCTCCTGCAGCGAGGCCTCGTCGGCGCCATCCCTGTCCCTGTCCCTGTCCCCGTCCCCATCCGACAACGCCCGCGGGAAGCGGTGGTAGCTGTAGTAGGGCCCCTCGAAGTAGCCCGCGATCCCCGGGCCCGGCGCCGATTCCACCTCCCCTTCCACGAAGTGGAATGTCGCCGTGTTGTCCCGCCGCAGGTCCGCCATCAGCCCGCCTACAGATCAGATCATCCAGATAGCAGTCAGTCAGTTACTCATCTAGACGGATCGATCGGATGAAGAGGAGTGTGGAGTGTCACGGTCACGGTCACAGTCACGGTCACGGGACTCCGTACCCAGTTGGGACTGTAGGATCTGCCGCGCGTGAGTATCTAGATAGATGATTGATCGATCGATAGTAAAGTACCACTGACGGGAAAAGGATGAGCCTAACCTTGACATTGGTGCCCCAGCCGTGCAGGCAGAGCAGTTTCAGCGGCATGATGAATGATTGATTGATTCTTTCGCCTCTGTTCGGTCTACCCGGCCACTCCGGAGGCTGACGCCATGATGGCCGTTTTTAAAACCAGGCGGTTCGATGGGTTTATCAGACCAGACCAGTCCGTTCGTCAGTCCATCTTCGGAGGGAACGATGAACGACGGTCGGTCGGTGCGGGAGATTCTCGCGCCCTCGTGTCACCACGGATCATTTGGCGGAGCGCGACACACAATGTTCCGATGCATGGAAGTGGCCGCAAGTGATCGGGGCCGATCGAAATCGACGTCAGTGAGTGTAGTGTATATATCGAGTGGTGGTGGGCGGTTGGCGCGGAGAACATGTGGTCTGCCCTCTAGTACCTCTATAGTCACTACTATCTACTCCGTACTATCTAGTACTGATCTACTGTACACTTATGGAGTACACACCATCGGTCTGTCTACGCCATCACCGCCAACAGAGAAGATGTATTCCCCCCCCCTGATTGCCCCACTAGCATCGGGCGTGATTGGGCAGTCGCCACCCCGGCGGCGCCGGGTGGGTCCTTGGCGTTCGTGGCGGCCAGTGGCGTCCAGGGCCGCGGCGCGACTCGTGGGCGCCCAATGGCCGGCCTCGAAAACATCAGAGCGAAAAATGGCGAAAGCCAAACTTCCCGCGAGGGCAGGTACGGCGGAAGTGTCTGAGTGAGACCCTTCTAGAACCTTTTGCCTTCCGTTCCGCTCGAAAGACAAAGAGGAAGTTAGGAAGAAGTCGAGTGTGCAACATCGGAGGGGCCGGACGCATGGGATGATTGGCAAGAGCAAAGAAGGGGAGGTGAAGGAAGAGAAGGGTGAGCTGTCAGTTGCTCACCTGTTTCATCTTGCAGCGCCGATCCTTGCTCATATAGTAGCTGGCTGGCTGGTCGCAGCCTGTAATGGATTCAGCCGGCTCTCCACCGGAGGGGGGGGGGGGGGGAGGCATGAAGTCATGGCGCATTTTCCCGCCCGCTTAAAATACTGGCCCCGGCTGACTTCCCTCCCTTCAGGGTTTCAGTCCTCCTCTCCTGCGTCCCTCCGTGCCAGTCACCGGCCCTGTCAGAGCGAACGCGAGTCAACCTGAGACCCGAGACTCGAGTAGGTAGATAGCCCGCGCAAGGGTGTCTGGTCTAGACCCGCGGACTTATTTTTGGAGGAGAGGTCGAGGAGGCACCGTTGAGGACCCACGGATTCACTCGAGAGCCACGCCTTTTTTTCCTCGTTTTTTTTTTTTCTCGCATCCGTGGTTCTCTCGCCCGCCCGTTCCTTGCGCTCCGCCATTGACAGACATCCCCAGACCATTTCTCTCTCTCCATCACTCCATCACTCCATCTTTCCATCTCTCCATCTTTCTCCATAGTAGTCTTTCGGTTCTATTATTCGCTGCGTCGTCGCCTCCGCTGCTCCGGTTTTTTTTTTCTCCCGTCACTCTCTTTCTTCTCTTCCTCCTCCCCTGACCCCCATCCCATCCCATCCCATTTCTCAGCATCTTTGTCTGTTTTGATTTGATTGTCCGCGCAGCTGGCTGCCCGGGCTGCTCCAATGGCCGAACCGAATGCCGACCACCCGTCGTATGAGCTGCTGGCGCGGAGGAACAACAGCTGGGACGAGAATGACGACACGCTGGTGCCGCGCAGTGCCAGCGAGCCTGAGCCATCGCCGTCGCCGCCTCCCAACAACCCCCTGCTAGAATCCCAGCCAGAGGCCCATCAACAGTCCCATCCCGAAGAATCTCAATCTCAATCCCAATCCCAATCCCCATCCCCATCCCCTGAAGGCTCGTCTGGTGCCCCCGCGGAGGGCACCAGACCGCCACGAGTGCGATTCCGCTCCGTCAGCAATACCGACGAGGATGGCAGCGAGCGACCGGCCCCGACGCGCCCGTCGATGATGCCGCGCGCCGACTCGGACTACTCGCTGCGATCGGTGCACTCGTACCTGCAGCCCACCGTGACGCAGTCCAGTGACCTGGCCGACTACGACGAGCACGACGACCACGACTACCCTAATGCCGCCGATGCTGAAGCTGCCGCAGACACCACCAAACCCGCCCCCTCCTCGCCCACCGAAAAGGAACCCGTCGAGCCCGTGTCCGCGCGAGACCGCTGGAGGAACGCCAGCAAGCTGCTGCGCCAGAAGACGGTGCTGCTGGGCGAGCGACTGGGACGGCCGCTGGACGATGTGGGCGACCTGGGGGCGGCGATGCTGCCGGAGGATCTGGAGGGAGGCCCGCCGCGCCATCATCGCCCCGAGGAGCAAGACCCGTTCGACATCCACCACCGCGAGGGTGACGAGCCCCCGCCGCCCCCCAGCGCCGAGGCCCATCGCCTGGTGCGCAGCATGACCCAGCACAACATGCACCAGCGCCGCAAGCCCAAGTCCGCCTACGCCAAATCCGGCCAGGAGACCCCCGACGGCCTGGGCCGGCCTGACTCGTGGTACGGCGCCAGCACCCCCGGACGCAGCGGCGGCGGCGGCGGTGGCATTCTCTCCCAGCTGCTGAAGCTGCACGCCCAGCAGGCCAACCGCGACAACATGTCCATGACCGACTCCGACAGCGAGTCCGTCATCTCCTCCGGCACCGCCACCCCCCGGCGCGACTTCTCTGCCAGCACCACCGCGTCCGGCACTGCCACCCCCAAGAAGGACAAGGTGAAGTGGTACAAGAAGTCCAGCCACCACTCGACCGCCTCCCTGGTGGAGGCGTCCATGAACCTCAGCCGCGCCAGCCTGCCCGCGTCCGCAGACACCCTCGTCAACATCGGCCCGCCCAAGAAGAAGGGCAAGAAGCGCAAGACGCGGCTGGAGGACGAGATCCGCGTCACCGTGCACATCGCCGAGATCCTGGCCCGTCAGCGCTACATCATGCAGCTGTGTCGCGCGCTGATGCGGTACGGCGCCCCGACCCACCGGCTGGAGGAGTACATGCAGATGACGGCGCGGGTGCTGGAGGTCGAGGGCCAGTTCCTGTACCTGCCGGGGTGCATGATCATGTCGTTCGATGACCCGACCACGCGTACCGCCGAGGTCAAGCTCGTCCGCGTCGTGCAGGGCGTCGACCTGGGCCGCCTGGCCGAAACCCACAACGTGTACAAGAACGTGGTGCACGACATGATCGGCGTCGAGGAGGCCATCCAGGAGCTGGACTTCATCATGAAGCGGCCGCCGCGCTTCAACAAGTGGATCCTGGTGGTGACCTACGGCCTGGCCAGCGTGGCCGTCGGGCCCTTCGCCTTCGACGCGCGCCCCATCGACATGCCCATCATCTTCTTCCTCGGCTGCCTGGTCGGGCTGATGCAGCACGTCCTCGCCCCGCGCTCGGTGCTCTACTCGAACGTCTTCGAGGTCACCGCCGCCATCCTCACCTCCTTCCTCGCCCGCGCCTTCGGCTCCATCTACGCGACCATCGACGGCGAACGGCAGCGCCTCTTCTGCTTCTCCGCGCTCGCGCAATCCTCCATCGCACTGATCCTGCCGGGGTTCATGGTCCTGTGCAGCAGTCTGGAACTGCAATCGCACCAGATGATCGCGGGGTCCATCCGAATGGTCTACAGCATCATCTACTCGCTCTTCCTCGGGTACGGCATCACGGTCGGCACGACGATCTACGGCCTGATCGACGGCGACGCCTCCTCGCAAACCACCTGCTCGAACACCTCCGTCTGGGGCAGCAAATACACGCAGCACTTCGTGTTCGTGCCCATCTACGTGATCTTCCTGGCGGTCATCAACCAAGGCAAATGGAAGCAAGTGCCCGTGATGATCGTGATCGCGGTCTGCGGCTACGTCACCAACTACTTCAGCACGCTGAAACTGGGCTCCAACTCCGAAGTCGCCAACACGGTCGGCGCCTTCACCATCGGCTTGCTGGGGAACCTGTACAGTCGGCTGTGGCACGGGCACGCCGCGACGGCCATTCTGCCCGGGATCTTTGTGCTTGTGCCGTCGGGGCTCGCGTCGAGTGGCTCGTTGCTGTCCGGGATCGAGTACGCGAATGAGGTGCGCGAGAATCTGAAGTCGGGCAATAGTTCGTCGACGAGCACTTCGGATTCGTCGATCGCGAGTCTGGGTTTCGGGATGATCCAGGTGGCGATTGGCATTACGGTCGGGCTGTTTATTTCGGCGTTGATTGTTTATCCGTATGGGAAGAGGAGGAGTGGGTTGTTTAGTTTTTAGACGGGGGGTGTCATGTTCATGTTGGTTTTGGATGACCTGCTCGATGGGATGTTGTCATGCTAGATGAGATGGGATGACGTGGGATGTGATGTGGATGTGGATGTGGATGTGGATATAAATGGGGACGTTGTACATTTCGGTTGATCTTTGACGCATTAGCAGGCTTCTGATTTATTGATTGATTGATTGTTTGATTGTTTGGTTTTATTTCATTGATTTGATTGATTCCCTCGGCTTTGACCATTCTCACTCCCTTACTCTCTCGATCTCTATCTCCATCTGGTTCTTCCGGCAATCTATCCCTCTTCCCATTCCATTCCATGTTATTGATTCCATTTTATCTTATTCTATCCCTCCCCGCAGCGCATAGATCTTTTCCCGTTTAGACATACATACATACATACATACCCAGATAGATACCTAGGTAGATAGACAGTGATAAACCTGATTTTATTTCCACTGGAGAATCTTGATTCCGATGGATCGAGTTCACAGACAGGCTGTTTAGCTGTCTGGGTCTGGGTGAGATGGGTATATAATTGCAATATGTATTTTCTTTGCCGTAGATATTAATCTCCCATAGTGTATGTTAACTACCATCAACATCATCAACTACCCCGACCATCACCCATTCATATCTATTCGAATTGAAATTAAACTATCTCCATCCAAATCTTACCTTACCACTGCAGCATAATCGATCAACTCCCCTAGATATTCGCCCTCCACAGTAGCCACCACAGGACGGGGAGGTGTCGCCAACCCTCCGCAGACGGTGCTAAGTAGACATAGCTGTTTCATCCATGTCCTCATCCCAGGCAGGGAGAAACGGGAGGAGAATGCCTCAGGCATTGTCATGATCTGCCTATGGAGGGAGTGAAACATGGGAATTGGTCGATTTTGCTGGGCTTCACAGGAATTTCGATGTCCCGACGTAGTGCAATGGAGGTTGGAAGGAGAGATGTCTTCGCGGTGGATATGTCTGTCTCTCGCGATTGACGGGAGATTCCTCGATATTCAACGCCTTCGAAAGTACTATATCGATGCCCCAATATTATCAAGGCAGGTCAGAAAGAGAGATGTCTCCTACCGGGTAAATCCCGTCTTTAAAGGTGAAGAAAAGGGAACTGTCGATATTTGATTGCTTCAGAGGTAGGACTATCAATGTCGAACAGACGAAGGGCAGATAAGAAGGAGAGATGTCTTTCCTGCTGAAAGGTAGCCTTTTTCGATATTCGATCTGCTGCAGTGAAGGCCAGACAGCAAACCGCAATGTCCTCATCCATCTCGATGACGCTGAACCAGAGGGTGTGAGATGGGATATGGGATACACGCCGAGTCTGCTCTCCTTGTGGCAGACAGGCCGCCATGAAGCCACAGTCAGATGAAGCGTGTCCGTCTGGATGACGGGGTATGCACGGCCTGGTCCTGATGCTGGTGACATCGGTCTCGACGGCAGAAGCACCAAAGAATGATACACAGCGACTGCAGAGCAGACCGGATAATAAGTCTCCCAGACCAGGAACAATACGTTCTGTATGGGGTCTTCGACCCAGCCGCAGCAGCGTATGCGGGTGGCATACATGGGACAAGATGATATATGCGCCATGACGCAGAATTCAGCAAGTGCCAGTAGATGGTCTCGCCACTAATACCGTTGATTGGTGTCTGAGATAAGGCGTCAAAGTCCAGGACATGAGACGCTGTAGAGCATCAAAACAGCGAGTATTTGATAACACCAGTCGGAGTAGAACTCGACGACGCGAAGACCACGAAGGCTGTCAAGCCTAGTGGCGAAGTTGGCACATTGGCCTCATATCGACCACGCCGAAAGTAGAAACAGGAGACGTTCTGTCATCTTGTTCAGGATGTAGATACCATATTGAGTATGCGGTAGGCATCCCACGATAGACTAGACCCGGTTCTTCGGGTCACTATAGAACGACAGCTGGGTTGGGAATGCCGCTAGTCGTATGCGAGTATGGCATCTCGCAGCGGCACCGCGATATCAAACCCTTCCACCGAATCCAGAGTGTACGCTTTAGTCACTGCTTTTCACATGGACGTGGTCATAATCTGGTGAGAAATGCAACCACCCTCGTTGAATGAATCTTTATTCATGTAGGAATTGCCCTCGTCCTGATCCCAGCTGCTTAGACCGAGACCGTCGGATGGCTTCTCGGTAAGTTGGACTCTGGAAACGCGGCTGTTTTGTCGAGTGACAGTGAGAGATACTCTGAAGTCTCACTTAGAATTGATGCTGCGAGTTGCAGTATGCAAAGCTACATAATAGTGGAATCGATGGCCAAGGATTAATCACACGATGATCCACAACGCCAGTGTGGCCTGAGACATGACCACCATGATTCGCCACTGCGTCGCCGTTGCGTGCGCCTAGCTTCTTCTTCTTCTTCTTGCTGGGCTGCGTTGTGGCTCCGGTCCGGTCTGGCTATCCAAGTATGACGCAGCCCATGACTCTCGTACCCGGTGTCGCTCTCGCCAGGATCCCCGCAGAAATCCCGACACCCTGTTGGAAATGGATGCAGCGTCATACGACATACCTGATATAAGGCTTCGAAGAAAGTATGACATCCAAATGGCGCGTCTATCAGTGACAACACCCGTGTGATGGTGTATCCCAACCTGCCATGTTCGTGCAGATATCATAAGAGCGATGGCCCATCCATCTGTATTCGATAGAATACTCGCAAACCAACATCTGGCCGGGTATTAGACCACGAAGAATTACCATATCCAATGATACTGTCGAAGTGTGTCGTATGGCGTGTCCGCACCAGCTCTCGCTACTTAGTGTAGCTCATTGAAACAATCACCAATTCCTTGTCTGTCTGTTGCATGACTGTGGTTTATTGTCGACACCACCACGATCATGCTGCAGTCAGACCCACACTGGGATCCGATGGACCCTACAATCGCGAACGCAGCAACCTTTGGAGAGGAGAGATGATACTTCTCGCATTTGGCTAACTAGCCGCAGAACACGAGAGACGATATGAGGTTATTGTGAGTGTATTTAACCTGGTCAGGGCGATACGCCCAAGCGGGAGCCCTATGCTGTGGTAGCATTTCAGAAACTTAGACGAAGGACATCCGTATCTGCACTGCGAGGTGAGAGTAATCGTATCAAGTTCGGTCAAGGCAATAAAACCCAAACCGGACTCTATGCTCCAACAGAATTTCAAAACCCCAGATAACCGACGTCCGTCGCATCTGCACTGCAATGATACACGTATACATCCATCTGGCCCGGTCGAAGACGACGGACCACCCGCCAGCTGATCGCTGGCATCACAGACTGTCTCGTAGCGGGTGCTACTGTCGGGACACATGAGTTGGCGTAACCTGATGGTAGCACTCTCTCTGATGAATTGCCAGAAAACGCAAAGCCGTGTCCACGCTGAGGTGTGGTGGAAATGCAAGGGCAGTTGAAGTTGGCACTGCCTTGGTCCGTGTACGAGGAATGTCGCCCCCAAAAATGCCGTATGGCTTCGAGATGCATCGTCAAAGAGTAGGGAAAGACGCAATGTCTTGTCCACGCTGAGATGCGATGGAAAAGCAAGACCAGATGGACCTTCTCGGTACTGAGTCGTTAGGGCTTGGGCCGGTAGTCTGTGGAGATTTGCATGCAACCTCTACCACTATTGTGCGACCGTCTAGACATGATAATCGCATAGAATAGACATAGACATGAGTCCTGTCCTGCGCACTGCTCTTCACGGCCCATTTGCAATCCGATGGATGGTGCATGGCTGGCAGTATGCCTGGTATGCTTGCATCCGGAGTTCGTCGGCTCTGGATGATCAGGACCCAAATATGAGATCGAACATGTCAAACAGATCGAAGAAGTCCCAACCATGAAATTTTCCTCCTCCACATCAGCAGGATAGAGAAGGCGCTCTGATGGGGAGAGGTCCCGGTATACCCACAGTCCTTCACAGGCTTAGGGGTGTTGTCAAACACAAACACACCATCGTCCTCGTTAATGACCATATGGGTACACCCAAACCCCAAAGGCCAGACTAAGAAGCCAGGAAAAGATACAACCACACGCCCAACCGAGACGGTGGGGAAGAGAAAGACCGCACAGCCGACGTCTTTGCGACGCCGGATTCGATGGAAAATCGATTGAGGATGGATGCCAAAGCAGCCGCTCTTTGACGACGAGTGTACACTTTCCGCATCATGTTGTGCGGAATCGCGGCACAGTGGCCTCTCTGTCATGGCAGAATTCAATTTAATACCTATGCCGATATGAAATGGGATGTCCTTCGATAGAGGGCGATGTCTATCGGGTATCCGTCATATGCAGTGGGACATCGACGCTAATATCACTGCACCATGTACACAATACTGCACTCCCTTGCCAGAATCAAGAACCACCCATGGGTCTGGGGAATGATTGTATGGTCCTCAAATGCCGCAGGTAGTGTAGACCAGCTCGTGAGTGCGAGTCGGATTTGCCTCGCACAGGCGCAACGCACCTGCTTGTCAGTACACACGGTGTATTCTGTCTCCCATGCATATCGCATACCCGCTCATAAATGCCGATTCGATATGACCTTCCTTCCTCGAGTATACCGCACCCTTGGTGTATGACTGAGCCAGAGCGAACGCCATCGAAAGAGGCCTCGGCGCTCTTCAGTCTTCCCGTTCTTCGAAAAGCAAAATCATTCTTCAAAATGACCAAGAGCAGTATGACCAGGTACTGCGCGCACGCTAATAAGGAGGTGTCGGCTTGACGCTGAGATCTCGAACATAGTCCGTACATAGAGCGCTAACGCCAGACAGGAAGGCAGACAGTGTATTCCACCTGCAACCCGCCGTACGCCCTAGTCGGTGCCGATAGGGAGAGCCCTGCTAGAAAGATTGTATGGAAGTCATTTTCATCCATTCATTTGCCACATTGCAGCCTGATTGTAGAGAGAGAGAGGCCAGCAACCGCCAGCTCGCATAGTCCCTCAAATTCCGCAGCTAGCGACTCGTGCAGAGATAGAAACCGACCACGTTTGGGAAGCAGCGGGCGTGTGGCTGGCGCCAACGCTGCCATACTGGCTCATGAGACTGGGTTGAGTCCGAGGTAAATAAAGAATGTGGACAAATACTGTCACTGGCAGGACAGCCAGACATGTTCGCACGCAGCTGGTATGGTATGACCTCCCGCTCAGGCTGGGGTAGCAGCAAACGTGCATCAAAATAGCGCCCGCGTCTGTGGCTGCTGCCAGCACTGCCAGATCTTCTTTGGGACATTAAAATGAGTGCACAGAGTAAAAGAAGTAATGTGGCTGAAAAGTACCATTTGGCAAGACAACGAGACACCAGGGACGTGTCCACTGCATACCAGAAATGCTATAAATTCTGCATACGCTTGGGCAGCAGCAGACTTGCATGAGGCAGTCATTTTATGCGCCATCGCCAACACTGCCAGATTTTGTGATATTAGGATGCCTCCACGAAGTAAACTGAGAAGTGTAGACAAAGATTGTTAATTGGCAGGACGAGCAGACATCAAGGATGTGTCCACATCGTACCAAGTTAGACACAGATGATATGACTCCTGCATGGTCTTTGGTAGCAGCAGAATTGCATGAGCAGCACTGCTTTTGTCACTGTCTCCAGTACTGCCATCTCGGTTTGCGTGGTTGGGATGAGTCCACCGATAGTGAAATAAAATGTGGACAAAAATACCATGTCGGAAGACAGCTAGATACAATATCCAATTGCTGTCGTGCAGTGGCGACATGCGTAGAGATCGAGAGGGGAGTGACTGAAACTCCGCAACAGAGAACAGAAAACACAGACCGATGTGAGAGGCACCTGGTGTGGAGATGACGGGGTGCCATTCAATCAAAACCCGAGGATCACTTGCAAGAATGCCCCTGGTGGGCTTGTGTATGTCGCTTTGCAACCTCAGTCGGACAGCATACAGCTGTTCCAGTGTCATGAACCGCGATGGTGTCTCATGAAACGTCTGCTGGTGCGAACTGGCTGCAAGATGCAGGGCTCAGCACACCTCTCCGTGGTCCAAAACAATTGATGCCATGATCAAGAAGACCTCCGCATGGGCGAATGCACAAGCGATCGATCTGCCTGCGATGTTGCGGCGCGGTGGAAGATCTGGTTGCATCGATGAAGCAACAAGCAAAAAACCGCAGGGTCAGTAATTCCCTCATCAGTATCGCCCCGCGAAGCTGCTCTTGCAGTCATCATCGTGTAGAAGAACATCCCTCATGCGGATGATCATGAAGTCACCCTAAGCAAGTAGGGAAAATGAATCCCGCATCGAAGACATATGCTCAATGTCGCTGGGGTAGACACTCTCAACCTCTTCAAAGAAATAAGATGATATTCGGAAAGGTTCAACAAGTTAAGGACCTTTCTGAGAACTTTGGTCACAGGCCCAAGGAATCGAATACCGACGTTTAACAACTGTGGTAAACGTTATGGAAGGCGAAGACCCAGGGTCGGAGGTGGCTTTCCACTTTCAACGCCAGGCTGGGTTGAGTCTGTCCTGCAGAGGTATAGTACGAACGAGGTAAATAAAGCCAACCGTGTTATGGGGACCGAGCCAGGTATAGCTGGCGACTGCCCAGCCCTAATAACAGGATCGAACAGCCACTCCCAAAAGGTAGGTCGAGAGCGAAATCGAGACATGCTACTGGCAGTCCGGACGGATGATATGCTGGCTGTTGCGAGACTTCGTCCCATGATGGAGGTTCGACTTGGTCCTGTGCAAAACGGGACAAGTGAGAAAGAATACATAATGAAGAAGGGTGAGACTTACACATGGGTAGACATATGCCCCAGTTCAACACGATTCGTAATGTGAGACCGGGACGTATCTTGACGTCAAGATAGAAGTAAACAAGCAAGCAGATGATCAAGCGGACAGATTCCCTTCCATCTTCCCATCTGCGAGTCGAGCGGGCAACTCTTTGCCCGGGCGGAAAGGTTATTAAAAGTGAGCATATCCAGCCTGCAGGCCAAGATATGAAATGAACCGGGTTCTCAATGTGAGACTGGATTGTATGGATGTGTGTATCTTTCGGTCGGGATGGACAGGCGTAATCGAGGATGCTGCTTCGTGTTCCTTCTTGGACTGTGTGGCGTGGACCATCTGGGATATTCTGTCAGCATTTGACTGGACACCACCCCTGAGGTCCCAAAGAGCACACTCACCTGAGCTCATGAGACTCGGCTGAGGGAAGGTCCTTCTCAGAGAACGAGATAGAACAGCCATGGAGGAGGGATTCGACCGCGACAGAAGTTGAAGGACATATAAAGTGAGAGATACATATAGATAGATCACAGTCGACCATATGGTCTTGAGATAAAGCAGACATGAGAGAAACGTAACATGACAGTGAGATAGACCATGAAAGAAAGACGACATGGCAGTGAGATATTCATAAAAAGAAAGGAATATAAGACATGAGACAGTCTCAAAACACAGAAGTATAATAGTATCCCAGCTCCTTCCAGCCCACCAACTCCCAACTCCAACTCACCAACCAGGATCTTTGAGGAGAAAGAGAAAGAAGAAGAGAGAGGAAGCAGGGGGATTTATACCCCCTGCCCCAGCAAGAAAGAAAACATCCGACGCTTTCACTCGCCTTCACTCGCCGCAGTGACGCCGTTGCGCTGCTGGGACGGCACCGCGCAACGTGAATCCGGCGCGGTAACCGTGATGGGTAGCCGTGAAGAGATAAATAAAATTACCATGCCAGTCTGCAGGACAGGAAAGACTATTTCAATTCCCAGTACTTCTATTTTTCAGCTATTCATCACCGCACAGCACCAGGTGGAGCAAAACTAACAGTGTACAGGCCTGTTGACTCGCAACCCTCGCCGAGCGCTGGGTGGGGTGGTGGGGTGAGGTGGGATGGGATAGCCGGGCTAGGGCTAAGTACTTACTATATTCACGATTCTACAGTGACGGGGCTCAGTGACGGAAGACAGGCAACTAATTTACCACTTCACGCGCCTACTTCACGAGCTGACAGTTCGGACCAGTTTCTGTTGATTGGATTGTCCAGGCGACAGAATATATGTTTTTGCTCTTTGTTGGCGTTGCTGCTGTTGGGCAGGCGCTGTGCTCCGGTATCGGACTTGTGCACCAGTGGAAGTGGAACATATTTTCACTCTGTTCAAAATAGCTGCTTACATCGGTGGAGTCAAGAACACAGAGCCGACAATGTCGACCTTGTCGGGTATTTGGAGGGCGGGCTGCCGACCATATATGGCAGCAAGTGCAAAGATAGGATTCCCAGGTGCTCGACAAAGACGTCGCCATAGCGCCCCGATCACGGCTCGACCATATGGTCTCTACTGCCTCTCTTGTCTGGGGAACAATAACGAGCCCTTCGTGCAGCCGGCAAAAGGTACGGTCGCTGCTTCGCTCGGACGTGCTGGTTCCGCCTACTGCCGCATTGTCCGTGAAGATAGTGGCCAGTGAACAGCTGAAGGATAGACCTCCTAGACCTTCGAGACCATGTCCTGGGCGACGATCATAAGATCCAAAACAGTCAAGAACGCGCTCTCTCAACGCCAAAGCAGTAGTTTACCCGCTCCTTGAATCAAGTTGTTTATTGAAATCATCCGTCATATCCAGTATCTTGTATTCAACCACCACATAATCATGATCGTCACTGCGTCCAGATCACCTCTCCCCGGCTCCTTTCTCGTCCACTAGGGTAGATTCCGAGCGGATAGGCTCTTGTTGCACAAGATTGTGTCCATCCCTGATCCGTCAGTAATAGCAACGGCTGAACGACAAGAAACGTACCCAAGTTTCTTGTTTGGCAAGAGCAGCGCGAAGACGACGATGGGGGCCGAGAAGGCCAGCGCGGCGATGGTGATGGTCCTAGACAGTCAGTTTGGGTCTACGACAAGCGGGAAGCAAACGCACCCCATCACATCGGAATACTAATCGGTCAGCAGGCATACCAGATAAACAAAAGGAAAAGTGACTTACAGCTCGGTCTATCGCGGTTCGTTCTGCAGACCCCCACGCGGGCAGCGTTCCAGTAATCGAGTCATACAGCCGATCCACGGTGTCTTTACTCACTCCGGCCCCCAGATGCGACCGGAGCTGTTGGCGCAGCTGTCCCGAGTAGATCCCGCCTGCGATCGCAGACCCGATCCCGTTGCCCAGGTACGCGGCCAGCATGACCAACGAGGTGACCTGGGCCATTTCGGCATGCGACACTGAGATCTGGGCGGCAACCACGCCGATCGTCTCGATAATGCCGCTCCCCACGCCTTGGACGAGTTGCACGATGAACAGCTCTGCCACGGAGCTTTTATTCGTGCGAAGGCGGACCATCACGCCATACCCGACCATCCGCACGACCGCCCCCGCGACCCCAATCCACTTGTAGGACCGCATTCGGTACATCAGCAGGCCGGTGGCCATGCCGACCAGAGCCTGCATGACCCCGTTGGTATAGTAGAGGAACTGCGCATTGCGCGCCGAGAAGTTGTGTGACACCTCGGACCAGACGTACAAGTAGGTATGCGTGGCGCCGAAGCTGATGTTGTCGATGCAAACCAAAATCACGGGGATCACCACGGAAAGGTTGCGGAAATAGCGCACCGGGACCACGGGATGTCGGGCAATGTATTTCTCGTACGGATACAGACAAGCGAGGATCACCACCCCCACAGCGATCAGAGCGTCGACCCAGGCCGTCTTCCACCGGCTAGCGGCAGTAGCGGCCAGTGTGATGGGGAGTAACACCAAGGCGAACCCGCCGCTGAGAAGGAGGAGGCCCCCCAGATCAATGCGCGAGCAAAATTCATACGCATTCAGCTGCTCTTTCAGGACGAGACCCGAGCGTTTGGCCCGCTGCTGAAAGACGAGAAGAGTGGTGATGATGAAGATGGCCCCGAATGGCATCAGGATGGCGAACATGCCGATGCCCCAACGCCAGCCAATGCCGTTCACCACGCTTTCTACAATGAACGCGGACACCCACGGCATGACGAGGAATGGGAGGTAGAGAATATTGTAGGCGAACCCTCTCCATCGCATCGAGGACAGGTCCGAGACTATCGTGGCATTGAGAAAGGACGTGCCAGCCTGCCCGATAGAGTAAAGAACGTAGCCCCCTGCATAGGTGTTGAAGGTCTTCGAGGAGGCGCAGAGGATGTAGGAAACCACATAGCAGGTGACGGTGAATACATACGCCTCGCCTCGCCCGAGGACATCGGAGACCTTGGCAATCGGGGGCTTGGTGACGGCGGAGATGATGCTTGCCGCGGTATTCAGCGTTGCCAGCTCGGCCAGGGCATCGAAGTCCGACGTGGCGAAGTTGCGATACGTTCCCACGGTCGAGTTGTCCAGTTCACTTCGAGCATTAGAAACCGAGACGACCCACAGGCAGCAGACTTACTATATGACCATCATCATCGCAAGCCTGAGAAGTTAGCACCAGACAGCATTCAGAGGCGATATACACACCCCGCAAAGAGCAAATATCTGCCTTTCCGCCCACTCACGGCCTCAGCGGCCTGGATCTTTGCCGCGCCGGTCCCATCCGGGGCCACGGAGATGGATTCCTGGACAGTGACGTCGATGTTGCCGTGCTTCTCATCGACAGCCCCAAACGAAGGACGGGGCACCTCCTCTCCTCTCGAGGGCCGGAAGAACCTACTCCAGCCAGCCATTGTGGGTGGGTGTTATAAATGCAAGAAGCTTTTCGGCGGGCAGCATCAGGTATGTATGTGACGGAGCGCAAGATAGCAAACGACGCGACAGCCGAAGTAAAACCGAGGGTCGAATGACCAAGCTAGTAGTGCGAAGCAGTTGACTCACTTATCTCCATCCCTGCTCGACGCGGGACGTTAGCAGACAGTCGCAGTCGCCACTGGACCCGTGGATGGCACGAGGGGGGTGTTATCGGCCACACACGATTAATACGCACGTCGACGGGGGAGGGGAGGGGGGAGAAATGGAGGAAGCAGAGCTGGGGGGCGGCGGAGGGATCGATATGACGAAGACATCAGCTAACGTGACGGAGCAGCGGCGGTGGGGGAAGAGTCCGCAACTCCGATTGCGGTTCGATTCGCCATCGCCAGCAAGGCACTGAGCCACCGACAGTGGCGATCGGCGCGGGATCGACAGCCATAGGGCACATTCGGGTTGGCAGCGACGGATCGAGCAGCGAGGAATGTGACCATTCCGTGTGAGCCTGCGTTGATAAGAGGTGCATTAGCGATCCTGCGGGGAGGGGGAAGGCTACTCCCAGACTGGATCGCGAGACCGACTCTGGTCGGGGAATCGGGCGAAGGAGAGCTGGGACGGAGAACAGGGGGTGGTCAATGGTCACCGCGATCGAGGGATTAACATTGAGTCTGCAGAGCGACAAGCTTTCTGCTTCAGAAGTTGGACCCTATCTCCTCGGGGCGACTTTCCATGACTGTGGAGTCCGGATGGGTCAGGATGGGTCAGGATGGAGTCCGAGTGCCCGTCTGGCCGCATTCGTCGCTCTGGTGGGGATCCCCGGCGCTTTGCCCATTTGGGCCGCCCGCACGGGTTGTCACGTGAGAGCAACGCGTCGCGTGTTTCCCTTTGGCTGCCACTTTCGCTTCCCTGCGATTCATTGCGCAGGGCTGGGCCAATTGTGAAACAGCTGCAGGTCTGCATCGCAGCACCGTCATTGCCCCCCACAGATACCCCCCGTACAGTCCATTCCATTACCTACCCCATACCCTTTCCCCCCTGACATCAACATCATGGACCCATCACAAGTTCCCATCCCCGACACAGACGAGGGGTTGAACTCCGAATTCGACCAGCTTCGGGATGAGCTGAAGATGGTCCGAAGACAGCGGGCGCTGCTACGGCTGCGCAGCCGACTCGCACGGGAGGAGTACCTGCTGGCACAGGAGCGACAACAACACCGGGCGCTGCGTCCTCGATCCCCGAACGAAGTCGCCCGCAGCCCCAACCCACCACTCGAAACGCTCATCACGCGGCCATCATCGGGGGGGCTGGGCTTCGACCCCTTCGAGGTCCCCGCGCAGGGCATCAAACGCTCCTACTCCGAAGAACCCCTCGTCACCCCGCTCGAACGGCCGCCCTACCTGTCCTCCACCGTCATGCTCTTCGACGGCACCCGCCCCGAGTTCCGAGACATGTTAATGGAACTGCAAGCCCACTTCGACCGCTACACAACCTACTTCTACTCCCGCGACGCCCCCCACCGAAAGATGGAAGAGACCCGAAGGCACATGTCCGGCCGACTGGCACGGAAGTGGGAGGAATATGTGCTGGGACACCCGGAGCGGGATCGGTGGCGCAACTTCTGCTCGTTCGTGGCGGACTTTCGCGCCGAAGGGCCCGTGGATGTGGCCGTGAACCCAGCGGCACATCGATATAATCTTGCGATGCAAAAACCGACGCAGACGGTGCTGGATTACGCCAGCCACCTGACGCAGATGGAGCATGACATGGGGGTGGTGTACGACGACGAGGCGCGCATTTTCAAGCTCTGGGATAGTCTGCTTCCGGAGGTGCGCGCCGCAGCGCCGACTCCCGAGTCGTTTCCGGGCGATTTTAGACAGTGGATCAAGAAGTTGACGGGGATCGAGCTCCGCATTCCCGGTCGGTATGCGGTGATCGGGCCGAAGGTGGAGAAGCTGTCGAAGAGGCAGCGGAGGCTGTGAGGGCCCGAGGGGAAGTGGAGTGCAAAAGGGACTGTATGCTATGATGCTACGGAGTATTGTTGTAACGATATCAAGAACAGCCAGCTGCCGCAGTGCGAGCAGCCCGCCAATACATTCTTACTACCATTTGTTTGGCAGTCTGACTCTGAAGGGCCGTGATAAGGACGAAGCAGCCAATGAGCCGCCCCCACTAGGAGGGTACTAGACCCCGAAGCAGAGTAGTGCATCGCCCGAGTGGCTGCTAGCCTGCTAGTACTAGTCTATGAATAATTATTCTGATTTTTTATAACAAACAGACTTAAGAGTCTATAATTAAAAAAAAAAAAGACTTGATTAAAGATATTAAGATAAAAGAGATTATATACTAAGAATATCTATTATATAATCTTTAGAGATATTGTAGTTAACTATCTATTATTTATTCCCTACAACTAGGAATCCCCACTTCAAGTAGCGATGGCTTTATGCACAGCCCTGCACTACACTGCAAGGCGGCATGAGTCCACCGCCATTCAGTGTTTTCCTGCTTATCCTCACGGATCCCAGCCTATCCTACTGCTCAGCTGGCAGCTGCACTGGCCACTGATACTGCACACACCACCACAGCCCACAATCTACACCCTGTCCCCACTTCGTCACGATTAGAAACCTCCCTCGTTCTATTCGCCCGCGCTTAATACAGTGCTGGACCCTCAACACAACCTCGATCATCCGGCGGGGTACATGTCAGCCGGCCCAATGTCTCGGGCACGCGAGAGATGGAATAGATAGATAGATAGACAGACAGATAATCCAGCCTCCACTTACGCCGGATATCTCCCTATCTGCTACTACCACTACCCTGTGCGTCTCGTCTCGAGCCTCGGGGCGAGTACGGTCCGGTCCGGTAACCAGAACGAACAGCCAGACGGAGATGGAGATGTCGGCCCCAAAGTCCTTCGCCTTCCCGGACCACTACGTACAGTTATCGAAACCCCGCCCGCGATGGGATGTGGTCCATAGCATTGGGGTCGCGGTGGTAGCGCTGGCGGGACTGGCTTGGTGGGCGTCGCCTTTTGGCGGGGAGACATCGAGGCATCAGTTGCCGATAGCGGCGTTTAGTTGGGATCGGGTTCGTGGTACTTCTCGCTTTACGCGATAGACAAGATAGCTAACGAGCGCAGATCACCCCCTCGCCGTCGCTCGAGTATCATGATTGCTTCGATGGTTTGCAATGCGCCCGTCTGCAGGTCCCAATGGACTATCACCGCTCTGACGGCCAGGGGCGACACGTTGCGATCGCCATCGCCCGTCGTCCGGCTAAAGTACCGGTGACCGATATGCGATACGGGGGTGCGATCCTCGTCAACCCAGGTATCAACCCTGACTTGCCCTCTATGTTGTTCTGGATGTAAGCTGATTGACTTCCAGGGGGTCCTGGTGGCTCGGGCGTAGCCATGGTTCTCCTCGGGGGGGACGCGCTACAGACGACCGTGGACGCGGAGAACGACCCCAACATGCTCTCCACCAAACTAAGCGACAAATACTTCGACATCATCGGGTTCGATCCGCGGGGAGTCAACAACACAACCCCAGGATTCAGCTGCTTCCCGAACCTCTTTTCGCAGCGCAACTGGGAGCTGCAGGCCGCGGCGGAGGGCATCCTGGGGAGCTCGGAGGACGCGTTTCGACGCAACTGGGATCGCGCGATCGCTCTGAACACGGGATGCTCAACCAACCTGAGTACGCCGGTCCGGGAGGGGCAGGAAGCGTTGGGAGAGCATATCAACACGGTTCCCGTGGCGCGGGACATGCTGGAGATCGCGGAGCGACACGGGGAGTGGCGCGAGAAGCAGGGATTGGCGGAACAGCGGCGTCGCGATCGTGTGCAGGGCTACGACCCGCGACAGCGTCTGGTTGCACGGACACGATGGAACCGAGGACAGGAGAAGATCCAGTATTGGGGACGGTCGTACGGGACGATCCTGGGGGCGACCTTTGCGACCCTGTTCCCGGACCGCGTGCATCGGGCTGTCCTGGATGCGGTCGTGGATGCCGACAAATATTATCTGGGCGATGGACACAGCGCGATCGAGGATGCGGATGCGATTTTCGATCGGTTCACGCAGTATTGCGATGCGGTCGGGGCGGACGGCTGCCCATTTTATAGAGAGGGAGGCCCCGCGGCCATCAAAGCATCGTACCTGGCCTTGGACCGCGCGCTCTACAACCGATCGGTGCCGGTGCCGTCGTCAACCATGCGGGGTCCGGAGGTGGTGACCTGGAGTGATCTGAAACACATCATCCGGATCGCCATGTATCAACCTCTCAGCGGGTTCCCTCTGCTGGCGGAGTACGCAAGCGAGCTGGTCAACGGCAATGGAGCGCCGCTGGCGGACTTCAAGGTAGGGGGACGCTCTCCGTCGTGCCCGTCGAGCCAGTGCCTCCAGCGCGGGCCATGGTCCGCGGCGTGTCAGGTCCCGGGCCATAACGAGCTGTACTCCAGCGCGGCGATCCTCTGCGCGGACGCCGAGTATCTCCAGTCCGCTGACGAGGACGACTTCGGGCGGTACTGGCAGTCCCTGCGGGAGGACAGCTATGTGCTTGGAGACTACTGGGCTGGTCTCGGGCTGAGCTGTGTGGGATGGAAAGTGAAGCCGAGGTGGACGCTCCCAGGTAACGCTCAACCCTAACTTACCCCCCTTGCAGTCCGGACAGACGGATCCTCGCTCACCCTGCAGGACCCGTGGCGGCCAACACCTCCCACCCCCTGCTGTTCGTCAGCAACATCCTCGATCCCGTGACCCCCTTGCGCAGGTTTGTTCCTGTAAACCCGGCCGAGCAACCAACAACTAACCTGTCCAGCGCGCGCAAAATGACCCGGCGATTCCCAGGCTCAGTCCTGCTGCAGCAAGACTCGGAGGGGGTAAGTCTGCAACCCGGGCACGTCAGAGAGATCCACCTTCACAACTAACGCACCGCAGCATTCCACTCTCGCGGCTCCGTCGGTATGCGTGCACAAAGCCATCCGCACATACTTCCAGACCGGCGAATTGCCGCCGCCGGACACGGTGTGCGAGGGGGATATCAAGCCATTGTTGGGGGTGCAGGCACGGACCGGGACAGTAAGAAGTGCGGGCGATCAGAGGCTGTATGAAGTGCTGGCGGGGGAGGCGCGGCGAATGGCGGCTGTGCGATTACCGCTGTAGCGGCAGGTGGGTGGTAGTACTGGTAGTACTGGTAGTACTTCGTACTAGTCTTGACACCTGACGGTGCCTGGGGTAAGGGAAGGTTTCGGTACTTGATAAACCCGGTATTGTGTTCACATCCAGGTACAACACTATAGGAGGTATACTCCTATTCACAAAATGTATGCATGCCATCACAGTTTCTTCAAGGTTGATTATGAAATAGGGCTCCTATGCTTGAAAGCTACTGGAAGGTAATACTGAGAAGCAACACCACCACCTCCACAACCCTATCTGTATCGTCATTCGTCTGAGAATGCACGGTACTTACTATAGTAGTTATACAGTAGATAACTAGTCGGTGGTAATCAACCTCGGTCCCCCGTCGGCCGTCCGACCCCGCGCTGATCAGATAAGGGGTGCTGTGCTGGCCATCCCTCCACCACCTCCATTTCCATTTTCTTTCCATTGCCAGCCATCTGACAATCTCACCACCTCACCACCTCACCCTACAACCATGTCCCCTCCCACTTCCACCGAAACCTCCACGGTAACCCTCCAACCCCGCGCCTCCACGCAAGAAAGCGGCGCCTCCGCCGCCAAAGTGAAGCAAAACGCCGACCGGTTCCCCCGCCCGCTGGTCTTCGAAGACAAGCTCCAGGAGCGCGAATACCTCAAGGGCCGACTGGCGGCGGCATTCCGCATCTTCGGGAAATACGGCTACGATGAGGGTGTGCATCCTGCCCCATGACCCCCGCACTCTAGTGTATACTAACTTCCCCAGGCATCGCAGGCCACATCACCCTCCGCGACCCCGTCGAGCCAACGACCTTCTGGGTGAACCCGTTCGGGGTGGCCTTCTCGCAGATCAAAGCCTCGGACCTGATCCAGGTCGACCACAACGGGGACGTCATTGCCGGAGGACCGGTGCGGCTGCTCAACGCCGCGGCCTTCATGATCCACCACGCCATCCACACGGCCCGGCCGGATGTCCTCTGCGCCGCCCACAGCCATAGCATGTACGGGAGGGCGTTCTGTACCCTGGGGCGACCGCTAGATATTATCACACAGGATGCGTGTGCGTTTTATAATGTATGTCTTTCTTCCTCCTTCTTTTCTACTCGTCCATCCCCCCTCCCTCCCTTCTAACCAATCCATATCTGTATAGGACCACGTCGTATACACACAATTCAACGGCGTCGTCCTGGCCGAAGACGAAGGGAAGAGAATCGCCGCAGCCCTGGGCAGCAAGAAGGCGGCATTACTCCAAAACCACGGCCTGCTGACGGTGGGCCAATCGATCGAGGAGGCGGTGTTCTGGTTCGTGTGTCTGGAGAAGTGCTGCCAGGCGCAGCTGCTGGCGGATGCGGCGGCGGCGGGGCGCGGCGGGCAGACGATCAAGATCGACGATGCCGATGCGGAGTTCACCTACAACACGACGGGGACGCCGCTGGCCGGGTATTTTAGTGCGAAGCCGATGTTCGATGTCATCCATGAGGAGACGGGGGGGAAGTATTTAGGTTAGATCATTCGATTTACTGTTTACACGAGACTATTCTATTGTTTTTGTGGTGTGGCCCGACGTTGGTCATTTGGTGAACGGTGTGTATAACTACACTGTAGAATAAACCCGCAACTCGATGCATGCGAGAGAGATGTTGTCTTTATATTCTAAACCCAGATCGGTGATCCTCCTGCTACTCTGGATATTGGCCCTGGTGCCACCCCTAATACTCTATCATCTGCACCACCAGCACCATCAGCCATTTACACTCAAAACAAATCCAGACAGACAGATAGACAAAAAAAAAAACAGCATATCCTCCCTCCCACCCAAGCAAGACAAAAAAAGAAAGCAAAAAAGAAATGACCTACGCAGGATTCGAACCTGCAATCTCTTGATCCGTAGTCAAGCGCCTTACCATTGGGCCAGCAGGCCAGGTTGTTGAAGAATGCGGCAAGCTTTGGCTACATGAGCCTAAAGTTTTATCTTCACGATGATGAATTTATTTCTGGTCGACCCGTCCGTCACTATCCCCGCCGCCCGTCAGTGTTTGAAAAACCACACCCACACCCACGGCACCCAGTAGTGATCTTCCGCCCAAAATGCCATCAAAATCATGAGCTATAAATCAAGTTCGATCATGAAAGTATTCTGCCTCCTAATCGAATATTACTACCATCTCTAGTAGTATCTAATTTCTAACTAAACAAGACACCATGTCATGCTAACAACAAGTATATACCCGCTGATCTCCTACACACTATATACATATCCCTGTCTGTCTGTCTGTCAACCAGCCCGGCACTGGCACCAAGTCCAAACTCATCAACCAACCGCTAATGAATAAAATCTACTAGCCACTCGATAAACATGATTACTAGGCACCAGCCTTCGCCCCAATCTCAACACCATCGCTCATCCAAATAAAGCTAAGTCCCGCTTAAGTACCGCCGCCACCCTCAGATCCACATCCACACCCACATCCACATCCACATCCAGCATATCCATTGCGGGGAACCCGGGGTCTTACATACTTTGTACTCTTATGCGCCCGCGCCCGCGCCCGAGCTCGCGGGTCTGTGACTGGCCAGTAGGAAAGCGGGGTAGACGAGACGAACAGAACCGAACAAAACAGAACAACAAGCTTCCTACAACTGCGACTCCGACTGCGGCCTGGCCAGTGAATCACGAAATCCAATGAGACGGGGGGAGGGGGGAGTCTGGTCCCAAAGAACCGAGGAGGAGGGTTTGCGAGCTACTTACTGACTGGTACTAGTGCCAGTAGTTGTAGTTTCCTATCTGGAGTGGAGGGGCAGGAGTGTGTCACGGACTCGCGGATGTTCACCCGTTGGATCCGATCCGGATGGGTCGGAGTGGCAGTGGGGAAGTTGAAGAGTGCACTACTACTACTACTACTACTACTACTACTACTACTACTACTACTACTACTACTACTACTACTACTTCTACTACTTCTACTACTGGGCTGAGCGATTAAGGAATCTGGGGTATGGCCGGCCCACTTGCTAGTGTATAGTTTATCGGGGTTGGGCGATTTGTTGTCGGGAATTACTGGTTTTTGCTAGTACTGTAGTTTGTGTGGATGTTGGGGATGGGGATGTGGCTGGATTCTGGATGGATATGGATATATGGCTGGGTGGTTTGGATATGGGGGTATATAACTAGGTAAGGTAGGTGTGGGTAGTAAGTTGGATGGATGTTGAGCGGGTGCTATAGTCTGGGCAGACTGAGCTAGTGAGTGAGTGAGTGAGTGAGTGAGTGAGTGAGTGAGTGAGTGAGTGAGTGAGTGAGTGAGTGAGTGAGTGAGTGAGTGAGTGAGTGAGTGAGTGAGTGAGTGAGTGAGTGAGTGAGGGAGTGAGTATAGTGATCAGCCCACGCTGCGTGATACATACCAAATATGCCGAGTAGATCAATTAGCCAATTACTCCTCGATGGCCTGACGTTTGAGATTCGAGGTAAATTGACTACAATCCCTGTCTCGTATCGCTGCATTACCTGTCTGGATCATTACTATGTAGTAATCCGTACTACCGTCTGGACGGGCAGGCAGAAAGAGAAAGGGAGAGAGAAAGACAAAGAAGCGGAGGCGAGCAAGTCAATACCCCTCTCTGTGCAGATATACAATGCATCCAGTCCACAATCCACAGTGAAATATGAATGATCATCTCCATTGTGATAGATGCTACAGATGATGACCGATGATGATAGCAGTAATATAATATGGCTCACCAGTAGTTAAACGCCGTATGTCATCCCGCCAACCCTGCCCACCCGGCCAACCCGGCCAACCCGTCCATCCACCATCCAAAGTACCAGACCCTAGAGGACATCAAAAGAAAGAAAAAATAATAAACTAGGCAAAAAGAAAAAAAAGAAAAAAAAAAAAGAGAATGAAGGGTCGAATGAAACTCGCTGCCTCAGACAGTGCAGTCCCCCTCTATTCCGTGACCGTGGCCTCAAACAGCAGTATAGACGCGTTCGCTCATTTAAGTCGCCGCATATAGTGAAGGGTCAGATACACCGCGCTGGCAGTGGTATAGGCTGCACCTCCCGCGGCGATCCAGACGGGTCTGTGGACGGTAAACGAGGTTCCGATGACCTGGGCCCTGCGCCTGCGTTTTTCTGAGGGGCATTAGATGGATGCTCACTCTTGCCGATGGAAGAAGGGAGGAAGCTAGCTTACCGGTGGTCAGGAAGCGGTTTCGCAGGGTCGCCGCCTGCTGTCGGGAGAAGGCCCCGACGGACGAGCCCAGGGATGAGAGGCCCTGCACCACGGGGGCGGACATTTTGGATACTGATAGTAGTAGTTTGCGAGGAGAGGATGAGTTTGATGAGATTGTGAGCTGTAGTGGTGTGTTCAAGAGCAGTAGATGGTTGACAGACAGAAAGAGAGTCAGAGACAGAGACAGAGACAGACTGGGTCAGCGATGGCTTTTATACGGGTGACACAAGGTTTATATGACCTCTCGTAACCAGGATGCGGGGTAGTCGTCACAGGATAACACACACAGCACACACACAGCAGTACACACCAGAGTAGGTAGTAAAGGAAAGCACAGCTGGCTCGACCTCGTCTCGTCTCGTCTTGATCCCTGTCTTGGGAGGTTGGGGTCTGGAGGGGGCGATTGGGGAGCGTCGCTGGGCCGGATGGAGGATGGCGCAGACTCGCCCCTGGAACGGGCATGAGAGATTCTATCATCGCGAAGCCGGACCAAGCAACCAGCTATACATCCAAGCTACATCCCCCAGACTCATCCTTCTCATAGGATACCCCCGGGATGGATGGGCTGGGGGTGGCGTGGTCGATGACCAGGACACCCGGCCGGCCCAAACAAGAGGGACTGTTCGTGACGCTGGGATGCAATACGGTTTGCTTTGGTCTGGTCTCCCTCCGCGATGAGGAAACCTTGGGGGAGATTGGGTTTGGGGGTTACTCCATTGAGACAGGATGCTCGGTTAGGGTTCAATTGCGGGTTGGAGGTGCTGGGAGAGGATGGCGGCTACGGGGAATACAAGCCGGTCTTGACTTTGCCCATGCCATGGCAGCAGGGCGTGAATGTCTGATGTCTGTCATTGGTGTCACCCTTGGGGGAGAGTGACAAGACCGGACCAGTCCTGTATGATACAGCCAGTATCACGCACAAAGAAGTGATGAGGGTTCGCTCTCCCCAGCACTCCCCAGCGATCAACCTGGAGGTGTCATTCGATGAATCAAATGGAGAATCGGATAGATTACCAGTGCAGGGGAGAGAATATTAAACCAATCTACTGGCCAAACTCCTAGCAGAAAGAAAGACAATTTGAGGGAAGAAACAACAGCCTCATCCTGCCCTGCTCGCCTCGCTCGCCGCCAAAGCCATCCTGCGCTCCAGATACGACCAGATCAACGACCTCCTGCGTCTGTTCAATATGCTTATCCGCTCTCGTTCCATCCAACGGCCATGATACTTCACCGCAAAACCCATTATGCTGTCGGCATCCATCTCCAGGCCCTCCGTTTCGAAAATGAGATGAAACGGAACATACTTCTCCCAGTACGTGACCGGGAGCCGTTCCTCAAAAGCGAGAAGCAGGTGGTGTATATCAGCTAACTCGAGGAAGTCGCAGATCTCGTATATAATCTCGATCGGAACGCCGAACCGCTCCCTGAAGATGTGCCGCAGCGGGAAACGTCTTCTGCAAACAGTAGAGAACCGGATACTGGCCAGGAGCGCACAACGCACGTTGTCGTTGTATACGGGGTCTGCTTCGAGAATACCGCGGAGGTTGCCTTTCTCATCAGGGCGGTGGTCCGGGAACATCTTCGGGTCTGCTGGCTTTGGCTTTGCCGAAGAATTCCACTGTGGCCGCAGGACCATGAGGCCCTTGACGAGAAGCTCCAGATCCAGTCCCCCGGCGGGGCCCGTCTGACGCTGCACGAAGTCCCAACATCGCGAATGGACCAGAACGCACTGCAACCTGCAGGACTCCGACGCTCCGAACTCGGTGATCGGATCGGGCGTCATGGCGGCGACGGTGGCTTTATCGTGCCACAACGCGCCCAGCAACGTTGCCTCTGGATCTCTCGGGACGTACATCATGCGGTCGTTCACAGCGCCGGGGTAATATCCCACGCCCGAGAGATGGTAGCCGCGCTTGTACAGCTGGTTGTCGTCTCGGCTGTATATAACTGGGGAAATTCATGTCAACCGAATGCTGATCGTCGGATCACCACCAAATGCGACAGACATACTTGCCCGAAACAAATGCAACCATGTGAGGGGGTATCGGTGCGTCGACGGCCGCGTACCAGCAACGAATGCTCTCGCATGCGATGTCCACTGTTCATGGAACGAACGGAAGAACATCTTTCTCGTCCTGAAGGGGTTCCAGCTCCATCCTCTTGACTTTCCCTTCTCCAGGGCTTCCGGAAACGCGGATCCGTCCAGGTACCAGCCGCAGATCCAACAGATGTGATGCATCGTGTGTGCTGATGGATTGTCTTGCGCGATGCCGGCGTGTGGGAGTGAAATGAGGGGGTATCCGTGGCTGACATCACAGTTACAACAGACTCTGGAATCTGGCAGAAGTGCCGGTGAGGTCGGAATTATACTCCTGGCAGTTCCATCATGTCGTCCGGATGACGAGGGGAGATATCATCGAAGTTAGGGCAGACGGTGTCTATTGTGGGTCCTATACTATGGCCCGTCGAATCAGAAGAACGGCCCGTGTGCCGATAGCGATGACACTGTGTCGACTGTCGAGAATAATGGAAGTTGAAGATCGCGATGCTCTTCAAAGCGACCGAGAGATGATCTAAAAACAATATCTGTATACCGTAGTTATATACCATAGGTCATCCTCCTCAGAACTAGTGGTGATCCAGAGACGCTTGTTTCTTCAACACTCGTCACACCCACCATGTCAATACGGTCGGCATCAGCAATCCCCTCCCCCTCGTCAACCTATGCACACCACAAATAATGCCACACAGTAACTATGCTGCGCATGACCCAGTCGTGGCAGTGGCACCGAGAGAGCGTGATGCCATACCGGCAGCACGACCCAACCACGTGACCTCCCTCTCTCCGTCCCGACCGCCGATCGATGATCGATCGCGAATCTTTCTTCTCCCCAAACCATGGCCGCCCCGCCAACGAGGAGAACCCACACCAGAATCGCCGGCACGCCTGACTATGACGATCCCAGCTTCTGGGATACGAAGTTTGCCACCGGTCGGGACGTCGGCGAATGGCTGAATTCCGGCGAGACGCTGCTCGACGCGGTGCTGTCGTACCTGGAGAGAAGTCGCCCCGCGGCCCCGCGCGTGCTGCACTTGGGGCCTGGCATCTCGAAGCTGGGGACGAAACTCTGCGATGAATTTCTCAAGCGCGATTGGGCCGGTGATGGGATTGTGGTATGTCTGTCTGCGACTGCGTCTGCGTCTACATCTAAGGTGGAGACTGGGGCATCCTACTAACCACCTATTCTCCAGAACGTCGACTTCTCCGCCGAAGCCGTGCGCATCGGGCGCGAAACCGAGAGCAACAAAGCACCCTCCCACGCCATGCACTGGCTACAGACCGACCTGCGATCCTGGACCGACGTCTCTAGACTCGACACCTTCGCGCCCTTTGACGTGATCCTGGACAAGAGCACGAGCGACGCGATCGCGACCTCCACGCCGCTGGCATTCCATCCCTCCTCCTCCGACGCATCATCACCCGTATGCCCGACGGTGCAGGACATCGCAGACAAAAGCGGGGAGATCACACTATCGCCGGTGGAGTTACTGGCGTTGCACCTGGCTCCTTTGACACGAGAAGGAGCTCTCTGGGCGACGCTTTCGTACTCGACTATGCGGTTTGATAATTTGGCCTATCTGGCGCAATACTGGACCGTGGTTTCGCGTACGCCGCTGAAGGCGCCGCAGGGGGAGACCTCGTCGTTTGCGTACGCGCCGGAGGTCTTCCATTGGATTTATATACTGCGGCGGAAGTGATCCTGGATGGGAGATCGACTCCGACGCAAGTGACGTCAATACCTACGATTAGGATAGTTCGAATGATAGACGCGACTGCAGCTTTACAATATTCCGCGGGCGGGAAAGTGTCCGTGATGCGACGGCTGAGATGTCACCACCCTATCTGTGACACGGTTTGGTTGGTTTGATTGATTGGTTTTCTCACGCGATGCCAGGTGTGGGTCGAGTGGAGGGTAATCAGTTCGACTGTCGTACCTGGCTGAGGGAATTCGATGGTGAGAGAGCCTTGAGTTTCTAAAGACAGAACTCCTACAGACACATGTCCTGTCCTGGCCCAACTGTCGTCACTGGCCATACAGCTGGCACCGCGTGAGGAAACCAATCAAGCAATCGAACCAGTCGATGATTGTCAGTGTGGTGTGGTGGCATACTTGGTAAGTCAGCATTCTCAACATCTCATGTCTAATAGTAGGAGATGACAGCCCCTTGCGTTTCCGTGCTGGCCTTCGGGATCCTTTTCCGAAACACCGCCTCTTTTTTTTTTTTTTTTTTTGCAAATCTCCAGCGATAGGACGATCCCGATAGAACCAGCCCGGGGGCAAACATCCCCCCTTACACGCACCAGGTACCACACACAGCCCGAAAAATTCCGACATAAACATCATATCATATCTACCCCTCGCCTGCGCACTGATCCTCGACAGAAGCCTAGTTCTTCGCATGCACTTCCGCCAGCTCCTCCTTCTCCGCAGCATACAACAAGCCCAATGATTTCCTCTTTGTCGGGACAGCAGCATCAAAGAACGGCTTCTCGGCCAGCGAAGTAACCCTCGTGCCATGCTGAGCTCACTCCCCTCATAATTCCAACTGACATTATGGATTGTAATCCTGCCTAAATGCACTAATTTTGATGATGTATTTATAGTAGGTAGTTGGTTAGTTAGATAGTTGGTTAGTTAGGGTTTGAGGGCTTAAGGGTGGTGGGATGTGATGGTGGTGGTGGTGGTGGTGGGCTGAGTGGATTTGTAGGGTTGAGGGTTTGAGGTGGTGGGTTTATGGATTTGGGGGGGTAATGTAATTGTAGTTTGGATCGGGGACTGGGGAGGGGGCAGGTGATGTTGATGTTATTGTTAAAGGGAATGTCAATGTCAATGTCAATGTCAATGCCAACAGACTTGATGTTTCTAGATAGACATGTACGCCATGGTGGATCACCTCTTCTATAGATATGAGTTCATGTACTGCCGAGTCATGTACTTACTGGGTTATATACTGGAGCTGACATACTCAATGCTGAATGCAGGATTCAGATGAAATGAGCCGACAATGCTCTACTCGCTATACTATAGGTATCCGAAGTTGTCAATGATGTTGCCAAGTTGCAACGGAGCGACCACGATCACATCATCACCAGCCCTCATGGCGCCTTCTTCGCCCACCCACCCACTCACCCAGGCCCAAAGTTCAACGGATGTCGCGGCACTCTCGAGTCGACCCCTCACTAGAGACTAACTAGTATTCTAGTATTCCCCTCTTTTCAGCCCTTCTTATCTGCATCGACATGATCCTACCGATCGGATACCTCCTCCACTGACGCTCCAGGGTGAGGACATCATCCCGGGATGCGATGGCCTCATCGCATCACTCTACACCCGACACCCGCGGGCGATTTCTAACACACCAACCAACCAGCATACCATTATTAACCTCTCCGACCTAGGACGGTCTTATCTGGATTTGGAGTGCTCGTCGCGGCAGATACGGAGGAGACAGTAGCAGGTCGATGGAGCATCCGTCAAGATGACAGGCTGGGAGACGTCCCTCGCTAGATAGCGGCTATTACACCACCTTGCTCGAACATAACGTTACTCCGTGGACCCATATCTGGCTCCATTCTCAGGTGCATATCAGACGACCGGTCCGGCCTCACTCATTCACTCACTCACTCATAATGCCTTGTCTCACTTGATGTCGTTTTATCTGGTACTGACGACGTGAGAAGTATCATTATCATCGCCATCACCATCACCATTACTATCACCATACCATGACTGGTCAGATCCATCGCGTGGCCGTGATCGGGGCCGGAGTGAGCGGTGTCGTGTCCGCAGCACATCTTCTCGCGCACGGCATTGACGTGACGGTCTTCGAGCGGAATCATGCCGCGGGCGGTGTTTGGTACTTTGTCCCCCGACTGCTGTTGCAGGGTGAGCTGGATGCTAACGATGACGTAGGCTGCATGATGCCCGACGGCCCCTGGAACCACACTATCCCTCTATGAAGCCTTCGATATCGGAGAGGCATCGAGATGAGGTTGATGGGAAGGAAGGGCTGGAGCTTGAGCATGCTCCGCCGGGGTGTGTTTCATCCTTTCCATTCAATTGAGCACTGAAAGCTGACAATGGTAGTCCGTGCTACGACGGACTGCGGAACAACGTCCCCACGTCGTTGATGCGCGTCAAGCTCAATGCCTGGCCCGAGGGAACCCCGGAGTTTGTCAGCCATCGTGTGATGAAGGAGTACATCCAGGACACGTCCGCGAAGGCAGGCTCGGACGCGGTCACGATATACGGGGCTCGAGTCACGAAACTGCACAAGGACGAGGGGAATTGGCGGTTGACGTGGTCGACGCTCGAGAAGAGTGAAGAGTCAGGGGCTCTTGAGGAACAGGAGCAGACTGCCGTAAGATGATGCTCCACGGGGCCAACAACTTACTAACTCGCGACTCAGAGCTTCGATGCGGTAGTGGTTGCTTCCGGGCACTATCATGCGCCTCGCGTGCCGAATATCGCTGGATTGACGGAGGCGAAAGCGCAGTGGCCGTCGCGGGTGACCCACTCGAAGGGATACAGGAAGCCAGATGGCTTTAAAGACAAGGTAAGCAAAGCATATTTTAAGCACCGGTCGGAAACCCGCTCACACTCCCAGACCGTCCTGCTCATCGGGGGCGGCGTCTCATCAACAGACATCGCGCGCGAGATCGGTCCCCTAGCCAAGACAGTGTACCAAAGCACACGGAACGGCGAGTTTGATATCTCCGCCGACGTGCTTCCAGAAAACGGGGTCAGAGTCGGCGAAATAGAACGCTTCGAGATCAAAGGGCAAGCTACCCCAGATGAGGCTTTACCTATCACCGCGCATCTGAAATCGGGGCAGAAGCTGTGCGAAATCGACGCGATCATCATCTGCACCGGATATCACATCTCCCTACCCTTCCTACCAGAATACCACGACGACGCGACACCAGCGGACAAAGCGAGCGAAACGATCCTAGTAACAGACGGGACGCAGGTGCACAATCTTCACAAAGACATCTTCTACATCCCCGACCCAACCCTCGCATTCGTAGGGGTGCCCTACTACACAGCCACCTTCACGCTGTTCGAATTTCAAGCCATTGCTGTCGCGAACGCTTTCGCCGGGATCGCGGCGCTCCCTCCCACGTCCGAAATGAAGAGCGAATACGCCCGCCGAATCGCGGAAAAGGGCAGCGGGAAACGATTCCACTCGCTGAAGGACATCGAGGAATTCTATGTCATTGATCTGCTCGCCTGGGTCAATGCGTTCCGGGTCCAGCACGGACTCCCACCGATCGAGGGCCACTCTGACAGCTGGCACCAGGGTAAGGCGGCGCACCGGGAGCGGATCAAGACGGTTCTCACTGGGGCGGCAGAGGCGAGCTCGCGACGAGATAGTGGCGTCGGAGGACTTCCGGTGCTGGCTGTTTGCAGCTAGCTGGATAGTTGGAGCGATATAGATCTGTCTGGATTTTAGTGTGGATGGCACAATCGAAGACCATAGACGTTGCATGCATATGCCTTTTGGCCGGCCCCAAGGACCCAATAATAGGAATAATGGCCCGGGGGTACTGCGCAAGCAGGGTCCGGGAACTCAAATCCGCAGGGCGTAGGGCACATCATCCGCGATGGGGATGACGAGCTTCGGGAGGAATGAGCAACACCTAAGCACCCACCCACTCTCCATCCTGACCGTCGAGTGTCTCACCCCGGCCTCCGCACCCCGAGAAGAAAAATCCTTTTCTCTCATCATGCAACCCGATAGGACTCTGCCTGCAGCGTGCAGATGTCGCAAATGCGGCTGCCGATGATGCGTGCGGTGCATCTGCCACCTCACCCGTAGCCAACTAATACACCCTGATCTTCATTCAGCGTTCCAGTCGATAAGAATTAATCATGTGGGCATCACAGTGGACCGTGAAGCGTAAAGTAAAGTACCCCTGCCATCCGCACACTGTACCACCTCTTTCCCCTCTATCGGGGACTTCACGATCTCCGTCTAACAGATGCCATGGCCCCCTCACCAGCTGTAACCGATGAACGAGATGGGATTATCCAGAAAGCTCCTAAACAGAGATGGGTCAGCTATCTCTGGGATACATTTGATAAGCCGCCCGAGGAGCGCAGGTTGTTGTTCAAGTTGGATTCGGCAATTTTGACATTTGCGTCTTTGGGTGTGTATCACTGTCCTATCGCTGCCCACTGCCCATTGTCCTGTTCCAAATTTATCATGTGCGTGTGAAATGCAAAGACGGTGCTGATGCCGGTGTGTATGAAGGGTATTTTATCAAATACCTAGACCAGATTAACGTCAACAATGCGTTTGTTTCGGGGATGTGCGTATCCTACGTTTTCTACCACAATAATCAACATCAAACCGCGTTAACAGAATGTAACAGGAAAGAAGACCTCGGCCTATACGGCAACCAGCTGAACTACATGCAAGCATGCTGGACAGTCGGGTACGTGATCGGGGAGATACCCAGTAACATTCTCTTGACGCGAGTGAGACCGAGGTATTGGATTCCGGCGATGGAGGTATGCCCCATTCCCCTTCTTTCCCCCCTTCGTCTTTTTGAAATGTGCTGTTAATGTAGAATGGCGGGATCAGTTACTCTGGACAGTCCTCACATTTATCCTCTCACAAGCGACCAGCGCGAAACACTTTTATGTGTTGCGGTTTTTTATCGGTACCCTTCCCTCCCCCTAGTTATCCCTTCGATAGTCCAAGGTTGTATGGATATGAAATTTCATCGAAGCTGGGGCTGAAGCTGATATTGATATTGTTCACAGGCCTAGCCGAAAGCACCTTCTACCCGGGAATGCAATATATCATCGGATCATGGTACCGACGCGACGAGCTCGCCAAACGGTCCTGTCTCTTCCACACAAGCAGCGGGGTGGCGAGTATGTTCTCGGGGTATCTGATGGCGGGGGTTTTCACGCTGGGCGGAGTGGGGGGGTTGAAGGGGTGGCAGTGGTATGTTTTACCCCGGGCAGTGTCCAGTGTCTCTATCTCTGCAGAATCTGACAGTAGGATCAGGCTCTTCCTCATCGACGGCATCATTTCCGTCCCGGTCGCAATAGCAGGATTCTTCGTTCTGCCGGACGTGCCTGAGATTTCCGATCCGTGGTATTTGAGTAAGGAGGTAGGTGAACGAAGGGTGTGAGAGGGATGTTTTTTTTTTTTTTTTTTTTTTTCTGGCTGGTTCTGATCAGCACAGGAAATCAAACTCGCGCAGAAGCGGATGGAGCTCGAAGGCCGCAAGAATAGAGAGCCGTATACGAAGGCGAAGCTGAAGAAGATCTTCTCGTCGTGGCGGATTTATCTGTTGACGATTGTGTATATGTATGTGAGTTCAATTGTGGGGAAGTTGTCGGAAGGAGAGAGGAAGGAAGGAAACTGACGGGAGATGGGACTGGCAGAGCGTTCAACAACGGCGCGGCGGGGAGTCAGCCGGTTTTTCAGCAGTATGTTCCACACCTGACCCCTTTCTACTAAGTATGGATGAAGTTAACAAAGACCAGGTATCTGAAAGACTCCACACACCCGACATACACCATCGACCAGATCAACGCGTATCCCACCACCACGAATGCGGTTCAGGTTGTTACGACGCTGATATACGCTTGTATGTATATATATACCCCCTCTTCCCACATGTTCCACTCCCAACCCAGCCCGGCAAATCACTCACAAAGTGAAATAAACAGGGACATCCGATACCATCCTCGGCGGAAGACGCTGGCCATGCATCATCTTCGGCGCTGTGAGAGCCCCCCCCCCCCCCCCCCCCCCTTCTTCTTGCCCAAAAAACCACACAACACAAGCCACTAACAGTCTGCTCTACCAAGTGCATAAACATCATCTGCTACGTCTCCCTCGCGATCTGGAACATCCCCGTAGGATGGAAATGGACCTGCTATATCCTCAGCGGGGCAGGATATGGTCTTAGTGGGTTGTGTATGGCGTATGTCCCTCCCCACCCCTTCCCACGGCACAAACTGCCAAAAATGCAAACAATAATATGAGCAATACTAATAATGATGACAGATGGGCCCACGAAATCTGCGCCTCCGACAACGAAGAACGCGCGCTAGTGATCGGCAGCATGAACGAAATGGCGTACGTCTTCCAGGCGTGGTTGCCGCTGATCGTGTGGCAGCAGGTCGACGGGCCGCAGTACCGGAAGGGGTTCATTACGGTGACGATTATGTCGGTGATACTGATTGTATCGACGGAGGTGACGAGGCGGTTTCAGGCGTGGGAGGAGGGGAGGTTTGTCTCTCTTTATTTCTTTTTGGTCGTTTTGGGGGGGGGGGAGGGGGTGGATTATGGGTGTTGAGCGGTTGGCTAACTGGGCTTTTGGTATAGGACGAACCTAATTCATGGGCAGAGAAATGGGCAGAGGAGAAGTGTGCACGGGAGTGAAACTGGGAGTCAGAGTGATTTGGTACCTGAGAGGGATGAAATCTTTGATGGGGAGGGGAGGGATGAGGTGCATGTTCAGGTGCAGGTGCAGGGGGCGAAGGTTTAAGGTGTCGATACTGGAGGGGGGTTAAGGATGGGGTAGATTGACTGGTATGTTTATGGCTAAGGTTATGAAGGAATGAGTGATGAATAGATGAGACATACGGATGATGGATTATTCTATGATAGCTATAAAAATGTGGAGGGCTTTCAAACCTAGTGATACCTACCTATGTCCATGGCAATGGAAGAAGTCTAAAGCTGTACGGAGGAGAACTGCATCTGGGAGCATAATTACGAACTGGACACTCTATCTTGAACCGATCCCTGTATCCTCTTAGGCATCCCAATAAAAAGGGTCATCTTCCGAGTTGCCCTCAAAGCCATATTTTGGCTTCTTGCTCAGTCGCCTTAGCTTTCTCTTTCTCTTCTTCTGGGCCGGTAGGGATGGGAATTCGAGGGAATGTTCATGGCCCTGAGCGGTAGACTCGGATTTGTCAGAATGGCAGTCAGAATGACTTGACGTCTCGGATCGACCGTGAATGGGCAATTTGTTTCCCATACGCTGTATGTCTAGGCGGAAGGAGGGCTAGAAGCTTTTAAAATGACCGTTCGGTCTGAGTGTGAGTGCGTGGGTGAGTTGGGCTTGACGGTAGCTGAATGGCCATCAGAAAGACCCATCGTTCTCGATTCGTTGGAGAGTGGGCGAGTTGCTAACTCGACCTCGACGTCGCTGGGGTCCTCGGGGGCTAAGGTCGGTGATTGTGATTCGCTCGTTCCATGAAGGTTTTGGGCGACTGGCTCAGCTAGAGCGTTGATGGACTCGGCAATCTCCAGCTTTGCAATTGTCTGGTCAATCTCCTTCAAGGCCACCTGTGCCTTTTGGATCCGAGCAGGGAACTCTGAAAACGAAGAAGCCATTTAGGGAATGAAGTCAATAAGTGGCTAGGCTCATCCAGGATTGTGAATGAGGTGAGCAAATGATGTTGCAGTCGAGTACACGAGCTCCTCTTCCCTGCTTAAGGATGCTGGTAATGAACAGGAAGACATGCCAAGTTTCCAAACAACTGATTCTAGGAAACGTTAGCTCAGAGATTTATTGGACGAGGGAGTTGAGGGAAGTGGGAATCAGAAATCAGGTACGTGTAGGTGTAGCAGAGAAAAGAGGTGGAGAGCGCGGGATTTTTTTAAAAAGAGAACACGCACGGCTGAGTTATCAGGCCATGCACTACAAAGGAAGCGCAGTAACCTGAAACCTACATCACCGCATAACACAAGCTTGATGGGTGTATATGACCATGACAAGACTTGAAATTTGTCTACCGTCGATACAAGTTGTGGGATAAATCGGCGCCCCTCTAACCTGGGCGGGTTGGGGCCTGAGGCAACAAGTAGTAACTAGTAGTAGTAGTAGTAGTACTAGTAGTCTTGCGCCTCAGGCAGCCTTGATATCTATAATTTGCCTCAGGCCTTATATGCAAAAGCATTGCTTCAGGCAGCGTTGATACATCACCCCGCCTAAAGGCCTGAGGTTACACAAGCAGTCTCTCTCCTCTTCACTTCTACAAACAAACCAGTTCAGCTCTCGACAGACCACATCCTTCATCCTTCCCACCCTCAGATCCTAAGATTACCCAAGACTGAGTGTGCCATGTTCCTCCAATCGATCCCTCTCAATAACCGGAATCCTTCTCCAGGTCATCGACATCGCAAGTGAAGTCAACCAATAAGATCAGGATGTGAAAGATACCCACAGCAAAATCGAAAACCTTTCAGAGAGGCGATCCCTCCGAGAAACTTATCCAGCAAGTTGTGAAATAACAGGAAGAGTGGGAAGAATGAAAAGAAGCGTCAGTCTGGAACGCAGTCGCTTCAAAGTCCTTCGAAAATGGCCTGAGCGAGGCAGGCCACTATCATTCTCAAAGACACTCTTCACGGTAAGGAGGATAGATGCGCTCGGTCCATTGGTATGACGACAACTCTGGTGGCATGCGAGGGAGGTGAAGCTGAAAGATATATATCCCGGTTGGAAGAGCGAAGATATGATTTTTTCTGGTCATGACGAGTGATGGATCGTGACTGGTTGGTGAGAAGAGGCGCACTTTGGAGCTCCATGATGACGGACGATGAGAGATAGCAGAGAGCCAAAGGCTAGAGTCCATTGGGGCTCAGGGTAATATGAGTTAGGAGACAATACTAAACAGTCGAAGCATCTGAGGTCTCTATGGCATAGACTTTGGCCTCTCATCCACACATGAAGGATGCAGAGAATGGCTTTGCCGCGTTGATGTAGAGTCGGCCCACTATAGAGGATTTCGAAGGGCAATTATACCCACACAGTATAAGCTACACCCAAATCTACAGAAAGTTTGTTCATACAACCAACTCTATTGTCTACAGTTCAAGATTGACGAGATGATATAATGAAATTATGGTATACATAGTGTGATCCGAGCAGGACATCAATCCCCAACACAGCCGCACCGGAACCCAACAGCATCTGCACAACCGGATTCAACGCCATCGTATCATATTAAGGGTCGAATTGGCGAATATCCGTTCGGAGCTCGAGTTGGGAGGAGCTTAGAAAGAGGCGCCCGAGGGAGCGGCACCAGCGGGAGCACCCGAGGCACCAGCGGGGGCGCCACCAGAGGGAGTACCGGAAGGAGCAGCACCGCCAGCACCGCCAGCAACGCCGGAGGGAGAAGCACCCTCAGCGCCGGCAGCGCCGGAAGGAGAGGGACCGTTGCCAGAGCTGGAAGAGCCACCCTGGCTACCACCGAAGCCGGAAGAGCCACCCTGCTGTCCGGAAAAGCCAGAGGGGGACGCACCCTCAGCGCCGGCAGCACCAGAAGGAGAAGGGCCGTTGCCAGAGCTAGAAGAACCACCCTGACTACCACCGAAGCCGGAAGAGCCACCCTCCTGTCCAGCAAAGCCGGAGGGAGAAGCACCCTCAGCACCGGCAGCACCGGAAGGAGAGGGGCCGTTGCCAGAACTGGGAGAGCCACCCTGCTGTCCAGCAAAGCCGGAGGGAGAAGCACCCTCAGCACCGGCAGCACCGGAAGGAGAGGGGCCGTTGCCAGAGCTGGGAGAGCCACCCTGGCTACCACCGAAGCCGGAAGAGCCACCCTGCTGTCCAGCAAAGCCGGAGGGAGAAGCACCCTCAGTACCGGCAGCACCGGAAGGAGAGGGACCGTTGCCAGAGCTGGGAGAGCCACCCTGGCTACCACCGAAGCCGGAAGAGCCGCTCTGGCTGCCACCCTGGCTGCCACCGAAGCCGGAAGAGCCACCCTGCTGTCCAGCAAAGCCGGAGGGGGAGGCACCAGCAGCACCGGAGGGAGAAGGTCCGTTGCCGAAGCTGGAGGAACCACCCTGGCTGCCACCGAAGCCGGAAGAGCCGCCCTGCTGTCCGGAAAGGCCGGAAGGAGAGGGGCCGTTGCCAGAGGCAGCACCAGAGGGAGCAGCACCGGAGCCCTGGGAGTGGCGGTGGCCCTGGCGGGAAGACTGGTGGCTGGGGGAGCCCTTGCCCTTGGGGGAGCCGGACTGGGCAGGGGCAGCGCCAGAGGGAGCGCCTCCGAAGAAACCGGTGGGAGTAGGGCCCGAGGGAGCGCCACCGGAGGGGGTAGGGGCGGCGCCCCAAGCGGCGGAGGCCGGGATTTCGAACTGGCGCTTCTGCTGCTGCTGCTGCTGCTGCTCAAAGCCACCGGAAGGAGCGGGGGAACCGCCGAAGGTCACACTCTGGCCGGAGCTTCCGCCGACGCCCTGTCCGCCCTGTTCACCCTGTCCCTGTCCGCCAAAGCCCTGGGCACCGCCGGAAGGAGCGGGGAGGGGAGAGCCAGAAGGAGGAGGGCCCTGGAAGGAAATGCCGCTGGGACGAGGAGCAGAGTTCTGCTGGCCAGAGAAGCCGCCCATGGCCGGCAGGGCGGCGGAGTAACCGATGAGACCGGCGAAAACGATAGAGAATCTCATTTTGAATAGATAGGGAGTGTTGGTACTTTAAAAGTCGAGTAGTAAGAGAAGGTCTGAAGCACAGCTTCGTAAGGAATGGTATGCGAGATCAAAAACGGGATGAGTCTGAGCTGGAAAACGGATGGTCTGGCTGGGACATGACTGCTTATATAGGGCGTTCTCGAGAGCTAAGCCTTCTGCGATGCAGCAATGCAGGGTTGGCGAGAGCACGAGCCACTGGGAAGCATTCGTCATGTCCCTGAGTTGCAGACGTGGGATCGGCCGGGTCTGAGACGTCGACTGTCAGCGATAGATCAGCTTCTGTTGAGATGCAGCCACCGAGTGGACCGAGAGAGGCCGGCGCGTGTGGGGGTTGAGGGATGGAGGGTAGAGGGTAGATAGAGGGGTGGGAGTGGGACGGGGTACCGAATCAGGGCGGCTCAGGGGCAGGGCTGATGTAGATAGAGTTGGTGGACATTGGACACACCCTGTCTGTTGCCGTGGTGGGCCCGCGTCAAGTTGTCAACCCGTCAGGGAGGGAGGGAGAGGTTGGATGACGGGATGGAGGGGAGCAGAAGAGAAGGAGGAGGAGGAGACGGCGCTTGGGCGAGAGTGGCGGTGGCCCCACGTGTGCGCCTCGTTGCCGACCTCTCGTGTTTCACTTGCCCTTCTGTCTCCCCCTCCCTCCTCCCTCCTCCCCATCCATCACCTCTATTCTTTTCAGACGGTCTTCCTCATCCAACACCTCCTACTTAACCCAGTCTCGACTCTCGCCCATGTTGATCCCTCCCGTACAGAGAGCCAATCTACAGCAGATCGTCGGTGGATGCTTCCTCGACTCGACGGCAAAGTAGATACGGGATAGCCTCATCGGAGCTCGCCATAAGCTGCCCACGACGGATGTGGCGGTTCCAAGTCGGTGGGTCAGCATCCTGGCGTTCTCGACACTTCGACACTCGACAACTGACGGGTCCATCCATTGAGTAAGCAGAAGTCCCACTGGTGATGTCGGCTCTAAGCTCGAAGGGACCGGAGGACTGGAGGACCCAAGCATGGCGGTCCCTGACCCCTGCAGTCTATTTTCAGTGGGCCCATCTTTAGTTGACTTGCCGTGGAATCTTGATGACACTATTCCGTGCTTACTGCTAGAACCGCCGCAAAGCTACACATGTCCAGCAGATTGCAAAGCGCAACCGACCCCAAAACGGCAGGAATTGTGAACGCCTCACAATAACACAAATTTGAATAACCAGTTGCAGACGACAGACATCGTGAAAACCAGTGCTGACAGAGGATGGGGTGGCCGTGGGACTGGTTGCAACACAGTTTACCCGGCCAGGAATAGCATACTGGTAAAGTGGACCGAGGGGCTAGAAATAATGGAACCCTGAGAATACCCTGTTGTCCCTGTGGAAGCTCGAAGCTTTCATCGGCCCATAGCTAGGGCCGCCAAGCTTTTCCCCTATCGCAGCATCGCAGGCTTCACAGCTCGACTGACGGTCCACCGTCCAACGGAGCGCTCCAGCTCCGATGGATGGGTCTTGACCCGCGCCTTGTTAGCGAACTCTGAATGAAACGGACGGCTGTCTGGCGGCGGCATCTGTCGGTTTCATCCAGCTGATTCGACGAAGTGCTGGGGCAGCTGGCGCGGCCTCCTGCCGATCCCGTTGCTGCGTCAGCTCATTGGCCCTCGTCTGCACGGTCCATCATTCCGATCGGGATGTTTCACTTTATTTTCGCTCCCACTTGACCTTCTTGGCTCTGCGCTGCTTGCGCCGGCTTCATGATCGGCAGGAATAACAGGATCTGATAACCTCCTCTCCGCCGCGGGATTTGGAACCCTCATCGCTCCATTATTCACGCACGGCAAGCAACCGAGATGCGGTCAAAATGATGCGATCAGTCCAACCCGCGCTGCGCTCAGGATCTCAGGATGCGCAGGAAGACATGATTGCGCATACAAAGGGGCCAAAAACGACAGAACGCGGTGCGATTAACCGAGCATAGATCATGGGTTCGACCGTTGAGACGGTCTCACTTAGATTGGAGTTTCCGACCCAGCGTCGTCGAGGTCTTTCTATTTCTGTCTGTGAGTCTGTCTAGGCCCCCCGGAGATTTTTCCCGCCCCTTCTTTTTGACTTCCTCGGGCTTTTTGTGCTCCCCCTTTTCAAAAGTCGTTTGCCGTGACCTGTCAACAGCAAGAGTTGTCACGGAACAAAAGCGGGAAACTCACGTCCATTCTTGAAAGGTCTTCTTTCCCCGTCCCGCGCCAGTGCAAACAGTAGCGGGATTAATTCCGAGTTGATACCGTGTCTAAAGCTTCTTCCGCTATGCCGCCAAATACCCCCGTGAGAGCTACTGTTGCCCAACCCATAACCAATTGCGCCCAGTCGAAGCTCAATGTCATCAGGTCTGATATGCCACCGTATTACGAAGGAGAGAGTTGACCAATCAATGGACTTTGGTACATACTACAACCGCCCATATCTGCCCCCAATCCGCATCGGTGTGTAGAATATATTGGTCGGATAATTCATGGTCCAAGGCTCGCCATGCGTCCACTAGCAACCAACAGGATGTCGCCCCCATGCATATCACAATGTCTAAAGTGACGACACCTACCCAGGTCATTGCAAATGCGTTAGTCTAGCCGACTATGTAATCCCTCATGTGATGTTGTCATCAAACTCCACTCCTCGTCACTGGCGGTCCATACCTTTTCCCTCAGGGGCTGGATTTGACAGATGCTACCCTCAGATGGTCAAACCTCTCCGGTTGGGGGTACCGACAAGTCCATGGTTTCATTCTCCATCGCGTCAACCCCTGAGCAGACCATCTGACACCCACCGAACCTTATTAGCCGCCAGGGTCCGATCAAGCCAGCCTGACGTGCCATAGGGCGGGATGCTCGCCATCCTATCACGCAATGGAAGGAATCAAAGCTCGAGGAGCCCATTTTGCCTCAGAGAGAGGCAATTCAGGAAAGTATGCACCGAGCAGCTAGTATTTGATCTACAAGTCTGGCCAGCTAACGCGCATAGTATTTGTCTCAGGGAGAGCCAGATATAGCGAGCATCCGCCCTGCAACCAATTGACGGAGAAGGTCATCAATCACCACATTATGCCGCTGCATGTCGAGTCAATGCAATTTTAACGGAGGGTGCTCCATGTAGCCACCATTACATGCTCTCCGTTGTGATTGTCCCTCGCCGTTCAATGATAGCCTCTCTCATGAAAGGGCTACGGGATCTGACCGCTGCACCCCATCGGAGAACCACCAAGGGAGCGGCAACCAACGCCAACGATACAAATGCGAGACAAGAGCTAGCCCAGTGGAATCCGAGTTCGGTGTACATTGCTGTCGTGGCCAGCGGAAGAAACGCAATTGATATGTTCTCGACGAGTCCGACTGCCCCAAGCGCGCTCGCCGCGTACTTGCTGTAAGCATCAATCAGGTAATTTGCATTTCCGATGATGACAGCGGTGGTCCCAAACCCCACCATTGCCAGCCCCACGGTCGGTGCCATCCAATGTACGGAGGAATATGACGTCCATCCATACACAAACATCCCGCCCGTCACTCCGAAGAAGCCTCCGATGATTGAGACATACAGCCTCGCTTCCGAGATAGGCATGCCCGGCACTTCAGTATTCCGGCGCGCAGAGTCGTAGTACCAGTTATTCGTGGACATGCAGAATCCACAGCCCAGAATTTCGCCAAGAACAATCGCAACCTGGACGTATCCTGCCTCGACAGCATCCCAGCCATAGAGAGCCGTATACACTTGCTCCACTGACTGGGTGAACAAATATATTGTTCCGAGACTGAAGGCCGCCCACAGAGCAGCAACAAAAACCACCAATTCGTGGCCAAGCATGAACAGCGGCCGCGTCACATTCTTGAAGACACCCTGAGGCAATAGTGTGCGTATGCGACCGAGCCTTGCTGCTGAACATGCCTTCATGTCTCCGTCCGACCGCAGACGTTTCACACTGGATAATCCGCGAGTCTCGGGAAGACCAACAGCAAGAATTGGAAAGAGTACAGCAGTCCATATTACCTCCATATGCCCAATCCAGCGCCACGAAAGAAACCGTAGTATCGAAGCACCGGCAACGGGACCTATACTAGTGGAAGCAAGATATATGGTGACATACAGACTGACTGGTATACACCTGGCCCGATCTTCATGAAAGACGTTCGACACGATACCAGCCACGGCATCGCTGATCAGCGGAACACACCCGCCGCTGAAGAAACGAACAATCACCAGCGTGCCATAATTCTGCGCAAAGCCGACCGGAATCAAGAAACAGACGAAAACGAAGTAGGTGCTCAGAAGCACGGGTCGAACTCCAAAGTCCTCCATGATGGGAAATAAAAACAGCGGGCACAGCGCTGCGCCTAAGCCCCAGGAGGTCGTGAGCCAGTAGGAGTTCGGAAATGTCGCATCGGAAATGTGGAATTCTTCGCCGATGGGCTGGTGGGCTACGGAGAGGATGGTCCCGTTCATCGAGCAGATGAAACTCGCAAGAAGGCCCAGCCCCGTTGCCCACCATTTCCTCCAGAGGGGCCAGATAAATGGGTCTTGGGGATTGTTTGATTTTCTGCAATGGGATATTGCGAGGTCTGGATCTGGATCCGGATTTCTTGTTCAGTGATGACTTTGATATATTTTGGACACTGAGTTGACCGACCTTCCAGAGAGTTGACTTCTTGGTGCTTGGTTGGATTTAAATTCATAGTGGTGGACATTCACAGCGATCGTGACAGTCATCTACGCAAGTGGACATCCTCAGCGTCCTATATAATACCGCTCATCAGATCGAATGCCCTACTGCAAGGGGAGATTACCCAAACAGGTAATCGTCCAAATTAGGCAATCGTCCAAATTAGGCAATCGTCCCAAAGCGGTGATGATAAGATCGGCCCGGGATTACGTTCAGCCGCCCCATGTGACAACATGCTGCCTGGGATCAATGAAGCTCGACACGCTCGACATGCTCGATATGGACATCTTACCTATGAGGGAATCACCGGATCTGGATTTTTAGAATGCCTGAAATGCAATTATCTTGGCAGCCGGGGTTCTCGTTGTCCAGAAAGCCTGTCAGAAGGTCGAGAGCATCTAGGGCCAGTGTCACGTTGGGCAGACGGCAGCAGTTCGAGTTTATTGTCGAGCGTCCGGTTCTGGACCACGGAATAGGATCCACAGAATCAGGGGTTGCATTTGAGTCATATCGTCGCGGCGAGGAAATTTCGCAATCTGACCGCACCGGGCTGCAGCGTGGCCGCTATTCGACGAACCAATCTTCTTCACCGGGCGAAGATGACTCTCGAGAGTCTCTGCTAGTAGACGATAACTGGCAAATTAATGTAACAGGCCATCAATTGAGTGTCACCGACAACTGCAAATTTTCCGATCTCCACACAATTGACGAAACAGTCGATTGCCACTTCCAGCGCAATGACAGAGACGAGTCAAATCGATATAGTTCATCAACAGACGAGCAACAGCGGCAATCTGAGGAACTCCAACTTACCCTGAATCCATTCTATGAGAATACAGCTTCCCCTTCCTTCCCACCGAGCATAGTCTACCATGACCTCTACCAACGCTTCCACCCAGTCCTCAAAAGATGTATGCCAAACTCACGTCTCCACAACATCCACAACTAATCATAATGTTCCAGATAACGAAGAATTTTGCAGAATCCCATTAACAGCCGATCTGGGAGTGAACCCGTTCCGGTACCGGGCACGCCGCGCTCCGGAGCCCATGTTTCTGGTTCACGCCGTGATGGCTTTGGCAGGTCATCATGTCGAGAGTACATCAACCCAAGGGCATCGTCATGCGGCTATTCAGCTGCTCCGCGAAGGTATCGACATGAACACCAACTTGGAGCATGGCTACTCTATACTTGATGCAATAATCATCTTGTTTTCGTTGGATGTCAGTTACCTCTTCTTGAGCATCACCACGTCCACCCCCGGCTGACGGAATCCCAGGAAACTCAGTCAGCCCTCGGGCATTGGCGCACTCATCTTCTCGGTGCATACGGACTTCTGGAAGCATGTGGGGGCATCAACACATGGATCACCTCCGCTCGGACACAGGTACAAATCGGGATACTGCTTTGGTACTTGACTCCCACTCCGCCCATTATCACGACTACCAACTGACAAACCAGGTGGGACGCAATAACCAGTCTCGTCAACCGAGAAGACTGCATCTTCCCACACCCCTACTTCGAAACTCTTCTATCGAACTACACTGGCAAAGAGTGGGACTTTTTCAGCCTCTGCGGATGTCCCCTCCGCCTCGTGGAGGTAGTGATGAAACTATCGCGACTAAGCGCAGAAAAACGACAATCATCCTCAATGCAACACGTCATCTTCGACACCACCGTGCTATCAGGAATCGAGCATACACTCGAATCCTGGCACCACATCTCCCCCGCAACCGCCTTCCAAGACGAAGAAAGCATGCAACAAGACCAAGACAGGATGCACTGCTCCGAGGCATGGAGAAACGGACTTCTCCTCTACCTCTACCGAGTCTTCCACTGGAAACCCGGACACCGCGTCCCAGTGAGTATTATATACCGCGCGAGGGTTATCATGGACCATGTGGTCGCCTGCCGTGATGAAAGCATGGTATCTCGTCAAGCCTTGCTGCCGCTCTTCTTTGCGGGGTGCGAATTGCAGGACCCCGAGTCGCGGAGGAAGATTCTGAAACTCTGTTCCGAGTGGAGTGATAAGACGAGGTACCGTATGTTTGGCACTACCATTCCCCTGCTGGGGGAGGTATGGGCTGAGCAGAGCTCAAGGGGGATTGAGAATGTGTGGTGGGGAGAGGTGGTTGATAGACAGCGTGTGGGGGATGATACTTCACCTCTGAGGATGCGGATTTGTTTTGGTTAGGCGGGGTTGTAGGTTCATAAATATCATTTGGGTGTGTCCCCTTGTAAGGACCTGTCCCGAGTGTAGTAGTAGTAGAATTCATATCCTTTCAGCGCGCTTAACGGGCTGCTATGGTAGTAAAGGGGAGGGGGCTTCCACTACCCCGGGGAATCTTGACGCTAAACAGATAAAATGCAAGGAGATGGTAAAATATGCGAAATAATGCAGGTATACGCCTAATGAATACCTAACACGAGCTAAAATAGTAGATAGATAGATCTCTGACATTTTACGTGATGAAGGCCCTGCCACTCCTATACAGGAGAGACCGCTGCGTAGAGGGAATATGTAGAGCCAAGGAGGAAGGAATCAAAATGGTTGGTGTTGATAAGGCGTTACTAACTAAGATGGATGGATAACAAACACCATGAAGGTGAAGCCCAGCCCAGGGTTGGCCCCATCATACTGTCCAACAGCTTCGCTGGCGGTCACCCACCCTGCTACAGAGTGCCACGCAACCAACCCCCAAAAAAGAATAACACCGAAGACCAAGACCGTGGGGGGGTTGTAGCACAAAGCGGAAACACCGTCACACAGCATGACAGCCAACCAAACCATGTTCCTTTTGCTTTGTATATAAATGACCAGCAACCACAACCACAACAACAACAACAACAAACCACCACCACCACCACCACCCCGAACAATTTAAAAAAGATTCGCAAAGAAAAAGGGCAACAACATACAACAGAAGGGATTCGCTGGTGGTCACCCACCCAACTACTAACCTCCCGGCGTGTGGCTTAAGTACGGCTGAGCGGACGGGAAGCCCTGTTCTCCACACCCTATGGTCGTATGTGCTTATTTTTAGAAGGGAAGGGTTATAATGATGCGAAAGGAATGATTGATGGAAGAAATGGGTGTGTAGAATACTGTGTGTGTTGCCAACCACGCGGGTTTCAAGAAAATCACGTGGTAGACAGAATGGTAAGGTCATCGGATAACCGCGCCTTTCTGCCTTGGAAATCCGGCATTCAACTACCGCATCTGCTTCGTGCCTGCTGTTCGGGGAGTGAATTGTTGGTTGAGTCAATGGTTCTTGCCGGAATGGGTACTGTCCTAACCAGAGAAGGCTATCGTTTCTTCCTTTCCCTCTTCCTACATTTGATCCCTCACATAACTTCCTCCTCTCATCAATTTAATAATACGACTACCACTAAAACTACCACTACTCCTACATGAATCTTTGGGCATCTCTGTGTATCGCAAAGAACATCCTTTGCCCCTCGATAAACCATGACATGGCAATCAATGTTACGGAAAGAACTCCCAAAATAGCAACGAACACGGCAACCCAGCCAGTCTCGCGCACAGAAACCCAGGTCGAAGCAATGGACCCGTCAGATATCTGGAGTTCACAGCGCTTTTGCTCGTCGCTGGCATGGCGCTACGCGCCTTTGCTCTTCTTATGGTTGCCGCGGCCTTCGGGCGGAGAAGCCCCTTTGGCCTCCTGGTATACGTGGCGGGCCTTCAGGCATCGGCTAGGTCTGTAAAGTCTGTTCAGGATCTGAGCGCGATGATATAAGCTTTCGAGACTACGCTAACATATTTCTATTGAGGATAGGTACAATATACCCCGAGGCTAATATAGCCCTATGGTTGATAGATACACATCCCACGTGGGACACTACCCGGAGGCCAAGCCTCCGGGAGATCGAAAACGCGCTTCAGGTAGAAGCTAGCTCAGCGCCGTAAGCTAGTCTAAGAGACCTGGGTATGATTAGCAATATAGCTAATATAAGAGACTTTATAATCTCAGATTCCTGGGACCTTTGTTTGCAGGCGTTTTTGACCCGGTCTTGGGAAATAATAATTCGCATCTTAAGTGCACTCCGGCTGCGGCGACTTTCCGCAAATAGGACAACGCGGGGGGGGAGGCGGCAGTTCCCTAGCAGGTGGCGTCACCAGTCCCCGCGGAGGAGGTAACCCCAGTCCCAGACGAGGAGATGCCGCCAATGAAGGAGGAGGAGAAAAGGAGAGAGAGGGAGAGCGAGGAGGAGGAAGAGAATGACCCTCTTATGGGACCCAAAATATTTGAGGCCAAGAGTCTTTGAAACCTATATTCACATGAATCATGTAACCATCCGCTTCCCCTGGGCAGAGAATATGATCAGAAGACACGCGCCGGTAGATAATGCGCATCGATGTTCAATGTATTGCCAGATATCGACGGGAAGTTGGGGGTCACCAGTCACCATCCCTGTGGACATGATGTGCCACTGCCTCGGAAATCTGGCATTCCACCCAGTGTGCAACATGAACATGACCACGAAATAGTAGCTGATTCCAGGGCCCCTCCAATGACCAGCTGATTGCAGGGAGAACATGAATAATATCCATCAATACTCTCCATCTTGGTTGTCTTAGACCACCGATACGTACGCCGGGATCTATGCCTTTTATGCGGCATTCGCAGCCGAGGAAAGCTCCTTCCCCCGCAACCCGTGGCCCGAATTATATGTACACACTCGTGTTTATATCATCCCCACAGTTTCACTGATCGCCCTGGCCTTCACTGCAGCCAGATATAGTCAAGCCCATTGCCAATTCCAGTCAGCTAAGTGTGCGAGTCCAATTGAATTCAGTTCCATTCCCGCTTGTCCGATCATGTCTAATTAACGATGCAAACAGCCCATGGCTTTCACTTCCTTACCTCTGCCCGTTGCCTCGGACGACCATCACTACACGGATACATCCATTCTGTTTGCTTACATCTCCAACTCGCGCTCTTCTTCTAGAAAGGGTTCTCGATCAAATTTTGTGCTGTCTCTCTCCCCCCTGGGGATCCTCTTTAACCCTCAAGCAACACCAACCTTTGCATGAACATGAGATACAATATCTCAACTGCTGCGAGAGAGGAGAGCTTATACCCCCAAGCGCAGGTGGGGTAGAAATGACAATGCTTTCGTCATATGTCCAAGCCTTCCGCAGCATCGAGAGACCCCGAATATTCACCAGACCTTCGCGACTTCCTCCCACACCGCGCCTGATCACCGGCATCCCATCAAATGATTCACTTGAGTCCAAATACAACCAGATGGTCAAGCAAGCGATCGTCTCCTTTGTTCGGCATATCTGGCGACCTTTCCCCAAAAGACCATCTTCTCGAGTACGACTGCTTGAGGGCCAACCAAAAGATCCCCGATTGTTGCCAGAACTCATAAACATCTATTATGGCACCACCTCCGTGGCCTCGGGGTCCACCGAACAAGCCCCGCTCGATGTTTACCAGACCTCGCAAATTCCTCCCATACCACACTTCTCTCGACTACGGCTACTTCAGGCGCAAGCAAGCCCCGCCCCTCAGTCATTACCAGGTTTCGCTCGCGGTTTCCTTTTATACGGCCTCGAAAGTCCAGCATCACATCCAGCTGTCCATTCGCGCCTGCTTTTAGCTATGGGGAGTCATTTATCAATGGGTTGCTCTTGCCGAAAAGGGGCGCAGGTTGAAGGAAATGTTGTAGGTATAAAAGGCTTTGATTTCTGTCCTGTACACGTACAGATGGACCTCTAGAGACTAGTTATCGCGTTAATAGCACTTTTTATGCTTTTTCTGCTTTTGCTTCTACTCCTTGTACCACTACGACTACTACAATTACCACCATCACCACCATAACCAAGATGTCGAAAGGCACGCCTTCGGGGCCACTTACCCCCACAAATACCGCTACACCGAGTCTAGACGTGTTAAAGTATTTTGAAATAACTGTTATCTCACTCGCCGCGGCGATGGTTCTGGCTGCTTTTGGCCTCGTTATATACGTTGCGGGCCTCCGGGCAAAATTAACGTATGTAGAAGCTGCTCATAATAGACTATCTTGATCCATCAGGGGTAGAGGCTAATATAGCCCTATGGTTGATAGATACACATCCCACGTGGGACATTACCCAGAGGCAAGCCTCCGGGAGATCGAAAACGCGCTTCAGATAGAAGCTCAGCGCCGTAAGCTAGTCTAAGAGACCTGGGTATGATTAGCAATATAGCTAATATAAGAGACTTTATAGTCCCAGGTCCCTGGGGCCCTCGTTTGCGGGCGTTTTTGGCCCGGCCTTGGGGAATAATGATTCGCACCTTGGGTGCACTCCGGCTGCGGTGGCCCTTCTCTAATGGGACAATGAGGGAGACGATAGCTCTCCAGCAGGTGGCACCGCCAGTCCCCACGGAGGAGGTACCCCCAATCCCAGACGAGGAGGTGCCGCCAATGCCGGAGGAGGAAAGGAGTGAGGAGGTGGTGGAGGAGGAGGTGGTGGAGGAGGAGGAGGGGAATAGTCCTCTTATGGGACCAAAGACAATCGAGGAGCTTTTGGAGGAGGAGGGGCAGGCCTGGGGCCGAAGGGCATAATTTGCAATAAGGGGAAGATATGCCCTAGAAAGGGCTTGTTGGAGAGACTGTTGTATATCTTATAAAGAAAAGATTAATGTGAATTGTTTTGACTAAAGACAACGCAGAGAGAAAAGGAGTCATACAGCAACTGAAAGTACTATGGAAGAACAAAGCTGCTCTCAAAGCCCCCATACATGAGTATTCGCATATTGCTTCACCACAGATGGGCCCAGTATCCTTATTGGGATCTTACACAGTGGATCCTTCCCAGGCTCACGAAGATATACAAAGCTGAATCCCCTGGCCTTCTCACAGCACAGACACATTGAACTACAATGCCCAATTAGGTTCGATCGCTTATCATTCCTCGGCCTTGTACAGCACCCACAAGCACGTCCACAACATCCTCCCATGCCTGCGCAGTCTTCCCGCGCCCACTTCGAAAGATGCCAGTCCTTATCTCGATGATGGGCACGAAAGGCACGTTTCAGAGGCCCATCTTCTATTTCTAGCATGCAAAAATAGACATTTCGCTCCTCCCTCCAGATGGCTCCCGGGAATCGCCGGAGTTTCTCTTTAATTTCCTGCTGCTTGTCCACTATATCTTCCGCAGCCCATGGGCTGCGATCGAGTTCCTCAAAGAGAAGTTCCTGTCGCGCTTGTAGGTACAACTCCTGCTGTACCATGACGTTCAATTTGCTCGCGAACCGTATCCAAGTCTTGACAGCGGGCGGAAGATCATAGGGCTGGTGGCCGCGCCATTCATGCTGCTTCAACCGGAGCTTCTGGGCCCATCGCTTTTTGCCCCAGATCTCGAGCTGGTCCTCGAGGTCTTCGAAGGTGGGGTCGAGCTTTTTTGCGATGGCTGCTTTGGCTGCTTTGAAAGGCATCGTATCGTTGGCATGTGTTGTTGTTGGTTATTCGCGGATTATGATGGATCACGGGTGAGGAGAGGAAAGAAGACTTTAATATCAAGAAAGGATGGACTGTGAATGAAATAAAGTGAGTGGAGGATAAAAAGCAGCGGAGAATCTGGAATAAACGTGGAGGAAAGTGTTGACGTATACATCATAATTACCGTTAGCATTACCACCACGATCTGAAACTGACCTCGCTTTTACGTATACCCGGGATGTTAGGCTTTTGCTCGCCCACCCACAAGTGGTACCGGTTGAGTGGGTGATCACCAGCGAATATCCTCCATTGTATGTTTTTGTTAACCAAATGGTGTTTTTTTTAAAAAAAAAAATGGAGGAAGGTTGGGGGTACGCGTGTAGAATCATTGAGTTTCGTTGCTGACATTCAACGGGACTAGTTAGGGTCAGGTTATGGACGGGCTTGGGGGAAAGAAGGCAGAGGCAAATAAGAACGATACCCGCGGAAGGGATATCTGTATGAGTGGATGGGTACACTCTAACAAAAAGCCAGGAACGTCTATATATCTACAACACACTATACTTCAACTACGTCTTCAGTACCTCTCCTCCTCCACCCCTCCCCATACACTAACACAACCCAGACAACCGGACTAAGCACCGCCAAAATGCCAGCGATGATCGTATACGCCCACCCAGCCCCCGTCGCCCCAATGAGCGGTATGATAAACGCCGCACTTGCGGCCCCAAGCAAGCATCTAACCAGATTATTAGCCGCGCCTGCTGCCCCTGGCTTATCAGGCAGAAGGTCAATGAAAAGGGTGCTAAGCGCGCTAAACGTTGCCGTGGCCGTCAGGCCCAGAAAAAAGAGAAACGTCAACGTCGCTCCCAGATTATGTGCCTTTTGCAGGATCCATCCGTAACCAACCGGAAAGGCACAATTGGAGTAAAGCACGGGTAATGCGACTTGGAGTCGTGCGGATTCGATGGGAAACCCGTTCAGGTCGGTGGGATGATTGTCCGTGGTGAGGGTTATTCCTCGTTGTCGTGCAAGTCGGTGGTAGTTGAAGCTGAGGAGCTTGCCCATTCCCGCTGCTGCGACGCAGCTTCCCACTCCTGTGGAGATGCAGCAAAGGCCGATTTGGAGGTCGTTGAATTGGAACTTCGCGGATAATTGCGAGGGGAGAGCCGCGGCGACGGTTGCGAGGCTGGCGAAGATAAGACTGCTGTAGAGGAGAATTGCTCCTGTTTCTCTTGAGAAGCAGAGTTTGAGGGAGAGGAGTAGAGTGGAAAGTTTGATTCCCCGGCCATCTCTTGCATTCTCTTCAGCGGGTGGGGGGGGAGTGGGCTCAGCCCTGGAGGAAGAAAAGACGGGGTGTAGGAAGATCCTAGACCCAGGTGGAGCAAACGATCCGTTCCCCAGAATCTTCCTACATGTCTCAGGGATAAATAAAGCAAACACGGTAAAGAAGACACCGGAAAAAATAGCCAAGAAACAGAAAATCCACCGCCAGCTGGCGGCGTATGCGAGGATTCCCCCGATGACGGGGCCAATTGATTGGCCGACAAATGCACCTGGAGATCGGTCAACTTAGCTAGGTGGTGAGGGAGGGAAATATGCAGTCATGACTGATGTGTATGCAGCGTACCAGAAAACGAATATCCAATGTAACTCCCTCTTTCAGCCGGAGTCACAATGTCTGCGACCACCGCATTCGCCAGCGCCCCTGTCGCCGAGCTACCCGCGCTCTGCAGGCAACGGAGGAGTATCAGCGCGACGTAGTTACTTTGTAGCGCCAGGCCGATATTGGCGGCGATGAATACCACGAAGCAGATGAAGTATGCGGGTCGTCGGCCGGATGTATCGGAGAATGTTGCGATGATCGTCGGTGCGATAACTTGGATGATCTAGGAAGAGTTTATATTAGGTTAGCGATTAATTCTTGGCCATGAATTTTCTGTTTTGTCTTTTTCGCGCGAGGACTTGAGTTGACCTACCATGTACGAGGTCGGGTGAGGTTCATCAAAGTCAACGATACATCGAGATCAGCAGCGAGGGTGTTCAAAGCGGGATAGTAAACATTGCTGGCGAGAGGAGAAAATGATGCAATGGCAGTCACTGCAGCGACGATCCATTTTGACTCGCGCCGAGTGAAGACAGAGTATGGCTGCTCCACCGCCTGGATCTGCTCACGGACATCATCTCCCTTGGGGAGATGTGATACACTCTCATCAAGACGTTGGGCTGACATGTCGGATGGCGTATTGCGTTGCATATATCTGACTGTGTTGACTGTATTGCATTGATGGATATGTGGGGAAGGATGTGGAACAATAAATCAAGAGGAATTATCCCGGTAGGCTTTGTGTATCCTAGTGAGCGCTAGCCGGTTGGCTCAAAGGTGACTCACTCAAGGCCAGGGTTACACTTCCCCCGCGCGCACTGCCAATTTCAGGATGACGCATCTGGACTCCCGCAGTAAAGACACAATCTATCTGATACCTGATTCCATCAGCGATGGTAGTCCACCAGACTCACGTGCGTTCGGGAATTGAAAATTTTCGATTAATGGAGGCTTACCTCTTCTAAAACTTGCTTGTACACTAACCCTCGAAGAAGCTATGTTTATATTTGAGGGGAATCCGTGCTACATGCAGCGTCTCACGGCAAACCCAGGAAGTATGATGCCCTTCGCGCCACGGATGCTTTGCCGCCCAATCCGAGAGCCCAAGGAATCTTGGGATGCGAAGGATAAATAAGTGCATTATCCTATGCATATGGTGAGATGTTTAGCATTCCATCTCTCGAAAGATCTTCCCCCATTCCAAAAAGCTATACTGTCACCTCTCTTACAATGGACTTCGACAAATCCCTCTTCGACGAAGTCAAACACACGACCAAGGTCATATTCAACGATGCCGAATACGAAGGCTTTGGTACCGGCAAGACGACCCGTGGCCATCAGAGCTTTCAACTCGGTCATGAATTCAATATTATCTTGAAATGCAGCTCTCAGCGTTAGATATGCGATTGATGTCGCTAGCTCTTGTACATACCTTTCACATCCTCTGTGTAATAACGGTGTCAGATCCAGAGATCTGGCGGTGAGTATTCTCCCTGCAACTGTTGGCAAAGGGATAATCATTGGATCCGATGTCAGACCAATGCGTCTCCAAACAAGAAATATTTTCCAGTCAATTAGTGCCCTCTCCACAGTCCCACAGCTCAGGGCTAGTCGTTTGTTGCCACAGCGGAAATTTGCAGCCCATTGCGAACGAAACTAAAAACCAACCATATCATTTTTCATGGAAGCATCATTGGTCTAGTGGTAGAATTCATCGTTGCCATCGATGAGGCCCGTGTTCGATTCACGGATGATGCAAATCAACCGTCTCATTTCTTTTTTGTTTTTGTTTTTGTTTTTATTTTTCCCGGCTGGTGGAGCAAGTATGGACGCCCTCGGAGCTCTCTATCTACCAGACATACTGCACCACGCCCTAATCGCGATACTACTGCATTATCAGCATGCATGAGACCTGCAGAACCAAGACCCTGTGCAGGAACCTACCGAATCAGCGAAAAGAACTTACTCAGGGTCCACGATAGATAGACACCATTATCACACGGTGTCGGACGCTTCCGCCGAGTGAACCCCTAAAATGCAGGGCACATGCCGCTATCTATGCGGGTTATTGGGTGAAGAAACGGGATCTCCGCCGGAGTCCCTGGCGGGAGCTGCCGTGTCGGGGGGCCAAGAATCTAAATGTCCGAGGAGGTGTTGATCGATGTAACCTCGAGGACCCTTTTGATTTTGGGGTCCGGAGGTAGCCGATCGTGAGGACAGGAGGCGGAGGATAAATAGGTCATTGGTTCTGGAGAAATGGAGCAATCAGTACGAAGTCACAGATATTCATTCCTGGCAGAACTTAGCGAAATGTCTCCGGTCAAGGTGGGTGGACTGTATACTGTGCTTCTACCACGGTACTCCATGGTACTAAACTTCTTGGCCCAGATGCTCCTCTCCCTCCTCCCTCTCCTCCTTTCCTCGTCGCTGGTCGCTGCCTCCGCCCACGACACCGAGCGCCGTGACAGCTGTGCCTACTACTGTGGTAGCACCTGCTACTGGTCCAGCGATGTGAGCGCCGCCCAAGCCAAGGGGTACGAGCTGCAGCAGGACGGCGAAACCGTCCATGATTACCCCCACGTGTACCACGACTACGAGGGCTTCGATTTCTCTGTCTCCGGCACTTATTACGAGTATCCCATCATGGACGACTATGATGTGTACGACGGTGGTTCTCCTGGGGCGGATCGCATTATCTTCAATGGGGATGATGAGTTGGCAGGCTTGATCACCCATACTGGCGCGAGCAGTGAGGATGGGTTTGTCCAGTGTACTTCCGCTTAGAGAGGAGGATGGATTGTGCTAAGTTGAGCCTCCTTGGGCGTCTGTCTATAAAGTCATGTTATAGCTATAAGACATGTATATGGTCCGTATATATGATGTAAAAATTATACTTATCGCGACACCTTGATGTGTAGTAGATATCACCGCCATTTATTGTCCCATCCAGCTTGTTCCACCGCAAAGGCAATGGCAAGCTCGGTGAATCGGGCCATGTGCTAATTTTGTTAGTAACAATCTCGCGGGCATCTAAAGCTGGGAGATGAACATACGTCGATAGAGAAATAACCTGTTTCGTCATCGACGTCCATCCTGTCTTTTACTCCATGGACGTAGGGGTCGAAGTTCCCCGGGAACTTCCCTCCTGCCAACGGATCGCCCTCCGAGGCGAAGGCCGACGGGTAGTTTAGCTGGGTGTATGACATGTAGTCCGACCCGGCGCCACTGATGATGTTATTAGATAAAACTTTAAAAAAAAAAAAACAAAGAGAGGAAATAATGAAGCCAAGATAAGAAAGAAGCAAGGGGACTTACGCTGCAAGTTCATAGACCTCGGTCGGGATGGAGATATACTCCCGGCTCAGACCGACTGTCCAGTTTGTCAGCGCCTCATCCGCTTCGGTCGCGATAAAACCGATCATCTCAGTCGAGTTACGGGCAATGAAGGCCGTCATGTCCTACGTATCATCTGTCAGCTATCCAAACAGATCCCAATCTTACTCTAGGAAGGTCACTCACAAACTCCATCATCGCTCCGATAGTCGCACCCGACTCCTTCTTGTATCGTGCAATAGCTTGACTGCCCAACAGCCCGCCCTCCTCAGCAGCATACCAGTGGAACTCTACCGGTCCGTTCTGGGGGGTGTATCCGGTCATGGCTAGGATGCGGAACGCCTCCAGGATACTCACGGTACCAGAGCAGTCATCGTCAGCACCAGGGGCTGGGAGGAGGGGGAACAAATAGTTAGCTGAATCTTGGTGGGCGCCAAGGATGGTCAGAGGAAGGGAGAAATTGCGGACTTTGGGCTCGAAGCGCGCAATGATCGACGACTGAGGGAACGAGTGGGTGAAGTACTCCAGCGAGATGTGGGTCCGGAACGGGGATTGCTTGATAATCTGTAGATTGAAAAATCAGCTTTTGCACCTCTTGTAATAACCGCAACAAGGGTGTTGGGGTGATAACAAAGGTTGGATACCTCAGCAATGTGCTCATAGAGCCACTGAGAGCTCATTTCGCCATGAATACCGCCATAGTACCGGTTATAGTAGCTTGTCATATGCCGGAGGGTATGTTCCATGTGCTCTTTTTCGACACGGTCAAACAGGGGTCTGATGAGGCTTTGGTGTTTAAGGGCGGGCAAATCTATGAGAGTTACGGTCAGTCTATCTCAAGGTCCTCGGGTAGTTCCGGCAGATATCAGACTCACTCGCAGAGCCCGCCAACGCATGCACCTGATTCGCATAGAACTCCTCATGCTCCGTGATGTCGATGAACTTCTTCCCGCTCCGACGCAGCAGCATCTTGTCGCCTTCGGTCATCCATTCCGGCTTCGGTTCTCCGCGGACGTGCAGCAGACGGGGTTCGGCGAGGAGTGCAGCGCTTCCAGGATCTAGGGACTTAAATGCGGCCACCGGGTCATCCGGATACCGGCGGAGGGCGGCCTGGATGGCGTCTTCGTTCATGGTGAAGACCTCGTCCTGGCTGGGAAGAGCCTCGGTGGGGGGTCCGAGAAATGTCTGGCCATCAGAAAAGGGGTAGTGGGTGCCAAGGGCTGCATTTGCAGCGCCCAGGAGCAGCGGAAGGGTCAATAGGGAGCTTCGCATGGTCGAGGATGGAAGGATGAGATGTTTGATGAGTGAGATGGAGGTCCGACGGGGGTGGGCGCCTATTTGTATGGGCGGCACGGACCTCTCGATAAGATACAATAAGGGACTTGCCACTTTGGGCCATGGCGTGCTGTCGGGCTTGGCATTTCCTTGGTCCGCCATTGGCCAATTTCATGACCTATCACATGCCCATTCCTTCCCGATGGGGAAGTTTGTTGGCATCAGCGTCGTGCTTATTAATGCCACGTTTTCTGCAAGGCTGTGCCTGAATAAAGGTGAGATAAACCTTTAATCCTGACTGAGTCGGTGGCTGGGATTATCCATGGAAAATTGCAACACCGCAGGCCACAGTAATGCATCTATCATCTTGTCATTGATTCTCCCGGATATATACATATGTTCCGTCTCAACGCCCCGCAGCTTCACCAACTCGTGCTCTAACATGGACATATTGATAATATCATGCCAAGCCCTGAGATGAGATGACGCAGCGCCTCCCGGTCGCGACCTTCCTCCACAAACCCCAGGCTCCGGTACAGCTTCAACCCATTGTGATTATACGAGAACACGTTCAAGCCCACTCGATGCAGCCCCCCGTCCAGGAACGCCCAGTCCAATGCCCAGTTTATCACTTCGCGACCATATCCCTGGCCCCGAGACTCATCATTTGGATGGTGGGGTCGTTGAGGATCTGATTCTGGATGAATGTCTTGTCCTCGTCGTTGTCTTCGAGCGCGCGGTAGAGTAGACGCTGAGACCGGAACTGCCATTCTGGTGTTTGGAGGGCGGTCATGTTGTAAACGGGGCTATGTCTGATGCGATATATAGGGGATGCTCGACGAATCTGGTGAGTTAGTTGACTGCATGGCAATTTCACCTCATGAGATTATTGATACGGGTCGCATGAAAGTCGGAGTCAGGTGAAGATAGCCGAAGTGGATGATGGAGGGGAGTCCGAGCGCGAGGAGGAGCGGCTTATGGCTTGGATGCTGCAAGAGATTAGCGAAGAACAGGGACTAGAAGATTACACCCGCCACAAAGGATCCTCTACTCCCGAACCACAACGGCAGAACGCTGTAGCCTGGCGATGACTCATTTTCTCACCTGAGGATGTGTCCCAATATACTGACTAGTAAAGGGATTGATAGAGAGGAGAGATGCTAAACCCAAAAAGGACCAACGGCAGATAAGGTGGAGATTCATAGTAGTACGGAGCAGTACTATGATGGCTGATACCCGATTGGTTAGTTGTGCCGTATGTCACGAAGCTTTCCAGTTCCAGCCCTGCGCGTCATGTGATGGCCGTTGACGGCCTTCGTCCCTCTCCTTCTCCGTTCTTCTTCCCCCCCCTCCTCTTCTTTCTTTTCCGGTCAACTCAACCTATATCTAGCAGACAGCATCATGAAAGCTGCCACGGATCAGCACCTCTTCACTCCATAATTCGCTGAGAATACACCAGGCGATGAGAATGCGACGCGTCGATTGCCTATATACCGAAGGAATGATTCGAGACTGGCTGCTTCAAGACATGCTTCAAAAGAAAGGGGGTGTATACAAAGGCATTCCTTTACACGAGAAGGCGGCCTCTCTACTGTCCAGAGGTTTCATTCAAAACTGGAATCCGTCTATATACTGTTGCTGACGGGTAGGCTCTTGATACAAGCATTCATTTCACTGTGAGCACAAGGCAGACACGAGCATCTTGACTTTCAGATTGTTGGTCTCATGCACCATTTAGAGGCTGTCGATACACCTCCCCATCCACCGTGGTAGCCAGTGTCCCATTAGCCATGAATATATTCAGCATCGCATCGTCTTCCACGTGAAGCCCTCCAGGTCCGGTTACTTTCGTGCTGAAAGAAGCTCCGGTGCCTGTGGGATTAGATTACCAATCCAACCGAGTCAGTGTAGATGACTTCGGCGTCGAGGCGACGGACTCCGAGCCCGTGGTAAAACGAGCTCCATCGTCGGAGTAATTCGAGTATGTCACCGCCAGAAAGTCGATTATCGAAGTATTGTTGTTCTTCTTGATGGTCACATGGGCGATACTGGGTACCTGACCGCGCAGGGTGAAGTTTCCAGCTGGCGGGATGAGGCTGCTTGGGATGGTGTCCCCGGGGATATATGGCGTTCCCCACGGCACCCCATCAGGGATCGGCGCGGGCATGCCGAGATGGTAGGGCTGACAACCGGTCAGTCGGGCCAACATCAGACGGTAGATTCGTCCAACAGGTGCGGTGGAGTTGGGACAAGGGAGTGGGTTAGCGCCACCACAGGCCGGCGACACGATCATCTTTTGCCAATACATGATGCGGGTTCCATCGGGTGACCAGCGGGGATCCGCCCCAGCGTTCCAGTTTGGGTCGTTGATGGTGCCAGAACTGCCGTTGCCTGGCGCGTTGATCTGTTGGCCGTAGTAGTCGGGATCGTGGTCACCCTCGTTATCCAACAGCCAGGGCTGGAAAAATCTTCGACCCCGTTATTGCGAACCGATGCCACCGTGTTCATTGTGAGCAAGTCCACCACCGGTGGCACTCCGCGCATGGCCGACATGAACATCATCCGATCACTGCCCCATGTATCCAATATACTTGCCATCGGCCATCCGGTAAGACACCCACGGGATCCACATACCCCGGGTGAGTTGTAACGCGGCGGACGCGGCCGGTCGCGTGATCTGCGGCGAACAAATCGATGTTGCACGATTCCCAGGAGGATCCAATGTAGAGTAACACTTGCCCGCGGTCGGTGAAGCGCCGGAACTCGCCCACGGTGATTGAACTCCGGTTGATGAAGAATTCGTCGCCTGCAATGGTCATGGGCCGCATGCCGTCAGGCGGGATTAGGACCGTCGCATTCACCATATCATATTGCGGGCTGAGAGGGGACCACGTTTCGGGGGGACGGGTTGAAGTGCAGTCGGCCGAAGTAGGCATACTTATTGAGCTGCCCTGCAGATGTTAAGCTGAAGGAATTTCCGCCGAGGTGGAAGTTGTCGGGATGCAGACGCAGCTCGCGGACAGTGGCTCCGGAGCCCGAGTCATCGGCAGTATTGCTCAACCGAATGGGAGATATATGGATCTGATCTGGGGTGCATCCATCACTAGATAGCGGCGCGGATCGGCATTCAACGATGTTGGACCCAGCCATCACGCGTCTGCCATCATTGAATGCCTGGGGTGAAAGAGAGATCCCACGGCGGTGATGCGCATGTTGCCAGGGGAGAGGTGATGATGGCGGATACCAGCTGAGAGCAGGGAGCAAAAATTGCAGAATAATATATGCTGACGATTGCCACGTCTGTCTTGATGTCATATTCCCTGGAATTTCTTGGTGATAAACCGGTGCCGTCTTACTATTTCGCAATGCACACATATGCCACTGGACTGAATTTAATATCCATGGGTCATGGTGAATCTACTATTCCCGCTCACCATAATAAACGCACTAGCTCATCACTCCAGCGCCCGGCTACTCGTGGGCTGGAGAGAATGAGAACAGAGAGTCCAAGGATAAACTGATTCAGGAGGTAAAGTTTGTGATTAGAGACCGGGAGCAAATGTTGGCTTTCGCAGAGAGACTGTCCGAAACCACCCATGGAAACAAAATGGTTCATCTATGCACGGATTCATTGGTTCTCTAAAAGGTATGGAGCGCTTAGCCTCCGAGATTCATGCCGAGTAACATCACACAACAGCGTTCGGCGGTGCGACACAACCAGTTACACAAAAATACGTCAGATCTACAACTCCGTACCTGCCATGTTTCCCATCTTTCCTTCGTCCAGCAACACACCCAACAGCCTCTAGAAGACCGAGGTTAAAAAAAAAGAAAAAGAATACATACAACAGAAGGGATTCGCTGGTGGTCACCCACCCAACTACTAACCTCCCGGCGTGTGGCTTAAGTACGGCTGAGCGGACGGGAAGCCCTGTTCTCCACACCCTATGGTCGTATGTGCTTGTTTGTCTTGGGGGAGTGGATCATGAATGGTGAGTTGATTTGGGTCATGGTAGTGGAGTGGGAATAGAGGATGGAGAAATAGGCGCTTTTGGAACCGTGTAGAGGGATCTGGGTACTGTAGGGGGGGATTTGCCATGACGGTTATCTTCTTCAGTTGTATGCTTGACTACCCTGCACAATTGGACTCTCGGCTCGGTCTCACGAATTCCGACCCTGTCTGAGAGTGAATGATCAGATTGTGGTGGTGATTCTAGGTAAAGTTATATCTGATTGACTCGCTATGGGCCATGCTTCTCCCGTTTCGGATCACATGGTACTTAGGATTTTAATTGTAAAATGACACGGTGTTTGTGTACTGATGGTATATGACTTCCTACAGCAAGTCCCACGTGCTATTACGCCACATACTACCAGTCCAGCAGTTTGCATGTATATACAGAGCATACACTAGTGACAAAGGCCATAGGAGCCGAAGTGTAGCTGGTTGACGGGCCGCTTCACAGTGACCAGACAGAGGGGTTTCTGCCTCCCCTTGGGGGTGTCCACTTTCTCCTGCTCTCCAATTGAGGCTAGCTGGTGGCATTCGCAGTGTCGGTGTGCAGGGGATATTTTTCGTCCACGCGGGGAGAGAGGTGGCACTCGATAAGTACTGGGAGAATATATGTACAACTTAATCACCGTTGACTATGTGCTACTTGATTGCAAGAGAACTAACCTGCATGGTCTTCGAGGTAACAAAAAAAAGGGGGGCAAAAAAGGAAAATACAATTGCATCATCCGTGAATCGAACACGGGCCTCATCGATGGCAACGATGAATTCTACCACTAGACCAATGATGCTTCCATGAACAGTATGATGACATAGTTGCGTATACAGTCCAAAATCAGCACAGGCAGGCAACCCCAAGTCTAAGAGAAGAACAGCAAGAATCATCCGTCAACTATTAGATAGTGAAATGAATTTCTAGCCTTGTATCTACTCCGTGGAGATAAACTGACTTGGTGTGGGCGCGTGCCGTGTTTCTTGAGGCCTGACATGTGGGGGTTTATTTGTGATCTTCACGAGAGAAACGACATATATATGATATATATATATCGAAGCCAAGACGCGACTGCAGCAGGATTCCACGAGGGCGTTCGCGAACAGACCAGCTAGACCGCGAAGGTCTACTCAACTATTGGGCGAGGTACCTACCACTCAGCCAGGGGATTGCCATTCACTACGTAGAACACCTGATTGAATAAGCAGGTCATGCGCGGAGTTCCATGTCTCTTGTTCGCATCCACGGTTTCTCCTTCAACCACCAACTCAACTAACCTTCTCTACGCTACCTCCGGCCAGCTAACCGACATCCCCTCAGCTATTTTATTTCTATCGACCAGCGAGTCTCTCCATATTTTCAAACATTCCACAGCGATGACTAGCGAAAGAGCACGCCATACTCCAACACGAGATAATTTCCCACCCGCGCCGCGAAAACAAGCTCCATCTACCAAGAGACAGACATCCGTGCGAAGGAGCGTCGCCAAGGCCAGCTAAGCCACCGCCAGATCCATCGCGCTTCTTATATATATATATATACCAGAGACTGATTTTATAGCTCCTGCTAGCTCACTTGATCTTAGTACGGAAGACGGAGTAGTCCCAGCAGGGACCTTTCTTTGCACCCCCAGTCATCGTGCCATAGCCACGTCCACGGTCCACTCTGCTATCGTGGATCGAACCCCAATAAAGACACCCTCCACAGTCGCAATACTTCCTTTCTCTTCTCTTTTCCATCTAGGTTTCGACCCAACCCTTGGCCTTGGCGATCTGTCCCAGTGACGTGGTGATCTACACGGTATACACCAAGTTCAAACTGTTTGATCCTTTCTCTCAGATTCCCCTGCCGTCCACCAGTCCACAAATAGCGCCGATGGATGAAAGATGGACAGCCCAAGGTTCCATTTCGAGCCCCTGACGCTATCGGGCCCAAGCCATTGGCGAAGTTGATGTCCCTCATGCGCGACTTTCAGGAAGCTTGAGAGAACCGTTTGCTCCCCACTGATACAGATCTGCGCATCTAAAACGGAAAGATGTTGGATCCCCCGCAACCCTGATGCGCAGCATGAACCCGGTCGCCTCACCCCCTCTTCTCCGGACTACTTCACCTTCCTCCTGCCCCTCTCAACCAAGCCAGAGCAAAAAAAAATAAAGGATACATGCGACAGAGGGGATTCGCTGGTGGTCACCCACCCAACTACTAACCTTCCGGCGTGTGGCTTAAGTACGGCTGAGCGGACGGGAAGCCCTGTTCTCCACACCCTATGGTCGCATGTAATGGTCCCCCCTGGGAGGCGGGTTGTATATCCAGCACAAAAGCAAGCCGGAAATAGGAGGGGAAGGAATCGGAATTCCACCCGAGCCGGGATGGAGCAAACCCGACGAAAACTGGAGTTAATAAACCACTAATATGGAAAGTTAATATAACGACTAATCAAAGTACGAATCTTTCTAAGAGCGCTACAAAATCATTCCAGAAGAAGAAGACTTTCCTCTCAGGTTCCACCCCCCTACCCAGAGCAATCTTGTTTAGTCCATATTCTGACCCCCTTGGCCTGAAAGGTTCCTCCGCGGAAGGGTTTTCCAATATGACCCGGATTACCCTCAATATATAGCCCCCCTGAAGACCCCTATAGCTCCGTCTGCTATATAGGGGACTCGTTAATAATATCAGGATACTGGGGTAAATCTTTCTCCCATCCGGCCATCGTGTAGCAGATACAAAAGAGTGATAGACACTCCGGGCTAAGCCCTACTGTGAATGTCAGAGGTCTGTGACGCCCCGAGTGTAGGAATCGGGATTGAAAGAGGGTTAAATGTATATCAGTGGGCCCACTCTCCACCCATATGGTTCGACAGAACCGGCAAAGATCTCGAGAACTAAGACACGGACAGTTCGCCAGCCTACAACGAGGTAATCTCGAGGCTATGGATGGAAGGTAATGGACATGAGAAAGCCAGGAAGGCGCTGGCTGGTACTGCAACTGCAGCCCTGTATAGGGCGCAGGGCACGGGGCACGCGAAGAAAAAGTGCCAGCGGGTCAAACACATCCCAGCCAAAAAAAACAAACGTGATCGGAAAGAATGATCACGAGAAGGGGAGAAGTTGATCAGCGAGCACTCGGCCGTTTGAACGATCCAGATCGCCGAAATTAATCTAACCTTATTACCGGGCTTGGCTGCGTAATGGAGGCCAGCCCTAAGCCCAACCAGGAGATCCGCCCGGGGGGCGCAACGCGACGGACGAGCGATACTGAACAGTTGCCACTCGCGATAAACCCGTCAACTTCAGCTGGATGTGGATCCTGTCGGAGGATTCCACGACAATCCACGTGTCGAGGCATCCATTAATATTCCCCCCCACCCCTGGGTTCTTGGTTGACGGTTGACGGATCACGCATGAAACAAGCCCAGCCCCTGCCTGCCACAGGGGCATTTGCATATATACGGAATTGCCGTTCCCCCTCTCCTCCTGCACGGCCCTCACCTCTCACAAAAACAAATGTAACCGCCTCGTTCGTTCGTCGTCGTCGTCGTCCTCCTCGTCCTCGTCCTTGCTTGGACTCCCTCTCCCTCCTCCTGGTCTCTTTTCCTTTCCAGACAACTTCCCCATGGAAGACGTCTGGGAGAAAACATGACTCTTTCGCCCGAGCGAATAGCCTACTTGGCTCAATCCCGCATCCCCGAGATCATCGCCTGTAACTGCGCCCTCATCGTCATTGCCACTGCCGGCCTGCTGGTGCGCATCTTCGTCCGCATTAGATATCTCACGGGCCTCAATTTCGACGATGTGCTATGCATTACCAGTTATGTATGTCTTCCAGGTTGCCCTTGGCCTACTACTACCTTCTTCGCAATGCAATATACTGATGCACGGCTGCCTGATCTAGATCTTTACTTTTGTTCTGTGCTTTACTGCCATGTGGAGTAAGCCCCCCTGCGACGGACAAGCGATCGCATGATATACTGACGGGTGGTCTCTCCTCTCAGTGACTAGATATGGATTCGGAAAGCACATTGGAACAGTATCCAGCATGAGCGCCCGGTCCATGTTCCTCAAGGTATGCGATCAATCAGCTCAACTCCATGATGAACCAACCATAGATCCCTCCCAAGACCATCACTGATACCCAACCCACCTCCAAAGCTCGACTTCGTCACCATGCTCGCGTACGTCCTCGCCCTCGGAGCCATTAAGATTTCCTTCTGCCTCCTCTACCTGTACATCTTCCCCGGAAAGAAATTCCGAATAGCCTGCTGGTGCCTAATGGCGATTTCGATCGGCGAGACCATCGCGGAAACCCTGGTGGTGATCTTTCAATGCTGGCCCGTCCACAAGGCGTGGGACGCAACCGGTCTGGTAGAAGGCCACTGCGTCGACATGGAAACGTTCTACTACATCAATTTTGGAATCAAATTGGCCACCGACCTGGCGCTTTTCACTCTACCCATCCCCAAGTTAATACAGTTGAAGATGACGGTGGGAAAGCGAGTTGGTTTGGTCATGATGTTTAGTCTTGGTCTTCTGTATGCTGCCGTTGCCCTTCCCCCCCCCAACACACTTCATGGAAGAACAATCACACGAGATGATGAATGGTTCACTAACATCCAAGCCCAGTGTCTGCGTCGCGAGCGTTATCCGAGTCACCTACATGAATTCCTTCTCCGTCGACCACACCTGTACGTCCCTCCCCCCCATCTGATACTCTCCCCCTTCTAACTACCACACAAACCCACAGGGTCAATGGTCGACACAATGAACTGGTCCTGCATCGAAGTAGCAATCGCCATCTTCATCGCGTGCATCCCATCGTTCAAATCGCTCATCACTTACCGCTTCCCCGCGCTGAAGCGCCTGCTCGGCTTCTCCAGCGACGACTCTCGCGGCCCATCGAAGATGTACGGCGACTCGACCCGTCGAACATACAACGGCCTATCGACCGGGCGCAACAGCATCAAAATGAAGACCATGACGGGCCACAGCATTTCTGGCGTGCAAACCACCGCTCACGGGTCGCAGGAGTGTATCATCCACGCGGGCATCCATGTCACGACGGACGTGAGCGTCAATGACGTTAGCGTGTGATTCATTATTGATTGATGGCACGCTCTCGAAGATGAGTAGCTGACTCGCATGTCTTTCCTCGTCTTCTTTTCTTTTGCTTATTATTTTGGTCTCTTATTATTTACGGTGTTATTATGGTCTGATTCCCCCTCAATTAAAAACTCGAATTCATTTTTCCAACCCAACTACGAACTACCCAACTCACTCACTACTAATCATTACGCCATCGAATTGACTCCGTACCTTCGTAACGCGACTCGCGACTCGCGACACCTTGGACGTACGTGCATAGTCCCGTCCCCGAGCGAACGGTCTAGATACTAGATACTAGATAGAATACGGAGTAATGGCAGTGGAATGTGGATTCCCCAACCCCAACCCCAATCCCCAATCCCCAATCACCTCCCCTCACCTCCCCTCCCCCCGTTGCCAAGCATCGTGACTGCTGACTCGCACCAAGAATTAAGGTCAATGGAGTGGACCCGGACGACGTACTCTACACGGGATAACCCCCGGACGTGAAACCATCGAGATCCGCCATCTAATCTACATCGTTCACGCCACTGCCGCACCAGTCGGGATCCCAAGACACAGTGTCACTGCTATTGGCAGGAGGGCGCTCAAGCGCCCCCCACTCCCACAGTGGGCGGTGGGGCGTTGTCTGAAGATCGTCGGGTCTAAAGTATCAACACTCAACAGACCTCGGAACAACGGTGCCAAAACCAGCTAGCTAGATAGATAGCTAGTTGTTGTCGTTGGCGGGCCGGCGCCCTTGGCCTGGGGGCTGATTCATTGATGAATAACCTAACCTCACGGTTGGAGCTGCGATAGGCACACGCTGGGTTTGAGTGACAGGTTTGGGTCGTCGCTGGTTTGGGTTTAGATTCCACTTCCACGCGGACAAACGTTTTCAACGAGCCCGCGCCCTGCTTGCCGTGGGGTTGTTTCATATCTGCCGAAAATTGGTTGTCTGAGTCCAGGATGGCGGTTGTTGATGGACCGAAGAGGGAGGGAGTGGATGGCAAGTACTCCGTACTCGGTTGGGGGGTACGGAGTAGGTAGGCACCTAACCGTGCTAGCCCGTTGCCGTGGAATGACATCAAATTGAGATTAATATAGATAGACCAAATGGTGCCTGGCAACCTACTGTGTCTGTGTCTGTGTACTCAGGTATGGAGTACTGTGATAACTGATAATAATATGAGCAAGTTGGCCGGATTCGAAAACCCGCCGCCAAGACACGGGCCTCGAACAGGCTTTGTTCTTTTTACATAATTTAAAACCGTGCGAAGCCGTTCGAACTCCAGCCCACGAAGGATCGAGTCATATCGACGCCGGTGTCTTTTTTTTTATTTCTCGAGCCATCGGCGCTTCCGTGACCGGGTGAGAGATAGGGGCTCTGCTAGGTAAGTGCTGACAGACATTCCGGATCATCATCGGAGTACCGTGGGAGTTCGATAATGAGGGTAGTGTCGTCCGTGAATAAATTTTCCCCATTGGGACGGTTGCTCATATTGCATTGCGGTAAGAGTGGGTGTTTATCCCGCCGTCAGATTCTTATGGATGGAATGTTCTCCACCCCCTTGCAGAGATTGCAACCCGCGTGTTTGACGGCTGGGCGACCGTCTTGACGGTCGGGCCTGAGGGCTGTGTAGATATCTACATCAACCCAATTGCTGTGTAAAATATTAGGGGTACTTGCAGATCGGCTGCTGATCTTTGGCTTGATTGAATGTAGCCTGGACCACTTGGATCAACAGGCTCAGAGCATCGGTGCGAGGTCTCGGTATGCGGGAGCCAATGGTGGACGAAGGAGGGGAGAGAATGTTCTAGACAATTTAACAAGAGTAGGGGATTCACACGCATTTGATCGGGCATCAGATCGTGGTAGGAACATGGCAGCCTGATCGACAAATGATTCTCTTTATACCGAGAGATCATTGGTCAATGGATATCCAAAATATTGTTGTAGAACAAATCCCTTGGAGTCGACAGTTGATAAATGTCTGCTCGCTCAAATTTCTCCAATCTTGATTTTTATATAGAATATGGAGACTCTCTCCACCCCAACCGCTGTCGTCGTGGATGTTGTGCATCAACACCTGGAGATCTCACTCGGTGGGTGGATGTGGATCAACGAGGATCGTACGATATCAATCAATCGTAGATCCTCAATGGAATGTGGATGTCACCCCATGATCCGCTTACTAAAGAAAGTGGTCAGTCATAGTTATCAAAGTCTGGAGTAGATTGCAAAAGTGGACAGGGCCGAACAGCCAGCAGTAAATGAATTACGGTGGAGTAGATACTATATTGTCAGGCACCACTTTTCTCGCCTTAATATCTGTTCATATAGCCCCCTTATTCTCCCTCCTGAGTGCATTATTGCGCGTTTATCCAAGGTTCATCTATACTGATGCTGGCAAGGGGTATAGGGGATATTGGGCTCGGTGCTCGCTATGCTTTGCGACCCGAGTATCGGCCGTTTCAATCATTATGGCGATTCATCGGACACGCCAATCGGAAACGATGGGCTAAACCAATTTCTCATTCTATCGATGCCATTATTGAGAACTAGATTGTGAATCCGATCTAGTAGTCGGGTCTATTGTCAGGCACAAAGCTCAACAACTCCTTGGCATATGCTGCTGCCGCCGCCGCAGCATACCCTTGCTAATCCTTATTCTTGTGGGAATCCGAGTAGTCGCTGATACCCCGGATCACGAGACATGGGAACTCATCCATCAAACTGGCAGCCTCCATTTCGAAACACAGGACCTTGTGGTCCCGACGTATACGATTGCGGGTTGGACCGTGCTTCATAACCTGGTTTCCAGAAGCAATGAGCCCATAGTGGACCACGGGATCGGGCGACGGTCTTGGCTCGCGCCTCACTTCTCTGGCGCTTTGGCATCGCTCGCATGATGCATCGTCGCCGGGGTGGTCGTATTCGGCTTCGTACAGCGTGTCTTGCTGGAAGCCTGGGTACGAGAAATCTTTCCGTAGCAGAGGGAACCGAGTTGGCATTTCCTTGACGGAAGTGCTCAAACTGTTGCCACGCAGCGTATGCTCGGACTTGAGTATGTTCACAGCGGTCAGAAGCACATCTGGAGGTCGGTTAAGTGAGCCGGTAGTAATAAGCTCGCCATTCCGAATTGTTTTGCCAAAATCATACTGGAGAACGGCTCTGTGGGGTCCGCTGGGAATACCAGCCACTACATCCCCTAATCGAATGTCGCGTTCCCCAGGCGCTCCACCCCCGATTCCAACCATGAGGCGAAGCCGAAGGGAGGGAAATGTCAACAGCATGCGATTTGCTACCGCGGCGGCGGAAATGGTACCGATAACCCCGGCGGGAAGGCAAGCTACTTAGCACAACGTTATGCGCCCCGATAGGGCCAAGTATGTAACTGTTTTTGTCGGCCAGGTCCTGAGGTAAACGATCGTGCTCTTCATCTAACATCGCTTTTGCCACGGTCAACTCCGCGTGAAGTGCGCATATCCAGCCAACCGTGTACCTCTTATGTGAAAGAGTCGCTGTATTCGGTTCCTTTCTAGATTTGTGACATTGATTATGCGACGGGACACATGAGCCCATCTGCTCTGCTGCAGAGCCGTGAACTTGTGAGGTAGAGATCGCCGTTGCAAGTCGGGTAAGGTGGGAATCATATGATTGTCCACACTGGCCATGTTCTTGAGGTTGCATTTCCAGCGGGGAACGCTGATGACCCCATCCGCGAAGATCCAATATTGGTGCGATCTCATCCAATCTTCGATAGGAATAGTGCTGCCAAAACCTTGATCTAACTCATCTTCTAAGCACTGCACGATTTTCTCGTATATATGGATCTTGAGGCCACTCTCCTCTCGTACGTTGTCATCTGCATCGAAGGCTATATTCGAATCCGGAAATTTTGCCACAGCCATACGATATTTATCGGAATATTCGGATTTTGTCCGTTTGAAGGCGTCCGTCGCAATTCCCCAGCGCTCATTCTTTTCCGATTTCTTTAGATCGTCCCATAAAACGATTTCGAAGGTTGAGACACATACACCTCCATGAGCATAACTGCCAGCATTACGATATGCGGATACGGATGGATCGGTATATCGTCTGGATCGATAGCATCGATTGTGTTTTCCAACCCCTCTCCATTCCCAACCCCGATACCACCAAGATCCACTGTAGTATGAATAAAATGATAGCGGGGTGAATTGAAATGTATTCAAGAACAGAATATTGGATGATGTGAAACCGGAAGGCTAGAGCCACGGAGTTCCGTGCAGGCGAAGGACCGTGTATCCAAGAAGTACTGCGGGTACGCGCTTAGTCTTCTCGGTCAAAGTGGCAGCATTTTCCTTGAAAATTTGCTCTAATGACAGCGGCGCGTCCGAACTCTTCAAGAGAGCCTTGCTCCGAGAAGACTGGGCTTTCCATAGCCTGCCGTCTTCAAGCGTCCTGTTCAGTCTCCGCAAAGGCTTGGCCTTGATTTTGTCGATTCGTCCACACAGCTTCTTTATAGCAAGACGCACAGAAGAACTTCCAATTCTCTGACGCTTTGTTGGAACTTCAATTCTCACCTTGGGTTTTCTCTGGAGGGGACTGGCCTGTAACTGCGCTTGTTGCCACAATGACTCACACAGCTTCACTGTAACGAATATATCGAAGCTATATTGATCCGCTGTTTGGGGCGTCCGATACGTGGCTAGTTCGAGTCGCACTGCACATTCGTGGCTGGGATAGCAGTTGCATGTCTTCATAGACGTAACGAGAGAGTGAAAAACCGCGCTTGCGGCAGTTCAGACCGAGTCGGGGGGCTCTCTCAATTTCCTAACCCGCTGTTCCGGTGCTTCCAGTGTCTTACAGCTCTGCTCCTTCAGGGTATCCACACAGTCTCTTGGAAGTCTCTCAAGTCTATGCCGTACCAGGCACGGAGATCTTCACTTTCCTCCTCGTTTGGTAGAGCATCGGCAGTTTCTCGGATTATGGACAGAGTTTCGGATAGGAGAGGGACGGCGTTCGTCTTTCTGCGCACTATTAACAATGGGCGGATCTTTCCCTTCATGGTAATCCACCCAGGAATCGGGTATCTTACCTTGAGAATCGCGTCGTGTGTGGTATAGCTTGCTATTATACAGGAGCTGTCATCCACATCACAGTCAGTTTTCCTGGTTGATGTAGTTTGCATCGTGGTCAGGTCAGATTGACTCGTTCCGGGGAGTCTGTCATGCAGCTTCAGGTAATTGAGAATTCCCCTCGGCCAGCATGCTGGATTTCAAGCTGACATGGCGACCATTCAGCCCTAACGGATATTGACATCATGCCCACGGTATCCGTCTCATGCTGACGAGGGAGATGGGGAGAAGTAGGAAGAAGGAAAAGGGAAGAAGGCAGACAATCGGGTTGAACACGTGCGGGGGATGCGGGGTCCCTCCGCTCCGCCTGAGAGCCTGAGCGCCTGAACCTGCAGGCGCGTCTGTCCACTTCACCCCTGTCGGCTCTTATGATGCTACAGGGATGTGCTTCAACGTTGGGTCATGGACAGGGAGAAGAAATGCCGTCATGTTATCTATCTGATTTACTCCAAGCATTCATTCATTATATATCAATGTTCCAAACGATTATCTATACAGTGTTGCGGCCCGGCAAGGGAGGTAATTGGTCCGCGGCAACAGCCACGGTCGCACAACCGAACTATCTCACCGCGCAGCAACGCGCAGCAACGCGGCGCCATTCCAGCCTCAATACACGATGACTTCCTGCGCCAAACAACTCTCCAGATGCAAAAAAAGGTATATAATCAATCAAAAATACATACAACAGAAGGGATTCGCTGGTGGTCACCCACCCAACTACTAACCTCCCGGCGTGTGGCTTAAGTACGGCTGAGCGGACGGGAAGCCCTGTTCTCCACACCCTATGGTCGTATGTGTTTGATATCAGTGAGAAGGGAATCATGTAGAGCAGTTTGACATGCGGACCGAACACTGACAAGGCAGTATACAGTTGGGTTGTACCCCAGGATGGCATTGTTGCATTATGTTGTTGGTTTTATGGCTGGTTAGGAGACGACATTCCATCTGGAAAGGTCGCATCATGACGCGTCGTACACAACAGGGTTGCTTTGAGAGACGTATTAATAAAGCGCCGGGCACTATATATATATATATATATATATATATATATATATAGTGCTCTGGGTGGAAAGGGACGATCGGCTACATAACGAGCATCCGGACGGCTTTACATCCTTCGGGGTGCCGGCCAAAGGGGAGAAGGACATGCTCGCAGGTGTTGTCGTCTCCCTGCACGCGCAGATGTCTCGAATGGATCACCTAAAAAAAAAGGATCTGGTTGGAAGCCTTACCATGCAAAACGGCCAGCTGTTCTTCGCCACGCTCCTCGTCCGGATTGGAGCGGATAAGGGAAGAAAGCAATATGAGGAAACTGGATGTATGATTGGCTCAGCTAACAGATTGAAACCCCCGCATGCCTAACCCATGAAATTCCAGCCCACCAGGAGATAAGTAGTTGCATGCACGCATGAGGGCTGCGACTTGGAGTAAGCGATAATTATCCCCAGTCGCCCAAGTGGAATACCCCGGCAATGGTCGAGGCGAGCAGCATCATGGCCACACCATCATCGCCAGAAAGCCTTCCTGAAGAACCTTGCTCTATATGTTTGGACCTCATTTCCGACAAGAGGATTTTCGGGTACATCAGGAACGACCCGGATAGTAGGTTGCCCGACTTCACACTAGAAGACTGTGATTCTATATTTCACAAGCGGAGACCTTCTTGTGCCAGATACGAGGAAAGTCTCTGCAAATCCTGTGCACACCTTAGAATTGAGTGTTTGGAACAGATATCCGTGAATAATTTCGACAAATCCTGGCCCACTTATCCGAACCCCCACAACGAATTTCGATATGACTGGAATATTGCAATTGTGCTCGACCGTATTTGGGAGATACAGGCCCGAAAGGAAAGCTGCTTCTTATGTGCACGAATTACGGAATTACTCACTTTGGAGGGTGGCACCGACATAAGCCAGGTTGTTCATGTTGATGTACAATTGGATAAACACGACCACATCTATTTATCTGTACGAGAGCAAGGTCAAAAATACCCATGCGCAAGACTTTATGGAAACTTTGATTCTTCAACAGAAGCAAAAATGCCAGATTTCACAACTGAATATAGCGTGAGCGAAATTGACTGGCTGACAGTCAAGAAATGGATTGAAGAAAGTCTAGAAAGCGCCCAAAAAAGCTCAAAAAGCATCGGCTTGTGCAAGCCTCCAGATGGCTTTCGTTTGATTGATATCCGGGAGCTCTGCGTTGTCCTTGCCCCGACACCCTGCGAATATGCATGTCTCAGCTATGTTTGGGGAACAAACACATCGTGTCAAGCGACCTCGGAGAATATCTCTGACTTGGAACAATCAAGGAGCCTCGAACGAGACGATCTACCGCAAACCATACGAGATGCTATCGAAGTTTGCAGCAACCTTGGCAGCCGATATCTTTGGGTTGATAGACTTTGCATCATACAGAATGAGGAAAGCTCGTCCAAGAAAACTCAGATTGACGCTATGTGCGATATATATAGAGGTGGCCTCTTTACTATAGTTGCTTTGGAAGGCTCTCACTCAGGCCACGGTCTGCATGGTGTCTCGCCCGAATTGGGGCGTTCAAGATATCCTCGATTCCGTATTGGCGACCAGCTATTTGAGGCGTTTCCTGACAGTTTCGATGGATCCTGTAACAGGTCAAAGTGGCAAACCCGCGGCTGGACATGCCAGGAACGCATAATGTCTCCCCGGTTGCTTTTCTTCACCAAGAACGGGCTTTATTACCAAAGCGAGACTGATCCCGAAATCAAGACAGATATTCAAGAGTGGGCGGCTGGTATCCGTCACCGAGGAGGAAATGCCAAATACTTCGATTACCCTCTCCTGGTTGCGGAAATTAGCAATAGACAGTTCAGCGTCGAGGAGGATATTGTCAATGGACTTGCTGGTGCTCTGGACTTTTTTGTGGGAAAGGGAAACCATCAATTCTCAATGTCTTTGATACATTTCGATGAGGCAATTACTTGGAGGGTTTATGGCCAAAGCCGAGGCCGCACTGTGTTTCCTTCATGGTCCTGGGTGTCCGTCAAGGAGAGTCCAGAATTCGAATCTGAGTCGAAACTTCTTCCTATTGCATCCTGGGCTGTCATTGATAGCGCAACAGTCAGTGAACTTCGCTGGCTGAAGGCTGGCAATGAAATTCCTTTGGAGGAAGAGGCAATTGTAACTGGAACTTTTCTATGGAGGCATGGATGCATGAGATCGGAATTTCCGCATGAATTTAGGAGTCTAATGGGCCGTGATGAGTACATGCAACTATTCAGGTACAGGTTCCCAACGAACAAGGCATTCAACGAAGCTTGTGGTGTTTGGCCAGGTGGAGAACAGAAAAATTCGGAATTGCTTGAAAAGTTTACCCAACAGCAGATAGAAGCTGGTGGACAGCCTATGTCTATCCTGGCTCACTCGCAGACGATTGTGCTGCCCTTGGTAGGACGACCAGATCAACCTGTACGTTTTATGTTCCAATACGAGGGTCTATTTTTCGGCTACATGGCGTTTGATCCGAGATCGAAGCATTACACCGCATTGGAAGCGGTGAAACCCTGCACAAGGATTACTGGAGTGGAATTTCTAGCCCTTTCAGCCTCATGGTACTCGAACTGGAACTTGTGTTACTATTATAGAGACGACAAAGGCTACCTGAAACCAGTCGACAAACTTGATCAACTCAGTGGACGCAAACCCACAGATCTTCCTTTTTACCCGACAAAGAACAATGAGGCTATTCTCGAGGAAATCCATGTGAACGTTCTTGCCATCAGAACAACCAATGATGGGATCTCGCATCGATTAGGCTCCGGTTTTATTCCTCTTATTGTCTGGTTGACGATCCTCAAACCTACATTCAAATCAATTGTCCTTCAATAAAAGACGATTTGTCCGGCCAAGGTTTGTATCAGACGGGGCATTTGACACCTTCATACCACCACGGCCGCCGGATTCCGACTCTTGTCTTTCCCTGATATTGTTGTTTTTTGTTGCTTCGTGTGTCAGCGGAGTTGCTGCCGAGGTCGATGCCTCCAGTCATCTCTCTCTTCCCAAATCCCTCTTCCTTCTCGAGGGCTTGTTGAGCAGATCACCTCACTGCCAGTCTAATGCTCCTCCGGGCTGATATCTTTGCTGCTGTACGCGCCCGTCATTATTATGTTTGATTTATTTCTGCCTCATTCTAAAAATATATGCAATGTCTGCGGTTCATGACACGTGCATTATCGTAAAATCAGGCTTCATCAGGGAGGTTCCCTCTATTATTATATTACTAGGACTTTGTTGCAGTTTGAAAAAAAAACTTCTATCCACCCACCCATCCCGATTATGCTGTCCACAGACATATTGTGAAACCCACACGTATACTTACAGCTAGCCAACCGGACCGGGGTGTTGTGCGACAAGAAATACATACTATGGGCCCTACAGCAGGAACAACCGATGGTTTGTGCAACATCAGACTATCATCCGTTAACCGCGCCCGCAGCAAAAAAACTTCTACTTCCTGCGCACCAAACAACATCCAGATAACAGGAATGCTATATAAAAAAATTAAGAATACATACGACAGAGGGGATTCGCTGGTGGTCACCCACCCAACTACTAACCTTCCGGCGTGTGGCTTAAGTACGGCTGAGCGGACGGGAAGCCCTGTTCTCCACACCCTATGGTCGTATGTACTGTCTTTATCAAAGAGGAGGATCATATAGGGGGGGCATCGTGTAAAAGACTCAAGAGGAATGTACGCGAAATGCAAGAGGATAAAATAGAAGAGTACCAGAGGACGCTATACCGTTGCTGTGCATCGGTATGAAAAAAGTAAAACTGGCTGCTATTGCTCAAGATGCCGTAGACGGTGGGGCTCTGCACGCCGGTCTTCATCCTGCGCTTCTGTACAAGAGCCATTGAACTGATAATCTGGGGCTCTCTAGTCGAAGAAAAACCTTGTGGCTTGACCACAACGCAGACGAGGTTGCTCGCAAGGTCGAAGTGCAAATCAAAGCCAGCGAAGACGGAGTAGTCCACGTCTCCGGTGATGTGGTGCCCTTCCCCCGAGGGTCCTGGTACAGCTCCCTGAAGTCTTGTCCCAGCGTTGAGATTTAACTTCTTTGTTCTAGGAAGCGTTCTATTCTCCCGTTCGAGAAACCCCAAAACTCTATAGAATGTGTCCAGAAGGAGAAACCCCAGGGTGATATGTATCTTGGCCTCGCTTTCAAGGGCCCTGTTCATAGCACTTTGAAATCTGGCCTGGTGGCCGACTGCAGGTTCTATTAGCTATTGATTTGTTAGATCACTGAGCCACATACCCAAGAAATTTGTGAGTGGAGCCTCATCGCCTGTCTCTGGAAAAGGTTCCGAGCCCTCTGTGACGCCGAAGAATCTCTCCAAGTCGGAACTTGTCATGTCCTCAAGGTCGATATCTGTCCTCTCCTCCCCCCCCCCCACTTCAGCCGTCATACACTCCAGCATGTCTTCGTCCCCGTAATCGTCCAGGTGTCCTTGTGCAAGATCCCGGGTCTTTCGGAATATTTCGGGCGCCGACGTTAAGTAAGGCATGGCTGTTGCAATACCCTAGAGGGCTGTGGAGGGATTTCAGGGATGGGGCATGACTTATATGTGACTGAAAAGAATTTACTGGGGGGACTGATGAAGTAGCGATGTCATGTCAGAGCCAGCGTGGTCCTGTTTGGGTCTAGCGCCTGTTGCGCAGAGGGCATTCCCTCTCCCTGTCCCTCTCGGCTTCCCTTCTCTTCCCCCCTCTTCTCTAATCTTCATGTACGCTAAAATCACCTCATTCACTGACCACGCGTGCCAGGCCTGCAAGCGCCCTCTACCTCAGAGCCAGAGGCAATTGATTAGACCCAGTTTACACCTAATGTGACTGCCGTTAAAACCCCTTCGCCTGCGTCAACAGCCAATCCCACCGATCAATCCACCACTGAATCTGGCTCTCCCGCCAGGAATCCTCCTCAACATGCAGATTCAACGTGTTCGACAGTGTGGCATTGTACACGAAGTTCTGGCGCGAGGTAGTATACTCCGGCCAGTGGGGGATCCAGTCAAGTCCGTGGTGGTTGGGGTCCTTGGTCGAGGCAAAGCTGATCCAGGTGGCCTGCAAGGCATAGCTGACATGATGCATGGCGGTCACGTTCTGGATGGGCAGGTATGGCGTATAGGGTGCATAGGGGATGCGGAACTCGAAGCATAGGTCACTGCCGTGCTGGGCAAACCCTAGTCCAAGTCCACTAGACTCGGGGTGGATTGGGAACCGCCAGGGGTCTGTGTCGAAGCGGTAGCTGTATACCGGCTGCCCACTACCTTCATTCCAGCGTTGGGCTGTTTTGCGCCGGCCTGAGATTGCCTATAGTAAGTTAGTCGGGAAGCTCCGGTAGCAGGCCGATCGGGAAGCTTACGCTCCAGTCTCCCCCGATAGCATATCCCACTCGGCTCCAATTTCCGGCTTCGAATCCCGCCGCTTGCGCCTGCGCGACCCAGTCGACATCCAACGATTGCGAGTACGGGGGTAACGTGTCCAGATCCGCGTACAGCGCCACGATCTCCTCCGACGTGCTGGCATTAAGCGCGAACTTCTCCTGCACGAGCTCAACCAGCTCTTCGCTCGTGTTAGCGCTGTTGATGAACGTCGTCAGACCCTCGTCGGAGTTTGCGCCCAGAAGAAGTGCGACAGGGGCCATCTGCTGGTGAGAGAACTGCGAGGAAGGCGAGTTCTTGAGGAAGTCACCGTCGATGACGGGGCGAAAGTCGGTGCCGGAGTTGGCTGCGTACAGACTGGCATTATATTGTTGGAGAGGGAGGTTGCGGAGACAATCGATCATCTCGATAGATGAATTGCAGCCCGTGCTCTCGCTGACACTGTCAAAGTACCCCTGCTGCTGCTTCATGGTTCCCATAAACGGCGAGTAGGCCGTCACGCTGGAGATGATACCCGCGTGGAAGAGACCTGAGTTCTGGCCACTGTACGCCTGCGCGAGCAGTTCGACGCTGAGGCCGCCCGAGGACTCGCCCCAGATGGTGACGCGGGATGTGTCGCCGCCGAAGCCTTCGATATTCTCTATTGACAGTCAGTCAGTCATAATGGACGAAAGGTTGGAGACCCCGAAGATAGTACCTTGAATCCACTCCAGCGCCTTCCACAGATCGCGCAGTCCCAGATTAGCAATCCCCTCGCGCACCGTCTCCTCGCTATTCAGATACCCGTACCCCGCTAGTCGCGAATTCACCGAGACCACCAAAACAGGCATGTCGATCTGCGTCGAGGTCTGGACCATATAACCGAGATTCATCATCGGGTCGCGAATTGCCCCTTGGTAGAATCCGCCGCCGTAGATCCAGACCATGACGGGTAGGCGTTGGTCGGGTGTCGTGCCGACCGGCCGCGCAATGTCAATATTCAAACAGTCCTCGCCAATCGGCCATCCCCAATCATTCTGATCACCCCAACCGGGGCAGGTGAGGCCATACCGCGTCGCGTTGTGCGCCCCCGTCCATGTCTCATTGAGTGAGTCGGCTATGCGCAGCCGGCGGGCGTGCGCGTATGGAATCCCTAGGAAGACTTCACTCGATGGTTGTGGGACATGAAACCCCAAATCTATCGTTGATTAGCAAATATAGGGTCTTATACAAGGTGGAATATGGCCGTGAACCCACAGGATCCGTTCCGGGTATATCCCACGACAGGGTCCGCCGGAGGAAGCGCATATGCGCTGCTCAGCGCCGTAAGACCGATAGCCAGCAACATGCGCATGACGAACATCAGTCCTTCATAAAGAGCGGAACACTAAAGGAAAAAGAGGAAAAAGCAAAAATCCATCCCCAGGAATGAACCAGGGTTCCTTTTAACGGCCCCCATGGTTTGCCCCACCCAAACGCGGGGAACACAACGTTACCCCGGATACTCCCCAGACGTGGATAAAAAGGGTTACGGTACGACGCTCGCCCGGAAATACTTCATCCCCCAATCACATCACCTCCGCGCTCGGATCTACGAAACCATCAGTTGAAGATAAAACTCGAGCAGAGAGTGGAGTCATCCGGGTTACTCTTCTCCCGGAGAGGAGGGGAGATATAGAGTTGGACGTTGGCACGGAATGCGCACGCGGAGATAAAGTCCGTTGACGGCAGTCGGGTCCGAAGATTTTGTCCAACTTCAACTACGTCAACGTGTACACTGTACAATGATGAAAGATCCTCTTTAGTCCTCGCAGGCTCGTTGACACGCCCCGGATCTCGGATACGGCATCAGTTTTGCTTCGCGAGCAACTGTCAACTCTCAACCAACCAACCAATCAATCCCTTCCACCGCGTCACCAAGGCAATAAATACCTTACGATATACATCATCTCCACCGCCATCAACAGTCCACGCTTCGCATTACGATTCCTTTCTATATTAGACCGACACTCAATGAGAGTTATACATGCAACCATAGGGTGTGAACAATAGACCTTCCTGTCCTCTCAGCCGTAGTCGGTGCTTGAGCCACGTATTGAACAAGGCGAACCAGGAATCCAGCCTTTTTTAACTTGTTGCTTTCTCGGTGAGAAACACTGGATAAATCGCGGGTGATGCTGTAGTATGTGACCCTAGGTGATAAAATATGCTGGCTAATATTTTCTTAAAAATGCAGAATAAATACATGACTTGGATGTTTGTTACTCCCGTTGGGGTAGCAGGACGTTGAGCCCAAGAATCCAGCCCCACACTTGTCCAGGTCTAAGGATGCATGTAAGCCTTGTTGTTTGTGCCCGATGGTAATTATTACCCCGCGTCCCGCCGTAGTTGATTCCTCATCCTCTTTCTCCTCACTGTCGATGATTGAGCTGAGAGAGACCAACTTTAAGCCCCTATTTAAAATGTCCGAAGACACAGATAACGAGGACGAGAGATGCACCATCTGCTGGAAAATGGCTAACTAAGCATGATGAGTCAGACTACCGGAGATGTTATAATTGGCATATTGTGCACTGAGTTAAATATAAAAGACGACGACCATCACTGCGTAACGGTGCTTGACTCTTATCCGGATGTAGATAAGGAGCAAGCCACATATGGTTATGGGGGATCTGGATACTTGCATGATGAGTTTGCAGTGGATGTGATGCTTATTGAACGAACTCAGCCTCGTGGTATCGCGCGCCGTGTCTCAGTAGGCCAGATCTGTCTCAAGAGGTGGACTGAAGCGAAACGGCATCTTGAAACTGTTATTCTGGAATGATCATATCCTTGAGACAGAAATCTAGGTATGTGGGAGGTGCTGCTAGCAGGACCACCTCGCAGCTGTCCTGTTAATGTGCCAGTGGGGGAATACAAGGTACAGCTGGATGTCGGCACGGAATACACGTGCGGAGACAAAGTCGGCATGGCATGCCAGCCTGTATAACGGCGGAAGACCAGTTCCTCAACCCCAGTCCATGTCTCTCACCACCATTGCATCCTACATCCCGATTCAACCCCTCTCTCTACACATCCCCCATCTCACACGAAAACCGTACATACGACCATAGGGTGTGGAGAACAGGGCTTCCCGTCCGCTCAGCCGTACTTAAGCCACACGCCGGGAGGTTAGTAGTTGGGTGGGTGACCACCAGCGAATCCCTCCTGTTTGTATGTCTTTTCCTTCTTTTTTTTCTCTTTTACTTATATTCTTTTGCCGCGTTATGTGGTGTTGGTTGCTCGTGTTTGGATAGATGGAGCGGAAGGCGGAAGGGAGCGGGGTTTGCACAGTCAAACGACACGCGCGATCGGAGCAACTCCGCGTTGTGGAAGGGCGCAAGCTTGTTCCGTTTTGCGGGGTGAGATTGGTATGTATGTAGACAGTAAGGTAGATTAGATATGCGGGAGTTTCTAGGACCTCGTCGGGGCTTTCTTTTACCGCCGCCATCATATCTTAGGCGAAGATTGGACTATATGATCCATTTGTGAGGTGAGTATATCCTGGTTAAGTGATTGGGGCATCTAGCACCCACCTCCCATTGTAGGTACTCACGGGGATTGTCAAAAGGTTCCAGCGGTATATTGATGGAGAGCATCGAATATAGACACAATAATACCCAAGAGGAAGCTATCAAAAGCATTTGATATAATAGAACTTTAGAGAAAATCACCCCGCAAGGCAACCTTACAGGGTAAGCCCTGCGCAGGATGCCCCGAGCCCTTTTGCACCGTATACGCCCTCTCACCAAACATCGTCCTAACCCCCTCCGACGGATTCAGCCGGTCAAACTCCTCGTACTGATTTTCAAAATCAAACTGCCTCACCACCATCGCCAACGAAAACTTGATACTAAGCAAGGACATATTCTGTCCTACACATTTCCTCGCCCCGTGCTCAAATGGCCTCCACCCTCCAGCCGCGGGGGGGGGGGGGGGGGAGATAAAGGATGATCGGGGCTCACGAGCCAACGATCAGGAATGAAACTGTCTGGTTCGGGCCAAGAACTCGGGTTCCGCTCGACAGCGCTATGGGAGATCCAGATGGCGTAGTTTTCCGTGGGGTAGGATTTCCCGCTGAATGAAAAGTGGAGGGAGATGCCTGGAAGGCCGGCGCGGAGGCCGTTGGCCGGGGGGGAAGAGACGGAGGGTGTCTTTGATTACGGCGTGGGTGTAGGGGAGGTGGTTGATTGTTTCGGGACGGGATTTCAGGAGAGAAGGAAATGGGAAGAAAAAGGGGGAGTGGGTGGGATTTAAAAGAGAAAGAAGTTGGCCTTAGGAATTGTTTCCAACCCACCCATGTCAGCAGCTAAATGGTGGATGCGGATACCGCGGGCTTGGATGAATCGCGCGAAAATTGCATTACTGGAGGCTGTCATCGCCCTCCTCGTGGCCGTTGGTGGTCCGATTCCTATCAGGCCAGTGAGATGATTTCCCTAGACCCACAGGTGAATCCAAAAGTCGAACAATAATAAGCAAAGAGAAACACTACAGGCCAACCAACATACCAAGAGAAGAAACGAATGATGGCCCCTGTATGGTGCCTGTATCAGGGTATTCAATACCAACCCCTATGGCTGTAGGTAGTATCTCTAGTGTCCTCAAGGCCCTGGTTATTGTTGAAGAAGTAAGCTCGAGACAAGGAAAACACCTTTCTAGACGAGTGGCTCATCTACTCATTTTCCCAACTGATATCAGTGGAAGGAAGTGCTGCATCCTCCACACGGTTCTAAACAAGGGAAGATCAGTGGAGACGATGCCGGGCTAACAGTACAGTAGGCTCAGCCTTGTGGACCGGACATCAGAACTCCATCTGCAATGTCTGTCCTGTAATACGCTGTTCATGATTGGTGCTTGTGCGCAGAGCCAGTCGTGTTGTTAAACCTGGTAAGCAGGTAAGGAGCAAAGGAATGAAAATGCGGGGCAATTCCGACTCCAAGGCACAGATACTAGACGAGGCCACCTATCTACTTGCCTATGAGAGTGTCTACTCAATAACAATGTACCCACTCCGCATTGATTATCGAGCACAAGCCCCTTAGTCGACACGCTTATAGGTCCACCAAGCCAATAATGGTCATACGGCAGCTGTTCAGCGCGAGGTAAACGTCCCTATTATTATGTATGATCCGACCGCGACACCCATAAGGCTGAGTGAGCATCTTATCATCCGACCACGAGGAAAGCATATCCGAAAGTCTACGCATCTTATATAAACCATGTTGTGCTCCCCCTAGTTTCTTAGTAATATTTTGTATTCCCAATCTCCCTCCGTCACTCCCAAAAACTCACACCATGAATTCCACAGCGGTAGCCGTATTAGCCTTCATCCTGACTCTCCCCCTTTTCATCACATCGACAACATTCATCCCGCCGGACATATACCACAAAACTTTAGTCTTTTTCTCTCTCCTCGCGATACCATTTATAACCGGCCACATCATCACTCGCATCATACATCAAGGAATGAAAATAAATCGGGGGCGGTTGGGAGGTCAGTGACAGTCATGCAAACCCGGTGCCTTCGGTCCATTTTCAGTAGAAGCTGATCCACACTCACCACAGGAAGAGAAACTCCGGTCACCAGTCTCTGGTGACACATGCTGTGAGAAAGAGAGTGTGTTTCGAGCTTTGCGCATGAACTGTCTCTCGATGAAGCGGGGGGGGGGATGATAGCTGGGGGTGTGACCGTTGCGATCCTCGATAGCTTTGAATGGAACAGTGCCTTGCCTGGTACTGAGACAGGCTGATTTGTCAAGGCGTCTACAAAGTATTCACAAAATAGTTTCATTTGGCTAATATCCCCCTACCAAAAACCGGGCGCTCCATGACGTCGGTAATTGATGCCTAAGGCTGCGGTAGATTGCGGGGTAGTTTGAAGTAGTGGATCTCGGGCTGGACCCTGCGTTATGTAGATTGTAAACGTCAAACAGAAGTACGTATACAGGCTGCAGGGCGTACATACGGAAATGTCAGGACGGGCCAGGGACTGGAGGGGAGGGGGAATGAAGACCGGGGATTGGGAAGAGTGTTCGATGAGCAAAATTAATGAAGAAGAATTCCATAAATTCATAAAGGTATCTAATCTATCTACCTAATCAATACTAGTCTCACAGCACCTTCTCCAGCAGCTCATTCAGCTCCTGCACCACAAACTCCGGGTTATCCTTCTGCACGAAGTGGCCCGCGTTGGGCGCCAGAATCGGCCCCTTGCTGTACTCGGTCTCCGTAATCTTCACCAACCCCTCGTTGTACCGCTGCCAGTACGGATTGACAAACAGGTTCGTCACCGGCTTGGGGGGTCCCATCTTGGCGGACTCCTCGGCAAACGCATCGAAGTCGTGGCCCACCACCGTCACGTAAGGTCCGTGCCCGGCGGGTCCTTTCAGCAAAGGTCCATCGCTGGCAGGCAGCAGCTCCCGCAAGCTCCGCCGGCTGAGACCCTCTTTGCTGCCGACATCGGGGTGGAACACGCGGCGGGCACCGGCCCGGACCGCGCGGATGGCTTCGACGGGGAGACCGTGCAGAGCGGCGGGGTCGAAGTCCGCGGCATCGGGGTCAGGAAAAACAGAAACGAAATCGGAGTTGGCTAGCACGCTGTCGAGGAGGAGGAGAGCAGCTACGGTTCCGGGATATTCTTGTGCGTAGAGACGAGCCAGAGCGCAGCCGATGGAGTTGCCCACCAGGATAAGTGACACAGAGTCCACGTCGGACACCCCCAGCTTGTCCTGCGACATCTGGGTGATCAGTTGTCGGGCATCATGCACTGAAGCGAGGCAGTCATGGCCATGCATGGGGTCTTCAGCGCCGGCGTCCTGGGGATCGCGATCGGTGCTCTGGCCTTGCCCGAAGCGATCGTAGGTCAAAAAGGCAGGAGTGCTCTGCCCCTGGCGCAGGGCTTTCAGCTGAGCAATGACGGGGAGCCAGAAGGTTTGCGGCAGCCCAAGGCCGTTCAGAAAGACGACCAGTGTGGGCTTGGACGCGGCCTCAGGCGCTTGGAAGCTGTAGCTCAGCTGCGCCGAAGGCTTGGTGGTGAGAGCAAGAAACTGCACGTCCGCCATTTTGAGAAGACCCAAGGGTTGAGACGCAGAAGGATGATCAAGGCGACGTGAAGAAGCACGAGTGTGGGAGGGGGTGAAATGTGGAAGAAGCAGCTTCTCTGGCGAGGCTCAAATGGCCGCGGTCGTTGATCGGGTCTTTATAGCCGTTGTATCTGACAGAGGGGAAGGGCAGGAAGGTTGGCGCAGCTTTGGTCGGGCCATATGGGGGCGATTTCTTCCAATGACCAGCGCTGCCCGCTCGCCAGGATCACTAGGGCTTACATGTCAGCACCAGTCTAGAACAAATCCGGTAATTTGGTATTGGTATCATGCTCTACTGCAGCCTTGCGCAGGAGTAGACGGCTAATCTTCTTTAGTATGCAGTTTGCAGGTCAATTGTGATGACCAAGCAATATATTGCTGTATACTTCGTATATAACAGAAGAACCAATATGATAAAGATGCGTCCCTAGCTCTTCCACCTATGGGTCTCGGGGACTTGCGAGAAAGGTGGCCAGACGGGGTAATCGAACTTGGTTGTGACCGTTCCAGTAATTTTGCAATACCGCGGGTTGACCAGCTTGGGCCCATCGTAGCCCGTCATGGATGTTCTGGGCCTCAGGCAGCTTCTTTCGGTACTCCAAAAAACAAGTGGTGAAGATATCACAGTTTACGTTGTCTAGTTGCGACGCTATGAAGCCATGTCCAGCTTCAACATGGGTTTCCAAATGTCGGTGGTGTTTAACAATAACCAGGTAGTCATGACAATCGGCAACCATGGGAAAATCGCAAACGAGCGATCAGAGATGCGTATTGCCGGCAACTTGGTCAGTCACGGTCTGCGTGCTTTCATTTGGCCCACTGCTGGTTGAACGGAGTGTCGACAGGGGATACACTATCTGCGAGGTCTATTGAGCTGGCAAGGGTTTGAACCTCTGCCAATGCTGTTAGCCTAGTTGTACATGGTCAAAACCCAGCCCGAGCTGGAAGATTACTGGCGTATTCACGGAGTTATACCTTTCCTAATGGCGACGGTGAAGAACGTTATCCGCTGGCGACAAACCACACCTTGACACCGCAGCACCGGGTAACTGAGGATCTGAAGTGTGGAGGGTATATCTTCCCGAAGGGGAATTGCTTCGTCATTAACGAGTTTGTGCTTGAGCCACGAGTACGACGAGTCCGATGGGCTGGATCCGTTGCGCTGGCTGGACGGGAACAAAGGAATATCACGCATGGTGGTCCATGGATATTTGAGGAAGGCTGTCGAATCTCCGTTGTATGCGGCCATGGTCCGGATTGTTTTCTATTTCGAATTGACTTCGGTAAGCAATACTCTGTTGCCCTGGATCCTTCCCGTACTAACCTTGGTAGGACTGGAAGATCGACAGCCTTTCTCTCCACGAGCAGCGGCCCCTTCCGATCAAAGTTACCATGCGCAGCCTTTAACACAAGTGTTTCATTCAGGATGAGACCGCCAATGCAGTGGCTATGTTCGAACACAGCTCGGTGGGATAATGTCTTGGTTTCGTTCTTCTGTCAGACTATCAGTTGCAAGTGTATCTTGAGTGAGTTTCTGCGTGTATCTGGGGACGAAACATCAAACAAGCATCGAATGTCGGTGGGCAAATGTGGTTACGACACAGTGCCGGCATTACCTCACTTCCCTCGGCTAATTTATAACCGCAAAGTCGGAGTATAGTTCATTATTTACATCGAGGATGTGATAGCAAAGCAAGGGAGACAATACCAGGCCATCAAAGCTGGTCCAAAAACATTCCAGCAGGTATCATGGGGAGTGTTGGATAGTAAACCGTTTATCGAACTGGTGCTTGCAGAAGGAGAAGAAATACCCCACTGCCAAACGAGAAACACCGCGAGGGGCACGTGGCCGGCTCACATGACTCAAGACCGCTTGTTGGTGCCCCACGCTGGAGCGGCTGAGATTATTGCCTTAGACATAAGGCCACAACGGTGGATGGACACGAACGACAACCTGCTCTTCTGTTCCATCAACACCATCAACAGCCTCGCAGAAAGTCATTGAAACAGCAAGAAATCTGGACGGAATGTCACACTTGAGGACCCATCCGCTTTACCCGGTCAGCCTAGCTGCAGAGTCTGCCGTTGCCAGATCTAACGATGTTTTCATGCAGACAAGTCGGGCCCCGAGAATGTACATGGAACGATCATAGACAAGTTGACTGGATTCTAAGACCATGCAATACGGGTGATTTGAGTGACTAAAGGGACTTCCACCATCATGACTGGCAATTTAGCCAAGAAAACTGCGTCGTGAGAAGAACCCTTGGTTGCCGTTGAGGGATTGGCTACGATTACTCACAACTGGATAAGGAGAATAGATTTCCATGGAGTTTGACCGCCGGAAGATCTATATTAAGCAAGAATTGATTCTGTGTCGTCTTTGGAGGCTTTTGGAGAAAAACCTCTCCACCATATACCTGTCGACAAATAGCATTGAGGATTGGGCATCCGGGTCATATACTGCCAAAGCACGCGAAGTACGACAGTCTTGCCAGAGGTGCAATATGACCAGTAGGCCCCGAAAACCATCCATGACAAACTCTGTACTAATTGCAGCTGTACCCAAATCAGCAGATAATCTTGTATCCCTGTCTGGTCCCGCATATATCGCTTCGAACGTCGTTATAACTGTGCAGATCTCCCCTTTTCATCTGCGGTTTCACCCTTGAGACTAATACTGTCGTCTAGGAATCCAATCGTCGCAGCTATATTGCCGCGCTCGGCAACTATCAAATGGGTGTATTGGTTGATATTGGTGGCATTTATAGCCTCACCTTCCAGCCACTCAGATTGCATAGGCTGTGATTTTGCTCCAAAGTCACTTCAAGAATGGATATCCCGCCCGGACGAAGCTTCGTGTCAGGCTCCATGAATTTTCCATTCCATCTCACTTTTTAATGACTCTCAGCATTGCTAATCCGCTACTGTTCGAGGTTTCCATCTACGGTTTCACCGGTGCCACACCCAAGCCATCCGCCGCTAGCTCTGCAATGCTATTCCAAATGTAGTATCAGGTGTTTATGCTTTAATCTTTCTCATAGTTCTCTCACCCTTCATATTTCTTTCTTGTTTTTGACAGCGACACCAAATCTTAATCCCATGCCGGCAGTGGAGGCCGGGAATATGGGGACAATAGTATCTCTAGTTCATTGACAGCTACAAATCAAGGCAGCTGTGTCTAACACATGCTTGTAGAGACTGAATACACAGAGACATAATTTTATATGTTATCATGATATGATCACTAAACATCCCAAACTTGTCAGATTAAAACCCAACTGCTTACCTAACTTCCCTGGGGAAGTCTTCCACCAATACCATTTGGCCATTGGCCCAACATACACGGTTCAGGAGAAGCTACCCCCAGCTCTAGGACATTCAAAACGGCGTTCCTCAGCCACGGAGGGGGAGACTGGTGGCTCAAATAGCCACATGACGAAAGGATGGTGTGTATCCGCCCTCCCACCGTATAGTTTGGCGTCGTGGCGGCTACCACCTCCCGTCACTGATATCTCGCCTCCGATGTCTAGGTTCGAGATTAAAGGGCCGGTGGCTGGCCGCCCACCCATGGTTATTTTTGTTTGTGAGAATACTTTGATCTAATTACTGGGCTTCCAGTCTTTGTTACTGAGATTCACCGCGATCTAGCCACTCACGGGCCCGGATTCAGATTCAATGAGGGACGGTGAGGCTTTATACACGAGGCTTGATAGAAATTGGGTGGAGGCTTTTTCAGGGCTAGAGGTATGGGTGTCAGGGCCGTAAAGTTACCAGGATTAGATTGTATGGGGCCAGGATAGGCTGCGGTTGACCTCATCTGCACAACTCAGTTTGGCGTCACATAGAAAAGATGGGACGGGACAGCGTAGATTTTACGGTGAAGAGCTTTGCTGGGTAGTCGCGATCTGTTACTGTTGCACAGGGAATCAGGCTCGAGGTCGCTCCTTCACTGTTCAGCATTGACTGGATCACGCGCCTCGCTTAGCGGTCTGCTGTTGTTATTTCACACCCTTCTCGCGCCCTCCTCGCCCTCTTCCTTCTTCCTCCTCTCTCTTCCTCTCCCACCATCAGGGTTCCTTCTCTGGATTTCGTACTGAAGAGCGTGTTGAAGGACTTACTCTACATACCTGATAAAACCTCTACATAAATAAACCTACACAATTAGTTCTACAAGCTCAGCTCTGAAGGTATGACGCCGCACAAACATTTCTTCATTACCCTGCTCTGCCAACAGTGCTGATAACAAAGAACTAGTGCTTTAAAGAACAGATCAAACCAGCACAATGCCGGAACATTTCATTCGGTTCCTGCCAGGTGTCCCTATGGCGCCTCGCCCGACAATGATTCCTCCCATGGCCCATGGAGAGGGGTCGACTGCCAATGTAAATGGGAGCAATCCGGCCGGTTTCACAAACTCCGTTCTGGCGTCACTTCACAAACTCAGTAAGGTACTGGCATTGAGCAAACTAGTAAATATCAATGGAAACACACTGGACATGGCCGATGTCGTCGCCGTCGCTAAGTAAGTTGTTAGCTGGCTGGGAGCGCGACCGAGCGGATTAGACTGACAAGGAATCTTACCTTAGATACAACCGTCCTCCTACCATCCAGGACCAGCATGGCACTAATTTGAGGATGAACGCGAGCGTGAACTTCCTCAATGACCAGCTGGCTGCAGGAGAAACCATTTATGGTGTCAATACCGGATTTGGAGGCAGTGCTGATGCACGCACGGACAACTATGGTGCTCTGCAGAAAGCCCTGATCCAGCATCACAATGCAGGCATCCTGTTGCCAAGCGATCGTGGAGTCGGAGAGAGTCTAGTCCAAGACAGCCTCAAGAGCCACAATATCCCACCTCACATTGTGAAGGCGGCGATGTTGACGCGCTGCAACAGCCTCGTCCGGGGTCACTCAGCCGTACGCCCTGTTGTTGTCCAAAGCATCGTGACGCTCATTGGCAATGACCTCACGCCCATCGTTCCACTCCGAGGATCCATCTCCGCTTCTGGTGATCTAACTCCTCTCGCGTACATTGCCGGGGCTCTGGAAGGGAACCCCGACATTTATGTCGATTCCGGTAAAGGGAACCGTAACAAGACCATTGCGTCCGATGAAGCACTGAGAGCTGCTGGACTCGCGCCTCTCTCGTTCAAACCTAAGGAAGCGTTGGGTCTCCTGAATGGTACCGCATTCTGCGCCGGAGCAGCCGCTCTGGTCTTGTTTGAGGCCAACCAGATGGTCATGTTTGCTCAGGTTCTGACCGCGATGAGCACGGAGGCCCTGATGGGAACTCGTCTCAATTTCCATCCGTTTATCGCCACAGTCAGACCTCATCCCGGACAGAAAGAAGCCGCGGAAAATATGTACGCCATGCTCAAGGACTCGCACTTGGCATCGGACGCAACCCCTGAGAGTGTCGGACTAGCGCAGGACCGGTACGCCCTCCGTACTTCGTCCCAGTGGATTGGGCCCCAGATCGAGACCATGGAACTCGCAACCAGTCAGGTGGAGCGTGAGCTCAACTCCTCCACCGACAATCCTTTGCTCGATTCCGTCAACCGGGAAGTCCACCACGGGGGCAATTTCCAGGGAGCTGCCGTCACGTCTGCGGTCGAGAAAACCATGACTTGCATGCTCATGCTTGGCAAGATGATCTTTGGCCAATGCAGCGAGATACTGAATCCCATGTTCAGCAAGGGTCTGCCGCCAAATCTCTGTGCCGACGATCCCAGCCTGTCTTTCGCGTTCAAGGGCGTGGACATCAACATGGCCTCGTACATCTCCGAGCTGGCGTACGTCGCACGGCCGGTGAGCAACTTCGTTCACTCAGCCGAAATGCATAATCAATCTATTAACTCGCTAGCACTGATTGGAGCCCGCTACGCGTCAGATACCGTTGAGATCGTGGGTATGATGGTTGCTACTCACCTGTATGTGCTCTGCCAGGCACTCGATCTCCGGGTCCTCCAACTCGAGTTCGAGCGCATTATTCAACCTCGCGTGTTTGACATCACACGAACTGCATGCAACGGGGCTGTAGCTGACACTCAGGTGCTGGTTATCCAGCAAGCCGTGTGGAAGCAGCTGTTGGGCCAGTGGAGCCACGCCGCCAGCTTGGACCTAGTCGAGCGCGCCCAGACATCCGCCAGCAACACGGTCGGTGTCCTGTTGAGCCAGCTCTACTTCCATCGCGTCATCAAAGACGGCCAAATCCCCAGTGCAGCTCTGCAACAATGGCAGGATAGTGTCGTGGGAGTCCTCACCGAAGAATATCAGACTTCGCGCTCCGCATTCTTCGTGCAGCAGACAACACAGGACTACCTCTGCACCTCGTCGAAAATCCTCTACTGCTATGTTCGTGAGACGTTGAAGATTCCTTTGCACCGTGGGATCGAGGACCATCCTACTTACTCGGCTCAGTCCACTGACAACGCCGCTGATAACGTCACTGACAGTACTGGCGACAAGGCCAGTGACAACAAGAAAAAGAAAGTGACTATCGGCTCTCACATCAGCGCGATCTATCTCGCTCTGCGAGAGGGGGATCTCATGCAGTCTCTTGCGAGCTGCTTTGAGATCCCCCAAGCGCACGTGGAGAACTAAGTGGACCTGCTCTCTATGGATGAAGGCTTGGCAAAAAAAGTGAAAGATGGAAAGGATGACTACCGGGGAAGATAGATGAGTTGTTTTGAGGAAATACAAAGGGACGCGGACATGGGAATTCACTTCACTTTCACTCTGTGCCGAGCTCGGGGGTTGGACTGCCGGCTCCGGGATTCCGTCCACCTCATGCGTCAACTGGGGCTTTTGCTTTGGTTTGATTTGCCTTTTATGCCTATTATGCCTTGATTTCATGCTTGCTCTCGTCTTGAATCTCTTATTACGGTCTTCGGTGGTATTCTGCTCTTTGCAGTCTTACAGATGCTGGCATTGCGTCGAAGCTTTCTTATTACATGCAGCGACTGGGCCTTTTGCTTTGCTTTACTTTGATTTCAATGCTCTTCAGTTTCTGCTTGCGTTTGTCTTGGCTCTCTTCATAGAGTCTCCAGTGGTATGTTGCTTTTTGCAGTCATCTAGATGCGTCGAGGTATTCCTCCGACCAAAGCGTCAACTGGGCGTTTCCTTTGTCTTTGCTTCTGAGCTTCTGACTGCGTTGGCCTTTGTGCCTCAAATATGGTTTCCCGCCGCCATCTTGCTACTTTACAACGATACAAATACCGGTTCTTGTCAGGGAACTCCTCGGCTTTTGCGGTGACGGGACCTTTGCTTTACTTTCGTTTTACTGATGACTTTCTGCTTGCGTTGGCCTTTGATGCCTTGATATGCCCACACTCGGTGATTAGTTTTCTTTAGAAAATACAAAACGCACCATTTGTCTACGCAATAGCCGGGTCGCGTAGTTCTCGCTGTACACTATCTACTGACTGCAGTCGGATGAATAATGAAGCTCTGTTGATGAGCTGACGTTTCCTTCCAATGCCGAGCAGGAAGTCCGGCACGCCATTTTCGAGGATCAGCAAAGGGGCCCTGTGAAACAATACAAAGTTGTGCTGACACAAGCGGTCCCTTATCTGATTATGCCACGCTGTCGGAAACATCCAATCGATCCATGGGTGGTCGTGAGCTATGGCGCCATCCGATCTATACGCACCCAAGGTTCCGGACTCAATGATAAGTCGAGCTGGCGATCCAATGGCCTCTCCGGACGAGCCATTGCGCAATGGTGCGGGGCTGCTCCCCGCACGATGCGCGGTGCTGATACGGGCCCGGGTGCTGTTGGCGAGGCGTTGCATAACCCCGGCCAGGGATTGCGTGATACCGCATCCCGCCCCGGGATGTGCGTCGCTTCTTATAAAGCTGTCGATGTACCGCGCCAGGTTCGGACCACAACCTACAACCACCATCTCAATTGTTCCCCTTCCTCCCCTTGACTCTCGACTGTGCTTGATCTTTCGAACCAACCATGGCACCCGGGATCCAAACGGATCTCCCGATCCACCCCCACCCCCACCCCGCATCCGAAACGTCAGACTACCCGACGCCCTTGCAGCTCAGCGGCGCCCTGGACCAGTTCGCCTTCGAGGAAACGACCCCCGTCATCGGTCGCGAGTTCCCCACCGTCAACATCGTCGACGATCTGCTCAACGCTTCCAATGCCGACGAACTCCTCCGCGACCTCGCCATAACCAGTACCTCCCCTCCCCCCCCTCCTCATCCCCCGAGCAGCCTCAATTAATCCAATCCCTCCAGTCTCCCAACGCGGCGTCGTCTTCTTCCGCGCGCAAGACAACCTCACCGACGACCTCCAAAAACAGCTCATCCAACGACTGGGCGAGCTAACCAACAAACCCAGCACCTCCACCCTCCACGTCCACCCCGTCCTAAACAACACCAGCGAATTCGGGGTCGCGGACGCCCAAATCAGCACGATCAGCTCCCTCGCCCGCAAGAAGATGTTCCGCCACAACCACCAACCCAACCGTCGGCGCTACGACTCCGCCCAATGGCACTCGGACATCCAATTCGAGCCCGCCCCAGCCGACTACACCTCGCTGCGCCTGACCCAACTCCCCAGCACGGGCGGCGACACGCTCTGGGCCTCGGGCTACGAGCTGTACGATCGGTTCTCGCGCCCGTATCAGAAATTCTTCGAGGGGCTGACGGCCACCTTCGTCGGGGATGGGTTCATCCAGGCTGCGGAGCGCGACCCGGAGAACGTGCGCATCTATACCCAGCCGAGAGGAAGTCCGTTGAATGTGGGCAGCGAGTTGAAGGCCGTTCATCCGATCGTGAGGACGAATCCGGTGACCGGGTGGAAGAGCATTTTTGCCCTCGGGCCGTTTCCGAAATACATTAATGAGTTGGGGGCGGAGGAGTCGGAGGAGTTGTTGACTAAGTTTAAGGCGCTTGTGATGGAGAATCATGATTTGCAGGTCAGGTTTAAGTGGAGGAATCAGAATGATATTGGTGAGTTTGCTCTTTGTCGTGATGAAGGGGGTGGTTGGGCTGGCTGCACTGGTTCGCTAACGGTCCAATAGCGATCTGGGATAATCGGAGTGCGTTTCATAGCGCGACGTTTGATTATGAGGGGCTTGGGGAGAGGTTTGGGCATCGTGCCGTGGGGATTGGGGAGAGGCCGTATTTGGATCCGAATAGTGGGTCGAGGACGGAGGCGTTGGCCGCGAAGGCGGGGTGATTGTGTTTGCAGGACCATGTTGGATATACTTGAAAGTGATCTTATTTGGTTGTACGGAGTCCATCCAGACCATTACTGCATGATATGTACGGACGGAACCTCCCATCTCGATGGCTATTTACGAAATCACCACAAAACGGAATAAGATATCACCATAACTTTTATACCTCCCTCGGACCATCCAATATACCTCTGGGGCATCAGGCCCAGCGGCTTCCGGAATGGCTTTTAGCTGCTTGAATGGATTTCGTCTCGCGAAGCAGGACATTATCAGAAGATCCTAGGCGTTATTCTGAAATCACCATCATCCCTACCCCAGTAGCGACGTTTGCCGTGGAGGCTGGAATCGGGTCGTTTGTGTAGCAGCCGGTCATACTTTAGAGCCCACCTGCCTAGCCGGGAATGGTCACTACTGCCTGAGGCAGCGACTGTTTTAGACGACTTGGCGTGAAGGAATTGGATCCCCAGGCAGTCCTGGAGGGAGGCAATCCGATCCTCCAATCACAAGTTGTATTTCCCATTCACACCGATGGAGTGCTTGGGCGGTTCCCAAGTACGTACCTGCACCAGCGTCTCCCAGACGCCGCCGACTCGAAACGGCCGTGTGTTCGACTTCTCGATCGGAATGGGGTCCCGCGTCTGACATGCACAACATGCACAACCAGGCCTGCTGATTGCCCGAGTTCCGACATATATTTTGAGAATTTTGAGACAGAAGGCCTCTACGGAGTCAAGGCCATCACGAGCAGGGTCAAAACGAACAGACAACATTTACTTTGTACACGGGGATCTTCTCGAACGCATTGCGGGATGTATATATATACGTCACCCCGCTTGGTTGGGGTGGCGAGAGAAGGTTGCATCCATCTGTCGGATACATGGAATACGGGCCAATGATAGTGATACGCCTTCTGAGCTTTTGAAAGCAATGATTGAAGGTTAATCTGTCATGCTTCTCGGGGTTTTGAAGACATACTACTTCAGACACCTACAAATATGAGATGACCCCGGCAATGATATCTACCATCAGACAGGCCGGTGTGTCTACCTTGGGGGTGACGACACGCAACTTGAACAATGTTACCTTCATGTCCCTGGGCTGGAGTCTATTTGTATTGAACCTTTTTCGGACGAATCAGAAACTTTCCCTTCCTGGTGATAGATGCGTCGAAAGACGCAGATAGCCTGATTGGAGGAGCTTTCTGGATCGATTTGGTTGGATTCGAATGGCTAGTTTACCAATTTTCTACCCCGGGAGGTTTGCCAGAAGGCAGTGGCGTTGTCACCGTTGAGATATACACCAGACTTTACATGGATCATGGATCTCTCTGAAGGAAAGCTGTCCCTGTATGTCCCGGCCAATACGACCAAGTGTCAGCTCCGCTGTTCGGCACAGCTGCCCGATGCTTTGGTGGTGTCTCTTATCAATTGAGAACAACGATGCACGGCGTGCGTTTGCTGCTGTTTTTAGGGAAAAGATAAAGTATCTGGATGTCATATTGGATGCGTATGGGATTTCGGATACCAAGGGGATGGAGTCGGTTACGGAGGTTAGTTGTAGGACAATACTAAATAATCACGAGTAGAGTCGCTCTTGGGCAAAGACAGACACCCGTTCAAGGCGCGAGAGGAAACCGGGTTCCTAGTGGGATGTCTCCGAGCCACGGCGTTATGTGCTTTTATGCAGCATGTATGACTTGTGTTAGCACTCCTTGAGCCATTTCCTAGCAAGACTCCATATCGAGGCTGCTCCTCGCTATATCGAGACATGGTCCGTTCGAATAGACTGCCATGATGAGCCCACTGAAAATGCTGTCATGTGCAACATCGTGTTGTTGTGTCGTCTCATACAGAATGCTACAACAATGTCCCGCATCGGGAAGCAATGGGGCTGAGAAGTTGATCGAATGAAAGAAAGAGAAAACATCCTCCAACTCGGAGGGAGGAGTAGGTACTGAGTTGCCCGCCAGCTGCCAGGCTGTTTGTCCCCATTTGTGGCGTCCCATAAACCTCAATTGCATCCATCCACTCGATCGAAGTATTATCATCTTTATAGGCCAACGCCTGGGTCCCCCCACAAGAAGCTGAGAGTTTGATCCTGAGGGTACCATGTGGGCTTCGATAGAACCCCGCGATTGGTGGCCTTTGAAGTATCCCACCATGATATGCCCGTGATGATCTGATAAATCGCCGTCTCCGAGCGGATAAGATGATAAACCTCCATGTCGGAACGGAGACTTAACGGCGGGTGCCCTTCTGGGACTTGCGCAGGGGCCGTGAGATTGACCAATTAGATGGATTTTGCGGGGGGGTTTTCGGGAGGCCCATAGTTTCAGGTGGACTGTCTCAGTTCTTGTTGCGAATAGGCATCTAATTGGCCCATGGGGATACCAGGATACTCACTTCCTCTGGCGGAGGGCATTCTTTTCCCCTTCCAGATCATCCTATCTGACGGCTCGACTAAAAGCCACAATCAATCTTCTCGGTTCTCCAGTCCATGGCCCCCAGATATATATAACATCCCTTCGTATTCCAGGGGGCAAATTCCGTCGGAAATCAACGTTATTGCAGCCAATAACAGCCCGACTGGAGATCTGCCAAGTCAGGGAGCCTCACACTGAAACTCAACGTCCAGAAACGGTTCTTCGCGCTTCGGTGAAACACAGGCTAGATTGCACGGCATGGAACGATACCTGCAGCTGCAACCAGGGGCCAAAAACCCCAGTAATCATCGCTATGGTTAGAGTTGTCTCCTAAGCCGCGTGAGTCGGGACGCGCCCGACGTCGTCATTTCTTCAGACACGCGTCCATACGAGCGGAAGTGGAGACAAACGGTAACTAGCATCCAACACAAAACTACTCCGCGCGCCAATCAGCCTTGGGGCTGGGGAAGGCTTAGCACAGGCTTCAACCGTCCCGGCGTGGCACGGCTTTTCCGCCCCCGACGCCCAGCCCAGCCCAGCCTTGGGGGCGGAATCGGCTCGCTTGGGCGGCGTTTCGGCCTCCTACCTTCCTGGTTGGGATGGAATGCGAGGCGGACTTTTCGCGGAAGGCGATGTTCGGCGATGAGTTGAGGGCGATGGGACTGAATCTCCGCCGACAGAGAGGTATAAAAACCGGGATTGCTGCTGGGGTTTGGATTCATCTTCAGCAACAGCAAAACATCAACAATCCAACCCATTTCAACGCCCAAGCAACCACTTCTACCTTCATCTCCATATATCCATCTCACCATCAAAATGCAGTTCCCTTCCTCTCTCATCGCCGCCGCCGCCCTGGCCCTCGCCGCTGGCCCTCAGCTCGTCTCCGCCCTCTGGGAATGCGACAGCGGCCTTTCCGCGCTCGGAGTCGAGCCCGCCGACGGCACCTTCTACATCCACTACACCTCCGTTCGTGACAGCAACTACAAGCCCAACGGGGACGAAGGATCCGTTGAGCCCTGGGTACGCATCGCCTCGTCTCGCTGATGGGCTCCAGCCAAGAACCTAGCTAACCAATGTCGCCGTTCTAGATCCGTGTCTGCAACTCCAATGACGGAGCCTGGGAATCGACCATGTTCGCCGTGGTCTGCACCAACTTCGTTGGTGGAAGCTCGCCTCAGAGCTTCGATGCGACCAGCATTGGCCTTGAGGAGTCTATCACCGTTTACAATGGTGAAGGGTGTGATTCGGACGCCTCTAACCTCGAGAGTGGATACATCAAGTACGGCACCACTGAGAAGTCTCTGGAGACTGGCTGTGGAACTCGCGACCACGGAGTCACTTGCGAGTTCACTGATTAGATGGATACCTCTGTACCTGTTTGGGCTGGGAACGGGCCTGGTTTGAATTCAGTTTCTGTTATTTCTCGCTATAATATTTTGTTCGTAACTCGTTTGTACAATTCTAGACCTCAATGAGGAGGTCGGGATTTGAGAATGGATGCTTTGGTAGAATGTCTTATCCAGTTGACCTACCTCTAAATAAATAAATATGTTAAGCATCGCAAGTCTCAAGCGTTCCATAATCAACAACCACCTCTGGGGTGCGCATCGCACAAATTGTATAATTGCCCAGGATCCAATTACGAAACCCAGCTTCGCAATATTCAAAGTAGTACTGGAGAAGTTAGAGATCAAATAGGTCTTTCTCCGCAATCGAGCTACTTACCATCCATCGCCGACGGTAAGCCTCTATCTCCTTCTCCGCCGCGCCCGGATACCGCACGCAAAAGTCAGACCGGATGTGTTCCCAATTCGATACGAAGTTGTCTCTCCACGCTAGCAGAGTTCTTCCATAATGTGGTCCAGTATTTATGATCGAAGACACTTCCAAATCCCCTCTGCTGCCCCGATGCAGCGATTCAAGCAGTATGTTCGGCGTCGGAAGGTATCCGCCAGGGAAGACGTAGCGATCGATATAGTCGCCCACGCGGGGATTGCTCTCATGAAACTACTGAAGTTAGATATCTGTCAGTGTCGGTTGTGGGGGGGGTATTGTACCGGGTGAATCTTCGTAATGCCATCAATTACCACGACCCCATGTTCACGCTTCAACAACCGCAGAATCACTCCAAAGTACTCATCCAAATACTGCGGTCCAACATGCTCGAACATCCCGACAGAGATAATCTGATCATATCCCTCTTCCGGTTTTGGTGCATTGCGATAGTCGCAGAGTAGTACGCGGACACGCTCCTGCAGCCCTGCGTCCCTGATCCGCTCATCTGCCAGGCTCTTCTGCTCTTCGGAAAGCGTAAGGCCTGTCGCTTGGCAGCCGGTTTTACGCGCCGCTTCGATTATTAGATCTCCCCATCCGCAGCCAATGTCTAGCAAGTGGTGGTTGCTTTGCACTCGGGCTTTTTTGATCATGTAGTAGATCTTGCGTCGTTGCGCAACGTGGAGGGGTTCTGTGGGATCGTTGGACCAGTGTGCGCAGGAGTAATTCATGTCTGCGGAAAGGAAATTTGTGAACAATCCATTCGAGGTGTCGTAGTGTGAAGCGATGTTGGTGCGTGCATTGTCGATGTTGTTTCTGGGTCTCCACCACTGGGCTAACCGAGGAAGGAATTGGAAGATTGAAGTGCCGGAGTCAATGGCTGTGCGGTTTTGGATGTATAACTAGGTCTCAGTGTGTCAATTGACTGTTTTAGCATTCCCTCGCTCTACAAAGACAACTTACATCGAATACCCTGCTCAAGTGGTCGCAGTCTATTTCTTGGAGCATGTATGCCTCTGCGAATCCCTTGGAGTTATCAGAGATGTCCAGCCGTCCTATTAGGTGTATGCGGTGTATATACCAAGTCAAAATCCGAGATCACCCTGTTCCAGAAGTTCACATGGTTGATGTAGATAACCGCCTTGTTGGTATCCGGGATCGTTGGGTCGTCGTACAGGTCTTCCTTTTCACCATTCACCCGTGAGACCAGTTTCACAGCAGCTGAAAGTTGCCGCAGTCTCTTTTGAACCAGACGAAGAGAGCAGGACTGAATCTGATGTGTGATGACAGAGAACATGTTGCGTGCTGGGAACTTTGTGAGACATATTCTCGGTCACATCGCAGGACGTCTTCCACCTCTTTATGTCACAGGAAATAGCTTGGCAGGGAATCGGACTCTTTATTGTCCTGTTTCCAGCCTGATGCTGATAAATGTATGCCCAATGTGCTCGTACTTCGTATTCCCTGCAGGCCAGGTGGAGCTGGAATATTTCAGGATGGTCGCCATGAGTCGGACATCTATAAATGGTGTCACATTAAGTTTCCTCAAAAGGTGCTTCATCCAATAAGTCTGAGCGCATGGTGATGGCGCAGCTGAGCAGCTTATCGGGCGAGCTCGCTGCTGTTCAATCCCACCCCAGCCTAGCGCTTATCGGAGGCTTGCTGCGAGCAGGAATAGCCGATCCAGTGGAGAGTGTTCCCTGTCATTGCAATGGAAACCTGTCAGCGAAAACTCAACTTGCAAGTCTCTGAGAGATAGAAGGTCCCTGTGCCTGATATGGATGGGTGATGGGCGATGATCTGGGTACACAGCATGAGCGCTAAGCCTTTCATCCTTGGTTGGACGGCAATAGTGACGTTCTCGGACAGGGAGGCCTTTGTCTCGCTTAGCTGCCTGCACAGTCACATATGTACAGTCTTACTACCCATGTGACGTCTAGGGTATGACGCATATTCGAATCGTAAAGATGGGATGATTCAGGACCATCCATGATGGGTAGTCGGTGTGGTGGACACCATTTCCATGTCCAAGTATGGTTAGCGGGTCATTTGGCGCCTTGCACTAACCGCCTTGGGGTTGGCGTCGACTCACGCTGTGTTTGACCCAAACAGGAAGTGCTGCTCCTTTCTTGAGACCTACAATCATGCTTCGGCAGGGAAGCGAACTACACCACGAAAAGTGGGCTATTTTGGCAATATCTATCATCATGGACTCTCTTGTTAGATACGTCAAGTGCGAAGAAACAGCTAACGATAGGATACAAAGATAGGCAGCTTTTCTCCACCCTCGAGTATCACACTTCGTTCCACCTGCACGATGCGGAGAGGATCCTCATTGGTCGATAATCTCCGCAGTAACATAAACTACAGCAAGAACCCCATCCAGACAATCATACAGCCGGAGCCTAAGTTCTGCATGTCGATCTCCTCGGCCTATCATCGATGCACCGTCAGCGTTATCAGACCTTTTTCTCACGAGCGAGACATTACCTTGGCCAATCGAGCAGCCTCTCCAATTCCCATGTGCACACTGATCCACTCCAAACACCTTCGCAAATACTCTTTCGTGTCTGGAAGTACAACATTCAGTTGAGACAGCGCAAAGATTGGATGCATTAATAGCAAACCGCCAACCGCTCGCCCTGGACCGCGGATCCCCGATGAACTTTCCAAGTCTCGGAGAAAGCTTGGTAGATCTTCGCAAAGATGGTACGGAATGGAAGATAACATGTCATTGATTTGACGACTGGCATCCGCTTTCTCTCGCATGGTACTCATGCCATCCTGAAGCGTTTCGGAAATCCTAAGGATGAGGTCGATGAGGAAGCATCGAGCTACACGCGAGATATTCCAGGCAGCCGCGACATACAAGTCGAAATACACATCCACATTTCCTGACCAGTATCCCGCTTCCGGAGTCGGAAAAGGCGGTTTGTGAACCACTTGACCGACAGTGGTAAGCTTGAAAACAGTTGGGCGTTCATCCTGCCACTGTGCGAGGTGCTCGTTGAGCTCCCTAGCCTCCCAGCAAAGGACGCGGAGGTTTTCTGGAGAATGATTGGAGAGGTCTTTCGCCCGCTCCAAGAAAGAGCTCATGTCAAGCAGAATATTGTCCAGTCCAGGCTTTTCACTACCGGCATTCGGTGAAAATAACCCCTATTCAAATTCGGTTAGTATTCCTTGAATCGTTTTGTTGCTTGACTATTACTTACTCGTGTGCTGCTACCGTCTAGCAGATGGTGCTTTGATTTCACGGCCTTTAACAGACCCAAGGGAGAATTTTCGATCCGCAGTACTGCTGCCATTCCACCCGCATGGATGCCATGATATCCTGGGTGCATGTCGTCGGCAACAATCATCTGCACTCCATAAGCAACGTACAGTACCGAGCCCACCAGACACAGAACCAACCTCGTATACTCCAAGCAACACAACAATGGCCAGCACGTCCAAGGATCTGGGTGACAAGTCACTTCCACTCATCTCACGCGCCAAAGACGCAATCAGTCGGTGGTAAAGCATGCCCGCGTTTTGCGTTAGGAGAGGCCTTCGCAGTTTGATACCATGACTGGCGAATGCGACCGCCTTGCATGCTTGGGCAAAGTCCGATGAAGACCCTCGGTGGTGGACCATCCGCTCTATACCATGAAAGAACCCTCGAGAGAGCGAAAGATTCGTCGAAGGGACACAGTAATCATAGAAGAATGCTCGCAGCGCTAGGCCTTCGATGCTCTCCTCCGTTTCCTCCTTGGGGGGCAGATCATCTGGTATGAAGCTCGTGCCCGGGGCTGGGACTCGAGCGGGTAAGGAGCATTTTCGTGCCTGTGATTCAGATGGTAATGGGACTTTGGTACTGTCCTTTACCACATGTTGTCGGAAGATGTGTTTGCTATTGGCCTGCTCCACATACCCTTTACACGTCCGGTTGGATTCCAGACATCGCATACAAGACTAATACTTGTTAGTCCAAAACAACTCGGCACTTCTACTCTCGTGCTTTCGTCCCGGCGCTGAGCTACTCAGCTAGGATATACCACATACCGGACGGCCTTCGTCACACTACGAAAGAGTTAACGGCAGCTTTTTTTTGGACAGCTGGTTCGGACAAACCTTCTTCTTGCGTCGTTTACAGGTCTCACAGCCTCGAGAAGGACCGATGTACACCATGGCCGATCTGAGCGCGTACTCCTTGATGATAGCCGATGAAGAAAGCAGCACATTGGAAAAGAGGAGGTTCGAGACGGCTGGGCAATGAGCAGTGAGCAGTGGGCACTAAACCACATTCTCGTCGGGAAGCCCCGCCCACTCCACTCCCGACTGTCCCCGAAAGCTCATTGGAGGCGGATTGAAAAAGTGCAAATGACATCAACATTTCTACCTGATCGTCTAAAATCACAGATTAAATCCAACTGAAAACTTCCAAGCATAAATCCATACTCCGCTGAACAATACCAATAGCATACATTAGGGTATCACAGCAACACAACCAACTTCTGGGCAGAAATGCCGCCTTCGGCATAACGATCCACGGCGACTTGGATTTTCTCCAGGCCCTTCCCCACAATCAGCGGCTCGGGGGCGGGCACAAAGCTGCCGGCTTTCAGTGCTTGGGGCAGGAAGTCATCGTACACGGCCTTTCCGACTGCGTTGTCCTTGATGGTGGTACCAAACACTTGCTTCACTTCAACCCCCTCCGGTGGTGTTGGGAAACGGCCTTGGACGGTTGCGATGAATTTCGAGCCCTCGGATTTGCTGACGATTTCTCCACAAATGGGAGTGGCGGAGAATCCGATACAGTCCATCACACCAGCCAGTGTCTTACCCTGCAGGGCCTTAATAAGATCGTCGGCAATAGTGGGGCTGTTGTATTCGAACACTTGACTGGCACCGAGCTTCTTCACCAAGCCAAAGTTCTTCTGGGAAGCAGTGCTGATCACCTCATACCCTGCCGCAACAGCGAGCTGGATCGCATTGCTCCCCACACTACTCGCACCACCCCAGACAAGGACGGTGCTTCCTGTCACAGAAGCACGGGGCTCAGTTGGGTACTGCAGCTTCAGAAATTGGTCCTGGAAGAGACCACAGCAGGCAGTCGAGAACGCCAGTGGGAGGACTGCTGCGTTCTCGTAGGGCACATTGTCGGGGATTTCACTGGTCATGTTGATCTGCAATATCGTGTGTGCCTGGAAGGCATTGTGCTGGTTCTGCTTGGTAGCCATACCAACTGCATGACCGAGCACACGATCCCCGACCTTGAAACGAGTGACGTTAGGGCCTACTGCGACAACGTCTCCGGCCACGTCCTGTCCCAACATTGTCGGGTAGTTCATGGGCCACCATGCCCTCGTTTGCAGACCACCATCGACGGGGTTGATGGCCACAGCATGGTTCCTGACCAGAATTTCGTTCTCTTCTGGCTGCCAGAGGGGTGCTTCCCTGACCTCGAAGGGGTGGGCTTTGGCTTCGTTGAGCCAGGCAGCGGCATTGGTAGTGGAGGTACTCATGATGGCTGTTGTTTGACAGTATGACGTTGCTTGGAAAACTGAAAAGATATTTTTTGAATTAATATGTGAGTGTTGAAAAGAATATTCTGAATGGAGTCATATCCTCAGATCTTCAGCGGGACGTGCAGGTTTATATACCTATGGATTTGACCCCGATCGGAGATCATTCTCCCCCGGAGAATTTATCAAGGCCTCCGAGTCCGAGCCATCTCTCGCGAGCTGGAATTTCTGCGGGGTCTTACATTATTAGGCACGTATGTTGGAAGAAGAGCAGCCTCCCGATCACTGCCATGACCAGCTTCCCATTGCTGTTGGCCGATGACCGGGGAGACCCGCCTCTGCGCAAGGCTAGCCCTGTACGGCATAGCGTTCTGTGGTGGACCGTGGCCCGTTCGGGTTAGTGCCGGGATATGCTGTCGGAGATCGGGCTTCCAGGTTTCCAGCATCTCCGTTCTTAGGGGCTGGGCCCCTGAGAATCCCAACGAGTTCGATCGATACTGTCTGTGAGCGGTCGCGTCATTTGGACTCGGAAGTCCGACGGCGCTAGATTTGTCTAAGCGAAACAAAGGAACGTGTCCCAGTCCTCGGAGAAGTTTGGAATCTTCAAGATGCCGTCTGTCAAAAAATGCAGCCTGAGGCAATCTCAAGCGCCATTCGAGTTCTCTCGCGAGAGGAGAGCGGATGTGTCCGTCTACTAGTATTTGCTGGACTGAATTTATACACACACAACAAACACAACAAACTATCTAAGGCTCTACCTCAGGCAGTGCACCCAGTCGAAAAGAGAAATAGGACTGCCCTACAATATACTGATCGTGGTTCCAGACCTTGTAATCTTGCCAATCTTTCCCAACACCCAATGTCACATACAGTGGCAAAACATGTTCCTCGGTGGGATGCGCTAGGGGCCAATCGTCGCGCTGCTGCAAGGCCAGGAACTGAGCATCTCTCTCCTGTGTAGTTGGCGCAGCGAGAGCTGCAAATGCGGCTTCTTCGATCAACCTGGCAACAGTCGTGTCCATCGATTGCTCTCGTGTCGCTCGGAGATTGTGGGATATCATCCCCGAGCCGATGATCAGGATGCGATCTCCTCTGGATATTTCGTTAACCACTGTGATCGACCCCTTTTTTCCTTCAAAGGGTCTAAGGACAGGAACGGGTTCGCGAAAACATACAACGAAGAAAGAGCTTCGCCAAGCCGGATATGGGCGTTGAAATCGTTGCCGTCGTAAGTCGAAATTTGCAAGATCGGAACGTCCAGTTCGTCTTCGCCCTCGGGGAACATCAATTTGAAGGGCACCCAGCTGTTCAACATTAGATCACGTCGATGTGCCAGACCGGTAAGGTTTCGCGTTTCGGAATGCCACAAGGGAACAGGAAGACTGACATTCCATGGTCGAGGTCGCGCTCAACACCCTCCGCCTTGATCCCCTGATCCACCAAATGCTTCAACACTTTCTCTCCCAAAGCTTTAGACGACTTGTGCGGGTACTGGTACTCGAAGACATGGGGGAATGTTGTCCACCAGGAAGGACCCAGATCATGCCAGACCTTCGTCGGTTCTTTCAAGTTCACTTTCAAACAATCGCATCAGATCAACACCAAACAGTCAACGCGCTTTCCTGTCAGATCTACCTTGTATAGCATCCGTTTCACTCTGAAAGTGACCACACGTCAAGAGAATCGCATCCGGCTTCAAGGCTTTAATTTCCTTTCCCATCTCGCGCAGACCCTGATGAACGGGCTCATAGCCCGGCTTGAAGAGGATGCTAACCCCGCCTGGTAGTAATGATAGTCAGCCACCATTTCCCCTCCCCGGACACTTCCAACGGTCGACCCTCACCATGGCCAATAAAATAAGTAGGAAGCTTTTCGCTTGTCGGTGCAGACATAGTTCGCTCGACTGAACCCTGGGTATACAAATCAAACATCGAAGTCGAAAGAAAAGACACGAGTAATATCGAATCGAGAACAGTAGGCGGGCAATATGCGGGGTTTCGACCCCCCTTTATAACGAGGTATCTTATCTGCCCGTTGAGTGGTCGTTCGTCTTAGCGCCCTCGGTTGGAAGAACATTGGTTCCCTGGCCTGCAAAAGTGGAGTGGCGATAAGTGTTTAGCCGGTCACCACTTATGGCGATTTTGAGGGGGGGATGGCATCATCCAAAACATACATGGTTGGGATTAACAACATAGCACTGGCTGCGCATCCGGTGACTTTGGTTTACCTCTGATGGAACGTTGGGAATATGAGAAAAGACCGGCATTTAACAATGCAGATCCTGCTGTTATGAATTCCTTCGGTCTTTTGGATACGGTTATTGGGAGTGAGATACGAGGGACTTTCCATACAGCTCCCTCGAAGGAAATACCTATACCCAAATTAACAATCTGTTCAAATAGGCGAAGCTTGTTTTCAGACCAATACCCCACCTCCTTACTCGGCTTTCTCGGCGGAAACAAACGTGCCACGGTTCAAGCACCCACAATTATGCACACAAGACCCCAAAGCCCCCACACGTGCAAGTGACACTGACAGGCGTTTGATGACCCCTGGGGCCCTGACTGCCGCTGCTGATCCTGGAGAAATCTCTCCACTCCTCCGTGGAAATTGAGCCTATCAGAGCCGAGCTCCCTGCAGGGGGGTGTTGAACTACCCGGGTTTTGAAGTTGAGGAGTTGGGCGGAGGTTTGTATCCGCGACTTTCGACGATGAGAAGTTGCCCTGTTTTCTATCGGAATCTGAGAACTGTGATGTCAAATGAGAAGGTTTTATTGCTTTGGTACGTATTCTGTCCTTCCTTGTGCTATCCGGTCCAGAGCAGAATAGGATCCCTCGATCCCAGTATTTGGCTACGTGCCCGCTATCGTCATCTGGCTCCGGTGATCAAGAATTATGTGCCAATTTAAACCGGTAATGAGTACAGCATAGCGACGTAGGTGGTGGGTAGGTGATGTTATTGTCAGTGTGGTTGCTGCCTGAGGTTAGCGCCTGTCCGTGATTCCCTGCGCGGCCCTGCGCGTCTTGCAGCCGTCTCCCTTTGCCTCCCTCCTCCTCCTCGCCGGGCACATACATTACATCAACCCGCCGTTCCTAGCACCTTGTTTTCTTGCTGCTATACGCTCCCGTTCTCACCATGTGTGGCCTCGATGGACACAGATAAAAGACATCCAGCATCCATCTGACGGAGGAAAGGGAGAGATGAGATGTCAATTGACCCAGCAAATCTTTCTAACAGTGCAACAAATAGACACCCCTGACATCATAAGCGGTCTGAGATTCCACTCAGAGTTATCGGAATTCAAAGCCTGTCACCGTTAGACTGGAGCATCCCATCTAGACTCCTTCAGGCTAGATAGATGCCAAGACAGTCCCTAACAACGATAAGGTTCTTCTCGCAACGATGAACTATGATCGTGATCCCAGATTATACTGGCAAAGCCCTCCTCTACTTGGTCGGGTTTTCCGCAACTTGAGGTCCAACCCCTCGCATCTGACTGCTTGTTACCATTTCCGAGCCTGTGGCAGTCCCAGGCCTACCATTTCCGAGCCTGTGGCAGTCCCAGGCCTACCATTTCCGCCTCGGTTGTCGGGAAGATCGGGGACTAGGCAGGATTCGGGATCTGGGCTGAACATCGCCGCTGGTCGAGTGTCTCAATGTCTACTTTGTAAGAGGTAATGCACCTTAGGCAGTCATCCTGGTCGAGGACTATCCTCTGATTTGTCCGATAAGTGTGATACCTCGGGGTACTTTGTGATTTTCGCGCTACTGAAGTGTGGCGCAGACAATTTCTAAGCAATATCACTGGCGCCTCTTTTAGGGTCATGCAAACGGATACGACCTGCCCGCCCCTCTTTTGTATTTCCTCCGTGCGGGTGCTACGCGAAGGGTCTGTTGCACTCGAATTCGACCGAGTACCCACCACCCTTCCTTGCACGTCTTATGATCGATAATTCAGACAAGAAAATAGCCAGTGAGGTAAGCTGTCGCAAAATATTTCCACCCTGTTCCGTCAATCATCCCATGTCACCCTCTCAAAAAGGGAAGTATCTCCGACATGGGTCGGGTCGGCCTTCGGATTCAGATGGGGCCCGGCCCAATCCCTACCGAAGCTCCACCATACTCAGCAGACATCGGCACTCGAAACAAGGGCTCGGTGAACCCACAGCTCAGAAATGGAGTATATAGATATTTAAAGACCCTCAATCGGCATCTCGGACAGTACCCCCTCGCGTGACACCAGTGGATGTAATCTCACAACCAGGCAGAATTGAGCATTTCCGCTCGGCACATTCAACCCAACCCGACCGGTTTCCATCCTCTCACTCATCACACAAAATGTCGGAAAGTTCCGTATGTTCATACTTGAGCCCTTCAGCCCTATGTATCACGCCACTGTTTCCCCTCTTTCTTTCTTTCTGACAACACCCCAGTGGCTCGCATGGTCTCAGGGTGTCATCTCGACTCTCCAGGACTCCGTCAACGAGTTCATGATGACCACGGATAACCGCGCTCATCTTCTATGCGCCTACATCGCCGAGCATCCGCGGGAGTCGCTTCAAAACAAACCCTGGGCGCTCATCGCCGTGATCGAGGAATTCGTCAACACCAAGTCGCAAATGATGATCTTCCGGGGGTCGAAAATGAAGATCGCCCGCATGGCGCTGGAGTCCATGCCGGTAAAGCCGCGAGTGATTCTCGACTTCGGGACGTACATCGGAAACTCCGTCCTGGGATGGGGTGCGATCCTGAAAGGGTTGCACGGTCCGGACGCGGCGGCGCAGGGATGCAGAGTGTACACCTTCGAGCTTGATCCCGGGATGGTGCGTCTGGCCAGTTATCTTGTCCAGCTAGCGGGGTTGGATGACATCGTGCACGTGCTAGAGGGCCCCGCGTCAGAGTCGTTAAAACGGCTGTACGAGGAAGGACAGATCGCTCGCGGGGGCGTCGATATGGTGTTCTTCGATCATTGGGAGAGACACTATCTCGCGGATCTGCTGCTGTGTGAGGAACTGCGCATCTTCCGCGAGGGATCGCTGGCGATCGCGGATAACACGGACATGCCCGGCGCGCCGCAGTATCTGCAGCATGTGCGGGCGGGAGGCGCTGGGCCCGGGATGGTCAGGTATGAGACGAGGTCGTATGAGAGCACGGCGAAGAAGGGTCGGCCGGTTTGTGTTTTCTATGTTGCTTCTTGGTGGGGGCTGCGACTGATTGCGTTGCTTAGAATATTATTGAAATCAGCACCGTTATCGAGCCATAGTCGGTCCAACGTGATGTCGTGGTGTTGTGTCTCGGAACAGCCTAGTACGTGCTGCCCACCTGTCCGGTCGGCGCCTGTTGCATATATGTTGCATACATACAGTTATGTCAACTTCTTCGCCACTTCGACACTAAAAAATGGACGAAATTAGGAATGCTTTTCTCTTGCATGAAGTAAGCACCAAGGGGAGCCACTTTGACGCTGGAAGGCAACAAAGGGGTGTCCCTCGGGGGCATAGTACAGCGGTCAGGTGCCTGGGTTGGAAGACACGCTCAATCAAAGAAAAGCCACAAGTTTTTTGAAGCCCCTCGTCCTAGGGGCGCCGGGCTCGAGCTACACCACAACTTCATTTTCTTCTTCTTTTTTGTTATCACCTCTCTTCGACCGTAGTGGGATCAGGATGCCGCCTGCGAATTTTTAGAGCCCATCTCGTCCCTGTGAGTAAGCGGCATCTGCACCTTGCCAAGTGTCTAGTGGGGCCGTGGAGGTGCTACTTCGCTCGCCCTATGAGGACTAGCGGGTAGTTAGCTGGCACTAGACCCAAACGGGAACACCCGATGGCCCCCTCCTGCAACGTCATCCTCCGCGTCGAGTCAATCCAACATAAACTATCTGTGGCTAGATGCTGCATCACTTACTTCTAGCTGACGCAAGCTCGTGCTGCAAGCTGATGCTGCATCACACCGCATCGTCCAATGACTCGCCACGCACTCATCCACAATCGGAGCTTGTCCGGTGCCTGAAGCCAGTCATCTTGATGTGCGCCTTTTCCTACGCGCACGGTTTGCTTCCTTATCCTCTCGTTCTTACCGATATGATCTAGATCATTGAGATTTAGCTTTACAGTCCGTCACTGGACGAAACAAATACCTATGGTGGCCTTTTATGGCTTCATTCCAAGGCACGGCACGCGGAAATCCAGCTTCGCCTCTACCCGAAGCCTGGGATCAGCAGACGCGTGAGAGGCTCTACTCGACTAGTACAAGGAGATAGCCAACAAGATACTGAGAGGTTAAGGCTAGGTTGCCCGCTCCAAGCTTGAACCTTCTGCGTGAACCAGTCTTGCTTGATAAAGTTTTGTCCAATCCTGCGACCGTTGGTGACATAATGCCAGCCAACCTTGAATCAACAAAGCATATTCTACACCTGTTATGGGATCATGGAATACATAAAAGAGTGCTCGGGTGAGCCTTTGATGTCCGAATGGTACTTCCTCTGTATTCTACGGACAACTACTGATAACATGGCTCAGCCGGTGAATCCTGCCCGTCAGAATGAGCCCATCGCGATTGTGGGGATCGGTGAGGAATCATAAACCTCTTGATTATACCTGCTGCTTCCTGACTCTAAGCTCCAGGATGCCGTCTACCAGGAAACGTTTCCTCCCCCGCGCAGCTATGGGACTTTCTCATCCAGAACCGAACGGGCCATTGCCACGTCCCTAAAGATCGATACAATGCGGAACCTTTCTATCACCCTGATAGCGACAAACCGGGTAGCATCAACTCCACAGGTGGATACTTTATACAAGAGGATATCCGAGCATTCGACAATGCATTCTTTGGGATTAACAATGCCGAGGCCAAGGAGATGGATGCTCAGCAGCGAAAGCTGCTCGAGGTTGTTTACGAGGCGCTCGAAAACGCCGGCCTTCCCCTAGAACATGTTCAAGGGTCAGATACCGGTGTCTTTGTTGGCAATTTTGCCAACGAGCACATGCTCATGCAGTGCAAAGACCCCGAGTACCTTTCTCGGTACAGCGCAACGGGCTCAAGCTTGGCTATTCTGGCAAACCGAATCACGCATTGTTTCGATTTGCATGGCCCTTCCCTCGTCGTTGATACGGCCTGTTCTGGATCTCTTCATGCGTTGCATCTCGCATGCTTGGCCTTGGATGCGCATGATTGTAGCGCAGCTGTCGTGGCCAGTGCTAATTTGATTCAGTCACCTGAACAACAGATGAATGCTGTCAAGGCAGGCATATTGTCTCCTGACTCGGTTAGCCATACGTTTGATGATTCGGCCAATGGGTATGGCAGGGCAGAGGCTGTTTCTGCTGTGTATCTCAAACGACTCGGTGATGCTGTGAGGGATCGGGACCCCATCAGATCTGTAATCAAGGGGACAGCTATAAATGGGTGAGTCTGCCGTTGTACTTGGAATGCTATATCCACTAACCTACCGCAGAAATGGACGAACCCTTGGGATAATGCAGCCATGTATTGAGAGACAACAAGATGTGTTCCGGGCGGCATATCGACGCGCAGGTTTGGAGACGAATGAAACTGACTTCATCGAAGTAAGACCTCTTAACAGCCTGAGAAGGGTTTGTGCACGACGCTGACCGCCGCAGGCACACGGAACAGGAACAAAGGTTGGGGATCCCATGGAAGTAAACGCCATTTCCGGCGTGTTCGATCATATAACCGGGCGGCCTACCCTTGTCGGAGGCATCAAGCCAAGTCTAGGGCACAGCGAAGCTGCAAGTGGGCTGACGAGCGTGATCAAGATTACACTCGCACTGGAAAACAGGATCTTACCTGCTACTGTGGGTGTCGAGAACATCAACCCGGAAATACACACACGAGAATGGAACGTGGATATTGTGACAAAGAACATGCCGTGGCCTCAATCGGCTACGCCGCGGGCTGGGGTGAATGCATCTGGATTTGGCGGCTCCAACAGTCATGCTATCCTTGAAGCTGCCAAATTGCCTTCCAGAGACAGTGCCAACGGATCGCACAGCATGACGGAACATGCTACGTCTAACGGCAATCTTTCAAACACCAACTATGAAGAACACAAGCAGAGTTTGATTCTCCTATCAGCTAAATCGGAAGCTTCTCTTACCGGGGTGGCTAGGAATCTGGCTGCATATACGGTCACAGATAGCAGTCAGTTCTCCCTGGATGATCTTGCGTATACTCTTGGTTGTCGTCGCTCGAGACATCCCATTCGGGGATTTTTGCTAGAATCCCAATCAAACTTACGCAACGGCTTTAATGTGGAGATGATGAGGGTACCCGAGACCGGATTCTCGGAAACCCTTCCATTTGCTTTCATCTATACCGGCCAGGGAGCGCAATGGGCCGGGATGGGAGTACAGCTTATCCGACACAACACCGTCTTTAGAGAAACGATCCAATATCTCGACGATTGTCTCCATGCTCTTGATTTTGACGATGCGCCCTCGTGGACAATCGAGGCAACCCTTCTTACCTCTGCGGCGGAAAGCGATATAAACCTGGCAGAGAAATCCCAGCCACTCTGCACTGCAGTTCAGATTGCATTGACAGACTTACTCCATGATTGGGGAATCTCACCGAAGATAGTCTTGGGACATTCCTCCGGCGAGCTGGCGGCGGCATATGCGACCGGCTTCCTCACTGCCCGGGAGGCCATCCTGGCTTCGTATTTTCGGGGTATCGCTGTTTGCAAATGCTCTCTGAACGGCGCCATGGTCACGGTTCAACTTGACCGATCGGAAGCGCAGCTGATTATTGAGGAACTTTCTTTGCAAGAATCCATCCAAGTTGCGTGCATGAACTCGCCTGAAAGCACGACCATCAGCGGCGATGAAGTAGCGATAGACGATTTTGCTCGAGCTGCTAGGGACCGTAGAATGTGGGCGAGAAAGTTGAAGACCGGTGGCAAAGCTTATCATTCACATCACATGAGCATGGTAGGTTCATGGTACCACTCGCTCTTGGAGCACAACTGGGGACGGAGTAGCACCTTTAATGAAGTTATCAACGGTACCACTCACACCAGACGGCCAGTTACAATGGTCTCTACCGTGACAGGCGAGCAAGTAAGAAAAAGCGAAGTCGCTATGCCAAAGTACTGGAGAATGAACCTTGAGTCCCCGGTGCTATTTGAAGACGCTCTTCGTACCATATTGAAGAGTCATAATTACCACTTTATTGAGTTAGGGCCTCACTCAGCCATGCGACTCCCTCTAGAGCAAACTGCCATCTCAGCAGGGAAATCAGACTATCATTATAACAGTTGTCTTTCCCGCGGAAAGGACTCATACAGGACGATTCTTGAGCTCGTTGGGTCACTCTTTTTGCGAGGGCATGACGGCATAAACTACCACAATATCTTCCTCGATGACAGTCGGAGAGAGCCCCAGGTCTGTTTTGATCTTCCACCTTACCCCTGGGATTACAGTTCCGCCGCCATGTCATCCACGCCTCGAGTTGTCGCCGAGTTCAATCATCGCAGGTATCCGCGACACGAACTCCTCGGCTCTCAAATTCCCGGGGGCAATCCGGCTACCTTGACGTGGCGCAATATCCTGGATCTCAATGAAATAGAGTGGTTGTCTCACCATTGCTTGGGACCGTCTCCGCTCTTTCCTGCCACCGGTTATATTGCAATGGCAGTGGAGGCAATGTGTCAGGTCGCTGGATTAGAACTCGAAGAGTGTCCCGGCGTGGAGCTCCGCAACTTGAGCTTCATGAAAACTCTCGATATGGACTTTAAGCGAAAGCCTCGCGTTGAAATAATTACGGACATGCGTCCCACTTGGATATCCAGTCAAAATCGGTCGGGCAAATGGTGGGAGTTCAGTGTCACATCGGTCTCCGAGAGTGACTCCCAGTCTACGCTGCACATGTGTGCCACAGTGAGCCTTTCTGGGGAGCATACTCACACAGAGCGACGGATCCATCTCGACAAATCTACAATGAGGCAAGATGCATCACGGGTCTGGTACGATAGATTTACTCAAGAAGGTCTCAACTGGGGTCCCTCATTTGCCGTGATGAAAGAAATCTTCAGGGACCCGGCAATGAGAGCGCATAAAGCAGCAGCAACCACACCTCTCGTCCATGACAATAACCTCACTTCCAACAGGAGTCTTCAGTACATTGCCCATCCAGCCTCCATCGACGGCATGTTCCAAACGGCATTCGTTGCCACAGCCGGGGGACAAACGAGCAAACTTCGAGGCAAAGTGCCCGTCGTGATCGACTCACTATACGTTGCTCCACCTTCAGTGCTGGATATGACGACAGAGAACTGGTCGACCGATGCGGTATCTGAAGACGTTGGCTTCGGCACGGTAATTATCAACTCCGAGCTGTATAATTCATCTGGACAGGTCTTAGTCCGCATGAATAATGCCCGCTGTGTTGCTTTTCAGGGAAAAGCTCGGACAGAAGCGCCGCGGGAGCGTAACCCGTTAGTCAGAGTCGCTTGGAAGCCGGATATTACGGCATTGACTAGTGAGGATCTGTCGAGGTATCTTGACTGGTTCGTGAATGAGTACGAAAGCCGGGGGATGAACGCTAGCAAGCGTCTGTTGCGACTGGCTGGTGCCCTTGATTTGGCGTGTCATAGACGACCAGATAGCAGTATTCTCGACCTCACCGGTCAAGATGAAACTGCTGATTTTATGGGTGTGCTGTTACGGGCAGGATCATCGTTGCAGAGGTTTAGCTCTTACGTTAAAGGGGTTTTCTCGGAGTCGGGGGAAATCCTGCGTGAGGGACTTACTGATGAGGAGAGTGAGCGTACGCCCTCGGACGCGGGCGTGGACACTTTTAACATCATTCTCGTGAGTGCTACAATCACCTCCATTACGCTCCGATACTAAGTCGATGTAGGGATCTGATCTTCCTTCAAGTCTTCACAAGCTACTGGCACCAGGGGGAATAGCGATCGCAACTGGAGATGTACCAAACTTCCACTCTAATGCAGCTATTCAAGATACCCAAGGCTTGACAATAGAATTCGGCTCCGAAGCGATCTCAGCAACGACCAAACCGCGTCATGTTGTCATGGTGGGGACCCCGAAACATTTTCTACTTTCACAACTGATGAATTGCATGCAGATTACACGAGATAGCCGTGCAACTGGTATAGAGTTGCAGATACAGGATAGCCTAGGACAATACTTTGGATACCCTGTCAATATCTTTGATTTGTCCCAAGTGTCGTGCGAGACAGTTCCCGACCGGTCCATTATCATCTCAACCCTCGAGATTGGAAAACCTCTACTAACGGTCATTAACGAGCGGCAAATGGCATTTTTGAAAATCTGCTCCAACCAAGCATCGATAATACTTTGGATCTCAAACGGCGACTGTTTGGGAGGGAGACGTCCCGAATCTTCTCCAGTACTCGGTCTCTCTCGTTGCTTGATGCTGGGGCAACCGTCTCTTCAGTTCGCAGTACTAAATGTAAATGACATTGCTGGAGCATCGTCGGGCAGAATCTCGAGCAATGCCGTCAAGATCCTCAATCAGTTACTATGTCATGACCGCCCGGAATTCGAATTCTGTCAGAGGGAAGGAATGGCCCATGTACCTCGCTGGGAGCCAGATGAGTCTCTCAACGCAAAATTCCGATTGAAGCTGAGCGAGGAGACAATCGAGGAGCGTCTCCGCGATGCAGGAAGCTGTCAGTTGAATATCAAAAACCCCGGACAGATGGATACCATTCATTTCGTACCAACGGAATCGTCCGGAAAGATATCCGCTGGTGATGTTGAGATTGATGTGAAAAGTGTGGGTATGAATGCTAAGGTAAGCTCTCCAGTCCCGCTTAGAGACAGTAGCTTATGTTGTAAAGGATCTGTATGTGATTACTGCCAAGGTAGACACTGCGGGTGTATCGTGCTCCTGCGAATGCGCTGGCGTTGTCACGGCCGTCGGGGAAGATGTGATCGATTTCAAACCCGGTGACCGAGTGGTTGTCATGGCCCCGGGCCATTTTGCAACAGTGGAGCGATTTCCTCAGTGGACAGTTTGTAAGCTGCATGATGATGAGGACTTTATAGTGAGTGCGGAGTTTCAATTCGTAGCAATAAACTGACCCGTTCCAGACCGCGTCGACAATACCAATAGCGTTCTCCACGGTTATCTATGGCCTCAAGCACAGAGCGAATTTGAAACCGGGAGAGGTATGGTACTAGCGTATGATTTCCCTGGATTCAACTGATAGCAACCAGTCTGTATTTATACACTCTGCTGCCGGGGGTGTCGGCATTGCGGCCATTCAATACGCGAAGCATTTGGGCGCCAAGGTAAACTATCGGACAGCAAACGAAACAAGCACCATGCACTGACACCGATATAGGTATTTGCCACGGTTGGGAATCAAGCAAAAAAGGATTTCTTGGTCGCAAAATTCAACCTTGATCCAGCACACATCTTCAGTTCCCGAGACTCCTCATTTCTTTCTGGCATTCTTAAAGCAACATCTGGCCGAGGAGTTGATGTTGTTCTGAACTCTCTCACTGGTGAGCTATTGCACTGCAGCCTCGAAGCCTGCGCAGAATTCGGCCGCTTCGTTGAGATAGGCAAAAGGGACATCTTGGACCATGGGGCACTGGACATGGCGATATTAAGTCGCAATATCGCATTCATTGCGTTTGATCTATTTGGTCTATATATGTCGAAAAGGGAATCGCATCATCGGCTATGGAGCAGTCTGCTCGTCGATAGTATGGATCTTATTCGCTCAGACATCTGCCAGCCCTGCACTCCTCTCAGAACCTTTGATGTTTCCGAAATTGTTGATGCATTCCGCCATCTTTCACTCGGCTCCAGGATGGGAAAGGTGGCCGTCTCCTTCCAGAATGAGCACAGCAAGATCAGGATCGTTCCAAGCAAGTACAAAACTAGATTCAGTCATCAAAAGACCTATTTGATGGTCGGATGTCTTGGCGGACTGGGTAGGAGCTTGTCAAGATGGATGATGTCTCTGGGAGCTTGCGACTTTGTCTTTCTCGGCCGCTCCGGGACAGATAAACGTGAGGCTAAAACCTTGGTCGACGATCTGCAGGAACAAGGAGCCCATGTCACGGTCGTTCGCGGAGACGTCTGCATCTATGAAGATGTGAAAAATGCAATCCGATCTGCGAGGCTCCCCATCGGAGGCGTGATCCAGGCCGCGATGTCCGTCAATGAGTCTCTCTGGGACGACATGTCCCTCAACCAATGGCATGCCACGCTTGGCCCAAAAGTACAGGGTACCTGGAACCTTCACAACGCATTGCAGATCGAAACCCGAGCCTCAGAGCTAGATTTCTTCGTCATGACATCCTCCATAGCCGGTACCGTGGGAACCGCCACAGAAAGCAACTACTGCGCCGCCAACGCCTTCCTCGACGCATTTGCGCGCTACCGCAACAGCCTTGGCCTTCCCGCAGTATCGATCGGTTACGGAATGATCTCCGAAGTAGGCTACCTACACGAACACCCCCAGATTCAAGCTCTCCTCAAGCGACAGGGCACCCATGCAATCACCAAAGAGGAACTTCTCCAGATCATGGACCTCGCCATCGCTCACCAAAACCCCACGACCTGGGAATCACGCTACGACCATCTCGCAGCCAGCCACCTCCTCACGGGGGTCGAGTTCACCGGCCTCGAAGAACAGCGCGACCGCGGCTTTGAAAAAGACAATTACATCCTCTCCGACCCTCGCGCCTCTCTCTTCGCCACGGCCTTCTCCCGCCGAATGGGCGGCAATTCAACCACCCACCCCAACTCCCTCCACACCTCGAATAACCACCTCCCCGCAGAACTAAAAAATGCCCTCCAGGAGAGCAAGCACGGAAGCAATCAATCGCTTCCAATCCTAGACGCGCTACGCAATCTTGTATCCAGAAAACTATCAAATCTCATCCTTCTCCCCGAGGGAAAACTGCAGCCTGATCAGCCGCTCGGTGACTTCGGGCTGGACTCGATGCTGGCGGCGGAGTTTCGCACCTTCATTTTTCGCACCTTGGGCGTCGATGTACCCTTCGTCGCGCTTTTGGATCGCGGTGCCACGGTGGATGTTCTGGCGGGGCTTATTGCGGAAGGGTTGAGTGTGGATGGATATGAATCTGGGGGTCTGTAGATAATTACTACTACTATTAGATAAAGGGTCGGTCAGTACTACTGCAGGGGCTCGAACACGACGACCACGACCTATGTCTAATTGGGCAGCAGGTGTGGTATATTTTACTCGATTCTCCTGCTCGACTTGATTGTTGGATACCATCATCCATGCTCTCTCCCCATGACCGTTGTTGCTAATGGCTCTCTTCCCCTGTTCTTTGTCTCTGGAGTTCGTGCCTGAGCTTGCAGGCTGCAGTTTGCAGGCTAGAATTTACGTCATCCAGTTGTCCTGCTTTTGCTTCCCTCCCTCTTGTCTTCTGATTGGCTAGCGAGAGCTATAGTCTATAGGTACCCTATAACACCCCCCCCCCCCCCCCCCCCCTCCCCAAACACATCCCGGGTTCGTGACGCGATGTACATATACATATGTGACCTCCACAGTCGGCGTTGCGGGAAAGTACGTCACAATGGGAATGGGTAGGAGGAAGTTTATACGTAGATACTCAATCGCCTTGGTGTTGGCAGGGAAAGCTAAGTGGTGGATATTTTGATCCAGATTTATCATTACCGAGCATCAAGCATGAATCATACACATAACATAACATCATAGCGAAGAGAATGTAAGTTGTACAGCTAACAAAAAAAAAAAGAGGAAACAAAAGGTAATCAAAATCCAAAGAATGACAGCGCCGTGGCTCATAAACACAAAATATACAAACAAGATCATCTCCAAACTGCACCAATCCAGCCATCCCAACATGACTCACTCACAACTGAACTCACACTCACACTCACACTTACACTCACACTCACACTCACACTCACACTCACACTCACACTCACACTCACACTCACACTCACACTCACACTCACACTCACACAGCCTCAGGACCCTGCGAGCTAGTTGCCGTCTGATTCCCCATACCAGACCTCCCAATATGCGCGGCCTCTGGCTTCCCAGACACCGAGGAGCCTCGACGATCATACGCTGCAATATCGGGAAAGACAAACTTGGAGCTCTTCCACGGCTTGACTTTCATAACATACATGGTATCGATCTCCTCGAGGGTACGACCCTGGCCCTCAATGACAGCCACATAGACCAGTCCGGCAGCGAGGAACAAACAGCCCGCGAACACATACCCAAGACGGAAATCGATCGCGCTGGTGATGAACGGGGTGAAGAACGCGAGAAGGAAATTCCAGAGCCAGTTCGATGCGGTAGCGAGAGACATGGCGCGGGCGCGGTACTGCGACGGGTATAGCTCCGCGATGATGGTCCAGACCATGGGACCCCATGTACTCGCGAAACCAAGGATGAATAGACAAGCGAAGACGACCATGACGACGCCGGCGGTGTGTGTTTCTTCAGGGTGCTGGTGGTTAAGCGAGAAGTGGCCGACGGAGGCGAAAACCATAAAGCAGACGAACATCCACAAAGCGCCAGCGATGAGGGAGCGCCGACGGCCATAGTTCTCGATCAGGTAGAGACCCAGGAAGGTGGTTCCGAAGTTGACACCTCCCAGGATCATCTGCGTGACGTAGCTATTCTGGATGCCTGCGCCCTGAAAGATGGTGGTGCCGTAGTAGAAGAAGTAATTCGCGCCGGTGAGCTGCTGCAGGGCCTGAAGGGCGACGCCGACGGCGACGCGGTATCCCATCCGCGGGGCGCGGAAGAGGCGCGCCCAGGTAATCTGGCCGCGCTCTTTCTCTTCCTCGAACTTCTGGTGGATCTCGTCGATCTCGAGCTTGAGCATGCGGTGGTTCAGCGGGATGCCGTACATCTTGGCCAGGGTGTTGGCAGCTTTTTCTTCCTTCCCGTTGCGGTAGTCGTAGCGGGCGCTTTCGGGGAACATGGCGATGCCGACGCCCAGGATGATGGCCCATAGGTAGGTTATTCCCATGGGGATGCGCCACGAGGCCGTGCTGTTCTTTTTCTCCGTGCCGAAGTTGATGCAGTTGGCTACGAATATGCCCAGGGTGATGAAGAGTTGGTATGTGCTGGTGGTGGTGGGTGTTAGCGTGGGGGTCTTTGTTTTGTCTGGGGGTGTCGCTCGGGGGATTCTTCTGTTGGGACGTACCTGACTAGTGAACCGCGGATGTGTCGGGGTCCTGTCTCGGCTTGGTACATCGGAACAAGCAATGACAGGGCACCAACGCCGAGGCCAGCTACCCAGCGGCCCATGGCGACCTGGTACCATTTTCCGGTGGGGGAGGATATCTGCACGGTGATGCCGACGCAGACCATCGCGCTCCACCCGCTAATGGACCACTTTCGGCCGATACGGTCGGCAATAGGGGCCGCGATGAGCGCCCCGATCAAGGTACCGACTGACAGCTGGGATAGGCGTGTTAGTATTGGCATGAGACGGAAGTGCCAGTGGAGGCTTACCAGAGCGACAATCAAACCCGAGCGAGCGTTAGTGAAATAGTATGTTCCGTCGGAATGCTGCTGTCCGTATCGCTGAAGGAAGTCCGGCATCTCCAGAAAACCGGAGATCTGACCGGTGTCGTAACCGAAGAGAAAACCTCCCATCGAGACAAAGACACCCATTGTGAACGAGCGCCATGTCAGCAAGGGGATCGGTATATCGACTATCTCGGCCTGTTTCTCGTGACCCGGAATAGTAGTGTTGAGTTGGTCTTCATGCGCCAGTGTCTCGTCGGCGAAATGTTCCTCTGGCCTCACCCGAGGCATTCTCATCTTGGGTAGTCTCATTGTTGTATTTAAATTGTTTTATGGACCGTCGTTATATATACCGTCCCTGTATGTAATATAGCTTTATGTGTAGGCTCTCCGCACTCTGCAGATAACGATCGCGCAGTAGCGATCAGATCAGCTGTAGTCTTCTAGAGACTAGTCAACGATTGCCCTAGTGTCTCGTGTGACATTTATAGCCGGACGGGCCGTGAGCTGAGCAATGCTCATGAGGGGTCCATGATGTCATGTGTCGTACAGGACCTTGCTTATTCCTCCCCGCTTCTTTGTCTGAGCACGAGATGGGACTCGTCTGCGATACCTTCTTCGGCCAGGGTGACAGCTCGCATGTCTGATCGCTCACGTGGTGGGCGTGAGAGTCAGGCGTACAATTGGGTCCCTTAGCCACCGATGTCTGCCGGTGAGTGTTTAGAGTCCGGAGCCGGGGAACCCGGCTGAGAGCCGAACTTTGAAGTGCTCCAGATGCCCGTGATGGGTGGGTCGTCTCTGGTAGCGATCCGGGGAAACTCAATCATTAAGTCATCACTCAGAGGGGAAATCCCAGTGGCGACGATGACAGGTGGGCTTGCGGAACTCCCCAGGTGGCTGACCGATACCACCCTGCGTTCCATGGTTCGGGGTCGTTCCGCCAGATGCCACGCCGGAATCCCCGTGGGGTCTTGGCCTACGTGCCATCTTCTCCGCACGTAGTGAACTGTTATGTTCGTGGATAATTAATACCACCTCTCAGGCTAGCACACTGATGCGGTGCGGTGTTTGCCGGGGCTTCCGCCACATGGGATGATCGCGATCGCGATCGGTATGCGGTGCGTTGACTGGGCGGCGTCCACCGCAAGGGTGACCTGGACTCTAGGTTCAGAGCCGGCGTCGTGATCGTCCACGGGGATCGACGCAGTGCATGAAAGGGAGAACTCACAAAGGTGTTTTCTCGGGTCCGGGACGATCGACTCCGAGGAGCTTTCCACGGCCGTTAAGTCTTGGTCCGACTGTCCGAAATGGAGAGAGACAAAGGCAGGTTATCACTCCTCTGGATAATTATATCAGCATGCTGCTCACGATTATCCAGCCCGTAATACTCGCCTAAACGGTTAGCCGGACATCATCCTCACTTCCATCCAGCTGTAAATCCGATACGTCCAGAGCATATCGATGGCATGCTCTAGCGCGCACGGCCATGAGCTTAAATCTCCGGCAGTACGCTCAGCCGTGTTGAATGATAAGACTGAGGCATCCATGCTGCTTCGAGTCCACTTGAGGTGTCAAAGAAACGTGCGAGTCACCAATGAAAACGTGCGAGGACGGCTTGGGGGCCGTCACCAGACGGGCCGGGCCAAAGGAGCCCTCATTATTTCCCGTATCGACGACCTTTTTCCTCCGATCTCACGGCCTCAGATCAGCCAACGGGCCGGTAGACGGCCTGAGCTAGTACCTCCGGAGACACCGAGTCGTCCATGTGAATAGCTACAAGGGTCACCCTGAACGGCCTTATCGGGGACTAGCGCCGTGAGGATCACGCCGTGCAGATTAGCGCTTACTAGCATTGATTGACCCTGCGCCTCTCAGCGAATTGTGCCTTGGCACTGTGGATGTGACGAGTCCAAAAAGTCCCGCCAGGATCCTGAAGACGTGTGCTTGATTTAGAAATGGTAAGGGTATGCATGTCTGCGATGGTGATATCTGTGCTCATCATCTCGGATGGCATTCTCGGCAGATGCGCATCAGCATCATGGAGCATGTTGCAGTATATAAAGCGGTTGTCTTCTGTCCCAGAGATAATATCCAGTGCAGTTGAGCAAGAGCAGCAGCAGCAGCAGCAACAACAACAACAACAACAACAACAACAACAACAATCATGGCTCTACCTCTCCCAGTGAAACAGCAAGAGACTCGTGAAGCCTCGTGCGCCCTAGACGTTAGTATCAGCTTCCCGCGGTCTGAATCAACCTAACAATGGAAGCAGATCATTGTTGCAGGTGCTGGAATTGGTGGACTTGGCGCAGCAGTTAGCTGTCTCTTGGCAGGTCATAATGTTCATGTCCTGGAGGCTGCTCCTGAGATCCGTGAAGTCGGAGCGGGCATCCAGATTCTTCCCAACGGCTCGCGGATCCTCAAGCACTGGGGGATGGAAGAACGGTTATCCAAGCACTGGCAAGTATCGGAGTCATTCGAGATCAACGGTTACAAAGGGAACAAGATTTCATCCTTGAGCCTGGCGGAGTCCGCATCCCAGTACCCAGGCACATGGTACAGGACGTTTTACCGTCCTCATCTTCAAATGCCTTTGCTTGAGCGCGTGCGCGAACTCGGGGGGAAAGTATCAACCAACGCCAAGGTGATGAATGTCAGCGTCAATCCTGACAATGCGGGTGCGACCGTTATTACCGGAACTGGAGAGGTCCTGACATGCGAGCTCTTCATTGGAGCGGATGGGATATTCGGGGATATCCCAGACATGCTACTGGACAGTCCGACCCCTGCTTCCAAAACCGGCGACTTGGCTTATCGAGTGCTGCTGTCGACTGCGGATCTGCTGAAAGACCCTGAGCTGGCTCCTTTTGTCACCAAGCCTCAGGTCAACTTCTGGCTTGGGCCGGAGAAGCATGTGGGCAAGTCTCCTTTTCCACCCTGTTTATAGCCTCTTCTAACCGTCTTGTAGTCACTTATAACATTGGCAAGGACCACTTCAACGTCGTCCTTCTTGTCCCCGACGACATTCCCGAGAGCTCATCGGCCAACACAGTGAAGGGCAACGTGGAAGAGATGTGCGCGTTGTTCAAGGACTGGGACCCTCGGTAAGCCTCTATCAAGCCGGTCGACCACTGACAACAACTCACAATATCCAGTCTTGGCAAGCTACTCGCACTATGCAAGGAAGTGCAGAAATGGCGTCTGTGCACTCGACTGAACACCCGCACCTGGTCGCATCCCTCAGGGGCAGCGGTCATGATTGGAGACTGTGTCCACGCCACGCTTCCCTACATGGCTGTGGGGTGAGTTCAGTCTGCTCACACATTCAACGGATGAACTGACTTGTATTCAGAGCCGGTCTCGCCATCGAAGACGGCGCCGTGCTAGGAGAATGTCTCGCGCGCCTCCCCAACAACCCCCGGATCAGCAAATCCTCCAACTCCTTCCTCAAGGCCAAGCGGCACGCGCTTGCCGTATTTGAAAAATGTCGCATCGAGCGTGTCCGTATCGCCATCATGCGGTCTCATCGGCAGCGGTACCTCAACCATCTCCCCGATGGTCCCGAGCAAGAGCAACGCGACAGAGACATGCAGTCGACACCCACGCCTGAAGGTGAGGCGCTGGTGTGGCGAGACCCTGGGACGGCGCCGACGCTGTTCGGGTGGAATCATATCCTCGAGGTTTGTCTTCTTTCTCTGCCCCAACACGAGTCCTTTGAAGTTGATAGCTAATGTGTGAGACTGCAGGTTGAATCCAACTGGGACTTGTCTCCGACTACTGCCGAGACGAGCGGGTTGGTGCTGAGTGGGGCGCGTCTGTGAGTGGGTGGCCAGTCTGCTGCCGATTGCTGTTTCTGATCAGTGGTTTTCTTTAGTTTCTGGGTGTACTTTGTCGGGGCTATTGGCCAATACCTGCGTTTCCTTGCGTCAGTTGTGAACAGAGGGGGCCGGCCTCTTCCTCTGGCTGCCTTGGAGAGACAGGTGGGGGTGGAGGGAAGGAAGGATAAGAAGAGGCTATAGAAGGGAGAAATTGGGGATGAGGAAATAATAGACATGATGTTTATCGATGATGGATATAGACTGGAGTTTGCTTCAATGATATTCGCGTTATGGAACTTTTGAAAGGATGGAGTTGTAGGCAATTGAGAGTTGCTGGTAGGATGGAGCGGCCCGGAAATAGATTCCATGTGACAACCCCATTGTGTGTCTGGGAAAACGGCCAGATAACCAAGGCCACCAGCGTGTCTGATTTCATATTTATCATGCCTTCAACTCGATTAATTCACGAAGTCCAGTAGATAGCCTGAGAAATTGGGCTGCAGTCATTACGTCAGGCTTAGATAGCCATTATCCTGGCCTCCTATCACAAGGAAGGGGCTGTGGTTTAGTGGTATAATATTCCCTTAGCATGGGAGAGGTCCGGGGTTCGATTCCCCGCAGCTCCAACCCTTTTTTGTTTTTTCCTTTCCCACTGCGGATCAGAAAGAACATTTGATTTGTTTCCTCTCTCTTTTTTTCTGATTTCTTCTTCTCGCCATAATTTGAGAATTCCCCGCCTACATTTTTACATCATGCTTACTGCGTCCTATCCCTAACCTCCAGATTTCCATCCATCGTTCAAGTTGTATCAGGCTGCTGGGCGTTCTCTCGATCATTTATCTGCATTCAACACTACTCTGTACCATTCAAATATTCAGCCTTTCCAGGAGTAGTGTGGTCCCCAGTATCTACTTATACTGCTGCAGCCTGCAGGACCGCACTAGGCCCTGACCCACCCACCCATTACGCCACCCGTGTCGTAGTTCCAGCACCGGCGGCCCTGCGCCTTATCCTCGCAAGCTAGGATATAGATCGTTAGACTGGCGTTATCTAGCTGGGTTCCGAGTCGCGACTCGACTGAGCGGAGTTGATACCGGGTTATGATCCGGCCCATTAATTAGTGCACAGACGCGGCTTTCCCACAGAACATCTTCATCTTCCATTGCCATATCGGCAACCTGATGAGTCCGACATTTGGATTTCAAACCCGTTCCAAGTTAAGCTGGAGGATAGCCCTAAAATTATCCCTCGCGGGCTCATCCGTTTACCGGTGGATGAAAGGACAGGTCTTAGCTGACTTTGTCTTTGCGCTGTTTGTAGACTGATTACGCGGCGGTTCCTAATATTATGCACCGGCTGCAGGTGATAGCAATAGCATATGCAGTGTTGCGTTGACCTTGGGCAGTGAGGGCGCGAGTATTGACTGATGTTCTGGGCAGATGATGCATCCCGTGATATCAGGGCTTGGGGCTTGAGTCAGCCTGGAAAGACACCGCAGTGGATTAACATTCCACCCCCCCCCCCCAAAAAAAACATGCTCCCAGCTACTATGCTTACACGCCATGGGTCAATCTACATAAACATCACGCAACGAGTACTACCTACAGCGGTCAGCTATGACTTGCAGGATTGATGTCTAACTTCCGATACCAACGATAGGCTGGAGCAGAGGAAAGCTGAAGAAAGCTTCTGACATAAGCACTCTAACGAGCAACCTCAGGAGAGGACCTATAACATCAAGTGGAAAAGTTCGATCCAGACTGTTGAGTGTCGCACAAAACCCGTTAGGCATGTTCCGAAGGTCCGGCCCATTCAAAAGAGCACTGGCCTGACAGCCGCCTATCAAGATGAAGCACACGGGAGCTTGGACGCCCTCTCCTGAACACAGCAGGCTGTCATCTTCTTGGCTAAGGCCAGTTAAACAGGGTTTATTCCTCTCCGAGCTTCTACTGTCAGCAATGCGACGCAGAGTAGCACGATTGATCATCGCCTTATGGTGTGCCGTGTGTTGCATGGGGACCACGGATCCAGGTTGAGTCAGCCTGAGCGACGGTATGCATAGTCCCGAGCATGGGTGTATAGCCCTACTATCTAGCTGGTTGAAGATAAATACTGCCTTCTCTGCCACCATAGCTTCTCATCAGCATCAGCATCAGCATCAGCACAGCACAGCACAGCAACCATTCAAACGCCACCCACACTCAAGACTCACCAGTCTCAAATACAACCCACCCTCCTGCAAAATGAAGTATCAAATTCTCAGCATCCTGAGCGTCCTCTTCGCCGCGACATCGGCCAATCCCGCTCGTACCACCGTATGCCTCCCTCCCATTCCTATCCATCCCCTCTTCCCTCTTCCCTCTTCCCTCTCCCCCCACTAACCCCCCGCCAGAACCAACAAGACATCTCCTCCATAATCAACACCCTCCCCCAAGATCCCAACGGAATAATCCAACTCGGCACGGACGGAGTCCTCCGCTCCCTCGACAGCGAAAACCAAGTAATGGCGTACTTCCCGCTCGACGGGCAGCAAATCAGCGACTTCAACACCAACTTCTTCCCCGCGAGCCAGCAGGCGAGTCTCACGCAGACGTACCAGGGCGTGGACGGCCGCAGCGTGACAGACAACAACCAGATCTACAACCCCAGCCAGGATACGTTGCCGGTGATGCAGGCGAGCGCGAGCGCCAGCGCCAGCGCCATGGCCATGAGCATGAGCATGAGCATGGGCCAGAATGCGCAGGCAACGGGGCTGGCCGGGGGCAGGGTGCCGGTTCCGGATACCTGTGCGAATGTGGGTTGCACGTCCCATAATACTTGCTATCAGACGGGTTGTAGCTCGTGTTTGAGGTCGGGGAATATGGCGGTTGGGTTTTGTCATTAGGTGTTTTGTTTGGTGGTTTGGGGGTGGGTGGGTATATTATGTACCTGGGTGAGTGGGTGATGGCTGGGGCTGGGAACTGGAAACGTGGACGGGGATGGTTGCAGTGGGGGTTCGCGTCTCGGTTTCTCGGGTCTGATTGTCTGGCTGTTTGGCTCCCGACATCCTCTTCTTAGAAGATGACTGACCAGGGCTGACCCGAACCAAGGAGGATTCTCGATTGCGATGATGCGTGAAAATGATTTTACCTGTTTTTGTTTCGGTTTTGATTTTTTGTTTTGTGCGCGACGACGATGTTGAGGTCTGCTTGCTATCCATTCCTTTATCTCAAAGCAAACGATGATGAGTATTGCCCCCAGATGAGGTCCATTTTTCGTATACAGTAAATGGAAGAACGGGGAACTTGGAGAGGTAAGAAAAAAAAAAAAAAGAAAAGAAAAAAAGAAAGAAAAAATAATTGAGAAATTTGGTAGGTAGTTATTTTGAAGCCTGTAACCCTGGCGCCATGAATATCAATCATTGATCGCGCGCTAATATCAAACCGAATAGTAACTAGGAGGCGCTCTGTAGTCTAAATGCAAAAAAAAAGAAAGAAAGAAAGAAAGAAAGAAATAGAAGAAAAAAAAGAGAGAAAACAACTATCTACATATCCGCCCCCACAACCGGGTTCACACCCGCATAATCACCACGACTCAACCTCTCACTCGCCGCCGCCAACTCCGCGTCCGACGGCCGATTCACAATCGTCAAGTAGAGAATATCCTTTAAAACACCAAATCAGCATCATTCCGAACCAAACAACCACACCATACATCAGGAAAAACTCACCTTCTTAATCGACCTCTCTCCCTGCTCCAACGCCCTCCTCTTCCCCTGATACTCCTGTAAGGGCCGCGCATACCGGCGATCACACTCCTGGCGCTGTCGCTCAATCTCATGTTCGGGCAGATTCTGGCGCTCAATGTCATCGAGCTCGCGGTAATACCGATCGCGGATCTCATTCTCGTCTTTCTCGACTTGGCGGAGGGCGCTGCGCACCATAAATCCCTTGTCGCGCTGGATATGGCCGCCGGACAAGAAGCCGACCAGACCGCCGTTGACGGCGGGGTGGTTGGGGTCGAGGTAGCGGTTCTCGAAGCCGCGGGTCAGCGGGACGTTGAGGATGTCGCCTTCGTTTTCGGTGGTCTGGTGGTTGGTTTGTTAGCTTTGCGTGGGAAAAGGGGAGAGAGGTGGGGGGGGGGGGGGAGGTGGACATACATAGCGTGCTCGTGCCCTCCGATCAAGATAATCGTCAATCGCCGCCTTCGCGACCATCGGTTTGGATTTCTTCCGCTTCGCAGCCTCATCGCCAACCGGCACTGATTCCACGGTCGTCGCCTGCCTCAGCATTTCCTTGAACTCACGGCGATCGTCGATGTATATGAGCGGGGCGACTTCCGCGGGTAGGCTCGAAGAGCCTTGCACCTGACCTGAGACGGGGTCTTGGAACTTGCTCCCCAGTTTAATGAGGGGATTTCGGGAGGGTTGGGATGATTCCGAGCCTCGGGAGGAGAGAGATTTCAAAGTGGATAGCGAGCCGCGGAGGGATGAGGTGCGGGAGTCCTGGAATCGACTGGCGAAGGCGCCCAGTTGTTTGACGGGGCTCTCGGCAGATCGGAGTCTCCGGTCTTCTTGGTCCTGGGGGTCGTATTTCATGATCATGCAGTAGAGGCCTGCAGGGCCGAAGAGCTCTTCGTTGTAGCGGTCGATGGTGGCGTTGGTTCTGGAGGGGTGTTAGTTGGAAACATTGTGGGGGATGTGGATAGGAGTACAGACTTGTATTTGATGTGCGCCTTGTTGGCTGCAGTTGCGGCGACCTGGATGGCCGTTGCTACCGCCATGGAGATGACCTCAGGGCTGAAGGATGCGACGCCTGACACGACGGACACGCCGAGGAGCCATTTGTTGCCTTGGAGCGCGGTGTTGGTGTCGTGCAGGAATTGGAGGAAGGTCCATTGATCGATGCCGGAGGATTCAAGGGATGGGGCGTAGGCGGCGATGAAGCCCCGGCCTTTGGAGCCGGGGCGTTGCTGGGGGATCACGATGGGGAGGGGTTGGCCTGACATGGTGGAGGTGGAAGTTTTGGGTGGAAGTCTGGTGGTCGCTGGATAGTTAGGGTGCTGGAGGAGTCTGGGGAATTTATATGATGGCCATGGCATTCATCGCAGAGTTTAAGCAGCGTTGATTGTCAGGGTATACTACTCGTCGTGTTGTAGACCGTCATGTTTTCCTCTTTGGGCAAGCTGGGCGACGGATGGCGGGCGAGCCCTATTGGTCCGAATGATGCTCGCCCCACCCGGTGGTTTCCCCCGCAGCCTTGAGGCGGGGAGAAGATGGACCCGACAACCTTGATGTGAATAGACTTGGTCTAGGCCATGCGACTGGTAATCTGCGCTGGCACAGCCCGATCCTTGCGACGGGGCCTGTTGCAGATCATGTCTGCCGAGGGCACTGACAGTAGCCATGAGTCGGATCGGTGACAACCCATACAAGAGTGAAGTTGGCGATTTTCTTCTCTAGACTTAAGGGGGATGGTAGCAAAACCTCACATATTAAAAAGACCACATGGCGAAGAAAACGACATCGCCATCAGCGACTGCATGTTTTCATATTGATACTTGCGCGATATGATCTTGATGCAATAACACCTGACAGTATCTAGCTACAGCCCACCTGGGAAGTCTATTTTCAGGGTTTCCGGCACCGCTAGTCGAGATTCGGTTCACATTTCGATCTTAATGTTGGCAAGTAAGCCTCCTGGCAATAGACCTTCTGAACTACGGACATGGTGGCAGCCTGCATTACGAGCTCTAATCTTCTGTCCTGATTCTTGAAGGATGGTGGGGGATTGGAGCAAATTCTTTCCCTTCCGGGTGATGAGAACGAAACCTATACCGCAACAGGAAACCGTCAAGTTGGCTCGCAGGTATTCCGTTCGGGAGTAGTGCACGTTCTGCAATCCTGATTAGGCTTAGTGCTGTATTCAGCCGGGAATAGCAAATCCTGGCGGAGACAGTCCAGGCTCCAAGTCCCTGTCCATTGCTGAGATCGGCTGATATCAGCGATCGGGCAGATCTTAGTTCTGGCGCGAAGCTGGGCGGTACTATCTATCTGATCCTGAGAGCTTGTAATATGGAGCCTGCAGAGAGAAGCGTGTTGATTGAATCTCCTCGACGCTGATGGTCACGTGAGCGTTCTGGCTGTACCGGCTTCGCCGAGTCGCCGACATATACTTTACAAGTTTGTTCTAAACTAAGCAATCAATAAAGCATTTGTGAGAAATGTCGAAATAAATTCCTCATACGGGAAGAGTCGATCCCCGATATACCTCGAATTTTGCGCTCTACTCCGGTTGAACTCTGCCACCACCACAGAAGACCAGGCCGGCAAAAGTATATTGCTCGTGAATAGCAACGAGTACCCCAACATCAAGTACTATTCTACCCAACTTCTGGACTTTGAAAGGGGTTCTAGAGACATCACAGCAGTCCACTGCCCTCCATAAGGTGTCAAATCAAGTCTCACATGCAGTTGACTCTGCTATGTAGGCGTGGCAGGGGTGTGGTGTGGCTGCTGTGGCTAGACTGTTGTGATGTATTACACGCATCATCACGCAATGCAATGCCTTACTAACATCCAATCAGCTCGCATGGCTCAGTTGGTAGAGCGCATGACTAGTAATCATGAGGTCCTCGGTTCGAATCCGAGTGTGAGCATCTCCTTCTTCTTTTTGCCTTTTCTTTACCCGTCCGAGGAAGGGAGATGGTCCTTTACTACGGAGTACTTCTCCTACAGCCAATTTTTAGCCTGTGAACCTTATTTTTCCAGTGAACCCAATCCAATATATATGCACGTATCCTGCAGAGTGCAACCCCAGCTGGGAAATTCTCATGCCAAGAAGGCCGCGCCTCGGCATCCCGGAAGCTCGGAACGGCGGGGCAATCGGGTATATCTTCAACCGGATCATCACCACCAGGGAAACCTCAGTTTGCGCTGCTGCCTGTCTGTCCCCTCTTCAGATTAGATCCCTCAAAGACCCTTCGACAGACGGAATCGCTCCTTCTGCATATACTCCAGCTATCGAATTATTGTACGGCCCTCATTGCCCCTCTCAATCGTGTGCTGCAGTCCCTAACACTCCGCCGCCACAGCCTCGCTACGTCAGAACTCAACCCCGCAGCCACCACCACCACCACCACCACCATGCCTCCCCCGCCTCCTCAGCTCCCCGAACACCAGACCCTGGTCTACTTCACCGTCGACGGCCACGATGTGAAGATGGACTACTACCTCCCGCCCAATGCCAGCGGAAATCTGCCCGCCATCATCTACTACCACGGTGGCGGGATGACCGCGGGGTCGCGGCGGGGTATGGGCTTCCCGCGCTGGCTGTACAGTGAGTCCCCCCCCCCCCCCCCCCAATTCCCCCCCCCTACTCCTCCTCCTCCAGCTATCCACCATCTAACACATTTCCATAGACCACTGCCAACAAAAGAACTACATCTTTATCGCGGCGGACTACCGCCTCTGCCACCCAACCACAGCACTCGACCAAATCGAAGACGCGAAAGCACTCTTCAGATACCTGTCCAACGACTTCCAGACCATCCTCCCCGAAACCACCACCCTCGACACGACCCGCATCGCCGTGACGGGCTTCTCAGCAGGCGGCTACTCCGCACGCGCCGCCTGCGTGTACGCCTCCCCCAAGCCGGCCGCAATGCTAACCGGCTTCGGCAGCGCCGGCGACTGGCTCCTCGACCACTGGACGCGGGGACGCCCCCCCACCTCCATCGCAGGCCGAGTCAACCTCGACGACATTCCCCGCCTCTTGGCCGACAAAACCGTCGTGAGCGACGACATGCCCGCGCCGGGGGGGATGATGAGCAACCGGTTCGCGCTGACGGTGCGGTGGGAGCTCGACGGGACGTTCCTGGATGGCTGTCTGGGTCGGCCTGGGCTCGGGGCGGAGCTGGATAAGGTGGAGTATGCGCAGCGGGCGGACAAATTGCCCGAGGACCTGAAGCCCGGGTTCTTGCAGCTGTTTGTCGATGAGAAGTACCCGCCTTCGGTGTTTGTCCACGGGACGGCGGATGAGGTGGTGCCCGATCAGGAGAGCAAGAATCACCACGAGCAGTTGAAGGCCCTGGGAGTCAAGACGGAGTTGTTGTTGGTTCCCGGCGGGAATCACGGTCTGGTCGACTTCAGTGCGGGCTTTCCACCCAAGCCGTTCCCGGGCTCCGTGGAGGCGTATGCGAGGGGTTTGGAGTTTATTGAGGAGGCTTTTGCGGCGGTTTAGAGGAGGGGGTGGATGGGCTTATTTTTTCGAGCCATTTGCACTGGAATACAAACATAGATAGATATATGAGAGTAAACAGTTAGATCCGAGAAACTCGTCATGACAACAATAACAGAGACTCGTTTGTAGGCCATTCTGTCCTCTCCATACCAGTTGCACGGGAGTGAAGAAACTGTGGCGCACAGGTGACCCGTACAATGCGACCGAGATGCGTAACAATTTATTTTGGATTCTCAGAACAACTACCTGTCTTGGCTGAATCAAATAGCAAAAGCTCTCTGTCCGGCAAACTAGACGATAAAAGAAGAGTTTAATGCCGGAGAAGACCGAAAACATTTCTCCTACTCGCCCCCCCCCCCCAAACGGTGTTTTTCTTTATGCCCAGTAGACTCACACCCAAAGAGCTATCCGTTTTCATTCTGCGGCTTATCCGAGGCAGACCCGCCAGTGGACCCGAAGCTATCAGTATACCAAAAGGGGAGTGGAGAGTACAACCGAAACGAGTGAGTTGAGTCGACTGCATGAAAGTTAGATGTAAGCCCCCAGCCAGACATTGTTCAGCTGGACGCCCAGGCCTAGAACGACCGGCCGGGGAGAAGACGCTCTGCGGGGTAAACGTGGGGAAAAGTGGGAGGGAATACGGGGGAGGCGGCGGCCGGCGGCCAATCGGGTGGTTGGAAGAGCCGGTCGGCAGTGCGATGCTATGGGGGTTCTGCAGGGGGCTTCTTTATGCTTCAGGTGTATTTGATTTGAGGCGTGATGTGTCCTGGTATGTGACATAGTAGACGGAGGGACATAGTACTGTCAGGACAAGCGATGTTCATGGCTGAGAACCATCCGAGGCAATTTTACAAGAGACAAATTCTTGATCCCATCGGCAGTGAATGGATAGTTAATGCTACATAATCATGGCTCTCTGATGGTGACTGTGACTAGCCTGCTTTCTACTCTCAGGACGTCTTTCATAATTGCGACGTTTGTCTACATCATCTGCCTACATTATTCTCATCCTCTGTCAAGGTATTCGGGTGCATTTCTAGCATCCCAGAACACATATCTGGCAAATATCAGTTAGCGCACTCGAGCAACCCGCACTTCTTAACTGGGTTATACAAGCGACAGGAGCCTATTTCTTGCTAGAGACACACGCTTGGCATTGCCGTCTTCCCTATGACCTATCAGGAAACTTCGCGTCTCATGCCCAGAATACACGAATAGATCAATCTCGACCTTCCATCCGTTACCCCCTTCTAGCTAGAGCACGGACTCATGGCTAAGCTGCTAAATATTTTAACGCTGGTCATTGTCCATTGGTAAATTGACAAAATTGACTTCCGGAGAGACGGAAATGCAGCAAACCTTCGGTGGGCCGGCCCTGGACTGGTATGAGTGATTGTGCCCCGGAAAACTGATCACCCGCTTCACCTCGTATTGGATCTGGGGTCCATCTCCCGCACTGACAGCAGGCGTCATCCCCACACGATTCCGGGGAAGGAGAGGGTTTTCCCTTGGTACCGAATAGAGGGAGTGGGGATTAGGTTCGAATTGCAGTGGTTCTATCTGAGCTGGATGTCGACTGAGATGGGTATAAATATATTGCTGATGGCGAGGGAATGTTTGAGATACTATGGAAGCACAGTTACTACTTTTCTCATCTTCTTGAAAGCCGTTGACAGGTAGAACATCCACAATGAAGCCTCAGACCGAGCACTTCGAGGGCGAAAAGCAGGAGCACCCACACTCCACTCACCAAGAGAACCAAGATCTCGAGAATGCTCTGGTACAAGGAAACCACGACGTCCCAGAAGAAATTGCTCTGCTCACACCCGAGCACCGTGAATACCTCCTCCAACGCCACGGCACCTTGAACCTGGAGCCAATCCCTGACATGACCGATGCCGACCCCTACAACTGGCCGCGGTGGAAGGTACCATCCCCATCTCTAGCCTTTTGTTCCTGACTAAACCCCCCCCAGAAAACCTCAAACCTCATCCTAGTCTCTTTCCACGGCATGATGGGCACATTCACCGCCGCATCGATTCAAAGCGCATTTGTGCCCATGTCCGAGGACCTGGGGGTCAGTCTCCAGCGAACCAGCTACCTCGTCTCGCTGTTCATCGCAATCCTCGGCGGTGCTCCCCTTTTCTGGCGCCCGCTGTCTAATCGCTACGGGCGACGGCCTATTTTCCTGATTTCTCTCGTCTGCAGTCTGGTGGGCAATGTTGGCTGCGCGAAGAGTCCTACCTACGCAACCATGGGTCTCTGCAGGGCTATCACGGCCTTCTTTATTAGTCCTGCTATCGGGATCGGGAGTGCCGTTGTGGCGGAGACCTTCTTCAAGAAAGACCGTGCCCGATGCATGGGCGTTTGGACCTTGATGGCGACTTTGGGTGTGCCTGTCGCCCCGCTTATATTTGGATTTGTGACGTTGCGGGTGGGATATCGATGGATCTTCTGGATCCTGGCAATTGTAAGCCCCTGTCCTGGAGTAGATGGACATCGTTGAAACTAACCCGCCTAGACCAACGGCGTCCAGCTCCTACTCTACATCTTCCTGGGATCCGAAACCCTCTACATGCGAAAACCCACCCCAGGCGGCCCCCAACAGACCAACCCCCGGCACCACCGCCTCTCCATCCTCAAACCCATCGACCCGACCCCCCTCCGCCTCTACGACTTCCTCTCGCCCTTCACCCTCGCCCTCCGCCCCTGCATCATGATCCCCGTCGCCGCCTACGCCATGGTCTTCCTCTTCGCCAGCGTCTTCGTCTCCATCGAAATCCCCCAAGTCTACCCAGAAAAATTTAACTTCAACGCCCAGCAAGTCGGCCTCCAATTCATCAGTATGATCGTCGGCTCTGTCCTGGGCGAGCAGATCGGCGGCTACGCATCCGACCAATGGATGTGGCAGCGCCAACGCCGAATCCACCAGATGCCTGCACCAGAGTACCGGCTTTGGCTGGGGTATATCGGCCTTGCGCTGACATGCTGCGGGATGGTGGTTTTTCTGGTCCAGCTGGGGAATTCAGATACGTGGAACGTCACGCCGCTGGTGGGCGCGGCGATCGCGGCGGCGGGGAACCAGATCGTCACGACGGTGAATGTTACGTACGCGGTGGATTGCTATCGCGAGGATGCGGCGAGTATTGGCGTTTTCGTGACGTTCGTGAGGCAGATCTGGGGGTTTGTGGGGCCGTTTTGGTAAGTGATTGGCTCAGGTCCAAGTAGTTTATGCGATTGCTAATATGAGGGGGTGGATAGGTTTCCGCAGATGTTGGAGAGTGTGGGGTATAATGGGAGTGTGGGGGTCGTGCTGGGTCTGATTATGGGAGTTTCGGTCATTCCGACGATTTTGCTGCATTGGAAGGGTCGGGCTTGGAGATAGGCGAGTAGATATTGTGGAGCGTATGGACTGATCTGGCTTCCTGCTTAATATAAGCCTCGAGGATATAATGAGAAAACAACATGGAAGACATCTCTCTGATAAATAACAAAGGCCATCTCACATTATATACTAATCAAGAACCCCTCATCCCAATATCATGCAATATGCACCCCCAACCAACTCCAAAAAAAAAAAAAAAAAAATAGAATCGTACTCCCCACTCCCCAAGAAACCCATCCCACATCAACCCATCTACTCCCTCTTCACCTTCGTCACATGCACCCAAACATACACAAACGGGAAAATCGTCTCCGGCACCAACGTCCAGACAATAATCCCCACACTCCACAACGAAGCCACATACCCCCAGTTCTGGGGGACATTCCAGTATCGCCAGAAGAACACCCCGTAGGCAGTAAAACAGCCCAGATAGCGGGTGAGCCTGGATCACCAGTCAGCCAAGTTCATACCCACCCACACACCCACCCACATCTACCGTACCTCCCCAAGCATACCGTAATGAATGCATAAACAGCAAAAAAAAAAAAAAAAAAAAAAAAAAAAAAAAAAAAAAAAAAAAAAAAAACCTACCAAACATCCAACGACTGCCCCCTCGTATCACCCTCCGAAATCAACTCGCCCAAACAAACCCACCCAATGGGCAACTGGAGCAAAATGCCCGACCAAAACGCGGTAACCTGCTCCCTCTCATCGGGCCAACAAACCGTGGCAGCCTTCAACGCTGCAACCCCCAACCCCACAAACGCCAGCATCCTGGCCCCCAGCACGCGTCTCTCCTGCGCAGCATGCGCCCTCCACAGCGCCACGCCCACGAACCCCAGATCGAGCACAAACCACGCCAGGAACGCGAGGACCTCGAAGCGGGAGGACGTTGTCGCGAACGCGTAGAAGAGCTCGTACGCGAGCGTCAGACTCATGAATTGGATGGACTTGTGGCGCGCGCCGGGGTACGTTCGGTCGCTGTAGGTGCGGATGGCGCAGAAGATGTAGCATAGGGCGTAGAGCGTGCCGCAGGCGATTATGAGGCCGTCTTGGATGAAGAGGTAGCTTTCGGGGGGTGGAGGGCGAGGTCGCGCGGTTGGGGGATTAGGTGGGGGGTTTGGTGCGAGGGGGTGAATGGGGTCATTCTTTTTTTTTTCTTTCTTTCTTTCTTTCTTTCTTTCTTTCTTTCTTTCTTTCTTTCTTTCTTTCTTTCTTTTCTTTTTCTCTTTTTTTTATAAAAGAAAGATCTCGATTTCTTTTTTTTGGATTGGGGTGGTTTGATGGGAAGATGGAAGGGGGAGGGAGGGAGGGAGGTGGTTGGTCTATGTATGTTTTTCTATGGGAGAATGGATGGTGCTGCTGGTGGTGGAATGCTCGCTGCCTGGGCTTTATAGTGAGGGGAGGGAATGGATGGATCGGATGGCCCGGATCGGGTGCTGCGGGCGCTTCCCCCACGTTTGCGCAGCTGCAGGTATGATGTCACTCACTGTCAGACTTCAAGTCGACTGAATCAAACCACCTCATTCAGGATGGACCCTAGTACGGTGTTTATATAAGCCCGTCGAAAAACCATGTAGCAGTTAGTACCCAGTGGGGGAAAGGGCAAATTTGAAAGTTTTGAGATATGGATATCATCATTTGCGACGGACAAGTATGTGGACATCGTCTGTCCAGCACCTTGGGCACAGGAGTCTAAAGAATACCAACTAGGGGCGTTCAGGTATACTCACGGATCTAGACAGAATATCCATGTTTGTCTCGACTTGTAGGGCTGGTAGCTATTTGTAGAATCCGGCTGTGCTCCATCCACAGTGCTTCTTGCCCAAGATGGTAGATCCGATCACACCCATTCGAATAGGGCGAGGGGTGTGAGGGGGGAGAGGGATGTTGTAACATGTACGAACCAAACCAAGATCGGATCTGATTCTGGGAGTAGAAAGCAGGGTTGCAAGAAGCCACCGCGGGAAAAGACTCCGACCGACCGACCGACTGCTTTGAGAGTCTGCCTCAAACCCCGACGTCAGACCGCATTCGATTGTCGAAGCCTGGTGGGTGAACGGGCCAGCGCCCCAAGGCTCGGCCCGCCGATTAGCCTCCAGGGAGAAGCCGGACATACCGGGGGGTTCAGGTCTATTGTTTTATCCCCTCTGCAATTTCGAGACCGTGTCTGCTCGTATTATGGCAACGAATGTCTGCGTGTATACGACTCCTGCTATTCTTATCTTGACTGTTGACTGCTATCATAGTTTTCAAAGGTCAGTTCTCTCTATCCCGAATCCTCCAATAATGGCATCCCTCTTGCCGCCGAGACCCGCGATGGATGACGCGACGCAACCCCGCCGCCAGCCTTGCAGGCGCAAGGCGATCGCCCCTTCAGACTAATATTACATTCTCTCCCGAGTTGTCGAGCATTAGACTAGATCGTTTCTTTCCCCTCTATGCCGGCAACATACAACCGTATATATACATACCTCTTCCGACAACCGGAAAACCAGAACAATCGGCCGATGTCGCGCCCCGCACTCGATGAATTCCAGATCGGATGGATCTGCGCCCTTCCCATCGAGGAGGCTGCCGCCCGAGAAATCCTCGACGAGAGATTCGACTCCCTCGAGGAGCAAGACGAGGCAGATCCGAATATCTACACTTTGGGCCGAATCGGCAAACATTATGTGGTCATCACATGTTTAGGGGGAGAGTATGGGATGACGTCGGCCACGACAGCGGCGAATAACATGACGCGGACTTTTTCGAGGTCGCTACGGGTTGGATTGCTGGTCGGGGTGGGTGGAGGGATTCCATCGCCTGCTCATGACATCCGACTGGGGGATGTGGTGATCAGTTATCCGACGGGGACGTGTGGTGGTGTGCTACAGCATCATGTTGGGAAGATTGTGAGAGATGGGAAGCTGATCCGTACTGGGGCGTTGAATGGTCCTCCTAGGTTGTTGCTTGGGGCGGTGAATAAGATGAGAGCGGCTGAGTTGACGGATGATCCTCTCTATCCTTCTTATATTGATAAGGTGATCCGAAAGAATTCACGCACGAGACGTAATTTCAGACGACCGGACTCGGAACACGATCGCCTGTTCCAGGCTCAGTATGAACATCCCTCTGATTCAGCCAGCTGTGATGATTGCCCTGCAGACTGGGAAGTGGCAAGGGATAGGAGGGACGATAGACCGCACACACACTACGGCATCATCGCATCGGGGAATCTGGTAAAGAATGGCATAACAAGAGAACGACTTCGGAGAGAGACGGGTGCGTTATGTTTTGAGACAGAAGCCGCGGGATTGATGAAGCACTTCCCTTGTATTACTGTCCGGGGTATCTGCGACTATGCCGATTCGCATAAGAACAAGAGATGGCAGGGGTACGCTGCGTTGGTGGCTGCGTCCTATGCTAAGGAATTACTCAGTCATATGACTCATGATCAGGTATCAAATGAGAGGCTTATGAAAGATAGTCGAAGTAAGTCAGAGATTTTTGAGGTTCATTTTGGGTGCTGGGCTGACTCCTTTCCACAGCGACATTTATGGGCGAGTTTAAGAGTGGAAGCAAAAGCGCTGGTCACATTGAGCAAACCATTGATATGAACCAAGTATTCATTGCAGACGGAGCTAAGTTTGGCTCCTCTAACAGTGAGCAATTTCTATCCTTTCAAAGTATCCGAGTCAAGATTCTTCCGCAGATTGAACGATGGCTTGCATCACTGGTTGCAAAACGCATGTTTTGGTTACATGGTATGACGGATACCAGCAAACCCATCATTTCTCGAGGAATGCTAGGAATTTTCGAGGAAAGAAACGTATTAGGCGCAACTTTTATCCTAAAGACGGTTGAAGAAAACCGGGAAATTGCAAAGCCGCTACTCCTGACACTTCCAAACCAGCTTGTCACTGTTGGACCATAACTAATACCCAGTCTCGGAATGGCACTGCAGACTGATCCTCACCCGGGAAGCAATTTGATCAACTCCTCCTCTATTTACTGTCCTATATGACCCATACCTTCTGTAGTTCAAGCACATACGACCATAGGGTGTGGAGAACAGGGCTTCCCGTCCGCTCAGCCGTACTTAAGCCACACGCCGGGAGGTTAGTAGTTGGGTGGGTGACCACCAGCGAATCCCTTCTGTTGTATGTTTTTGTCTTTTTTTCCTCCCTCTGATTGGTGGAGAGGGTAACACAACCATAGTAAAAAGGCGGGTGACCACCAGCGTGTCTACTGTCTTGTATGTTGGTGCTCACCCCCTACCTACTACTACCTTTTAGATTTATGTGATACGGAGTACTAGCTGGCTGACCATCAGCGAATCTTTTCTGTTTGTATTTGTGCTTTTGATATATTTATATGTCTTTCTCTGCAAGAACCCTGGAGGTGGTGGTTGCGACTATTGTTTTGCTTGCGAGGGGAGTACTGCTCTTTCGGTGGCTACACTGTTGGTGGCCGGAAATGCAATCCCGCATCTCGTCCGTAAGGTAGATAACTATAGCGGACAAGAACAAGATGTGTCTCTAATTGCTAGTACGGAGTACATCTCCACACAGCTCGAGTGCCAGAAAACCAGTATTTTCCTATCAGGTTGCTACATTGTTATTTTCGAGACTTCTATTACACCCAAGAACAGGAGTGACAGCCCTTCGGACTAAACAAGAAAGCTAACCACGGAAAAAAAAAAACACTTTATCATGGGGTAGATGTCGTACCGAAGGGCCTTTTATAGAACACGGCGAAAATATATTTCATCCAACGCAAGTTTCTGTCTTCTGTCCACCAAACGACCATAAGCATGTTTATACTGTCTCGGCCACAGTCCAAGATTCATAACTGAGAAGGATCATGTCCACTTCATTTTTCGAATCGCACTTCCTTTACTGGCTAGAAGCAAGGTGTCTGTTTTTACCATGTAGAGGTATTTCATCTCGTTCTTTGCTTATTATGTATCAAAGGGCAAAATAGAGTTTCAACCAATCAGCTCGCATGGCTCAGTTGGTAGAGCGCATGACTAGTAATCATGAGGTCCTCGGTTCGAATCCGAGTGTGAGCATCTCTTCCTTCTTCTTTGTCTTTTTATCTCCCGTTCCGCTGGAACATTATCTTTTTTTTGTGGATGTCCACTATCAATCATCCCGTATGCCTATTTAATAACGGATTTCCATTTTGAATTCTATGTGATGAACCTCGACCCGGTACTATTTATCACTTTCCATTACAGAATCTATAACAACGGCCGAATATAGTACGCTTTGGCGAGGACAGACCACCAATCATGATGTCGATATCGTATTATCTCTATGCACAACCGAACCCTGTGACCAAGACAAGATACCCGGCTATCTGGCATAGGTTTCGTACAGGGAATGGCGATAAAATCCCTTCACTGTATAGGCGAGTGATCAGCTCCGTAGACAAGCCGGGCCTATTTCACCAGGAGACGTAAACAAACCCTTATCTTCATCGAAACTTCAATTGGATCAAGGTAGCACACTAAATGTCGCCTTCTAGATATAAAGCAGTTTGTATTTTTTTCCGTGATGAAATTGCCAGCCAAAGGAATACCCTTTCATGACAGAAAGTCCTGGATCCAGGTGTATAAGGGGTTCTGAGGTGAAGTCATCGGATAAGCAGTATTTGCGCGGCAGTCAAGGTCGTCATCAAAGGGGTCCATGTTCTGATAGTTTCTGTCTCACCCCACCAATTAGATATGTCTATCAGACCCCACCGGAGACCGCCCGCTGGTGTGGGGATTCAGAGATAGACGTACTTCGATCACGGTCATACAACAGATGCAGACCATAAAGCCAACTGCGCGTCAGAACCAGGACATCGCTCCCCGTCCAAACATCATCACGTTCCTGAAAGGTCGGATCTCGAGCATATTCCCATTCCGCGGGGTATTATCTGTCTTCGGCCGTGTACTCAACGGGCTTGTCATCCTTGTCGTGGGGGTCGATTTCTCCGGCACCTTCTGTCAGATAGCACAGAGGGCATGTCATGTATCCGGGTGAAGCTTTACATCGAGATCGGTGATGTTAGGGGATTTGGTATGTCACGTCGACTACTTTGTCACTAAAATTATCCAGTCTCGCCGCGGTTTTGTTAATGAGGTTCGCGGGCTGTCGGCCTGCTTAGGGGATGGTAGAACAAGCCATGGCGCAGGAATATATTGAAGTTCGACCAGGAGGCTGTAAAAGGTAGTCAGGGCAGAGATAAGAGATTGAGGGGGGGGGGGATGTCACAAGACATGTTAATCTGATGGTATGCTTGCATGATGTGAAGTGGAGGTCGAACCTCCACCGTTCTGATGGCGGGGGAAGATTGATAGACCGGGCTGCCGGCGCAACACTTTCGTCATGGTTTCGGCTGCAAAGTCCGGGCGATAGCCTCTAATACTAAGGGTGACTGCCAGGCAGTATGGACTCAAAGAACTATTCTAGAAATTAGCCAGTGGCAAGGTTGGCCATATGTACCCAAGATAATCATATTAACACCCACGTAGGTTCTCGAGTCCGTGTACATAATCCGACTTCACTAAATCCCACACATTTCCTCAATTTGGACGCGTTGTCACTCTCTTGTTTGACGATCAACTACTAAGATCTTAGGTAGCTTGGCATATGCACGCCTAGATAACAAATCACCTCATAGATATTCCTCCATATCTTGGGAACTAGCTAGAGAAAATTGCTTTGAAAATGAAGCTAAAGTACTTGATCAAGCTAGATCAACGCTAGCAGGAAGGCGAGTCGTATCCGCACGCGAGGGGCCAGCTGCGAGAAAGCGCGTAAATAAAGCAAGCGAGCTGCACCAATCCTCTTCTCCAACTAGAAAGGGATACAGAGCCGACATCTCGATAACAAGACCGTCTTGAGTGCAATGGGCGAGAAGTATGCGACCATGACGGGTTCCCATAAATGAAAACATCATAATCTAGACGTCGGGAAATAGGACGGATTAGCAATTATAGAAAGGGGTCATCGGATGAACTGTCAGGGGAGAAGATGACGGCATACAGGAACAATGACATGCTGTCGAAAGTTCTCGCTCTCCAGCCGACTGATCATCACGACGATGATCACCAGGAGCTCCTCTCTCAACAGCACACCATCCACACCATCGACGCCGTGGTGCATCGTGATTTTTATATGTGGGTACGTGTTGCCGCGCAAGGTCCAGTAGAAGTCCGGGTGCCAGTCGTATGAATCTCTTTTATAGAACCATGGCTGTGGAAGGGTGGGTTCATCGGGAATGGCTCTATAGCAGATATATCAAGAGTTAGTTAGTGGTACTGGTAAAAGCGAATCGTGGTCGGATAGACTAACTCGGAGTGCCTCCAGCCAGTTAAGCTCTTCAATGGACGTCTATTGTCCTCCGTTCCCATTCGAGGGGCAATGTCCACCTCTTCTACCAGTCGAGAAGACATATGAGACGCCCACCGATATGTATGCCAAGCCCCAATGCCAATGAAGTATTGCGAGCCGTCTTTCAATATCTTCTCCGTTCTCGAAAGCCTGACATTCTCCGGCCCCGGCGCGAGATTCCTTGGGTGGCGCTCCAGGGCCTCCTCACTCCACGGGACAAAGAACTTGATGTTGTTGGCGCATGCCATGGACTCACGACTCACCATGGACAGAGATACAGGGAGCTGACACAAAACATCGGGTGGGATGGGACCCGTTTCCGCCTTGAGTAGAACGTTGTAGCACGTCTCAAGCTTCTCCAGGACAACATCGGCTTCACCAGAGTCCGCGTGAGAGCTTCCGCGAAGTGCTCCTACAACTCGCCCCCAAGTCCGTTGTAGTGACATGACTGAAGTACAACTAGCCAAAAGACAAGCAGGGGATTCCGACAGAGGATGGGTGGAGGAGTTGGAGCGGGGAAGACGTCAGGTTTCTGTCACCAAAGGATGTCCCCAAACTGGGTCGCCCACTAGTCCACTTTCAGACATCCCACCATGTGTTGTAGGGTCCAGCGAAAAACAGATATAATGACCGTGGCCAGACATTGCATGTCCTCCTCGTTATTCACCCGCCAGGGGGAGTACTTCTGGATGACTAAAAAGTCATTGGGATTAACTACTCCCACGTCAAGGTATCCCTTGTACGAAGTTGGCGCCTTTGCAAACATTAAGAAGATCTCGTTGGCAAACTGAGATACCATAAGGTGGCTTTGGTAATTAGCATGTGGTTCAATAGTGTATTTTGAACTCAAGTAATACTTACTGTCCTTCCAGAAAACAAGTCGTGTCATGCTTCCTTAGAAGCCCTACAATCTCAGCGGTGATTTGCATTGGTATGGCAATTCGGCTCTCCTCTGTATGGGCGAGAGAATTTTTCTTCACCTCAACAAGAGCGTGAGGCAGATCTCCAAACTTATCAACCATTGCGCCATCCGTGACCGTTCTGAAACGACCAGCAGAGAAATAAGGCGAAAATGTCAAACGACGAATAGTCCATTTCACAGAGAGAGTCCCCGCCAATGCTGTGACAGCCTCCAAGTATAGCAGTAGGGCCGAATTAACAATTGCCTCGTCAGTGGCTTGGTATTCCGTCATATTGTCATCCGCTGGTCGCAGTCAGTCCTTGAAATGTACTATTTGAAACACATGTTGTTCTAGACCGACCTTGCTCGCTGCGTGCCATCCAGGGGATGCGGTGTCGTGTTGCCCTCTTGCGCGTCCGACCTGTGCTTGTACCTGGAACTTCGTCCAGACAATCTTCCTGGTACCGGAGGACCGACATAAAGGATCCGGCCCAGCGAGGGTCAGCTTCGGTGAGGGTGCCTGAAGGAGTCTTGCTGCTAACGAGCTGTAGGTACTTTGCAAGCTCCACAGAACTATGTGCAATCTGCTCAGCACGCTCCCAGGTGGTATGAAGACCGTAGTCAGCTTTGAAATCCAGAAGCTTAGTCGTCTCGAGCGGGAAGGGCCATATGGCACGAAAGGTGACAAACTGCTTCCTAAACACCTTACTGCCGGACGCCATTTTCGAGAGTGTATTGATAGTAGTCTTTGTCAGTTTCCCTGCCTTCTGCAGCAGGTTCCATTCCTCTTGGTTCTCCGGAATGGCAAAGCTCCCCTTCCAAGAGTCCTTATCGGGCTCTGTTGACTCGTCGGCGGCGACCTTGGTATTCATTCCTCTCCCAATTGTGGCTAAACGCAATGACATGTGACGATGTAGATGTAGGTATAAGGGTAAACTAGACGCGAATTCAAGCTATGCGAACTAAGATCCTAGCAGTTGATTGTTAAAGGACAGAATCACAACGCGTCAAAGTGAGAAACGCGTGGGATGTAGAAAAGGCGGGGGACGGAGGTGGAGACGAGATGAAATGCGGTGTACTACGCACGAGCCGACAACAGAAACACGGCAAATCCAACTAGTGTTTGTGGGCCTTGATATGGTTGCCTCAGGTACGTATGGCCAACCTTGCCGCTAGCGAAACCTGTAGAGTAATAATAGCAGGACAACCCAGTCAGGAACGGCCAGTTGGGTTCTATGGATACATCAATTCAGTTTCAAATCTTGTAAACCAGCCTTGGGGGCTTGTGGAGCAAAAGTCTTATTGCTATGGTGTAAAAGCCAGACCATCGGAAATTGTTGCCTTTCTGCACAAACAGTGTGTAGAGTGGAAGATTTTCAACAAACATGTGTGAAGCAAAGACTTCTGGGTTGCAGAGAGAAGGAAACATGATGCTGTTATACCGAGTCCCCCGGACACAACGCTTGGAACGAAGAAACACAAGCAATGAGCAAGAGAGCGTTCAAAACACATTGAAGAAAGGAAGTCACATCATTATCTATATAGACAATGAAGAAGAGCAATGTGAAGGTCATCTTGAGCAAAGAGCTGAAGGAAGGAATCAAGACAAAGGGCGAAAGGAAAGTGTGCAAAACACAATAGATGTCGCCCGAGACAAGCATTTGACGTCGGATCTATCGGCCTGGTAAACCTTTATCTTTGGCACGCCATACCCTCCGCGCGAACGGTTATGATGTCTTGTTCAATTGGCCTGATAGAGGGGCGACCCACAAATGAGTCAAAATAGAAAACAAGCTGCCCCGTCGCAGTGATGCCCAGTGTGTCAGTAAACATCCAACCATTAACAGCGGGCACTGCTGCTATTTTTATGATCTCGACGTGTTGAGCCTGCATGGCACATCGTGGTGAGTTTCTGGTAGACATTTTCCAAACTTCAATGACGATATCTCCTTCCTCGGCCATGTCGATCGTGATACAGAGCTTTGTGGTTGACCCCGGGGTTCCTATCCAGTCTCTTATCAATGGCTAGAATCTGCGTTCTAGAGTCCGGAGTCTCATGGCCCAAGCGTGGGCTTTCATCTCTTCTTTGTTTGGAGAGTAGCAGAAAAACTAGCGTAACTGTTGTACTTGTGTAGACTTGAGTTGGTTCGGATTGCACCAGGGAGTACCCTTCCAGACAGGATCAGTTTTGCAGATAAGAGCGCGGATGGGTCCGAGGAGGAGGAAGAGGATGCCATCGTGTTGGAGAAAGGGGAGTGGCTCGGGCGGACTTGAGGAAACGGCGAGTCGGGCAGAAGCGGAAAGAGTCACCGGCTGTTGCTAACCTCAGGCACCAACCGCCTGCGGAAATGAACGGAATCATGTTCTTGAGTAAGACGTGATGGCTCGATGCAATCAACTCGCTGTTTCAACTTTCAAGACCTTGAGAAAATCGATCTCAAAAAGCCGCGTCAGTCAAACTGAACCGATCCAATCTTTTGGCCGCCTCGTCAGTGAATGCTGAATCTGGTGTTCGGCCCCACCCACCCGAGCGACTGTGTACGTACGTCTTGGTATGCCCTCGCTACACAGCGACATGTCTCTCTTAGATCGGATCGGATCGAGTCTAGATCTCTGGCATTTACGGGCCCGATCCAATGGCTGCCTGGGCCTGAGCTATATTAGAGCTCCCGCCGCCCTTTCTTCGTTCCCTCACCAACACGATCATTGTTCTTCCATTGCCTCGTTCTTTGCTTTGGTTCAGTGCTGTGCACAAACCTGTCATTCCCTTCATCCAAACATTCTTTTGCTCGAGGTACTCAGTTCTCGAGATATCCTTTTGCTTTCCCGACTCCTTCATTAAGTCCAAAATTTCAAACAACCGGCGAGATGGTCTCTTTCTCTCATATTCTGACCACTGGCTTGGTCGCTGCCTCGGCCTCAGCATTGCCATTGAAGTCCAGCCTGTCGAACCTGCAGAAACGGTCCTCCAACAAGCGTGGAGCTGCTTACAACGATGCGTCGCTGGTCAGCACCCTCACCGACAACTCAGCCAGCACAGTGTCGTGGTCCTACAACTGGGGCAGTAGTGTGGACGGCACGATGCCTTCGGACATGGAGTTCGTGCCCATGCTCTGGGGATCCAGCTTCTTCAGCGGCTGGACCGAGGCGGTTGAGACCGCGCTGTCGAGCGGCAGCTCTTACATTCTCGGCTTCAACGAACCGGACATGTCGTCTGGGGCCGACATGTCGGCCTCCACCGCAGCCCAATACTACGAGGAGTACATCACTCCCTACTCCGGCAGCGCCAAATTGATCAGCCCGGCCGTGACCTCTTCGTCTTCCAGTGGCGAGGGTCTTGACTGGCTCAAGAGCTTCATGGACGACTGCCAGAGCTGCAATATCTCGGGCCTGGCTGTCCACTGGTATGGAGATTCTGTTGACGATCTGAAGACTTTTGTCTCCGAAGCGATCAGCACGGCGGCTGAGTATGATATTTCGGAGGTCTGGCTCACCGAGTTTGGTCTTAATGCTGATGAGAGCGGTGTCTCTGATGCGTCGACTACCGTCGACTTCTTGGATGAGGCTCTCACTTGGCTTGATTCTCAGTCGGAGGTGGCCCGTTATGCTTTCTTTTATTGTGCCAATGATTATATGCTTACTGATGGGGCGGTCAACTCGGTTGGGGATGCTTACATGTCGAGCTCGTCTTCTTCTTCAACTTCTTCGACTTCTTCGTCCGAGTCGTCTTCTTCTTCTGCGGCATCTGCTTCGACTAGTTCCTCTGTTGTGGAGTCTACTTCATCCGAGTCTTCTTCATCTTCGTCGTCTTGGTCTGAATCCTCTTCATCTGAGTCATCTTTCACCGAGCTGTCGGCCGAATGATCATCTTCGCATTAGTCCGTTCCATCCGAATCAGCCTCATTGAGCTTATCTCCAGCGGCGCCTTCCGAGTCCCCGTCCGTGTCTGAGCCCACGAAGCCTGCAGAACCCACGTCGATATCACGCGAATAGAAAAAGTACCAAAAAGCTATCCTTTCGTCTGGTCTCGTCACCTCAAATCCACTTCATGAGTCCCCATCGGACCCCGGTGTTTGCCCGTACCATCCATACTGTGCCGAATTCCATTCATTTGCAGCTCAATTATCCGATGAATTGCTCTAGATTATCGTGTCTTTCTTTACCTTTAATAGATTATCCGGACCACGGGTAGAGGGATGAAAAAACTAGAATTCGCGTTGACTTACGCGTCCGTGTCCACACCGCTAGCGCCGAGCAGGAGAACTCTGAACTCTGAAGATCTAGAACCGGTGTGGGGGCGACGGGTAGCCCCGTGTCGGCGTGTCCAGCCCTAACCGATCCACTCTGGGGGCTGGGCCCTCGGCATTGTGTATTCCGCTGACTATAATCCCCCCACCCACCCCCATCCTCACCATCACCATCACCATCAGTATCCGGTCCCAGTCCGTGCAGAAACAAAATCCCGACAAGGTCGGAACTGATGCTTCTCTCCATAGTCCATATACCATACTCCATACTCCATGGATAGTCCACTGATCCACCATGATTCTATATTTATCTCTGTTCGAGTTTGTACTAACCTCCGCAGTCCACAAGTAGCGGATATTAAGCGCTGCTGGCGATCTGTATCTCTCTCTGATCCTGCTTTCCCCGAGGTGGAGTATTTCCAATCCCAGATTCCTAGATTGAAGGACTGGATATAATTCACTGGACTTTTACCAGAAAGTCTTCATTTGCTAGAAAGGCGTTTACGGGGTACTATACTTTCGTATCCACAATTTTGTCGCGCATCTGGGGTTGGAGTTACTGTGCTGGGTTTAATACTGCTCATTACTCATAAATTATAATGCTATGGGGTTTGCAGGTTTAGGTTGTTTGGTAGAGTGTTTGGGATTAGAACATATAATAGATATGCTCTTTCATGAATGAGTGATGTGGAGGAAGCAGAGATTTATAGCTAGTGTTGGATGAGGGTATTTGACTTTGGAAGGGAGGACTGGAATTGTTGTATACAGAGTTTTGAACTGATGTTCTGGCCAGCACTAGTATAATTAGTCATGAACATACATGTTCGGAATTCAGATATGGTAGAAAAGGTTAGATGACTGATTATAGGATTCTATTCTATCAAGTTTTAATTGCTGTTTACTCTATATACTCTATCTACCTATCCAAACCCCCTCCACCCAGCCCCATTTCTATACCTCTGCCTCCAACCCCCCTCCCTCACCATTATCACTCAACCGTTCCTCACACAAACAGAAAACAAAAAAAAAAAAAAAATCTACCCATGCGTCCTGACCACCAACGTCCCATTCACCGCAAAATCTCTCGAACTCTCCCCCACAACAACCTCATACTCCCCACCAGCAACCAACCACTTCTGCGCCCCGACATCCCAATACGAAAGATCCCTTCTTCTCAACGGAAAAGTAACAACAGCCTGCTTCCCAGTAGCCAGCTCCACACGTTCAAACCCCCTCAGCTGACGGACGGGCTGTTGCGCTGACTCGGGGAATCCGAGGTAGAGCTGCGGCACGGCGGCGCCATTCACCTTCCCGATGTTTTTGACCGTGATGGAGATGTTGGCGACCGTGTCCCACAGGTCGCTGTAGCCGCCGACGGTTCGGTGGCCGGTTGGGGCGGTGGAGAGATGAAGGGGTCGTGACTGGGAGTGGGGCATGGTGAGATCGGAGTACGAGAAGGAGGTGTAGGAGAGGCCATGACCGAAGGGGTAGCGCGGGGTGATGTTTGAGGCGTCGAAGTGGCGGTAGTCGATGTATACACCTTAGGGGGATCATTAGTATGTTTTTGAAGGGGGGAGGGAGGGGGGAATGTACCTTCGGTGAAGTTACACTGGGAGGTGTAGCAGATATCCACATTATAATCGCTTTCGTTCTTGGGGATGGTATAGGTGAGATGACCGGAGGGGTTCACGTCACCGTATAACACATCCACGATTGAATTACCGGATTCCTGTCCGAGGAGAGACCCGTACAGGACGGCTGTTACGTTCGCGTGCTCAATCCATTGGTCGACAAGTCTTGGTCCGATGGTGTTAATCACGACAATGGTGTTGTTGCAGTTGTCTGCGACGGTTTTGACCATGGTGTCTTGGTCGGCGTTGTAGAGTTCTGTGCGGTCTTTACCCTCGCCTGAGAGGGCGTTCAAAAAGACGAGGCACACATCGGAGTCGCTTGCGGTTTCTGCGTACGAAGGCGCAACGAATGTGCTGCCAGCAACGGAGGGGATGAGGGAGGAGCCGGCGCTTGCGGTGTAGTTATCCTGGAGAATCCAGTTCAGGATTGTGCCCTCTTCGGATGCTCTGACGATCAATGGGACGAGCGGGGCGACGAGGTAGGGGTATGAGGCCTGTCCTGAGCCGGTGCCGGTGCCCAGATGGCTCTGGTAGGTGGGACCGGAGCCAGCGATTGATATTTCTGCGTTTGGACCGCCGACGATGAAGCCTGCGTGTGCGCCGAAGACGCCCATTCTGCGGACTTTCTTCAGAGGGAGGGCGTTGTTCTCGTTCTTGAGTAGGACCATCGATTGAGCTCCGTATTTCCGGATCAGCTTGGAATGGTTCCCGCGTACATCCACCCAGGCCCCGTCGGATGGCTCGGCGGGTTGAAGACCGTTGTCAAGGTGGGCGTTGTAGTATCCGATCAGGTTCCGGATGGACATGTCGTTAAGACGCGCCTCGCTGAGTGTCCCGTTGGCAAGAAGAGCATTCATGACCGATGTAGTCCAGATATTACTGGCGCCGTAATCCTCGCCGTTTGTTGCGCTGTCGCTGGCACTGCTGCTCTGGGCTTTGGTGTCGGGATAAACCACCCCGGGAAAGCCCAGCTCGGTCTTCAGCTGTTGCAGGAGTAGATCGGAATTCTCACAGCTGAGCGTATTGTTGACTTTGATCATGGCGCACATGACCGCGCCCATGCCGTTCTTGACGGCGTCGTAGAACGGCCATAGATAGGCCTCGTGGAGGGTCTTGTCGTCGGTGTTGGATGAATATGGCAGAGGGCCGGTGGCGGGGTTGGGGTCGATGCTGTTTGCGTTCTTGGTTCGGTTGGTTTCTTGTTCGTAGAGGAGGAAGTGCTGCGAGGGAAACAGGATTGTCAGTGAATGTTGAGAATAGCTAAAGGAGGATAGCAGAGCTTACCTTCCCTCCGGCAATGACACCAGCGTCAACTTAGTCTTTGACCGTGAGGCCAGTGGCCAAACCGTTGAGATAGGGGTCTGGACCGAAGGCTTCTCCGTTTCGATCATCCCAGGGGGTCCGATCAAGAAATTGAGACGTGGGCCTGTTGACGACCTGAATACCTTTCTTATAGAACTCTGAGCCTACAGCCTTGACTTGCTGATAAATAGCATCGTGATCCCACATTATTGCAAGCGCCGATACCAAGATAAAGACAGACACATAGTTGAAGTCCTGGACACCCATGTCTTCATTGACGAAGACTATTGCCGAGAAGGTCTCATTCTTACCGGATGTGACACTGCTGCCGATGATCAAGTCCAGCTTTTGATCCATTGTCAGGCTGTTAACAAACACAGACGCCTTTTAGTAGGCTGATTGCCACTCGTCGCTCAGGATCACTGGGTTGATATTAGCCGTGCGTTGGTATTATAGCATCAATTTGCAAGAGTGATAGTGGCATCGCTTACCGCCGTTGGAGTTGAGAAGACCCAGGGATGAGAAGCTTAAAGCGGCTGCCGCAAGGTCTAGTAATACAGTAACTACGAGAAGCCAGCAGGTCCTTATCCTGAAGTGCCACTGAAAGAGAGATAGAATAAAAAGGAGGGTATGTTATTGTGCAAAAGGTAAGAAGCAATAAAAACGATTGGCTGCGCCTGGCAGTCTGTTGGCTAGTAAAAGAAGGTCGGCCGGAAAATGAGCTCAGGACACAGGGATATGAACTGAATTTATAGATACATATCTCATAATATCTTCTCGGTGCCTACATCGGTAGGTTTCTATTATACCCGCAGTCTGCACCCAAAGCTTGTCCTACCTATGGGCCCCAAAATTATCCTAGATCTGGGCGATCATAAACCTGGAATAACCGCAGCCCTGAAACCGATGCCACGTCGTCTGGAGGAGTAGTAAGCGGACACCCTTTTCTCCGATGAGCTGTAACAAAACACTAACCTGTTCGACCGGCGATCCGTCGGCTCACTTTTTCGTTCGGCCCGGATAAGCCGAGTGGTCCGGTTGGCCACGCAAACGCTGCATCCAGCTCGGCAATGTCGGAAATGCCACGGAATCAATCGACATTTGATTCTCCAGCATGTTCATCATGCTATGGTCACACGTCGGGCAGAGGGGGGTTCAACAAGATGCCATGGACTTCGGGAAGCCGCCAAGCCGAACACGGGAGGTGTTACACAAACCCGCATCGCTTTCCGAGCTTTATACATCAAAAAGCAAGACGCAATTACCTCGTTTTGGTCTTCCATTCCACCCTGGAGAGCAATAAAAATCCAAAAATACATACGACAGAGGGGATTCGCTGGTGGTCACCCACCCAACTACTAACCTTCCGGCGTGTGGCTTAAGTACGGCTGAGCGGACGGGAAGCCCTGTTCTCCACACCCTATGGTCGTATGTGATTGATTGTGTGGAGCATAGAATCATAGTGGCTCTGGGAATGGGCATTAGCATAGAGTGGTAAGAGTGAGAGAGAAAGAGAGAGATTCTGGGTAGCAACCCTGGTGTGTCTAGTAGACCGGGGTGCGTGAGTGCTCCCCGAAAAAGATTTCTTCATGACATCAAATTCGAGGGATTGTGCTTTGGTTTAATGCAATCAACAGGATATTTCGTCGTCTTCCTCTGTTGTCTAAAATATGGATCGCCAATAGTTGGATATACTGTACACTTTGACAAAGGTATCTGAATAGTGATGGTGTCCACTGACGTACCCATTTCTTGAGCTGGTACTGAGGCGGCATATGTATATTGGTAAATATGAAGGGAATGTGGTCACCATTCAACGTTGTATCGTCATTCCACTCCACTAGCGCAAACCGCGCCTTACTCACTGCGAATGATATCCAGCTGACACTTCGGTGTCCACCCTGAGAAGACTCTCCTCTGAGACGCCTCCCTGTCCGTGACCTCCTTCCTGTATTCTTCACGGGTTACAGTCGGCGGCGTATACTCCAGGCTTACCCCCAATGGCTGAATATCGCCTCGTAATCGCTCTATCCGGTCCCAGGGATAACCGGCCTTCAAGGACTCCAGACTCGATGTAGATTGGTCTGGCGCAAATTCGATCCGTATAGTCTGGAGCGATGTGTTCCTGTCAACGGCCATTTTAGCAAATTCGCGCAACCACTGCTCCTCCTCCTCTCCAAATAAGTCCCAGGATGGGGCGCGCTCTGGATCGTAGCTGGTCAGGTCCCAGACAATCGTTTTCACTGCCGGGCCAAGGAGCCGATCCATCGCTGCCACGGGAGGATCGTACGAATCGGGGGAAATCCGCTTCAACTGGAAAGGGGGATAGACCACCGTGTGAAGATTTGAGAAGTCCGCCACCCGGAAGAATGATCCTGGATTTTGGAACCTGTCCTTTCCGAAGACCATGCGCCGAAGGGTGTGGGGATGGCTTTCTAGCCAGTCGTGGAAAATGAAAACCTCAACACTAATTGCTAAATCCGAAAAGGTATGATCGAACGCCACGCTGAATTCTATCAACCTGGTTGTCTGTCGCTGCAGAACCGGGTCATCCTACACAAGACCGCAAGGTTAGTCGGGCAACCTACGATTCAGTCCAGGGGAGGGGGAGAGAAACAAACATTCGATCGCGCACAGTATTCACAAGTATGATCCTTTAAGGCCAAAACATCCTCCGACTCATTGCCCGGAAGCTCACACCACTCCCTGTAGCCCCGCAGCTGGCAATCGAACCGCATGCCAAAGCCAAATCCAGGCGAATTCACCCACCGAGACATGTGCACCCGTTGCAATGCGGGTAGATGCCGGAACGCATAATGCACGAGCTCCCATCTCCAACCATTTAGGTCCCGCCCTCCGATGTCTTCGAGCTGGAAGCGCTCCTCTCCTCGGATCTGCAGCGTGTGGACTGCGCGACACCAGCACAGCACGTCCGCGGCGGCCATATAGTCGTCTACCGTGATGCCGGTGGTCACGGCCCAATACTCCGACCCAAAGGTTAGGACAAGTGACCGAACAAGCAGACGCAGGGCGGGGTTAGATTGCAGTGTGTCGAGCAGGAGGGTCGTCTTCTGCCCGTGAGGAAACGAGAATTCCAGATCGCGGTAGAGGATCGGGAGGGTGAGGCTGTAAAATCGATGGCAGGTGAGGAGAGTGGTGGTTGTGTGGGCGAAGGTGTTTCCATAGAGCTTCTCGCAGGTGAGAGTGAGGATACCTGTCAGGATCTCGGCGGGGAGGTCGAGGATGGATGCTTGAGGCATTTTGATGGTTGGTGGGGGGGTGGAAGAGTGGTGCGGGGAGCGCGGGGAAGCCGCCCAGTCGCTACAGCTATATATCACGCCTCTAGGCCTTAGGCATGCGTTTCTTCTGCCTGCCGATTACGGCAGTGACACTTGTCATGTGACTGCCGCTGACGGGGAAATACTTCCTTCTTCGTGTTTATTCTTTCCATCCTCCCTCTCCCATCTAGTCATCATCAAACGGCCGCTCTGAGCCAGAGCATCGTTATCATCCACTACTCGGACCGTTTCCTGAGAGAAGCCTTTGCCGGACAGACAGATCCGGCTCAAGCTGAATACCCAGTTCCGTCACAAGAATCTGAATATTGACGTGAGTCTCGCTTTGTTCTACTAACTTTGACGCGTCGCTCGACGGATGAAGCTGTCGGCTCCAGGCCATTCCGCATACCGTATGTCTAGGACCCGTTTATCGCGAGGATCCTACAATGTTGACGGCCGCCTCTCAGACCTTCTGAAACTTCGTGACGATTTACCGGTGCAGCCGACGGAAAAGAACGCCTACACTCCCGAAGGCAGTGCGGGACACAATATCGTTGTCGTGTGCTTGGCCAGCGGTACATATGGCATTATATCTGCTCCTATGGTGGTCACGAAACAAATGCTCGACATCCAGTCGATCCAATACAATCGGATTGTCAGTGTTGAAGGGCAAATACGCATCAGAGAGAAAGGTGAGACTTTTATCGACCATCTGACATGTGGACAAGGGGATGTAGTGTAAGATGAGTTTGGAAAAGCGTTGAGCGGCTGTATTTTCCAGCACGATATAACATGCCATTTTAAGAAGGTATCCAACCGTATACAGCATTAAACAAGAACAATTCTAGGCAGTCAACTCTAACTTTGGCAGGAGGGTAGGAGACTGCTCCACCGGACTCGGGGTACGCAAACCGAGCATATCCTCCTCCCCGGACGTGAGGCACAGCCGCAGCACCTTCGGGCCCCAGCGGTGATACGGCGAGGCACCCAAGGCGGCGACAGCATAGGTCAGAGACAGCAGACGTGACCCATAACTGACCTTCTCAATCCAGTTCTCCTGCGGAGTTGTCCACTCACCTTCCCGTGTCTGAAGGTACACCGTAGCGAGGTCTATTGCCAGGTCCACTTTGTCTCCGCACTCGAGGCTCCAGGGCAGCGAGGCGAGGCGTTTCAACGCCAGAAGAGCGTAACCCGTTACCTCAGCGGAGCCTCCCCATCCGCCATCCTCAAGACTTTGTGTGCGAAGCAAACCGTCCAGGATGTCAGACAGCACGCTCAAAATACCTTGTTCTGCCATGAGCTCCACCGGGATCTCGTTTAAGTCGCCCTGGTCCCAGCGCTTCAGGACATGGACCAGTGCCTCCGTTAGTAGCATCATGGAATATTGGGGACGGAGGTTCTGAAGCGATCGGTGTCAGACCAAATAGGACATTTCCAAGCGGGATTGGGACTTACCCATTTGTCGTTCAGCTGACCATCGTGCCAAATCTGGCACAGATACCGCAGCACCTTGCAAATCTGGGGAAGGTGGCGAGCCGCGTCTTCGGCTACGAGCATCGCTTTGAGAACATTGCAGTTGGCGCTGAAAGAGTCCGTTACCTCCAGGTCATATGTCTTGAAGTGCGATTTGTCTTCGAAAACCTCAATCATTCGGTCGCAGTCGGTTCGCTGGCCGATGCAGTTGAGTAGGAAGATGCATTTGGCCGTGTCGTCTGCGTCGGGGAGGACTCCGGGGGCTGAACCTGTTAGTATCATCGGAAGGGGGCTTACGGATAAAAAGGGACGTACCGAAACCGCACACCCCGCCGTTTTCCTTCAGGTTCTTCACCACAAAATCAGAGAGCTGCTGAATGGGTTTCTCGCCCAGTTGCTGCACTGTGAATCCGGACTCCAGAAGGGTCGACAAACACTGAAAAGTAATCAGCTATCAGAGTATCCAAGCACTGGAGAGACACCTACCCAGGAAATTTCGAACAGAGTAATAGGGAACGCGCTGGGGACCAACCCCCGTCCCTTCTCCGCAACATAACGCAGGTATGCCTCCGCCTCCGCATCCCATTTCGAGGAATTAATCAGGTACGCGGCAGTCGAGGAGGGTGAGTTGAGCATCGCCCCTCCAGTCAGATGATGTGCCACAGCGTCGAAGTTGATCTTGCCCGAGAAGGCTTCTAGAGAGTGTAGGAGGGTTGTCTGACGCGGCATATAGAGCATCTCTGGACGAAATCGTGCCAGCTTTCGCTGGTTCAACCGGATTAAATTTTCATAGCCTGGAAAGGCGCGGACATCGACCCCGTCGTTGTATAGAAGATCGATCAAACATGGGATGAGGATTTCAAAGCCCACGTGGTCTGTTGACAGAATGTCCCAGGATAATAGGACGTTTTGCAAGAAGGCACCGCCTTGTGCAATTCTCTCTTGCAAGTTTGCCACGGGAGGACAGCCGGCCACGGAGGGGTTGTGTCCGTGCTTGCTCAGGGCAAGCAATGCGGCCATGGTATTCATGATGGCGTCGACATCGCTGGTGCGGGAGCCGAAGCCCCCGTCGAGGGATTGGCTTTCTAGAATGGCCTTGAAGGAGTCGGGGAAGAGCCACCGAATCTGTCCCTCTTCTTCCTTCGTTACCATGGCAAGCCAGGCTGTATCGTAGATACAGGTTGTCATGGCGCTGGAGCCATTGTAGGGTGTGTTTAAAGAATTAGCCAGGTAGGTGATGATGGAGTCCACCTTGCCTTGGAGATTTCTGGCCTGCATGGTGATAACGACAAAGCTTGATGAACAAAAACCACAGTAGTATGTCAAAAGTAAAGCACCAGGATACTGCAATCTCCAGTGGGATGGCTTATCCTTTAATCTGCAGGCTACGCGCCGAATCATCCCTAAAACGGATGCATACACGAGGAGTCCAATCGTCACTCAACCCATCAAGCTTATCCTCTCCCCCTGTCCAGACCAATCCACCTGAAATGCCACACAGCCTTGTTGCTTACCCTTCAGTATCCGTCTGCCCGGCCACCGTCAAGCAGGTACTGGATGGCATCACTCCGTGTCGGCTGTCTTTCATGCCATTCCTGCGTGGGGGCCAACATCCAGATCCAGGCCCAGGTCATGAAGGCTTTTTGGCACGGGACACGTTGCTATCAATTGATTCCTGGCGCCTATCCCAATGCATGGGCCCACTTCCTCAGCTCCCAGGTGCAGTCACCGTTAGGGCGCAGACCCCCTGACTAGCGTGCATGACGGGTGCCATGTTACACTCGCGTGTTACCCCAGCGTACGTGATGTAGTGTAACGTACGTTGTTGCAATTTCGGGGTTTGATACGCATGGATGGCTGGGAATTACTGTCTCGGTGCTTTTGAAAGACAGGAGATCGATGGGGCTCAAGGTACGTTACTGGTGGTATTCTGTCCGATTAGGGTTCTTTGAGCGGCTGAGCATGATATGGGACATGGGGGCTGGCGCGCAGTTCTCTTCCAACATGACGAGACTTTGAGTTTGCTGATTACAGTCAATATCTAGATGCTGAGGCGATTATGATGATGTCTTGGTGATTCTGCGTCTATACCGAGAAAACCCCCAGAGGCGAGATTTTGAGTGATGCTGTTCGAATCCAGACGTCTATTGCATCTGCGTGGGCATCATGACGCCTTGAGATGAATGTGAGTGTGGCCATGGTAGCTTCAAATAACCACATTTCCAAGTAAAGATGAATCAAACGTCAACAAGAACATGTCATTCGGACTACTACTATTATATACTCCTACAGCTGCACTAACCAAACCCCAGCACCGCATCACCCACTCGGACGTGCATCCTCTATTTTCTTTCCACATTCCTCGCCTTGAATCTCATCATCATAGCCTGCTTCTCCACCATCATCATCGTGGGGAAGTCATCAAACCGAACCGCTATTCCCTGCTCCTCCGCGATATCAAATGCCCACAGCGTGCGGGTCAGAATTAGGCGCATCTCTAACCACGCCAGAGGACGACCCAGACACACGTGAAAGCCAACGCTGAATGGCTTGGAAGCTGACACTTTGTCGCCAGCAAATTCAGCCGGCCGCTCACCCTCCGGCAGCCACCGGTCCGGGGCGAAGGTGTCGGGTGCATGGAAGTACTTGGTTGAGCGGTTTACGGCAAAGGTGCGGACGCCAATACGTGTCTGGTTAATCGTCAGTCCCGGATTATAGTAAAATTGCCACGTAATTGGCTAGAAATAAGGGCTTGGGGGGTGACTTACGCCTTCAGGAAGTGGCACACCAGCATACTCATCCCCACCCGGGGGGACCACGCGCGGCAGTCCAGCGGGCACGGGGTGCGCGATACGCAAGCCTTCATTAATCACGGCATCGAGATAGGGTAACTCGACCGTGTTGATTTTTGCGAGCGTGATTTCCTTCTCTTCCGCGTACGCGGCGCGGATATCACGTGTCAGACGAGCTAGGATCTCCTTGCTCTCCGGCTTGCACAGGTGGTTGAAGATGCCAGTCATAGAGGTAGCGGTTGTTTCGGACCCGCCGACAATGATGAATGTGAAGGAAGAGAGGATCTCGTCTCGAGACATTGACTCGAAGCTGTTTTTTGAATTAGCCTCGTGCTTGGCTGTCGACAAAGTGCTGACCGGGGCGTGTGTGACTTACTTCGGGTTACGCTTCATGAACGGCGTCATAAAGTCAGGACGCTCGGTTTTGGACTCTAGACGACGGTTAATCCGGTCAAAGGCGTACTTTTGGTGGATCTTTGCCGCCTCCATGATTCTACGTGGAAGGAGCTTCTCGAAGATGAACTCCAGCCATGGCCAGTAGCGCGGGGCGGCAGCGATGGTCATTCCCTTTAGGTAGAAGAAGAGTGTGCGCACCCAGTCGTGGTATTCTCCCTGGTCGAGGCAGCCGAAAGCTTCTCCGAAGGCAAGGTCGCCAATCTGGAGAGTTTAGGGAAAGGCCTTGGGCGATGGAGAAGTGGGGGGACATACCACATCCATGGTGAAGAAGTTCAGCCAGTCGGTGAGGTTGACCAGCCCACCGGTCTTCTCACTGCCTGGGGCTGTGGCTCGGCTCCATAGCTGGTTGATGAAAGTATCGGCGTGAGCTTCGATCAGAGGCGCCTGCTCGCGCAAGGCATCGTCGGTGAAGGAGTGGCTCATCAGCCCGCGCACGCGAGCGTGGAACTTGACGTTGCTGGTCGTGATGATGTTATCGGCCTGACCAGCAGGCGCCTTCATAAAGGCCGGGTCGCGTATCGCGCGCTTGTGCCCCGGTCGCCAGGCGTAGATGTCATGCCAGGCTTCTTCACTGGCGAAGGAGATCTCGTCGGGCGCCATGCGGAAGTGCGGGCCATATTTCTCGTGGAGCTCGCGCTGGCGTTTGACCAGCGTCCCGGAGAGGAGGTGATAGACGAAGGGAATGCGCGAGGCCGCCCAGGCTTTAGGGCCTGGGTATTTGGCCAGTGGGTGGAAGTAGACATTGTAGATGCCTTGGTAGATGGGGTAGGCCAGCAGCAGGCAGACGACGCTGCCGATCTGCAGCGGTACGCTGCTGCGGACGTTGATGAAATATTCCTGCAGGACACCCATGGTTTGTGGACTGGACTGGACTGGACTGGACGAGCAATGGTGGGTTCATGCTCGAGTTGCGCGCAGTATAAATAGCTGTGCGTTAAATGAGAACTTGTCGCACGACAGTCAGATGGGTGGAGGCCAGGCGGTTTTGCAAGATACACGGAAATACTGTGTGACGGGCTGTATGGGTGATACAGCGATACCGATGGTATGGGTGTTACAAGTGGCACACGCGGCAGAGCAGTTAGGGGCTTGGCTTAGTGCTTATTCTTTCTGCAAGCCTCGAATGGGTTTGATATCAACTTGCGGAAAGACGGCAGGTGCGATAATGCCTCGTATAGATGACAGATAACCAGTCTGACATGCAGCAGTGGCAGTCTGACACGCAGCTAATGGAAATTATTATCCGCGACAAAGGCACGAGGCATGAGGCACGGCAGAGGCTCAGAGGATGTCTTGCAGGGGGCTGGTGGGTGCATGAGGACTGCAAAACCCACTTTGCGTGTTGACTATTCCCCTAAATGCGACTTTACTAAACTCCCTCTTCGCAGCGGAGTCAGTATCAGCTCTACAATCTCATCCATACACTCACTATGGCAGACACTTCAATTGACAATCAGTTCCCCATTCCCAGCCTCGTGCTGGGAAAGCAGGGCATTACAGAGACCGCCACCCCTTTGGTCGACAATGCGTCATTTGACATCAAGTGCGATGCTCTGCGGCTGTTGCTGGCATGTTTAGAGCAGTCACTGGAACGTTCTCAGTCCATCGTGCATCTGCTGCAGTCAGTATGCCGTGCCTGGTGGGAGGGCAAAATGGAATACAGTGACGTAGGTACTCATCCACAGACAGCGTACCGTGATCTGACAGTTTGTGATAAATAGAACCGCGATGAGAGCTTCGCTCGACAGTCGTTCGCCTGGGCCTTCGCGGACCTTACCTGGCAGATATATCAAGGGCGTCTGGAGAAACCAACAGAGCCTCACCTTTTCTCGGAGCACGCCCCAATTGTCCTGATCCAGATGGCCACGCGCATTCTGATTCCGGACCCAAAGGCGCGCAGCCCCGTACCCGTGGAGGAAACTGCACGGGACTACCTCACCTTGCGCACCTTTGCATCTGTGCCATTTATGGATGTGCTCGAGGCCGATATCCAGGCGGAAGCCCACGCCCGGCAGCAAATTCTCGAAGATGCGCTCCGCGACACAAGCCTCTCATCCTCGTCGCGGGCCCTCGTGCTCGTGGCCCTGCAAACACAACCTCCGTCACGAGTACCCCTCGACGCTGCAGCAGAGGAAGCAAACCAAAAGCAAGCACTCAAGTTGTCCAAGTTCGCCCAGTATTTCTACAGCACGGAATATATGAAGGGCGAGCCCCTGGTTGCCATCAAGGCCTCCATCCTCGAGAGCTCCTTCTACACCGCGCTCCTGAAGGCCAAGCGCGCGGATATCTTCCCCATGACCGACGCCAAAGAACACGATAAATATCTCGAGTATATCCCCCCGATGTCCACTCTGCAGAGCAATTACCATGAGCGCGGCTTCCCGCCGCAATGGCTGCATGACCTACACCTCTGGTCCATGTTCATCTTCCTCGTCGACGAAAACATGGAAGCCGCAGTTGTACACTTCACCCCGGACGAACTCCACGACTTCGCCGCCGGCCTCGAGCTCATCCATCCCGACCCAGACCCGCGCTACTCCATCATCGCGACACCTCAGCTCCCTTCACTCGCGTCCCCGTCCGCCACCACCCCTCCCCCCAACCGAACTCCCCGCGTCCAGACCGCCCTAGACCTGTACTACTCCTGGGCGCGATGGGTGACGAACTGGCCGCGCCTCGCCCACGCCACGGCAACAGACATGAACGAGTTCCGCTCGGAAGTGAAAAAGTACCTTCTCGCCCACGTGCACCAAATCTGGGACAACATACGCCTCGCCGCGCAACAAAACCGCTCCCCGACCATCCCGGACCCGTCCGCGCCCCTGACCCGCTTCGATTCCCCGCGCACCGCCTACGCGACTTGGGTACACACCATCGGGGCATCCCATATCTCCGGCACCATCAGCCTCCCCTGGGTAGCCTGCTACATGGGGAGCGGCATCCGCGGCGGGCGCGACGGATGGAGCTCCGTGATGCAGCGCATGCTCGCGCACGAGATGAACCAGCACGTGGGCGCCTACTGTCGCCTCTACAACGACTACGGCTCTGTCACCCGCGACGCGATCGAAGGGAACCTCAACAGCGTGAACTTCCCCGAGTTCTGGACCGGCGTGTCCCCGCAAGACATCCAAGCGAATGACGGCGAAGTGCGAGCGACCATCAAGGCGGATCTGCTTGCAGTCGCTAAGCACGAGCGCCGCATGGCTGATTATCTGGGCGATAAGCTGTACAAGAGCCTGGAAGACGAGGGGGGGAAAGAGGGACGCTGGATTGCCGGGGCGCTCAGAGTGTATTTCCGCTCCGCGGAATTGTTTTCCGATATGTATTTGACCAGGGATGTTACCAATACTGTGAAATAATTTAGATCGGAGGTCACTTTCCTTCCTTCTTTCTTTCTTTTTTTTTTTCATTCATTGTTGCATATCTACCTGTATTCCTTCGTTTGAGTGATGCTTGGGGGCTTGTTGTGATGGGAGACTAAGATGGGCGGTTTTGTCGATCTGGTGAGGGGCTTAGATTTGGACCTGTACTGCTCTGCAGAACTTATTCTGCGCGCATGAGAGATGAGGGATTTACTGCTGATAGCGGTGGGCGGAGTCTGCAGGCTGCACATACCTAAGTATCTATCATCTACCTACTCTGCAGACTCGGGGTTCAGACTAGTACTGATACGGTAACCTGGAACTACGTGTATGCACCTGTTGACTGTTAGGGCCGACAATCGGGAGAAAGTGGGCCAATTGGATGGTGGGCTGGCTGTTGGTGAACAGGAGATGGTGGTGCTTAGCTTACTTAGGTACGGAGTACGGAGTAGTTAGGAGCGCTTTGCGGGAGAGGTTTCTCTGTCTGGTTCTGTCTATCTGGAATTATGGATAGTCATGGTTGGGAGGATTAGGATTGAGGTTTAGCGTCCAGGCTGTGGACACAGGCTTTTGCATGTTGGTGCGCGCTGGGTCTGTGCTCGGCTGGATGGAGTTGGTGGTAGGACGGGAAGGGGGAACGGGGACGTTCATCTCCCGCTATCTGCTAGTATTTGAATAAATGTCTTCCAGTGATGAATGGCTGCCAAGAGAGTAAGTTATAGTACTGTTGAAGCCAACCAGTTGCAGGCCTCCACCCTTGGTGGGGTCATGTGATTTGGCCGCGGTGTTGTTCTTCTGCTTGTTGGATGTATCCATCCTGGCGAGGTTTACATTCTCGGGGATGATTGACATGGATATCAGTGCGGAGTATGGGAATTAGGAAGGTGTATATATTCATTCACCCGCTCCCGCCACAATAACAGTAGTATATCTCTTGTGTAGAATGTAACACCCCCACCCACAAATCCAATCAAAACAACGCCCAAAAAATGATGAGTGTGTAATTGCGTAACCAGCCTAACTTGAGCTTTTCGTACTGCTGTCTCCCTATTCCCTTCCACATGGCATTTGTAGTTCACATTGCCTTTTCATTCCATCTAGCTTGCTATCCGTAGAAGAGTATATATAGTATATTCAATGAATTATTTTCCAAGACCAAATCTATCCGTCTATACTCCCCAAGTCCTCGCTCCTCCCTCCTCAAGACAAGCTCAAAATATACAAAGAAAATACGACCCCCTCCTATAACCTGCCAGCCCCCCCATCATTGTCTCCCCTCGCATCCTCCCTAACCACAAAATCCCTCTGAACAAAAATCTTCCCCGGCACCGTCACAGCCACACCACCACCCTCCGCCTCCCCCGCCCGCCCCCCACCACCAACGCATCCAAATCCATCGCGCCCTCCAAATCCGTCTCCCTCCGAGAAAAGCTCCCCGCCCGCGAAAACCGCGACGTATGAGTAGTACTAGTGGTATGCGTCCGCGCACTCTTACTCTTACTTGTACTCTTACTCTGCAAGAGCTCCGTATCCTGGAAGCGGTTAAACCGGTGATTGTGGTGGTGATGGCTGTGCGAGGAGTGGGAGTGGGAGTGGGAGTGGTCGTCGTGGGGGAGTTTGGTGCGGGCGGCGGAGGAGGAGGAGGTGAAAGAGAAGGAGAAGGCGGGGTGGGATTTTGCGCGTTGGCGGAGAGGACCCGTCGCTTGGGGGAGGAAGGGGAGGCAGGCGATTATGATGCCGATGGTGGGTTCGAGGCCGGTGATGAAATCGACGACAGCGTCTTGGATGGTTGCTTGGGAGTCTTCGTAGACGTAGGAGAGGATTACTCGAAGGATGGTGAGGACGCAGGTTCTGAGTGAGGGAGGGGTGGGGGTTAGTATGAGGAGGGTTAGGGTTAGGGGTGGGGTGGGGGTTTAGGTGGGGTGGGGGTTTGGGTGGGGTGGTGGGGTGAGTGAAGGGGGGGGGGAGGCAGGGGAGATGGTATGACAGAGGGGGAGAGAAAGGGACGGGGAGGAGATGAGAAAGGACAGACATACATCACTCCCAATCCAAAGATGACACTCAACCCCCATTTCTGCCTTGGCTTCATCCGCAGTCCCCAGAGCAGCGGCATGGGGAGAATGACGACGGCCGCGTCGAAGATAAGAGCCGATATGGCCGTGTAGGTTCGGTAAGCCCTCACGTCTGCGCAGTGGCCGTGGCCCGTGCGGAGCATCATGTAAGAGAGAGGCTGACAGATGGTGACGGCAGCGATGGACATCGTGAGGAAGTTCATGAGGTTGAGCATGATCATGACCAGCGCGATGTGGCAGAGTCGCTTGACGGGGCAAAGATCTGGCGGTAGAAGATGACCATGGAGACGCGCACAGCCGTCGTGGCGGCGTTCCACAGGATGATTGTCGGGGCAAATAGCTTGGTCTGTGAGTGTTTGTGTAGAGAAGAGCAGAGGAAGGCGGGTGTGGACTCACCCGCCAGGACTCTTCTAGATCGCCCATTGTGTAATGCGCCGTGGTCATCCCGAAGCCGTGGGTATAAGTGTCGTACATGGTGACGACGAGGCCTATTGTCATGGCCTGGTCAGGTCAGGTCGGGTCAGGTCATCTTAGCGTTGCTGAAGAGGAGCCAGGGCGTATGTACCATTGCGAACCAGAGGACGTAATCACTCAGCAGAGAGTGGTAAGACTGCGTCGTCCGCGCGTATTGGCGCGCGAGCACCAAGACAAAATCGATGATAAGCAGCAGGATCATCAGAGCGATGAAGACCTGTCCCTCTTTGTTGTCGCGCTCGATAGTCCAGCCCATTCTGCCTTAAGGAGTGTGATGGGAACGTGGGACAGACGGACAAGACAGGTCAGCTCACGGATGGATGCGGTGCTTCGTATACGGGATTGCTCACAGATGGATAGATACATATACAGGAATCCTTCGAGCGGGGTCTGACAATGGCCCGAGCGTGACGTCGCGCAATCACTAGGGGCGAGGGGGGGGGGGGAGGTCGACGAGACGAACAGGACTTCTGCAACCGCTTGGCTTAGGGCTTATGGGTCCGGATGGGGATGGGGATGGGGGCTGTGGCATCCCGGCGGGAGGAGCCGTGTGGGGGCAGATTCCTGTGTCTCTGCCGTGTACCCGTATGTACGAGCCATCTGGAAATAGCACTTCGTACCATACATACACTCCACCGGGCTGTGTATCTCTCGGGTGGACCCTTGCTAGGGCTGACGGCTCGTCGTCTATGCGAGCTTTCACCCCTCTCGTTGACCCACGCATCTCATCAGGGGCTAGCCAGCTCAGTCATCTCTGCACCCATGCAACTGCCCGGATCCCCATTGGCTGTATCGTGTGTTCATCGTTAGCTGCATTAGTGCCTCCGCGCTAGAGGCCCAAGCCCTCAGGCGAGCCGCAATCGCATTCACTGGGCTTTCTGGGTCAACGCCTCCGAGTCCTTTTGTGATCCTTCCTGTCTTTCTGTCTGTCACTATCTCCTGATCTCGCACTCGTGTTCCTTTTCCCCCCTCGCAGTTCTGTCAGATCGTGGGTGATCTGGGTGTGAGATTTTGCTTCGGTGGTTGTTATCATTTGCACCCTCTGGTCTATTTCACCATGCCAGAGTCTGAGCAGGAGAAACAGACCACGATGGCCACCAGCGAGCCGGAGAAGGGAGAGGACCTGCAGTATCCCACCGGCATCCGGCTGGTGGTGATCATGTTTTCCCTCTCCCTGGGAACCTTCCTGATGGCCCTCGACAGCACCATAATCTCTGTGGCGACCCCCAAGATCTCGACTGACTTCCACGCGCTGGACGATGTGGGCTGGTACATGGCCGCGTACGGCATGACCCTGTGCGCCTTCACTCCGGTGCTCTCCAGCTTCTACAAGCACTTCGATCCCAAGATCGTCTATCTGGCTGTCATCTTCGTCTTCGAGGGTATGTGTGCGATTGCCCTATTGGCACGGGGGATACTACTGACTGTCTGCAGTCGGATCGGCCCTCTGCGCTGCCGCCCCGACGTCCGCGTCGTTCATCACCGGACGAGCCATCGCTGGTCTGGGAGCGGGTGGTCTGCTGCAGGGCGCCTTCGGGTTGTTGACGTATGTCTGCGACCTAAAGACGCGCCCGCTGTTCATGGCGATCATCGTGAGTCTCTTCGGCCTCATGTCGGGAATCGGGCCCCTGATCGGGGGTGCCTTTACCGACGATGTGACCTGGCGCTGGTGTTTCTGGATGTACGTCCCCAAACCCTACACTATGGACAACACTGACAGTCTCTCTCTACCAGTAACCTCCCCATCGGCGGCTCCGTCTTTTTCCTCGTGCTATTCTTCATGAAGCTCGTCGGGGTCGACCCCACGCCCCGCCAAATCCCTCTCCGCGAGAAGCTGCGCAGCTTCGACGTGCTCGGAATCATACTCCTCCTCGGATCCGTGATCTGTCTGTTTCTGGCGCTGCAGATCGGCGGCACACAAGATCCATGGTCGAGCTCAAAGCCCATCGGACTGCTTGTGGGCTTCGGCTTGCTGGCCATCGCGTTCGGCCTGTGGCAATGGAAGGCAGGCGACCAAGCCACCATTCCACTGCGGTTCTTCAACGACCGCACGGTCGTCTGGGGTTCGCTGTATCTTTTCTGGGACAACATGGCCAACTACATCGCCATCTACTACATGCCGTACTATTTCCAAGCGGGACAGGGCGTGTCGCCCATCCGCAGTGCCGTTGAATATATCTCCCTCGCCGTGCCCCTGATGGTCTGTCTCCTACTAGGCGGTGGCATCACCACCGCGACAGGCCACTACATGCCCGTCATCCTCGTGGCGCAGGTTCTCGCCGCGGTGGGCACCGGCTTGCTCACAACCATCAACATCAACACAACCACCGCCCAATGGGCCACCTACATGGCGCTGACGGGCGCCGGCCTAGGGATGGGGGTCAACGTCCCGCACATCGCCATCCAAGCGGTCTTCGAAAACGACAACGACATCTTCATCGCCAACGGCATCGCCAGTTTCTTCGGGCAGCTAGGCGGGTCCATGGGCGTGCCGATCGCCAACGCCATCCTCCTCGATGCCCTGCACACCGAGGTGCCCAAGTACGTATCCAACATCTCGGCGGATGCGGTCATGGACGCGGGTGCGTCGGGGGTAAACACGCTGTCTAGTTCCCCCAGCGTGATCCATGCGCTGCGCTCCGCATGGGCGGTTTCCGTCGCCAAGGTGAATATTCTGCTCGTGGTCGTTATTTGCATTTCTGTGCCGACGGCGCTGGGCATGCGGTGGTTGAATCTGAAGAAGATCTCGGATCAGAGAGAGCTGGAAAAGCGTGAGCTGAGGGAGAGGGAGAGGGAAAGCGAAAAGAGGGTCTCTGCCGGTGTGGTTGCTGTCGAGGATGATGAGGAGCCTGTCGTTGAGGATATTTGAGCCGAGCTATACTGTGTGGTGGGTATGACTTGTAATTGTGTGCGTGGATCTCTGTATTCTAGGCAGGATTGGCCTTTGGTATCGCTTCTTTACGATGGTGCTGTTCTGAAGTCTCAGTGCTTGAGGCAGAACTTGCCATTGGTATGGCTTCATAATCATTGTATTCTTAGTTCCATGTGCTCCGGGCAGAAATCCGTATCTCTCGACAGTATGCACTACCACGACATCCGTGTCCACATCCTTCCCATCGCAGGAACCAATGCGAATCACCCACAATCAGCCTGAAGGCTCGCGAGAGCGCGCATACAACACCAGAGGCGTTCATCCTCCCATATCAACCAATTCACTCACCATCCAGCCGTAGATCTATTACCCGCCAAACGCAAGGCAGTCCTGCAATCCCAATCCCAATCCGACTAACAATCCCACGAGAATCCGCCCATCCTGTCATCCTTCGCGGGGAGGTCTCCGTCCCCTGCCTACTATACCTACGCAGCAGTGGTCATCCCGTCACAAAAATACGGCGAGGAATTTTCATCCCCTGGTAAAAAACGCCCATACAACCCAATACCGTCTGAAATACAGTCTTACCCATCCCACCGGAGCCGAGGCGGGGTCTACACAATCCCTGCCATGCGTTGCGTTGGCTGGCTGCCCTAGATTCCTTCCTATCCAATTCGCCTTGTCGTGTACGCACACTCCCGGGGGCGATCCCAACGCGCCGACAGGATTCGTCGCTATCGCTATCACCCCCCAGTCTTTGGGTTCTCAACTAGTCCAGTCAAGCGCGGCCGTATTATTCTTACTCTCATGCAGCGGAAATAGTCCCGCGCACATGCATACGCACATGTATATGCACAGACACCCGCACGTGTATTGTCTCATCCTGCAGGCTGAATAATGCGTTAGACAATGATGATGGTAATTGTCATGGTCTGGAGCCGCTGGCCCCCACGAGGAGCCTCGCGGTGCAGTGCAGGTCGGTGCAGCTGATATGATAGTCGGGGACAAGCCTACCAATTAGTGGCGGGGTGGATGTTTTATCTGAAGGAATAGTGGCCTTGTTGACACGGCTCATGAGGGGGAGGGAGGGGTGTGTGGGTGGGTGTGTGCTGGTACGAAGTGGGCGGGGCTATAGTACACAGCGCTATGGATAATCATCGTATACCGTGACTTGACTTGATTTGACTTGAGTTGACTGGAACACACTGGACCAGACCGGACTGATGCCATGCACTCATGTCAGACCAGGATCAGGATCAGGATCAATCAGGCTGATTCCTTCGGCCGGCATATAAGCTTACCCCCCATGAAGAGTCTACTGTATCACGTCAAGCCCTAGCCCTTCCTCCTGACCCCCCTCCCTTCCCAAGCCCTATACTATACTATATCCCATGGCCTCTGGGATCTGGAATATCAGGCAACATCTCTCGTCGCTTCTCCGCTCATTGTTCGCTTTCTTGATTGCGAAGCATCATCGCCGACCATTTCTCGTTCCGTTGTCTACACCCAGTATGGCTACCACTACAACTACGACAGCCGCCATGGATATCCTCAATGAAAGCACGCAGCCTTTCCCATTGCACATCCAGAAAGAAACCCCCTACGCCTCTAGCATGCCATCCCTTGCCCCGGTCGATTATCGTGCCCTTCCCGAGTCGGACCAGGCTTTTGGGGGCAATGGTGCCGGCGAGATGGTCGTGGAGCAGGAGCAGGATCTGGAGCTGTCGCCGCCGCAGAATGAGCTCGCCAATACGAACTTGCCGCGCAGTACTACTGCTGTGAGTTTAGCAGCACCTATTTATCACCAAGCTGCCACTCTAAAGATAGCACATACTGATTGTAATAGCCCATCCACGCCCCCTTCCAATACATCTCCTCCCTCCCATCCAAAGGCGTGCGCGACCAGGTCGTCGCCGCGCTGAACGTCTGGGTCGGCGCTTCGCTCGACGTGCTCCCCCAGATTGTGTCTATCGTTGGCGATATCCATAATATCTCGTTGATGTGAGCTCCCCTCCCGCCTCCAATACACACCCTGCCACACCCACCTGGAAACCCTAGTGGGAGTCCTCCTTCCCTCACCATCCATCCACATCCCATCCACAATACCTAACAAAACCAACCAGGCTCGACGACGTCGAAGACGCCTCCCCTCTCCGCCGCTCCCGACCCTCCACACACACCGTCTTCGGCATCCCGCAGACCGTCAACTCCGCTACATACCAGCTCGTCGATGTGATCGCCCGGGTCGCTGAGATCGGGGGATCGGAGTGTCAGACTATCTGTACTGGTTTGTTTTCCCCAACTTTCACCGCATGGGAATATCAAGGAAACTAGAAGCACCGATGCTGATATCCCTGACAGAGGAAATGAAAAATATGCTCGTGGGCCAGAGTCTCGATCTCCACTGGGTGCAGCATGTTTCGCCGCCGAGTGTGCCGGAGTATTTGCAGATGATTGATGGGAGTGAGTTTTCTCTTCCTTTTCTTCTTCCTTCGTCGTGTTCTGGGGGAAATTTCTACCTACCACCTTATCCGTCCCACATCATGCTCTTCCATTTAGCTTGTTGGCCTGAGATAGGATAGAGTGTGTATACTAACGGCGTCCAGAAACCGGCGCCCTCTTCCGCATGATCTCGCGCCTGATGATCGCCCAATCCACGCACCCCACCAAGCCCTCAGACCTGAATAACCTGATGATGCTCTTTGGGCGGTTCTTTCAGATTAGGGATGACTACGCGAATTTGGTTGTTGATCAGGTATGCACCGCTCCCTTTGCCCTATTCCCCAATTCCCCCTCCCCCCTCCCCCCACCAACCCAATCCCAATCCCAATCCCAACCCTAACCCAGCTACCCATGACAAAAATGATAATAATCCATGATAATAACAAAACAACAAACCCAGTACCAAGAAAGCAAAGGCTTCTGCGAAGACCTCGACGAAGGCAAATGGAGCTTCATCCTACTGCACGCGCTCGAACACGCCACGCCCAGCAACCGCGCGCTGCTGCGCAACCTGCTGATGCAGCGGCACGCGACCGGCGCGGCGGGCCGCGGCCACAAGCAGCTGTTCCTGGGCGTGCTGGAGGAGTCGGGCAGTCTGGCGTTCACGGCCGACGCGCTGGTGAGTCTGTGGGGGGAGATCGAGGGGGAGATTTGTCGCGTGGAGCGGGAGACCGGGACGGAGAATCGCTTGGCCAGGGAGATGTTGGAGAGGTTGAGGATTCAGCGGTAGGTGTGGATATTATTATCGTTGTTATTGGGGTTATGATTATGGCTGTGGTTATGGTTGTTTGTGGGGGGGATGCGGGGTGGTGGTGGTGGGGAGAGGCGGGAGGCGGGAAGGGAGGGGAGGGGGGGTGTCTTTGATGCTTGCTTAGAGTTATGATGGCGTTGAGGTGTCTTATGGGTGGGTTTCTGGTATATTCGGTATGTTCTGTTTATCGATACAGTAAGGGAATGAGATGAGTTCATGATGCTAAGCTGCGCATATCGTACGATATATTTTCCCAGTTCCTACAAAAGCTAGTAGGCAAAACCATACACATAATAGATGTGACTTGAATGACTTTTGATTAGTCAAGGCACTAAACCAAGCTTATGGAAGAGCTGCCTGCTTGCCGGAATTGGTCTGTGAGCAGTGTGGTCCAACTACTAGCCAGCATCTACCCAGTGAATTATCCAGTATTGCTTCACTGCCATAACCTTGGTGAATGATAACCAGTGGTTCCCCACAAGAAAATGAACAAACACAGCCAGATCTTCGCGACAAGTCTTCGGTATTGCCCGAGTAATCCATGGGAAAGGTATATACATATATGAGCATCATGGGTGTTAATACCAAAAGAAATCAAAAATCCATTGCCGGAACAAACGAAACATCTCCAACCATGATGAAATGCCGACTACTCGCTCACCCTCCTCCTGCTCCTCCCTCCCTCCCCCCTAATCAACCTGCATCGCAACCCACAGATAATTCACGTACTCGAACCCAGCCCGCGCCGTCACCACCTCCATCCCATTCCGATCCACCTTGACCACCTCGGCTCTAAGCCGCTTGACCGGCTCCCTGGTCGACTCGAAGGCATTCAGCGCGAGAAACACCTTCGGGGCGCGCGTGAACATCCCCTCCTTAAAGGTCACAGGATGACGATCCTTGACCGCACTATCCAGGACATAGCCCATGCACACCTTCTCTCCTCCCAGCGTATTGAGCGCAAAATACCCCAGCTGCAACTCCGCCAGCGACTTGCGAATGTCCGGAAGTGTCCACTCGAACTTGTTTGTCGTGGGGTTTGTGACCTGCGGTTGGAATTTTACGGGATCGACGGTGCCATCTTTGAAGCGAATGGCGCGGATGAACAGGTGGGACTGGATCTTGGCGGAGGCGGAGAAGGGCGGGGTGAGGGTGGTGGTGTATCTGGGCGGCTGTTTCGGGGCGAGGTTTTCGGCGGTCAGGGACGCGGTAGACATCCGGATGTGGGGGCTCGTGGTGGCGTAGGCGAGCCATCTGGTCTGCAGGGCTTTGATGGCGATCGACCCGGTCGCGGTCATGGTGAAGCTGTTCGTTGAGCAGCGTGTGATGGACAGCCCTATGTCTGGCGCGGGACCTTCGTACTCCAGTTCCGTGATGCCGAGCATCATGTTCGGTTTGGCGGATAGTTCCACGTCGAAGCTCTGGGTGTGTTCGAGGGAGATGCTTGTCTTGGACGATTCGCAGTCGATCCTGGAGGTCAGATTGATATCTTCTGTTGCGAGAGTTTTCAGTGAGGGGTCATGCTGAAGCAGTTGCCGGCTCAGCCGTTCCAGCTTAGCGGACATGCTATTTTCGAGGGGGTGGGGTTCGTTCGCCTGCGGCGGACTCTTTGAATCCACCGGTTCAGATGGCTCCGTCGCCTTGGATTCGCCGTCCTGCATCGCGGGTTCATCTTCCTTTGGAACCGGATCAGTCTGGTCTTGCGACGGCTGGGGTTCGGTCTGTGGATTGTTGCCCTGGTCCGGCGCCACGGGATGGACCCTACTCAGATCCCTTAGGACGCTGATCGTATTCGTCATTTTCGCAATACTTTCCTCTTGCGACTCTGCTTTCTTTCTCGCTTCGTTCAAGGCAAATTGCAGCGATCGGTTGTTCTGGCAGCGTGTTAGTCCCAGCTTAGGGCAGGGGCGGCTGTGGCCTGGGGTACTCCGCTTACCTCCTCGATAACATCCATGGCCGCCGTTTTCTTGCGCAGCTGATCTTCGAGAGCCTTTACTGCGTCGTGAAAAAGCAGTGCTGGGGGAATGACTGCCTCCTGGCACAGGGGAATGCCATTAGACTAAGTTCCAGCAGCAACAAGACTGGGTGGGACTCACGGAGAACAGCTGCTTGAAAATCATCGAACCGAGGAGCTGCCAATAAGGAGGGAACCGAGCAATGGCTCCCTCCTGCGATTCAATCGACAACTAGGCATGTCGCGTTCAGTACCGCCTCCGTACCAGAATCTATGAATGCATGCAACTTACGTCCTTCAAGGCCTGATGCCCCGGGAGCGCCAGCCTACTCCCAATCAACGTGGCGATTGCCGCATCAAACGGCCCAGCGGCCAGAATCTCCGACACCGCCGCAGCGCTATCTTCCGCACAGAAACCCTGATCCGTGATGTGGCTGATACTCTTTACGATGCTATCATAGTCCCCGCCACCACCGACTGGCGCACTCTGCTTCTGGGTAGCGCGGGGGCGAGAAGCCATGGATTCTTTGAAGCTATATGATTTCGACATACACATCAGGACTCGCCAAACAAGATGGAAGAGAAACAGGATTTTTCGGATAATTTGTACTGGCTGGTCTTACACTGAGTCCACTTCGAGCTCGATCATCGAGGCATTCATCTTCATTACCTCCAACCCGGCCGCGCGTGTACTTTCGCCGAGATTGTGCTTGATCTGCGAGAACAACGCGTTGTTGAAGTCGAACTGGCATTGGCGGAAGGTGAAGTTAAAATCGGCCGATTCGACCTTGCTCTTGGCGAGGGTGAATCTGCTAAGTGAGGCGTCGGTGCGGAAGCTGATGACGCGGATGACTATGGTAGAAAGGAATGGTTAGTGTCTGGGGGATGGGATCTGATGTCTCTTTTCGTCGTCGCAACGTACCCGGCTGTGCTGTTTCCAGAGCGGACTCGTACTCGAACCGGGTCAGCATGATGAAATACTGCATGGTTTGTTCCTTGTTCTCCTTGGCCACCGTGAGCATGCCGTTCGCAATGCTGTCGAGCGCCGAATGCAGAGTACCCATGATTTTGCCGGGGACGTGGAAGCCCTCGAGCACGGTTTTGAGGAGGGTCGTGTGAAGCTCGATCTTCGTGCAAGAGACCGATTTGGTCTGAACCTCGTCGTAGGTTTGCGTTACCCTAAAGGTCTGGTCAGCTAAACCCATAGCATTGTCTCCACGTAAGATCAAGGAGAGTGACACGGGGGGTAATAACTACCAGTTACAAGCACGCATCACATAATCAAAGACCATGTTCTTATACTGCGACCTCTTCGCCTCCGCAATCCCCGTCGCATCAGCCGGCAACTTGCCCGCGTTGATCTGCTGCTGCACTTTGGCCGCAGAGAGTCCATACATCCAGCACTGCCAGTCGCGGACATTCTGCACCACCTCCGTCAGCTTCTCCTTCGCCTCGCCGGTCAGCTTCGGCGGGAAGGTGACGAAAAACGTCGTCTTAATCTCATTCTCCGTGTCCAGGTTCTCGTTCGCCTGGCGCAGCAGTTCCTCGTTGGTCTCCCCGCCGTTCTCCTTGGCGTAGGCCCCCACAGGTAGCTTTTCGGGTGACTGCGTGCACATTTCAAAGTGTCTGAGGGATTCCTTTTGGAGCCGCTCGAAGTGCAGGTTTGCGTTGGGCAAGGGGAACTTGCCTCTGTACTGTATTTGTTGTTTTATTTTTGTCAGAATCTGTTCGGTGGCTTCGCGGTCGGGGTCGTTGTGCTCTGGGCCGTGCTCCAGGAATCGAACCGTCTTGGCTGCTTCTTTGCGCTTTCTGGCACCGTCGTCTGTCTGGTCTGGTGTTTTGTCCTGTGCTTGGGCTGTGGAGGGGATTCGCGACGGTGTCCGCGAGTCGGCCCTACCCGACGCAGGCTTCACAGGCTGAGAGGATCCTGTGCCTTCTAGAGCTTGGATCGCCCGCGCTGCTTCTGTGCGCTTATCGGATGCCCACAGACTGGTTCCTCCGTCATTGCGACTTGAGCCTGCCTGAGAAGTTGTACCCTGCAACGTTCGAATCGTCTCAGCTGCCTCCGTGCGCTTATCAGGCGCCCACAGGCTGGTCACCCGATTATTGCCAGCGGGCTTATGAGTGTCATCCAACGAACTCTCCTTCCCCTGCGGAGAAGCCTCAGACGGCCTGTTTCGGGCCTCTTTGGTACCAGGAAGACTAATATATTCCAGATTCCTCGTGCCTCGCACCTCGGGCGCAGCAACCCTCTTCGCGCCCGGGGACAGCTGCTGCGTCTGTTTGATCTTCAGCGCCGTCGTATAGTCGGAGAACAGGTTACCGAAGGCACCGATGGCAGATCCAGCATTTGGATGGCCTCCATCGGTATGGATGCCGACTGGATTGGAGTGTTGTCAGTCATAGCTCACGGAGAGATGGCTTGCAGGGACATAGAAACATAAAACAAAACCACCACTCACTCGGAACCAATTTGCCGGATCCCATGTCGCGGAGCACAGGCGAGCCCGACTCTCCCGCCTCGGTGTCAATGCGGTAATTCAAGTATCCATTGGTGGACAGGTCGATGTCGGTGGTATCCCAGTGCTCGTACATCTCGTTGCCGGAGTGGAGGTCGCCGGGGTATCCGACCACCCCGAGGCGAACCCCGGAGGCAGACCGCGGCGTGTCCTGCGGGAGGAACGGTTCCACGTCGTCGAACGGTCGCTCGAGTTTGATCTATACGCACGAAAGACAGGTATTAGTTAGCCACTTATTACTTTCCCCTGGATGACTATCACGCCTTGGGACACGACAGACTCACAAACCCCACGTCATGCACCGTGTGACTCGTCTTGATATATTCTGCCGGCGTCACAGCAATGCTTCCCAGTCTCATCTGACACGAATTCCTCTGTAGGGCTTGCTCCTCCGGTCCCTGGTATCCGATATACGCTTTGACCGACTTTAGATATCCGTTCCTGGTATCGTAGAGACAATGGCCCGCGGTCACCACTACATCCTTGGCGATGAGCCAGCCTGTCGCGATGTAGTTGTGTCCTTCGTTGCGGGAGAATCCCATGAAGAGCTTGCAGATGGCTGGTGCCGCGAGCAGATAGATGTCAGCAAAGATTCCAGCTTCTGTTCATCGCATCCGGAAACGACCCGCCGGGTGGATGTGCAGGTAGGTAACACAGACCTCGATATTTGCCATGTGGCTGGAAATGTTCCGGAGAGACTTTGACGCGCCGATCTGCGCCCCAGACCGATAGACACTCGGGGCGCTTGGTTAGGACGTCTTTTTTGAGCTGGTCGGGGGTTTGGAGCTCCCATGCTGCGATGACGGTTCTGTAATGGTCTCAGGGTCAGTACAGATGTGATGCTGTCTTGTGAGATTCATCGCTGGTCTCCGAACTTACTGGTTCAGACTATTGATGTAGTAGATATCCTCGACCAGTTCACCGTTTGCCGGGTCATTTTGCTCTGCGTCCTTCTGGAGGGTTCCGTTGGTAGACCGATTCCCGCTTACCGGGGCAGGATTGTCCCACAACGAAGGCATAGTATATTATCCGCAGGCCGTAGCCCTGTTGAGCAAAAGAAGCAGGCGTGAAGGGTGGACAGAGATGTGCGGGCGCTGCTTATCAGAGGAGAGAGGGGAAAGAAAACAAAAGACCTCGCGATTTCCGACCGGAAGGACCGCCGATATGAAAGGATATCTCCTTCCTCTGACAATTTCTGACTCTTTCTGCCATGAGTCCTTTCGAGAAACTCCAGCCGACCATGATCCATGATGGTTCCGGGCCGCGCGGCATGTTTCGGATGTCACGCGCGCTATCTATTCCATTCTGCAGGAGGCAGCGGGGGCGTGATACGGAGTCTCCGAAGGCGAGAACGTTTTGGGGCTGAGCTTGTTCTATAGCGCTGTGGCAACATCAGTAAGCGGGGAGAGGGTTTGCAAATGGCGGCTGTCGATCGGTTATATCTACCCCGGCGGCGGCGGGACCCACCCTGACGTTCGATAACTCGCTGCTAGTAAATCACTAGTTTGGAATGCTTCAGCTGGGATTGTTTGCCACTTGCACTTTGGACTTACGGGCTTTTAAAATATGGTTGGCGGATATCAAGTATTGCCTAGCATGAGTTGGGGGGAAAGGTGGGAGAAAGAAAGCAGGCAAATATAAAGCTAAATAGCCGAAACCGCGACGCGATCAAATTGGAGTATAAGCTACAGACCATCCATAACCCTCCCTAATGACCAGCAAGAGAAGTGGAGCATTAGACCTCCTCCTCCATTCCCTCGTCCTCCTCCAGCTCATAGTCCGAATCATCCTCCTCCTCCTCCCCCGGTTCATAGTCCGAATCATCCTCCTCCTCATACTCTTCCTCGCCCCGAAGCAACAAAGGCAACGGCGCCTGAAACCCAACTCCCCTCCTCGTAGTCGACAGAATCCCCCCCTGCAACTGCACATCAGCCATAACCCGCCAATCCCACGGCTGAAGCTGCGCCGTCACCGGGGCCCACACCCCGTCATTGTAATACGCGCAGGTCTCCTCCTTCTGAAAATGCGGACACAAGTGATCCCAGAACCACACACTCAGAGTCGGAAAAGCGCAAAGCAGTCTCACAGCGGCCTCGAGACAATTGTTCAGCTGCAGCGCGGCGCACTCCGCCCCGTGCCTATCCGCACGCACCGTACAAGGAAGATCGAGATCCCGTCCACTCTTATCCCCTGTTCCGTAGCCAAGGAAGATATTCATCTTCCAGTCCGCGATCGATTCCACCGCCCAGGTCAGCCACGTGTCGTAGTTGACGACGTTCGCGTCCCAGGGCAGATGGAGGAGGGCGGCGTCGGGTTGCTCGATCCCGAGCTGCGTGGTCACTTCGACTAGGAATGCGAGAACCTGGGCGCGCGTCATCTGGCCGCGCTGCATGGTGGTTTCGATGGCTTTAATGATGCGGTTCCGTGGGATGAAGTGTCGGTAGGTGCGTTGGATGCCCATGGCGGGGTGTGAGTTGTGGATGCTCACCCAATTTTTCGTCGCTGTCCAGTTGAAGGGTAGGGTGCGTTGGTGTTGGAGACGGACGACGATTTCGGTGTCGCACCATGTTTGAGAGGGCGGGTTGAAGTGGTTGGCTGTGTAGGAGGATATCATCGTGGTGGTGGGTTGGTGCTGATGAGTAGGTAGTAAGTATACAGGAGAGGCAAGGTGGATGGAAAGAGATGGAGACGTAGCGTATACCGATTAGAAGAAATGTAAGATCGCGTCTTTCTTCGACTAGCGCTGAGGAGGAATAAATTTATGGTCGTTTTATTCCACCAGTCCACATCCGCTTGTGTGCAGTCCCCCCCCCCCGGGCAGACCACCTAGGCACGTCGGCTATCTTTGCCCCGAACATCAGGCATGTCTAAGGGTGGCACAGGGGAGCTGGAGTACACACCACAGTCAGGGTATCGGTTTCAACCACGTACCTGTCCCCACATGGCGCAATCCAAGATTTCAACATTTGTTATCCGCAGCTCTTCCCGGGCCATCTTCCCATCCTTTATTGCCGCAACGGACTGTACCAATCAGCGTTTACCGCGCCTTCAGCGAAGTCTCCAAGTAATCAAGTCGAACAGCAGACATAACTCAGAAGTTTGGTGAATAAAACAGCACCTGAGTATATCATATATCCCCTTCACTTATATTACACAATGTCACCGGTGATCTCTCCATAAAGGGGATGACAGAAATAGTCTCTGTGACAGTAAAAAAGGAACAAAGGAAGTGAACCTGTGTATGCAATTCTTCCTTGTCATTCTTCTCCTCTACGAAAGAAGCACATACGACCATAGGGTGTGGAGAACAGGGCTTCCCGTCCGCTCAGCCGTACTTAAGCCACACGCCGGGAGGTTAGTAGTTGGGTGGGTGACCACCAGCGAATCCCTTCTGTTGTATGTATCCTCTTCTTTTTTGTCCTCTTGAAAATCCAACCTTTTGATTGTTTTTGAGGCCCTCAAGAGTGAAGAATAGAGTCAGTTAGGGCTGAAGCGGCCGCGGCATTATCTGTGTCACGTTGGTGCGGGCTGTGGCTGCAGTTCGGGTTGGCACGCGATGGGTTGTGCGACCTTGTCGATGGCCTTGATCTTATCTTTCTCCGACAGTGGGGGATGTGAACCATTTTCTATCTGGTATCTGGGTTAACAAAATTGTCCTTCCACTTTGTCTTCAAGGGTAACTGACCTTGAACTATTGAGAGGTTCCGTTTTCCTCTTCCCACAATCCAGGTGTACTCGACACTCGACACCTTTCACTCATCCTTAAGCCGTAGGACCAGACAAAAGACTTTCACCGCTTAACATGATCAAGCAGCCCCAACGACCTCACACACGGCCAATTCTCGGCGTTCTCAATGTCGAGGAGCTGGGCAACCAGATCCTCATTCCTCTCCAAAACCAGACGACAATCCCTCTCCGCCTTGCGCAATCGATACTCGATACGCGCCGTGACCCGACCATCCGGATTCATCTCAAACGTCACACCGGGGGGATTTCCCCCCTCCGCACTCCGATACCAGTACAGCAGCTCCTGTTTCATGCTCTCCTCCATGAGATCCGCATTCAGAGAAGCGCTCATAAACCCTTCTATCGCGCCCCAACTTCTCATCATAGCGATGCCTCGACAGCGAATCCGATAGTCCGGACACCGGATGGTCGCCACGTTCAAGGCGGGCACGATCTCATGATGGACGGTGATGGTCGGCGACTGGCTGGGGAGTTTGTCCATTGCCGTCTCGGCGGCGACAATCACCGCCTCGCATTCCGGGGTCAGAGAGTCCGGGACCGGGCGGGTTTTGTCGTACAGAAACAATTTGGCGGCCAGGAGGCTGTAGAGGGCCGAGAGGCGAGTGATTTCCGCCTCGCGGTAGGCTTTGCGCTGCGTCGGGTCGTCGCTGGTCGTGGGGGTGGTGAAGGAGGAGGTCCCGTATGTGCGGTCGCAGAAGTCCGCGAACAGCTTCAGAAACCGCGTGAAGTACCCCACCAACAGGAATTGTCTGCACTGCAGTGTTGGGTAGATGAGTTTCATTTCTGCCTCCGAGGCGTGCATGCACTGCGCTACGAAGATAGAGGCGGTGTTGAGAAGCGGCTTCAATACCTGGCGGGCATGCTGTAGACTGGTGAAGCTCTCGAGGTAGTGGTTGTAGGGCTGCTCGAAGACATATCGGGTGTCGACGTCCAAGGGGTCTTTGATCCCGAAAAAGGCAGACGCGCCCTGGAGGGAGAGGAACGTCTCGCCCACGCAGCGCTCTATCGCGCTTGGAGAAGTCAGGACCAGCCCCATCGCCTGTCGCTGCACTCTCATGCCGCGGAGAATCCGCAGTCCGCTCTCCATATGCACGATCGCGGTGCCGAGTTTTCTGTGCAGCAGCTCGCACATCACGAACAGCAAACAGCAGACCAGGATGACGGTGTGGAGCGTCGGATCATTCGACGCGCGCCTCTTGTTCAACATGGCGAATGCCCGTCCCGCCTGCTCAATCGCAAACTGGTACCATTTATTCTGCGTACCCTTCCGCCCCAGCAGCAGCCGCCTGCTTCCCCCAGGAGGCCCTCGTGCCGCAATCTCGTACGCCTGGTTCACTGCCCCCAGGGCAACCACTCCATGGAACACGGCCGGCTCGCAGTAACACAGCTCGAGAACCAACTGCTGCCACAGCGGCGAGTCAAAGAACGTCACCAGCTGCGGGACAGACTGGTGCTCGAAAAAGGCCAGACACCGTCCCTCGTCCGAGGTCACCTTCCACTGGAGCTTGGATGTCACTGCCCGGCAGATCTGCGTTACGCTGGCGTTGCGAGGCGAGTTCGGGTCCGATTTGCCGGAGTCTCGTGGGACTCGGTATAGCTCGTACCCTTCGCATTTTCTTCCCGTTCGGGTGCAGTTGTTGCATGCGTTGGGGGATTCGTCGCATTTGATGCGACGGGCCCTGCGCCTCCTGAGTAAGGTACTTGACCAATACCAGTACCAGTAATCGGGGGGATGGGATGCGATGAGATGGGATGGGTAGACTCACCGACAGGTCCGGCAGCCTGTCCGGGATCTCTTTGTGTAGATCTTCTTTCGCGGCTCCGGTGACATTGGCATGGTCAGGTCTAGTCTGTCTGCGTCTGAAGTGGTGACGCTAGCTTTGTTGCGAGAGTCTTGAATCGGTTAGAAAATCGGAGTCGAGTGTGCGTGATCGGCCGTTTAAGTACCTCGAACCCCGCAGATTTAGAGGGAGGCTAATCTAGCCAGGGGATACCGTTAGTACCGGGGCTAGGGTTAGCCGCACGCCGCGTGGCCTGGCTGGATGCCCATCGCGATCACTGGATCTTTCCAGCAGAATTCACTCACCTTCAACTAAAATCCCTCAGACCGCAACCTTCCAAATTCGTCAAATCAAGCCAAATGCGGTTGAAACCTGACCACTTTTTTTTTTTACCTTATGATCTCCCCATGAGGCGACCATATACCTCCGAGAAGACGCAGCCCTGTATTATCCACATCAGCCTCACGGCTAGCAGTGGGGCCAGGAGTAATAGACGAGCCAGCCAATAGGGTTGCATCCGGGGGACGTTATCTCCATAGTCCATTCCCATAGAGTCCAACAAACGAAAAATATAATTAGCCTCACTCACTCCTTCTTTTCTCTCGCGAACTCGGGATCCGGAATGGAACACGGATCGGGTGGAGTGGAGGATGTTTGTCCGATTCTCCCTCTCTGGCTCCCGCTCCTATCCACATTCCACAGGCCACCACCGACTGGCCTCACACCAGGAAAGGGTCTTCTGAATCCTCACAAGTCACAACTACCCCGAATCCTCGAAGATAATCTTCATACCACACACCTGACGAATATTAATCCCCTCAAGCAGACACACACACACACTATACTAACTCCCCCAGATTGAAGGCTGGAGGTGATACGACGTCGTAATAGCCTTTCCTGCAGTCATCCAGCCAGCGCCAGTCAGCCCTATGCGGCTCTCAACCTTTCTGTTCCTGGCTCTGCATGCAGAACATGCACGACCTTTCCTGCACACCTTAAATGATGATCACGTTTCCCAACACGTGGTAGATACCCGCTTTACATCGGCATTTTCATCATCCACGGGCCGTTGCGGGCTGTGGGGGGCCAGAGATACATGTACTAGTCCGTGCACGAGGTCTAGTCTGCACGCAGGTATGTAAGCGCTTGGCTGATTTAGTTGTCGGGGAATGTATCAGCCGCTGCGTGGTGTAAATGTATGGTGATTGGGTAGCCCTGTGGGTTGTAGATTGCTGTTAAATGGGGATGAGCTGCGAAAGAGATTGGTTCACGGGTTTAGGATGTATTTATGTATGTATGCAAATCTTCTGGTTCTGTTGGTTCTTGCCAGGCTTTCCGCGGCCGCAATGTGCTTGGTACCGGGAACAATGCGGGGTGGATAGATAGAGATATATCTCGTTGATTGTGGTGGGGAATGACCATCGTCAAACCATTCATTCCCCGCCAACCCTGGACTCGGGTGCGGGTGCCGCGCGGGAGAGCCGTCGCCGCAGCCCTACCTAGGATCAGGAACCAGTAACCAACATTCTTGACTTTTGTAAATGTCAGATGAAGAAACACAATTTCTTTCTCCTGACATGCTCAACTCCACTAAAACAGATCTACATATCATTCTAGAAAGTCGATTTCTACTGATATATTCACCAACCATCACGTGACTCACTACCCCACTTCCGAGGCGGGGATCCACCGTGAATTTTCACCAGGGTTTCTCGGACGTCATCCCAAACCGTCAACTCCCCAACACAACTGACGAGTATACCCGAACCACAACTCCGGTGTCAGGGCATAATCAACCTGGGTGATTTATTGGAATTTAAATCATTCTCGGAGTCTCATCTCCACCTCAGGCTATCCATCCACTTCACCCAGCCACCACCACCACCACCATCATCATCATGGCTCCTCCACCCGAGCGCGTTGCGAGCATCATGCTCTCCTGGCACACGCTGGACCTCGTCTCCTGCACCACCCTACAGACCCTCTGGGCGGGCTACGGCCAGATCTGCGCCATCACGGCGCGCGCCACCACCGACGCGGCGGCCGCGCATCTCAGCGCGGTCTGCGGGGTCGAGTCCGCAGCCACAGCCACAGCCACAGCCGGGAGTACCTACCCGCTCATCCTGAAACTCATCTCCCCGCCGCGACACAAAAGCAGCAGCAGGGAAGACGAAGGCCACCTCCGGAAGATGTTAAGTTACGAGGTAGAGCAGTATTTCTACTCCGACGTGGTTCCGCGCCTGGGCGAGGAGATCGCTGTGGCGCAGTGTCTGGCTTCGACGCGCGGGATGGAAGGCAAGGATGGAGAAGAGGAACTGCGTGGGTTGATGGCGACGGTGATGGTGGATCTGAGGCCGAGGTTTCCCGTCGCCGGGGGGAAGAGGAGTGCGCTTGATCGGGTGCAGGTGTGTGGGGCGTTGGAGTGGTTGGGGCGGTTTCATGGGCGGTCGTGGGGACTGTTAGGCGGGGAGGGTGGGTTGGGGGGGTATGTTCTGCCGCCGTTGGAGGAGGTGAAGAGGAGGAAGGACAGGACGGGGATGGAGTGTGGGAATACTCTGTGGTTGAATGGTGGGTATACGTACCTTGCGACGCGGAGGAAGGAGTATGCTTCGTTGGTTGAAGATGTTGACTCGGAGTGGTCGGAGGCTATGTGTGTGGTTGTGGAGAGATCGGGGATGTCTGTTGCTGAGATGGCTGCGTTGGTGCTCACCCCGTGCGGAAGGCCGGTGGAGTCGTATATCCATGGCGATGTCAAGTCGGAGAATCTGTTCACGACGGAGAAGGGAGATGAGGTGGCGTTCTTTGATTTTCAGTATGTCGGGCTGGGATTGGGGGTTTGTGACCTGGCGAAGCTGTTTACATGCTCTGTGCCGATTCGGATGCTTGTTGACGATGCTCATGAGCCATTGCCTGAGGCGCTGGCGATGTGTGATGGTGAGAGGAGGCTACTGGAGCGGTACCGACAGAGTCTGCTTTTGGGTCAGGAGACGGATCGGTATGAATGGGATGCGTTTAAGCGACACTGGGAGACGGCTCTGGTTGATTGGTGTCGGTTCCAAGCATCCTGGGGATTCTGGGGAAATACGGAGTGGTTGGAAGCCCGGGTGAGGTCGATATTGAGCGACCGGGAGTGGAGAGATTGGCTGCATCGGAATGTTGACAGTCGTAAATAAGATATTATATACAATTATGAGTTTTTGTTACCCCTTTCATGATTCTAATACTTGTATTAAGACTAAGAGCCCTTTAACGGTGCTATAAAAAACTTTACTTCGAGTATGGTCGAATATACTTGAACTTGTCTTATGCTCAACACCAGTCGACTAGCTTCCAGTTCCATCAATCAAACCCTAACTCAATAAATCACAGTAGTATTATAAACCAAAAGAAACATAATCCACCCACCAAATAACATAACCATCATAAAGCCCCCCACCCTTCACCTCCAACCTAGTCACTGCCTTCCCCTCTGCAAATCCAAAACCCTCGCATCCTCCTGCATCCCACCCATCACCCACCGCCGATGAAACTCCTCCAACTCCTTCTCCTTCTCCCCACTCTCATCCCCCATCAAGGCCACAACCCCATGCGGCTCAGGAACATTCATCCCGCGCCTCACACCCGGCCGTTGCAAAATGCGCTCATACCACTCCCTCACCGCCGGAAACTCACCCAAGTCCAGCCCCGCCCACGGCGCCGTCGCCGCCAGACACCAGAACGCAATATCCACGATCGTGAATTTCTCCCCCACGATATAACCCCCCCGCTTCGGTGCCAGCTGCTTCTCGAGCACGGAATACAGCCGTCGGGATTCATTGTGGTAGCGGTCTACCGCGTAGGGAATCCGCTCCGGCACGTGGCGCAGGAAGTGTGTGGCTTGGCCTTGGAACGGGCCGATGCCGCTGGTTTGGAAGAAGAGCTGCGATTGCCATACAGTCAGTAATCATTATCGGAATTCATTTGATTCGCCTGGTATTAAATTGGATGAATGGGAGATGATGTGGTTACCCAGCTGAACAGCTCGTAATTCTCGCGCGTCCCGTGCGGATACCACAGCTTGTACTCGGGATCGTACCGCTCGACGAGATATTTGAGCACGTTGCCCGACTCCCAGATGTGGATTTCTTGGCCGTCACTGAAGGTGTCGGTGATGGCGGGGATTTTTCCGTTGGGGTTGATTTTGAGATACCATGGTTCTTTGTGGGTGCGGGCGCTGAAGTCGTGTTTGTGGACGGTGTATGGGATGTTGAGTTCTTCGAGGAGGATGGAGGCTTTGTTGCCGTTGGGGGTTTGGGTGGTGTAGAGGGTTATGCCTGGGGTGGACATTTTGAGCTCAGTGGGAGAAATGGGAGGATCTGCGTTTAAGCTGGAAGATGGTGGTTGATGGGATTGTTTGTCTGGGAGGAGCACGCTTGATATATATACCCTAGATTTCGTGGGTCTATTGCCATGCTTGGACGCGAATATTTGGGTAGAAGTTTTGTGATTGATAATACACATTCTGGAACAACGTCGATGCTATAGCCAAGATGGAAATTACCCTTCTAGGAAACATCATTGACATCATTCTGCAACACTGGCGGACTGGCTCGGGAGAATCCGGCCGAGCAAGCCTTTCCCCATTCGGTTACAACCTCTATCCACAATTCAGAATTGCCTGTTTAGGAAGCATCTCCACGTCATCGTAGGACGCCAGTCCCGGAATGGACTAGCGAAAGACGACACCACGTGGTTCATCCTCCGCGATCAATCGAAGCAATTTGCTCCAGCGTGCAAGCATTATGAATATAGCGGCTGAATCGACGGCAGGGATCATGAGTCAGTCTTGGAGTCAAGAAGCCTGCGTGTCCAAGTCCCTCGACACCCCCGACAGCCTTTGAGAAGACAGTTGTTCTTCGTCGACGTCTCCGACAAGAACCACCGACAGAACGCTCGATCACATATAGTAACCGAGCGTCTCCGAGACCTCAGGCGGTGCCCCAGAGACCGAGTGCACGCTGCCACCAAACCACCCAAAGTACCAGATCGCCCGACCACGGGCTCCACTCGCAAGCGTCGCTACGGGCAGCGCATCAGGCTAGATGGGCCAACCGATCCGGAGAAAGCAGCTAGCACCGCACCGGCACTTCCGGCCATCACTCCTCGAGATCTGGGCTCATTCCAGACCTGGCCTGTCCCCTTCACACCAGAAGTCCTTCTGTTGGTGGATCATTGTACGCCCTCCCTCCTTGTTCCCCCACCCCCGAGATATAATCCTAACCCACAACGCAGACATAAACATCATCCCAACCCTGCTGCACCCCCCAACCCAGAAACCCCCCCAACAGCGCAACCTCGCCATAGACCTCTTCCACATCTACCGCCTCCACCCCGCATCCTTCCAGGGCATGCTCTACCACTCCGCCCGCCACAGAGAAGGCCTCTACCAGTCCGACCGACCCACCCCCACCTCCGCATCACTCCCCTGGAAAATCCAGACGCTCCGCGCCATAAACCACCAAATCAGCAAGTCGCAAACAACCAACACGCACCCCGACGACGGCACCATCATGGCCATATACCTCCTTTCCGCGGCCGAGCGGATGTGGGGCGACCTCGGCACATTCAGACTCCACTGGCGCGCCATGTACGATATCATTGATGCGCGCGGGGGTGCGGAGGCGTTTGTTACGGATGATCTGGTCTTCGCGAAGGTGTTGTGGAATTGCTTTGCGCTCTTGAATGCGGAGGATGGGTATTATAATTGTCCGGCTGCGGTGGGGGAGAGGAGTGGAGGGGCGAATTATGATTTCGTGCTACCTCCGGCGAGTATGCTGATGAATTGTCATTATTTTGGACGGGTTTTTGCGGAGAGGAAGGGGGCGGTTCTGAAGGCTGTGCCGGGGAGTGAGGATGAGATGCTGATGCAGCGGGAGATGTATCCCTGGCGGGTTGGCTCTTTTAAACCTGGGTCGATGCTCTATCGGGTTCTTTGTCCGACAAGCAATGGCAAATCCAAGTCACGTCTGCATCTCACATCTCAGAACCCACCCCAGACCTACCCTGTGCGAATCCAAGGCGACCGCCTCAAAACAGATAACTGCCGCCTGGCATGCATCATCTACCTCAACCTGCTATTCATCCAGCTGGGCGACTTCTCCGCCCGCACCGAGACATTCCTCCTCGCGCTCGAGAACGAACTAGCCCCACTTATCCAGATGAACATGGATATGCTGTCGCCGGAGTACTTGCTCTGGATTTTGCTTCGCTGCCAGACCGTCCTGCCGGCGCAACAGTCGAGGGAGCTATGGATGCAGGCGATTCGGGTGATTGCGGTCGTGAAGCGCGCAAGGTATCAGAGTCTGGTACAGTACGCTCGAGCGATGTTTCTGTTTCTTGAGATTCCGACGGATGCGCGCAGGTTGGCTGCTGTAATGGAGGTGGATTTGGAGACTATACAGGATGAGGCGCTTGGGGTGGGGATGGATCGGGGGATTGAGGGCTTATTGGATGATCGGGATCTGAAGCCGTCGTCGGGTGGGGGTTGTTTGGGGGAGTCGTCTGGGGGTTTGAGTGAGTTGTTCTGGTTCGCGGGGGGACAGACATGAGAGATTCTGGTGGAGTATTGTGGGTATGTGGCGCGGAGTCATCGGTGGGATAGACTGCGGGATCATTTCTAGCATGGCCTCTAATGATAATATACCTATATGAGATGCCGTTATCATTCTTTGCTTATGCATCCCGCATCAACAATTCATTATCTCGCACCCAACACACCCTCACACCCATACTCAAACCACCTAACAACCCCTCATCTCCAAATCCTCCCTAATCAAATCCGCCGCCCTCTCTGCCACCGCATAAACCGCACTCTGGGTATTCCCCCTCGGCACGATCGGAATCACACTCGCATCCACGACCCGCAGCCCCCCCACACCCCACACCCGCAGTCTACTATCCACAACCCCGCCCTTCTCCCGCGGCATCATGGCACACGTACTCGTCGGATGGAAGGTACTTTTCCCCGCGCACCGGACATACTCCTTCACCTCGTCGAGGGGCGCAGTGCGCAAATCGTCCGGCGCGCCGGGGCTGCGCTTTCCACCCGATTTCAGCATCGAAGCCAGCGGCTGCGACGCGGCGATTGTGTCGATCAAGCGGGTGTGTCGGGCTAGCATTTCTAGGTCGGTGGGGTGGGTGAGGTAGCGGGGGTCGATGACGGGCGGGTCCGCCGGGTTGGTGGAGGATATGTGGCAGGTTCCCCGAGAGAGCGGGTGCAGGAGGAAGGCGCAGATGGTGATGTAGTTCTCTGGGAATTTGGATTCGATGGTCTGTGTGGAGAGCCCGGAGCCTTTGAAGTCGGATTGGGCCGGGTAGGTGAAGTATCCGCCTGTGGGTTCGGTGGGGGTCGTGAGGACGGAGCGGACGAAGGAGGTGAGGTTTGCGGCGAAGGGGTCTGTGTGGGTTGGGAGGGGGGTGTTGGTGGTGGTGGTGGTGGTGGCAAGGATAGTGGCTCGCTCTTCACTGCTGGACAGGTCCGGGAGAGGGAGGAGAGCAGACGAGTAATTTCCGCCGATGGTGAAGGGGCCGAATTGCCGCGTTTTGTAGCTTTCCATCGCCGCGCTGAGAACTTCGGGCACGCGGCGCATGAGGTCGTCTTTGGTGGCGATGAAGTCTTCGACTTCCAAGCTGAGGCCCGAGAGGACGTGGTCTTGCAGGTTTTCGCCGACGTTGGGATTGTCGATGATCACGGGGATGTTGAGGGTTTCGAGGGCGCCGCGTGAGCCGATACCGGACAGTTCGAGGAGCTTGGGCGAGTTGAAGGTTCCGGCGGAGAGGATGACTTCGCGGTTAGATGTGACGGTGAAGATGCTGTTGTCTTTGGTGTACTCGACTCCGGTGGCGGAGGCGTCGCCGTTGGGAAGGGGGTCGAGGAGGATCTTGTTGACTGATGCCCCAGTTATTACGTGTAAGTTCTGGCGGGCTTTTGCGGGGAGGTAATATGCGTTGGCGGAGTAGCTGCGGGTCTTGGTGATGGGGTCGATGGTTGCTGCGTTGGTGTAGCCCCCACGGGCATCCCCGGAGAAGGGGTCCGTGGACATGGGATAGCCCAGTCCGCGCAGGGACTCGACCCATGCGTTCGCGATAGGGTCGACTAGGGCATCGGGGAAAGAAGCGTGGATGGGTCCATTGTTTCCGTTGACGCTTTCATCCACGTACTCGAGTCCAAGCTCTTTGCGTTTCTCTTCCGATGGAAGCGTCAGAGTGAACACTTTCTTGTAGTACGGGCTGATAGTGTCCCAGTCCCAGCCTGGGTTCCCTAGGGCTCCCCATGCGTTGACGTTGGCTTTGGAGTTGGCGATGAACGCCATGCCGTTCATGGCGCTGGATCCGCCTAGCATCCGGCCTTGGGGGAGGGGGATCTGTTTTCCGTGCAAGGCAGTCTGTGAGGATGCGTTAGCTTGAGAGATCCTTGGAATGCAGGGTGGAATCATACCTGGGGTGCAGTCATGAACTTCCAGTCCGAATCTGTGGCCACGAGGGCTGGCCATAGCGCTGGGGTCTGGACTCGGGGATCATCCGTCTGGTCCTGGCCTGCTTCCAGCACAAGGACTTGGAGATTGGGGTTCTCGGAGAGCCGTGCTGCCAGTGTGAGACCTGCCGTGCCTCCCCCGATGATTACGATGTCGGCTTCTGTGATTGACATGGCGGTGACCTTTTTTTGAAGCCTGGAACTAGTCTTATCAGAATGATAGTTAGAAAGGCGGGTTTGCAAAGGTTCACGCCCGAGGTAACGTGGGGTAAAATGTACTGATGTGGAAGGAGAAGTACTTGAGAGAAAAAAGGAATGTGGGGAAAAAAAAAGATTTTGTATGGATTTGCGACTGAGGTCTACATATAAGTAGAGGAGACAGGGAAAGCCGCGGTGCATTATCAGCACTAGAGCATAGATCGACAGGCTCGGAATAGACAAGAACAAGGAAACAGCGGTGTTGGATTGCATCATCTTACGGATCGGTCCACATTTACACTTTGTTGGGATAAGTTGGAGGCTTAGATCCTTAGCCGTGGCTTTAGCTTTAGCATTAGCCTTAGTGTTGATGGCGATCACTATTTGGTATACACGCAGCAACAAATCAGATCATAGAATGCAACCCGCTGTCAAATCTATTACTATCACACGTATCTTGTTGTATGAGTATTGTTTTAGTCGAATGGTTTTGTTGATACCAGCCACCCCATGCTCTGTTGGTGCTGGGACGGCGTTGATTGGATATTCCGGATGGATCAGGCTGAGAAGATGGAATTGCTTGCGGTGCGGTAAGTTTTTATCGTCTTGAGTACGGAGTAGTATCATAGCAATGGCGGCCAACCCGTAAACGTCGGTAGCAGTAGCATGTTGGGAAGTGATAATTCAGCACCGTCTACTGGATAGGTCAGGAAGCTGAGGGGCAGTGTGTCAGATATTTATTCGCTATAAAGCTCCATCCTTGGGTTCAGAGTTACTAATATTCGCAATAAAGCCCTTTTCCGACCTGCAATACCCACGCGCCATCCCACAGTTAAACAGCGAAAACCGCGTAAGCTGTCATTTCGGGAGTGTGGATCGACTACCTAGACTGGGGTGACACAGCCCGCCGCTGCCGCCGCAGAGGTAACACAAAAAAGAACGCAGCCCTAAAATCATAACTTGACTTTCATATCCGTGTTTCTAGACCACAATTCATCCCAATTCTTGTTGGATTCTTCAAAAAGAAGAAGGAAAAAACATACAACAGAAGGGATTCGCTGGTGGTCACCCACCCAACTACTAACCTCCCGGCGTGTGGCTTAAGTACGGCTGAGCGGACGGGAAGCCCTGTTCTCCACACCCTATGGTCGTATGTACTTTTCTTTCGGAAGGGATAATTCATATAGAAAGTAGGTATTGAAGTGGCAATGCTGACTGGTCGGTTGACGGGCGCAAAATGTCGGTTTAGAGCCCGCTGTGATGTTATTTGTGCCATCTGAATGATCATGCATAGCGGCTGCGGATGCTTCATATTTTGAGCATAGTTTCTGTTTGTGGCGGCATCTCTGAAATAAATGATAGGAGCGCGCTGGAGTGTTTACATGACAAGCTGGATTGTATTTGTAGGAACCAGACTACGCCTTCCACGGCGGCACCAGCCAATACACAATCCCGTGCCCTATCGCAGCGACAAACGGTGCAACCTAATCGATCCATCAGCTTCGCTCGCCATATCGAGGTACGAGAACGAGCGCACCCATTGAATCCAATGATACCCCGGAAAACTCGAGCCAACATATACTCCGAAACAGCGGGCAGGGTTAAGGGCTATGGTAACACATCAATCAGTCTCACAATCACTACTCATTACCCACTACCCACTGCCTGCAGTTCCGTTCAATGGAAGATTAAAAGCAGACGATAGGAGATAGAGAACCAAAACCAAAGCAAAGAAAGGAAGGATGGAAGAAAAAAAAAAAAAAAGACAAAACTTACAAGCCCCCCCAAACCCCACCCTCGTAAACGCCGACGCCAACCCCACGACCCCCAACACCAACCCCACCAACCACGGCGCCACCGCAGCCCCATAAACCCTTGTCTGTCGCGGATCCAACCCGACCCCAAACGACAAGAAAATCAAAATCAGGCAGCAGATGAACTCCAACAAGAAGGCCTCACGGACCGGAACAAGCGCCGTGTTAATGGTACACCCGCCGACGGAGAACGCGTCGGACCCGAATGCAGAGCGCAGCATCCAGCCCGCGAGTGCGCCGCCGAGGGTCTGTCCGGCTAGGTAGAGGGTTGCGCGCGGGAAGGAGATCAGGCGGGCGAAGAAGGTGGAGAAGGTGATTGTGGGGTTTAGGTGGCTGCCGCTGACGGAGGAGAAGGTGAAGATGAAGAGCGTGAGGAAGAGCCAGTTGAGGAGGGCGCTGGTGAGCGGGCCGAGGAATTGGGGGGTCGAGTAGATGCCCCCGGGAGAGGGAGGTGGGGTTGTGGTGGGGGTCGTGGTGGTGGAGGTGGGCGAGGCGGAGGCCCAGGCTGTGATGAATGATAGCATCATTGTTCCTGGGCGGGTGAGGTTAGTTTTTTACTATGGGTATATTGGGTGTCTGGGGTATGAGAGTGAATTTTCTCAAGGTATAATGGGAACTGTGAGAGAAAATACCAAGACACTCCACCGCCGCAAACCGCCAAAGATCCAAGTCCGCAAAGCCCCGCAGATTAAAAGTATCCCGGAAGGACATCAACGGTGCCGCATCCGGCACTTTCTGCAGGTAGTCCGCATTTGCAGGATCTCGTCGATCCAGGACAATCCCCTGGTTTCCGCCAATCCGGCCGACGAACGGTTGCACCTGGGGTGTCATGTCGAGGTCGTCGCGGAGGAGTCCGCTATCGCGAACTAGAACCGCCATGGCGTTGGAGATCCGGATCTGATGTCTACAGCCACACCTGGGTGGGGAAGCCTGGAGGATTGACGAGGAGGTTAAATAACTTGATGAACGATCTGTCGGTGACCATCAATAATTGATGCAATGTTGAAGCCATGCCATCTTGCTGTCAGATCCGATCTGGCGCTGTACCGGATCGTATTCCACCCCGCATCTAGTCTGCTTCGGGAATGGCGTGGCGTGGCGGGCTGCCAGGTAGCCAGCCCTATCTTACAACATCGGCCACTAGGGAGAGCGCGGGACAGGCCTCTTCCCCGCAACCTGCCGAGGCGGGCCTCACGCCCCAGGACGCAACCATGTCGTTTGACCAGTTGACCTGAGACGCCTACCAGGGTACACCATAGCCATGGCAGTATATTTCCCACGATCCGGGTTTTTTTTGTCTGCAGTCTAACGTTGCATCACTGATTCAGGTGCGCTGGAGGGCAAATAAACCATCACTGATCTCCGCGGAAATAATATCGCTGCCTGGAGGGGGAACGGGGGGGTCATTGTGATTAGATAATCCATGGATTTTTATATTGTTTTAGAGGGGAGTATGCTCGCTGGTATGACTTTTTTTTTTTTTCTTGCTCTCTAGCCTTTGGTGTTGAAGGGCGGGATGGAGTGGAGTGTAGTTGGCGTCGTGACGACGGTGAATGTATTGCTCGTAACTAGGTAGAAAGAAAAAGTTTAAAGCCGACTCCTAAAATAAGAAGCCTCACTCAGGCCGCCATACACCCATTCCTTACTGGTAGAGGGTAGATAGTAAGTATGGGGTGTTGTGAATTGTGGTTTTGTACTCCGCCCATACCTGCAGCTAAACTAGCCCCCGCGCCACAAGCGGCGGACCATCATCCAATTCAAAATCTATATCCGGATGCCGCACTAATTATCCACTAGTAAATTGTACGATCTAATTTACTCCCTTTCCCGACTAATTGTGTCCAGCCATAAAATAAGAAAGAAAAAAGAAACGTCACACGCATAATGAGAAAGTGGGGGGGACGGTACCCGCGAAAGCAAAAAAGAAAGCCCAACGCGGGGGTTGAACCCGCAACCTTGAGATTAAGAGTCTCACGCTCTGCCGATTGAGCTAGCCGGGCTGGTTGATGGAGTGGATTGCGTAGGTATGATATATGTATTGCGTAAGTATTTACTGCCCATATTTGCATAATAATGTGTGTGGAATTAGGAATAGTAAGACTCTATCTACTATATCATCTATTCCCTTTACACGTTCTAAGATGATAGTTGGTCTTATGGGAATGATAGGGATTATGCTTACTTATAATAGTGGGCCATTTATAGGGATATATATGTATTGTAATTGATACCCTTGGTAAACAACAATATATAGTGAATGTCGCTTGGGTGTCTGTGGTTATCCTTCAACTCTAAGTACGGCCTCGCTTCTTGCTGTAGGCTCTATTCACATTTTCCTCTACAACTATACCACCAGGCACGATTGTTCCAAGAACCCAGTCTCTGCGGCTCTAGGTCTGGGCCTGGGTCTGTGACTGATGTTCACCATGTAGGTCAGACCCCTGGCACTTGCTTTTCGCTCTCTAGAGAAAATAACATTCTTTTAGTTGAGCGTCTCTTGGTCCGACACGTCTTTCCGTCTGGATTGTCGCGCAATATACCTCAAGGAGACTCTAAAATGTTATCGTCCTGGTAGTCAAGTGGATCTGAGTACAGTAATGGGCTTGCTTATCGGTACCGGGCTTTTTTGACGGTGGGGTGGTAAAGGAAGAAGACTTGACACATTGTTGAAGCCCCCGGCTTACTTCCAGATCCATGATGGCAATATCCTAGAATCCCCCTGATCATACCAGGAACAAAGAACAGTTAGCACATCTACGACTATCGCCCATACAATGGAGCTGCATCACGATGGCTTCTACTCTCCCAGTCGGGAATTTGGAGATATCCTGGGGGGGATTGACAATCACCATGGAAAAAGCCGTCAGCTGTCGGGGTTTACCATGGGATCGTCAGGATATTTCCATATTGAAGGTACCTTTCTCAGGGAATCTCCGTCCTGATTCCATCACAAACAGGGCGACTATCTTGACGGAGTTTGCCTTTGCTATCAGGACTGGGTATATATAAGGCCTTCATCCCCTAGCAATGGCGAATTCCCCCGATTGCTTCCATCCTCACCACTTTCCTCCTCATTTGGCCTCCTTGACTCGTACCGCAAGTACACATCTTCCCAGACTCGTACCAGAACTTGCACTCACAATGGATGAACCCTCCGACTTCTACAGCGCTCTCGGAGTAGGCATCGGACACTGCCCCCCCGAGATATGCCAGCACCTCGAAACATGCGAGCGCGTGAACCTTCGCCCTTACGTTAATTTGGCAAGCAACACCAGCTGGGCTAAGATCATGCAGACCAAGGCTCGGTTGTGCATCCCCGAAGAAGACCCCGACGGACGTGACAGCCCGCGTGAACATGAATGCAGGCAGGAGGTGTATATGTACGAATGCGCGGCCGGACGGGCCCCCGGCTGTGTCTTGCACGCCACGCGCAGCGAGGCATGGGGCCTCGCCTCGCTGGTTATACGTGGCAAGTACCGCACCGTCCAAAGCCGCTTCCGGCAAGGCAACGCTGACGCCAATGCCCTGACTGCCTCGGGGATCCCGTTGCTTTCCCTCGCCATTGCGCATCTGCGCTACGGCATCGTCGCCCTGCTGATCCGCGCGGGCGCCGACGTCAACCGAGTCGGCTATTGGCACGACGCCCTCCCGCTCGACTACCTGCCGCCGTGGTGGATGGACCGTCAAGATCTCGGAGTGGCCCGGATGTTCATTCTGCAGATGATGCTCGAAGCGGGCGCGCGGTTCTCGTACGGCAGCGTGTTCGACCTGTTCTGCGTGTTCGACAAGCTGTCCCTGCTCCAGAAGGCCGTTGAGAACGGCGTCAAGCTCGAGAACGTGAAATGCAGCGAACGGTCCACCGTCGCCCATCGCCTGGTTCGCGAATTCCCCTACCGCACAGAGATCTGGGAGTACCTCAAGACCACAAAGCCCCACTTGATCACCTGGAAGGACATGCATGGCCGCTCTATCCTCTACTACGCTAGCCAGGTGAGCCATTCCCCCTTGCTGCAGGAGCTCCTGGACCACCCCGCCGACCTCCTTAGCGTGGAAGCCGACCGCGAGTACATGTTCAAGCGCATCTTCAGACAGGATAACCACATTTTGATCCTCAAGTTGCTCGACAATCCGTCCATCGACCTGGTGGTTCTTCATCGCGCGGCCGATTTCGCCGCTACGCCTCTTGGTCTGACCATCCTGGAAAACAATTACGTGGTGTTCCGTCTCCTCGTCGAGCATGAGCGCATGGCGCTTACACCTCGCGATAAGCACCGCGCTGTCAGCCTTAGCCAGCTGCTTGGTCGGCCTCAGGAGTGGATGGACGGCTTGAATGGAGTTTTGATGGCTCTGTCCTATTCCTTGGTCCAGGAACGCGCTCAGGCTCGGTCCAATGGCGCTGTGTTCGAGTCTCCCCTTTTGTCGAGCGATGAGCACAGCTCGTCTTGATTGCCATATTTGGAAGTATGGTTTCCCACGTTGGACACTGCGTACATGGTGGACTTTTGTTTGGGATTTAAAACTTCGATTGGGATTTTTTATCTTGTCTTCATCATTTGAACGACCTTTTTCGGGAATAACATTATGTTATCATCATCGTTTGACCAAATTCATCTTTGGCCTCCTTTCGGGATTGATTTTATGTTGTCATGCTGATTTAAACAAATGGGATTTTTGGCTATTTTCGGGAATGAAAAACATCTCCACTCTTACCAACAAGTGTAATACGTAGCCCTAAAACCTCTACGTAGCCCTAAAATCTCAATTTAGATATTCAACCCCCATGTAAAAAAGTAGAACCAGTACACCTTGACAACATAAGGTAGTCCCCCCCAAAACCAGCCCCATAAAACCCATCCACCCACTTAACCATGAACAGAAGCAGGAACAGCCTCAATAATACTATCCTTCAAACTGGCCGTATAGGTATAAATGCGATTAATCTTCAGCCCCGCCCCCTCCAGCAACGCATACCACTGCTCCTGGGTGCGCTCCCTCGCCGCCAAAGTCGTCATCATCTGCATATCCAGCTGCGCGGCCTGCCAGTGCACCCCGACATTTGGAAGAACCATGTCGTCGATGAGAAGGAGCGAGTCCGTCGCCATCGCGGAGATGGTGTTCTGGATGATGATCCGCGCTTTCTCGTCCGGCCAGTCGTGGAAGATGTTGCGGAGGTAGTAGAATTTGGCTCCTGGTTGGTTCATCGGATTATTGGGTTAGTTAGGCGTCTGTTGTAGATGGATGGGTGGGGGGATGGGGAGGTGGAAATCCAGGCTCAAAAAAAAAGAAAGAAAGAAAGAAAGAAAGAGAGAAAGAAAGAACGAGAAGCAAAGCAGCACATACCCTTCACAGGCTGGCCCGCAAAAAAGTCCACATCCATCTTCTCCACGCTAGGATGCTGAATGGCATGCTGCAGAATGGGCGCCAAATCCTGCAAAATAACCCGACCCGGTAACGCGGGATACCTTTGCCGGAACGCAATCGCCTGCTGCCCTAAGCCGCCGCCGACATCAACGAACAGCACGCGCTCGGGGCTCAACTCCGTCGCCGTCGCCCGTTCCTCGACGGGATAGGCGTCGAGGAAGGTGGGCATTCCCGCGCGGTTCGTGGCGAGGAATTCTTGGAAGACGCGTATTCTTTCCGGCTGCGTTTTCGCCCACTCGAAGGCGGGCAGGTCGGTGTTGAAGGCCTTTTGGAAGGCGGTCTTGGTGCAGTCGGTGGGGTCTTGGTAGTTGGTGGAGGCGAGGAAGGACGGGAGGCTTTGCATGGCGGGGCCCGCATTGTCGAAGCTGGAGGATTGTTAGATATGTGTATGTGTATGTGTTTGGGGGGAAGGGAGGGTGGATGATGCGACGGACTAGTGGCATATGGCTGCTTGGAAGCCGGACTGTGAGAATGTCTTGGTGATGTTCGTGTAGCTGAATTCATCTTTGTCGGTCTCCTTGATGGCTTCGAAGGAGGCTAGGTAGCGAAGGAGGCGTGCTGGGATTATTGTCAGTAACTTGTTTTCTCGGATTTGGCAACTGGTTTGGTTCCACTCCACGCACCCAAGAAAACGGCATCGGCCCCGGTCTTTTCGCTCAGCTGCGTGACCGTGAGAGGGGTCTTGCTTTCGGCCAACAGCTCGAACAGCTTTAGATTAATACCGATGCGAAGACCGGCTAGTTGCATGTTCTATCGCATACATCGGATGAACCAGTCAGCATCATGATACCAGCCATGTCAAGATCCGGAAGTCATACATAAAAGGTAAACCGCTGGACAGTATCATCCGACGTCTCGATGGAATTTCTCAGAGAGCGCAGCGAGTCTATGATGTCTTTGCGCTGCTTCTCATCGCCAGACTGGGCGAGAGAGCGGACGTGAGCAGCCAATGCTTCCATTTTTCCAGCTGGGAAAACCTTCGCTATGTAGAGAGACGAGTTTCGTGATGCGATGGAAAAAAGATGAGTGACTATTCCATCCCTAACACAGGACAGCAGAGCGGTATAAATACTCCATCATTCCAGCTCCTTCGGGCCTCCAGCTATGTTATACTTTTGTGGCTGACTGGGACAATCACAAATGAAGAAGCGACGTGTAATCTTTCCGATCCCCCGTACCAGCCTTGCTGATACCCGACACTCTAGAAGCGATGTGCTATGACCCTATCCAGGAAGGTCACACGAATACGGGGAGTTCAGCCGGCAAATCTACCCCAAGCCATCCAATCCCCATCGCGCGCTACTTCAGGGGTCCACACAGCGCTCGAGTTACCATCACCGAATGTGGTAAGTCGGTCCCCTTTGGGGATAGTCGTGCCTTAGTGCTGTCAGATGAAGTCAGATTTTAGATCACTTTTCAGCTGCGCCTGCTAGGGCCTATATGGAGATGGAGTGATGGAGTGATGCTTGCAGAACTGGCCGGTCCGTGAGCCTCAGTTGTTTATACAATGTGGGGTTCAATGCTCACAAAGCATATATGATATGTGGTAGTTATGAGACTCGGCTTATTGCATCTCAGATACTCCACTCGCCTTTTTCGCTAATCAGCCCCTTGGTGGCCATCGAGTGGCTTGGGGTCGGATCCGATCGTCCAGGAAATAGATTCCGAGAGTACAAACAGATTCTGTCACTTGTGCTGCTGCAACTTACCCATCTCACCTCCATAGCGCAGAGATCGCGGTGATGCGTCAGATGAAGATGCCGCGGCCCCCGCGGTCCCCTCGGCGCGGGCGATGGACGGACATACCGACCGTTTTTCAAACCATTGGTGTTTGTCCTGTTTGCACTCCTTTGTATTCAGCCGGGCGGTCAAGCCAACCCGAGCGACAAGCTTACAGATAGCAGTGGTGGTGGGAAATAAGGACCAATCCTGCCAGATTAATATTATTGGACTAGGTAATCCGTAGATACAGGAGATGCCATGATGTTGTGGTTTAGGACAGCTGCGATGGATCCGACCGTATATACATACATCCCGGTTCAGTTCTATTGATAATTGTAGTTAGACCTCAAGTGTGGTTCATTGGCAATTAAAATATGATTTCTTTTTTTTTCATCGATGAGAGTTAAGCATCAAACCCTCTTCCCCGACCATGGTTCAGGCGACCTGACAGACACCCTTCGGAAATCGGAATCGGAATCGGAATTGGTGGGTGGCGGCTCGATCGGGGATCGTGCACCGCGCACGCCGCCCGCCCGTCCAGGCACATGTCACACGGAACCCTAATTCCCCAAGCAACCAGACAGGTCGACATTGATATGTCCGTGAAACACGGCGCCTGAAATGTCTTGATCGTGTCCGATGAGGTACACTACGGAATGGCTGGAGATATCATGCTATGAAGTCTGAATTTATGATGTTGGAGGAACTCGAACTGCGGCAATCTACAAGGCAGCCATGAAGTGGGAGAAAAAAGCGATGTGTCGGGAAGACATGAGGATTGGAATTCGACAGGGGTGATGATATGGAATAATTGCCTATCACATTAGATAGATCAGATGCTTTCCTTGTTCCTACATCATCCTGGAGCTTAACACCAGAGAGAGGCTGCATGTCTGAACAGTGTAGCTCCAAGAGTTCTCCGGTCCGTAGCTTACTCTACTTGATGGCTGGATAAGATATTCGGGCGGAGAGAGCAGAAAACAAAGAATCTCATCGGGTCAGCAGTAACTACTTGCCATATAATATGACTACATGGTTTGCAGAGGATGAGAGAGTTCAACTGTGCATTATCTACCGGAGGTCCCGGAAATTTGCCTTCTTAAAAGGTGATCTCATAAGTATGGCGGCGGGTATCTGAAACAACAGCTGCATTTTCAGCGGTATTATTTCGGTGTTTTGATTGGATAGTATGTGGACTCAGCTCAATACCGATCTTGGTCACTATACCAAAACCTGTTTTATAGTTGGGGTTCATGCTTATTCCTGATAAATTCAATCTTCTTCAATCCACAATGAAAAATATCTTGTAATCTTCTTCGATTTTCTCATTGATATAGTGCAGAATTCCTGAGATGCGATGGATTACACACTCAATTTTCAATCACAGATAAAGCTACCGGTACATACCCTGTATCGCTGTTTCCAGCCAGCCAGATAAGCAGACAGTCCATGGGACTGCAACTGCAGGTCCAACTTTTCAGGCTCGGCTAGTGGAGTGATTTGAAACATCAGGTTGGCTTTGGCTTTCCTTTCATACACGGTTTAGCCGTCTAATCCTTCGTCTCGCACTCTTTTGACCTGTTTCTTCTATCGCAGGACCCTGTGAGCATCTTATACTAACATTCCAATATCCAAACCAGAAACCCGAACCAACGATCGCACCAAGATTGCATAGCCTTCCCAGTCCCAGCCCTCGGTTTCAGTCAGTCCCAGTACATGCACACCCGGGACACATCCCCACAAAAAAAAGCCTAAAGTAAGCCTACTTAAATGTAACCCCAGGGTCCAACCCAATTCAAAACTAACTTTCTCCATACTCAATAGTCCGCCCTTGTCTCTCAGCCTTGTCCCCGTTATCCCCATTCACATTGTTCATTGTTCTTACTTCATCGCCAAGAACGGGTATCAGCCAGTTTCCGGCCGATCCATTCCTCAAGGGTTCCAGTAATACAAATCCCAATCCACCGCCCCCATGCGATCCGCACTCCGCCAAGAGACCCTCGCGCTAGTTTCATGCAACAGGACGGAACTACTGCGGACTGGAACAGTGAGCTACCAGGCCGATCAGTCCAAACCACACAAGGGACCAATCACCTCCCGCGGAGAGAGTATCCTTAGAGTCCGCAAGGCCCGACCGACCCCTTGCTTGGCGGTGTCCGCTCAGCCTTCTCGGCCCCGATGGGGACGACCCTGTGATATGATGACTGGTAGTGATGAGTGATGAGTGATGAGTGCCAACCGCCAAGAGGGCTGGATTCTGCTTGGCTGGGTACTGGGTAGGCAACCACCAACATGGTTGTGGATAGCTTCATTGGTGAATGGAGGGAGTGGAGAGGAGATCGTTACTGTTTGAGTTAGTGATGCGATTTGGATTCTGCCTCACTGTGATGGGAGTCTTTCAAATCTCAGCATGTAATGCAGGGCTGTGTAGTGTAGTGCTGTATAGTGTCTCATAGTTACGTCTGCGATGGAGAATCAGGCTGTGCACAGTAACAGTAGAGGTAGAGATGGGGGCGAAGCCAGCAGAATACCTATATAAACCCCCTTCTATCCAGCTCAATCAACTCGTCCATCTTCATCGCAATCACAGTCATCTCACTTCCACAATCCAAATCCCAATCCCAATCCCGCTCCTCCAACCACCACTTCCAAACATCCCACCCACCGCCAAAATGGTCAAGATCACCTCCATCGCCCTCGCCGTCGTGGCCACCCTGACCCCCTTCGTCGCGGCCAAGAACTGCCAGACCGGATTGCAGTACTGCGGTTCTGTTCTCCTTCGGAGGGGTAAGTTCACAGCCCGAGTACCTGTCTCACAGACCTGGGATAGGCTTGCAATACGTGTCGTGGGGAGATGCTAACAAACCCAGGAAACTACTACTCCCAGATCGTCAGCGCGCTTGAGTCTGCGGGCGAGTCCACCGATCCCGACCACATCCAGCACACTCTGTTCCAGTGCGTCGGTGGAAGCAACGGCGACATTGATATTATCAAGTACTGTGGCTCGACTTGCCAGGATGGCGGTAACAACCATAGCGATACCTGCTAGATGGGTGTTGGGGTCGTTGGTTAAGAGGGGGTGCTATTATAGTTAGTTCGATTGGGGTTGATGGTTAAATTTTGATGCTTTTCTGTTTGATGGAGGGGTTAGGAATAGTAACTTCAATTATTTCATGCCTTGTGGCATGTTGGGTTCCTGACGGTTCTATCTAATTCTGTAGCCTGATAATCCTTTGGTCAGCTAGAGATAATGATAGTCTGGGTCTGCCACTAGCAGCAATGACTCATTGGTCATAGTTCGGAACTCCCGCAAAATTCAGCGTGGCAATCTTGATGCTTGTTGTTTCACACAGAGCCCTGATGTCGCTGCAGGGAACAGTCGCATTGTAAAAAGCCTTCTCTGCAGCCACTATGATAGGCATTGTGGGATTTATACACAATATTCGGTGCACAAAATTCGGGATGTTGCTTCCACTATGTAAGATACCTCTTGTCAGCACAACCATGTCGATATCCGCCAGGTGACTCTTGGAGATATCTCTAGCCATCATCGCTTCGTGGATTGTGGGATCAGAAAGGGTTCCCTTTATATCATCAGCCATTCTCCTGCCCTCCTTTGTTGTTGCCACAATCAAGATTCTCGGCTCGGCTGGCGGGACAACGCCCATATCGAAAGATTCATTCTGGTAGGCCTCTATTATTTTTCTCATTATATGGTCCCAAAGATAACGCGCAGCTTCCTTGGACGCTCCTTGGTAATCCGAGGAAGAGGGTAATGATGGTGTTTCCGCACCAGAAATCAGAATCTGATTGGCAGGAGCCTTGTCGTTGGGATGAAAAACTTGCAGCCTCCCAGGAAGTGACAGAACGCAGTCTTTAAAGAATTGGGTTGTCATGTTGTTTCCAGGAGTCATGTGTGTGGACAGACGAGGAATCTTTATCGGGCTTGCTGGAATACCGCCGTCAATGACAGCCTTCATGGCATTCTTTTGTGCGTTCAAGGAAAGACTCATGTCTAAAAGGACCATGGCCGCATGTGCCTCTCTCATCATGTCCTGATCTCTTAAGCCGCCAAAAGCCCAAACTTTGAGGTTCTTGGTTGTTCGAAGGTGACGCACAAGGACAGGCATCATTTCTGGTGTCATGATAAAATCATCAAAAATATGGTCCCCTCCCATCAGTTGCAATTTGACCCCCCCGCCCAATTTCTTCCTTTCCAGGACTATGTCCCAGATGAGACGTGGCCGGGATGTAAGCAGGAATACACAAATATGATTCTTCTCCAAGGCCTTCTCTAGAAAGCTCTGGAACTCGGGATGAATGAGTACCCGATCGGCAACAGATTTGCATATTTCCTCGTAGACCTTTATTCCGACCTCCCCGCGCCTCATAACACGCTGGCAGCAAGCTAGGTATGGTTGAGCCCAAAGGTGACTGAGTATGTGCCGATGAAGGAGATTTTCACTTCCTGACCGATAGGCGCACAGCCCCTTCTGGAATGCAGTCTCTATGTCTATCGAGGTCAAGACACTATCCGCATTGAAGACCAAGGCTGTCTCCGCCTTGTCCAGGTCAAGAAGAAAGGGGATATCCAAAGCGATCTTGGCAACCTGCCGGTTGGTTTCCTCGTTCTCGAACAGAAAAGTCATGATCATTTTGGCCGAGATCGGCGCCTCGTGTGGAGATACCACAAAGGTGACCTGATTATCGTGGCACAGACGCCGGAGGTGGGCTTTTTCCTTTTCTCTCCGCTCAAGCAACGGATCATCGGGCACCATCGGGTCGTCCAGAAGCTCTTGGATCTCGGTCACGGGTTGATCCAGATATACGATGTGAGTAAACGCCATTAGCTCTGTCGCAGTCAACATCAAGTTTGTAGAATCTATACACTCGTCGATCCCGGCCGTGTAGAAACTAGTGACGACCGCCGGTATCCCGGTCCCCTGGCAGCCTTTCTTGAATTCGGGCCAGAAATTCTCGCGGTAATGGAACTGTGCTGCTGCCTCCGCGGGGACCCGAGAATTGCTCATCTCTTGCAGGCTGTCGATGAGAAAGAAAAATCTGGAGTCACATTCCACCCTCAGTAGATCAAGGACGGCGCTCTCCCCGCAGCCGTAGATACCGACGATCGCCGGGGAGCTTGTGCGTGCGGGTGAGTTCTGATCCGCCATCGCTGCTAGTGACAGTTTTCGAAAGGCTTTTAAGAAAAATAAATGAATGAGTGGATGAGTGAACCAGTACATTAAACAGACGCGCCTATAGTGGTAATGGGTGTTGTTGACATTGAACATCGGGGGGGAGGGGGGAACGTCAATCCGTGGAGGACGCTGATACTATATATCACCGGGTAGCGCCTGCCTCACCACCAACACACCCACCCAAACACAACCAGATCGCAATACCCCCACGACCTCCCAGCCCAATTTACTATCCAGACAAGCCCTCCAACATTAATGATCCAGCCTAATTCAAAAGAAGCAACTAAACCACCCCACCACGTCAAGAATTATACTAAATAAACACAAACCCTCATTTACTTAGGGCTAGCATCTGTCCATTTTTGCTTTGAGTTATCTAGCACTAAATCTCCACATTTTTTCATTCAAGGCAAGATGGCCGAGTTGGTCTAAGGCGTCAGGTTAAGGTCCACCTTAATAAACAGCTTCTAGCTTCCTGATCATGGTTTCATGGCGTGGGTTCGAATCCCACTCTTGTCATATCTTTTTGTTTCTTATTTTTGACCCTTCTGTTTGATTCTATCCACGGGTTGTTTGTTGGTTTGGTTTCGCTTTCGTAGGTGTGCAAACTGTAAACAGTTTTTTTTAGGCCAGCACAATATGTCATAGTTATTATCTGTGGGTGTTGGGAAAGTTGCCAATTTTGGGGTAAACGACCACCATTCGTTGACCACTCCACTATCTAATATTAAACCCGAGGTGTCTTCTCCTGGACAGATTTATATCTACCTTCTCAAATATTGTATCGACAAACAAATCAACCTACACATATTGAATTCGACCCTCGTAATGCCTTCGCTCATGAACAAAATAGAAAAGCCTCCCATCCAACTTCCTTCCTCCAGCTGAAAAATACCGTTCCACCTCACAACTAACACCTAGCTCTCCCCAGTATGAATAGACAACCACAAAGCAATGGATGAAACTTCTAAAATAAAGAAAATATAAAAATAAGAATAAGAAAAGGCATCAATCCAGCACACCACCCAGCAAGCAACGACTTGTACCATAACCAAACCTAGAAGGCACAACAGACACACACACGCACACAGACAGAGAGAGAGAGAAAGAGAGAGGGAGGGAGAGAGAGGGAGAGAGAGAAACGTAAGGGTGTTAAGACCCAGCAAAACCAACAAAAAAAAAGCCAAAGACAGCAATGTCTACCAAGTATATAACTAACTGCTGCTTATCCAATTCCCTTCAAAGCACAAGTACCGACATAGATCCACCAGTTAGGTAAAGGGTTAGAACCTTCTCCCTGTATCTAGCAATTCACATCATCTCGCACCATCCCACACACGCTATGGCTAGATAATAAAAAAGAGAGTCAGTCGGTCCTAGGCCCTGGACTCCACTCCACCTAGTGAACAGATTCCCCATTCCGAAATCACGTCATAGACCAAGTAATTATTTATTCCTATTATCCATTATCTATCCAAAACCAACACTACCAGTTTCCTTTCCATTTCCACTTTCCTTTCAATAAACACAACACAACACAACACACCACAAGAACGTCCCACCTCCCCTTCTCCCCTCCCCCGATTCCCTCCTCCTTATAATCATTTCCTTTTCCATAACTTTCACATACGACCATAGGGTGTGGAGAACAGGGCTTCCCGTCCGCTCAGCCGTACTTAAGCCACACGCCGGGAGGTTAGTAGTTGGGTGGGTGACCACCAGCGAATCCCTCCTGTCGTATGTATCCTTCTTTTTTATATATCGCATTCCTACATTATCCAGACACTTATTGGGGGGGGGTAATGAATGGCTGGGAAGTAGTTAGTTGTGTTGTTGGTTTGTGTTTTGCTGCGACAGCGGCTTCTCTGATACGATGTTTTTGCGGTTGTACGAACCCGCGGGAGTAGGGTGCCAGGCACGTACGGAGTTGGTATTTTGTACTACATGGTGCTAGGGATCCTTGTCTGATGAGGGTTGTGTTGTATGGATGGGTGGTGATGGATGAATGGATGGATGGATGGATCCCTGCCCCGGATGGCGAATGGGGCTTTAGAGATTGGGAATCAGGAGGGGGTTTGGGATTGGGATATTGAGATGCAGTCGGTGTTAAGCTAGGATTATAATAGGGCGAAGATCGGGATAGGGATCTCAATGCAGCTTGTATTTAAAAATTGGTTGTTGTTCTGTTGACGAAAGGTTTGTGTACATTGCATGGTCGTGGGATTTACAGGGATGGGAGCTGTGTTTGAGCCGGCGGGCTTATAGGCATTGTCGGCAGTGGATTTTTTGACGGCGTAAGAGGATTTAAGTAGAGATCTTTCCAGTAGAACGATAATATTATCCCCAAAGTGGGTTAGCTAGTCCAAAACCCCAGGCACACTCTAACACGTAAATAAGATAGTAGATATCAAAGGTCTATATCAGTTGGGTATAAATGCACGGGTAAGGGTAAGTAAGTAAGTACACGAAACGGCGCCGAATGAAATCTCCATCTATGTGTGATGTCGAAAGCAAGATGAACATCCCACATGATGCATATATTAGATACAGGGTATGCATTAAAACGCCTCCTTCATCGCCCGCTCAGCGACGGAGCGATACTCCGCACATTGCTTGACGAGACGCTGCATTCCCTCGCTCGCGGTCTTCCACGGATTAGACGAGAGAAAGCTCTCCGCCTGGTCGAGGATCCTCATATTGTAGATCTGGCAGGTATCTCGGGGGTTGCGAACGATGCTGGAGGCAAGGGTCTTCAATGCGATGGTGGGGTAATACATGGTTATTCTGATTATGTTAGAATGGAAATAAATAGGTCGGTCGAGTCACATACCCCAGGGAGATATCATCCCGCGGAAGGTATTTAATAAGATTAATAGACGCGCGAGCCGCTTTGGATATTAGCGACGCCGAAAGCAAGACCCGCGGGTTGGAGAACGAGTCCGGCCGGAAAGAGAGGCCGTTGATGTCCATCAGGTCCTGAGCGGAGTTGATTCCCCGCGCCGCGACGAGTGAGTGGATGGCGATCATGCAGTTGTAGTAGGTATGATGAAGATGGACGAGGATGGCGGAGACCGGAGGCGCGATCGAGCGCGAGTCGGGCTGGTATTCGGACGGGATGCTTTTCTTCCACGCTTGTAACTGCTCGTCGAGTTGGCCGACCGAGGCCAGAATCTGGTCGAATGGCCGTTTGACAGCGGGGGCGGAGTAGAGGTCCTGGTAGACGTGGCCGCGGATGCGTGCGAGCTCGCAAGCGGAGCGGAAGGCGTTGAAGGTACCCGGTTGGCCGCTTGTTGGCATCGCGTACGTGTCGGATGCCGGGGCGTCCATGGGTAGAGCTGCGCTGACTGCTTCGTCGCTTTGTACTGGGGGCTGGCCGAAGCGGACGGATATTCTGGGTCTTGTTAGTATAGTTGCTAAGGAGAGTGAGAGGAACCGTACTCTCTGTCCAGACAGTAGGCGAACCAGAATATAGTCTGTCCGTGCCGTGCCTCTTCCGGGGAGAATATGGGTGGTATGTCTGCCCTGCCCAGCCCGAGCTGGTCGCTTATGTGGATCGCGACGGAAATCAAGAAGTTACAGGGACGAGATGCTGCTGCGGATAGGAAAAGAATGGTCTGAAGTGATTAGCCGTAGTGAAGATGAGGGCAGGATGGAGCCATACCATGGTCAGAAGGGCCTGGAGGCCTCGTATATCTGGCGGACCCAGATAGAGCTCATTCACGACCTCGAGGGCGGCCTTCAAGAACAGGCTGCTCTTCTCATGGTCTGGCTGGTCGCCAGCCCCGTTCCCCGGAAGCATGTACGCCACCGCCAGAATCACGTTGATGCTGGCCCATCCACCGGCGCTCTGAGACCACATCTGCACGCCTTCCTCGGCGAAGAGGGACAGAAGCTCCGACTGTTTGAAGATCGGGAAAAGCACATTGAAGTATTCCACGTACTTCTGCAGAAGGCGCATGATATCTTGCTGGGGCGGTAGCGGACAGAATGTTCGTCTGGGAGAAATACCGTACAGCGGATAATCTGCCTCGAAACCACCGTCCCCAGACGAGGCGAGGTCCATCAGACTTTGCATCGAATCGATCCCCGCCTTTTGCGAAATCCACTCCATCCCCTCGCGCGATATCATCGAGAAACCTGATAGCATGTGAGCCCGACTCGACCATACGGTGGGGTTGACTCACTGCCGGTACTGAGTATTCCGCCCAGATACCTCGGGACGTCGAAGCACGGTGGAGCGGCTGCAGGAGGGCTGGGTCTTTTCTTGAACGGGGGTAGGATCCTCGGGTTCACATCAGGGGCCGTCGCGTCTGGCTGCGGGCTCGGGTAGATATTCAACAAATCCTGAGCGGCGTCCGGCCCCTGACTGTCATCGAGGAGACTGGCGGACCACGCGAATGCTTGCATCTCGTCCGACACGTCTGCGGGGACGGATCGGCGGCGAACACCTCGTCATCCACCGGGAACCCAAGATTGTGCAGGCGAGACTCCATGCGGTCGAGATTGCCCTCGAGATGGTTAATCATTGCCTGCCTTCGTTTATGGTCAGTGTTTGGCTGACCATGGGAGGGACAGGACGGGCCAACCTTCGCAGATTGGCTCTATAGCGCTGCTGGTTTCGCGTGCAGGAGATACCCAACTTGGTGCACTGGGAGCATTTCGTTTTCCGGCGCTTACATGAATCGCAGGCCTAGCCAGGCCTGTTAGTATGCTGGACTGGTGGACACGACAGACAGTCACGCACCTTTCGCCGCGTACTGGAGGTCGGGTCATCGTGATCGAAGTCGGGTGTGGAAGGAGTCGAGGGGGAGTGGGAGGCGGGCACGTGGACAGGGACGGAGGAGGACCCCGCCAGGCCATCCATTATTAATATCTGCTTGCTTAATGCGGGACTAGCAGAGGGAGCTGGTCGAACGGTTGCCTGAGATAGGGAGCGACTAGTCCTCGGAAAGGATGCAGTAAGCTTAGATGGAGGCCCCGTCCACGACCACAGCAATCGCGATCATTGCGTGGATCACGGGCAGGGAACTGGGCGTGGGGCTTGAAGACTTCCAGAGAACCGGTAGTAGATGGCAGATGGCAGATGGCAGATGGCAGACTCGAGGAGTTTGGTTGAGTGGAAGGGAAGACATTGGCTAGATGCCCGGAAAGGGAACTTCGCAATCCGAGACGAAGAAACCGGGAGGCCCCGCCGGGCCTGCTTGGCGTGTTTGCGCCCGTCACACCCTGCTGACCGAATATTACCGTCCGGAAAAACAGCCAGTCACACAGCTCAAACATTACCCACTAAGCCCTATCAGGTCACATGGCGGGTCCGGATGCCGGATGTTCGCAGCAGAGCGTAACGACAGATGGTATCGGGGCTGTCACAGAACCGCCGCCGCCACGGCTTCTTCGCGGCCGATCATCTCGTCGCCTCCGTCTTCTTCTCTCCATCTTCCATCGCCAGACTGGGCTCATCCTGGCGATCATCATCATTATCATCATCTTGACAACCGGAGAGAGAGGAATGGAGCAATCAATGCACGGAGCAGCACATCGCCGCCACAGCGGACCGCGTTGGCTTGTCCAAGACAGGAATGGTCCAGCTAAGAGATGCTCTCTAGAGACTCCAGACTCCCGGCCACTCCACGTGTCTTCCGTGGATCCACGATATCTTAGAGTAAGATTCCAGGGCCTCCCGTCCCCGAGCCCGACTCACTGCACGCTGGTTGGTCCGGATTCCGGATTCTCATCGCTCGAACATCCAGTTTCCATGCACTACCCCATTAATAATGCCGTCCCCTGCAAGTCGCTCACTCCCATTCAGTCGGGTATGCGCAGTCTTTCTCGGCTCCCCGGAGGTTCACCTCACCGTAAGGAGCTCATTATGACGGACCACCCCGATGCCCCGTTCTGTCATCCTGATCGAGGGAAAGAACTCCGCCAGCGGGTCCGTCTGGAACTTTCGTCTACCGAAGCCTGAGGGCTAGCAATATATAACTCGATCAGGTGGGCCCCTGCTACTGCTGCTGCTGCTACTGCCGACTCAGGAGTCCGGTATATAACCACCCCGATCGACCTGATTTCGCTCATCGCCTGTCGTCCCGTCCAAGAGTGAATGGCATCCCAGGCTCCACCCTACAACGTTCTCTAATTGAAACGACGGGACTGGCACAAGCCACTCAAACCACCATGTCGTTCGTCGCTGCGACCAACCCCAACACCACTCGGGCACAGGCGGTCGTCAGCCACAACCTCCCTGAAATGCAGGGCAGCCCCGACTTCGACGATGCTGTCCACGGACCCCCCGGCACCGCACTCTCAGACCAGGAGAAAAGCGAGGATGACGAAACGCTACAGGAGCAGGAGGAGAAGATAGAGGCTAGGGTAGGAGATCTGGCCCGGCGACTCACGCGCCAATCGACCCGATACTCGACCAAAGGCGCCCTGCAGAACCCCTTCGCCGTGGAGGATCCGGAGTCGACCCTGAACCCCCACAGTCCCAACTTCAAACCCAAGGATTGGATCAAGATGCTCCTCGCCATCCGGTCCCGTGACCCCGAGCAATATCCCGACCGCACCGCCGGAGTGGCCTTCCGGAATCTGAGCGTTCATGGCTTTGGCTCCCCGACCGACTACCAGAAGGACGTGCTCAATTCGCTGCTCGAAGTCGGGACCTTGGCCCGGAAGTTGGCGGGCTTCAAGCTGCAGAAGATTCAAATCTTGCGCGAGTTTGAGGGTCTGGTCAAGAGTGGTGAGATGGTCGTGGTCCTTGGACGGCCCGGCAGTGGTTGCTCGACCTTCCTCAAGACCATTGCCGGGGAGATGAACGGTATCGAAATGTCAGATGACTCCATGCTGAACTACCAGGGTGCGCTGCTTCTATCCCACGTGTTATCCTGTTACGTTACTGACGCACACCACCAGGTATACCTGCCAAAGAGATGCAAAAGGCCTTCAGAGGTGAGGCCATCTACAACGCTGAGACGGATGTCCATTTCCCCCAGTTGTCGGTGGGCGACACCCTGGCGTTTGCAGCCCAAGCAAGAGCCCCTCGGAACCGCATTGAAGGGGTCAGTCGCAAACAATACGCAGAGCATATGCGAGACGTGGTCATGGCCATGCTTGGCCTTTCCCACACGGTCAACACCCGGGTCGGCAACGACTTTGTTCGCGGAGTCAGTGGTGGTGAGAGGAAGCGTGTTAGTATTGCAGAGGCCACCCTCAGCCAGGCTCCGCTACAGTGCTGGGACAATAGCACGAGAGGTCTCGACAGTGCCAACGCCTTGGAGTTTTGTAAAAACCTGAATCTCATGAGTAAATACTCCGGGACGACGGCCTGCGTTGCCATCTACCAGGCGTCCCAAAGCGCCTATGACGTGTTTGACAAGGTCACCGTGCTCTACGAAGGACGGCAGATCTACTTCGGCCGGACGACAGAAGCCAGACAGTTCTTTGTGGATATGGGATTCGAATGCCCCGAGCGTCAGACCACTGCCGACTTCTTGACATCTCTGACCAGTCCAGCGGAACGCCAGGTCCGCCCCGGATTCGAGAATCGTGTCCCACGCACTCCCGACGAATTCGCAGCTGCATGGAAGAAGAGTGCTGCACGAGCCGCCCTGCTCAGGGAGATCGAGGCTTTCGAACAGCAGTACCCGCTCGGAGGCTCTTCCTACGATGCTTTCCTGGACGCCCGGAAGGCCATGCAGGCCAAGAACCAACGTCTGAAATCGCCATACACCATCTCCGTGTGGGATCAGATCTCTCTCTGCACCATCCGTGGCTTCCAGCGGCTGCGTGGCGATTTCAGCTTGACCGCCAGTGCCTTGATCGGAAACTTCATCATTGCCTTGATTGTGGCTTCGGTTTTCTTCAACCTCCCCGACACGACTGCCAGCTTTTACTCCCGCGGAGCCCTGCTGTTCTACGCCGTGCTTCTAAACGCCTTCTCCAGCGCTCTCGAAATCTTGACCCTGTACGCCCAGCGCCCGATTGTGGAAAAACAAGCGAGATACGCCTTCTATCACCCGTTTGCAGAGGCCGTGGCATCGATGCTTTGCGATACCCCTTACAAGCTAATCAACTCGATCACGTTCAACATTCCCTTGTATTTTATGACTAACCTCCGCCGTGATGCTGGTGCCTGGTTCACATTCTGGATCTTTTCAGTCGTCACCACGTACACCATGTCCATGATTTTCAGAACCATTGCGGCGACCTCTCGCTCCCTGTCGCAGGCGTTGGTCCCTGCCGCCATCCTGATTCTTGGTATGGTCATCTACACAGGTTTCGTCATTCCCACTCGCAATATGCTGGGTTGGTCCCGCTGGATGAACTACATCAACCCAATCGCCTATGCTTTCGAAAGTTTCATGGTCAACGAGTTTTCAGGACGTGAGTTCCCCTGCTCGGCCATCGTCCCCTCCGGCGGTGACTACGACTCTGTGTCGATGGAATATCGCAGCTGCTCCACGGTCGGCTCGCAGGCGGGCTCGTCCATTGTGTACGGCACCCTCTACCTCAAGGAAAGCTTCGAATACACCAAGGGCCACGAGTGGAGGAACATGGGTATCATGATCGCATTCATGGCCTTCTTCGCCTTCACCTACCTGGCTGGCACGGAATATATCTCGGAGCAAAAGTCGAAAGGTGAAGTCCTCTTGTTCCGTCGGGGTCACCAGCCCAAGGCCCTTCCCGGAGACGGTGATCTGGAATGTTCAAGCGGCCCCGGCGGCGCCGTCAAGTCCGAGACTCACCCCAAGCAGTCCGAAGTCCGCATTCAAAAGCAGACGGCCATCTTCCACTGGCAGGATGTCTGCTACGACATCAAAATCAAGGGTGAACCCCGACGCATCCTGGACCATGTGGACGGCTGGGTCAAGCCGGGCACCTGCACCGCATTGATGGGTGTTTCCGGAGCCGGAAAGACCACCCTGCTCGATGTATTGGCCACACGTGTTACCATGGGAGTGGTCACGGGCGAGATGCTTGTCGACGGACAGCCTCGGGATCAATCATTCCAGCGCAAAACAGGCTATGTTCAACAGCAGGATCTTCACTTGCCTACATCTACCGTCCGTGAAGCCCTTCGGTTCAGTGCCCTGCTCCGCCAACCCGCGCACGTCAGTCGTGAAGAAAAACTGGATTATGTGGAAGAGGTGATCCGACTTCTAGGCATGGAGGCCTACGCGGATGCGGTGGTGGGTGTGCCCGGAGAGGGACTGAACGTGGAACAGCGCAAGCGGCTCACGATCGGCGTTGAGCTCGCCGCGAAGCCCCAGCTCTTGCTCTTCTTGGATGAACCTACCTCGGGTCTGGACAGTCAGACCTCGTGGTCGATCCTGGACCTGATCGATACCTTGACGCAGCACGGACAGGCCATTCTCTGCACCATTCACCAGCCCTCCGCCATGTTGTTCCAGCGCTTTGACCGTCTCCTCTTCTTGGCCCGCGGCGGCAGGACCATCTACTTTGGCGAAATCGGCGAAAACTCCACCACTTTATCCAGCTACTTCGAACGCAATGGAGCCCATCCCCTTCCCCAGGGCGAGAACCCCGCAGAGTGGATGCTTGATGTGATCGGTGCAGCCCCAGGTTCCCACACCGACATTGACTGGCCAAAGGTATGGAGGGAGAGCCCCGAACATACCGGCGTCAAGCAGCACCTGCAAGAATTGAAATCCACTCTCTCCGCCCAACCACAATCCGGCACCTCCGACCCCGAAGCCTTCCGGGAGTACGCCGCCCCATTCTACATCCAACTATGGGAATGTCTGATCCGCGTCTTCGCCCAATACTACCGCACGCCCAGCTACATCTGGTCCAAAACCGCGCTTTCGATCCTCACATCCCTGTATATCGGGTTCTCGTTCTTCCACGCCACCAACTCCATACAAGGCATGCAGAACCAGATGTTCTCTGTGTTTATGTTGATGACCATCTTCGGCAATCTGTGCCAACAAATCATGCCGCATTTCGTCACCCAAAGGTCCCTCTACGAGGTGCGCGAGCGTCCCTCCAAGACCTACTCGTGGCAAGCCTTCATGACAGCCAATATCCTTGTTGAACTTCCCTGGAACACCCTGATGGCTGTCCTGATGTTCATCTGCTGGTACTACCCGATCGGGCTCTACAACAACGCGAAGCCCACTGACGCAGTCACCGAACGCGGCGGTCTCATGTTCCTACTCATCTGGGTCTTCCTCCTCTTCACCTCCACCTTTGCGCACATGGTGATCGCCGGCATCGAACTCGCTGAGACAGGCGGCAACATCGCCACCCTCCTCTTCTCCCTGTGCCTCATCTTCTGTGGCGTCCTCGCCACCCCCGAAGACATGCCCGGCTTCTGGATCTTCATGTATCGCGTCTCCCCCTTCACCTACCTGGTGTCTGCCATGCTCTCCACCGGCCTCTCCGGCACGACCGTTACCTGCGAGTCCCTCGAGTATCTCACCTTCAGCACCCCCAACAACGAGACCTGTGGCACCTACATGGCCTCGTATATCAGTACGTCGGGCGGATACCTCAAGGATCCCTCCGCTACGGACTGCCAGTTCTGCACCATGAGCAGCACGGATACTTTCCTCGCGGAGGTGTCGAGTTATTTCTCCGACGCGTGGCGGAATTTCGGGTTCATGTGGGTGTATATTGTCTTTAATATTGTCGCCGCGGTGGGCATTTATTGGTTGGCCAGGGTGCCGAAGGGGAAGGGGGTGAGGGGGACGACTTAGTCGTGCCGTGTGGGTGGAGAGATGTTTGATCTGAATCAACCCGTATCGGGGAGAGATTGATACATTCCTTTGTCGAGGCATTCGTCAACCTATCTCTTCTGATAGATTCGATCTGGCAATTGTCTTTGTCTTTGTCTATTTCATTCCCATCAACCCTGTACGTGGTGGGTAATTTATTTATTTATTTATTTATTTTTTATTTGTTTTTTTTTTTCTAATTCTGTTCTACTTGGTCGAATTCCTTTCCATTTGTCTATCCTTACAAGATCGCTTTCCGCATTATTCATTGGTTGTTGATTGTTCGACCTGTGTATTTTGACTCGCTGTCTTGTTTTCTGTTTTTCTTTCACTTCTTACTGTCTTTAGACTGTCATCTTACCGTATAGACTAGAGTGGGTGGTATAACTGATTAGTGTATCACGCGTGGAATTATCCACACAATTGAATTAATATACAAAGCACAAAATAGTAATTCATCCCATGCCTTTAGCCATAACTAGGGTATCACTGATGTGTAAATGAAAGTTCCAGAGAAATAGTACAGTGACACTGACAGCGACAACTCAGCTTGTGTAGATCTGAATTCCACTTGACGGTAGGTAAGATAGAACCCTGTACATGCAGCGCGGAGTACTTAACTAGCTACTAAATATGTCCTCATGTATAGTTATTAGTTATACCCCTCCCGCTTCTGCACGTCAACACAGAAACAGCTGGACCACTGCAGTCTACTCCATACAGCCTAAGGATATGTATCTATCTAGTCTACTGCCAGAATCATCCGGATCCCAGTTCCCAACTCCCCAATTCCTGAACCCTAGAACCCACACCCTCAAACACGATTTACGATTTACACGCCAACTTACCCCAACATCCCCACATCCACCCCCACACAAACAAACAAACAAACCCAATTAAACAATCAAATGTCCCAATACCGCCTCATCTTCACCACTCCCCCCCTCGGGGCTCTCCGCCTGCAAGTCCGCCATCTTCGCAGCAGGAGCGGGCCGCTACCCGGACGGAAAATACACCGAGTGCTGCTGGACGACGTCCGGCAGAGGGCAGTTTCGGCCGAGGAAGGCCACGAACCCGGCGATCGGGAGGGTCGGGGAGTTGGAGTTCACGGAGGAGGTGTGGGTGGAGGGGTTGAAGAGGTGGGATTTTATTTCTCTTCTCTTCTTTTCTTCATTTTTTTCCAGTCTTTTTATTAGGGAAGGGGGGGGACTTGATGAAAGAGGGGTTGGCTAATAAGTATATGCTGTCTTGGGGGTGTAGGGCGCATCCGTATGAGCAGCCGTCGTATAGTGTTTCTCGGATGGAGGAGTTCTAGGTCCTACTGTGCTGGTGATATATGCTGGTGAATAGGATACTGGGCTGGGGGATGATTAGCTGTTGAGGAAAGAGAAGATTGGAATTTTGGATTCCATGTGTTTGTTCATTTATTTGGTGGCTGATGTTTGCATGATAACACACACACACCAGCCAGTCCCTCCACGCCCCGCCTGCCTAATCCAGCGTACATAGCCTGAAAGTCCAGGCACCGTGAAACACGAAGTAGAACACGTCACGTGGGCTGTCATTCTTCGCTTCACCTTCCACGTCTGCTTCTGCTTTCTCCATCCATTTCTATCTTCATCTGCAGTCTCATCTACATCCCTCTTAATCTGCATGTTTATCTGTATTCTTATCTCGATCCCATCTTAAACTGTCTGATATACCGATTTTATTTCTACGACCAGCCTGGAGACGAGGTAGATCACCCTGGCTCCGAGGGAGGGTCGGGCTGAAGCGAAGCTGCGGATGGACAAGCTAACAGTAGCCTACTTTACTCTCTCCAGGTTTTTACAGTCTACACACCCCAGGACGGATTCAAATTGAAAAAGACTCGATTATGACTGCTCCTGATACAATGTGATCCAGACGGAAGCAATCAAGATTTGATCGAGAAAAAAACGACCTTCACCTGATTGAGATGAAGACACCACAATCTGATCGAAAAAAAACCTCAACCCGATCGAGAAGAAACACCCCGGTTTGATCGACAAGAAACAACCCAATCCGACCGAGAAAACACCCCCATCCGATGGGAAAATCACCCCCACTCGATCTCAAAAACAATCAATCTCCCCCCAGCACTAACTCCTCCGGCCTCGCGGTCAACCGTACAACAATTCCCCTGAATCTCTCAACGAGCCTATCGGCAACCTCCTGACCGAAGGTCGGACTCATAAGCATCATCCGAAGCATGGTCACACCCCCACTCTCTCCATCGGCAGCGGGAACTGGAACACACATCATCATCGGATGTCGGTGAAGCATTTGAGTATCAACGTGACGATTTCTCGCCGGGACGCATCCACCGAAGAGATAGTCTGTATCCCAGAGGCCGCTGGCATTCAACCAGTGGAGACCCGTGCCGGGCGGGGAGTCAGGATGCCACTCGGTGCTGCGAGCGACCATCTCGTCCCAGTCAATTGTATCGTGCGACATGCCCCGGATGTGCTGGCCCTGGACCCAGTGGAAGAGCTCTTTTGCGGTCCAGTCTGCTTGCAGCGGAACGCGGACGGGCAGGTAGTTCACGCACGGCCCGACGGTGCGGTCGATTCGATCGATGGGGAGGGCGCGGTGGCTGGAAATCTGCGCGAAGACCACATCGGTGCGCTTGGTGTATTCCGCCAGACATACGGCCCAGGCAGATTTGAGAACGGTGGCCATCGTGACGCCGCCCTGTAACTCGGGCATCGGGATCTCGGCCCAGCTGTTCACCAGGAGGTCCATGCGCGAGCGTTTGGGGAAGCCAACGGTTTCGTCATACAGAGTCAGATGTGTCATGGACGAGCCTTGGAGCAGTCCGCGCCAGAACTCAAACGCCGCTGGCCGGGTACGCTGCACACGATGGGCGATAAATTCGGGATACTCTAGGCTGGCGGGTAGGTCTGCTGTCGAATTTGCATAGAGAGTGCCTATTTCCCGGATGAGGAACAACACTGTCATACCGTCGTAGTGCGCGTGATTGACTCTCAACGCCAGGGACATGCGGGTCTTGCTCGTCACAACGAAAAGCTGCAGGGTGGGCGACGCGAAAGGAACTGGCTTGGCGGCATCCGTGTGGCAGATGGCTAGGAGGACCTCTTCGGGATTGTTGTCAGTGCGGACTGTCTGAACTGGCAGGTCCACCTGGCGCAGCACAATCTGGATGTGTGTATTCTCGAAGGGGACAAAGACCGTTCGCAGGATCGGGTGTCTTTCAATGGTCGCGACGACGGCATCCTTCAACCGGATCTCATCGAGGAGCTGGGGGAAGTGAATGGTCACATGTGCCAAGTGGTGGCTTTCAATTGACGTTCGCTGATAGTATGTGGCTGGGATGATGTCGAGCACATTGTTTCGATCGATGTGCCACTTCGCGCACAGCTCATCGGCGTGTTCCAATAGAGCACTTGGAGGGGGCGGAGGGTAGGCTTCATCGTCCTCACCTTCCAGCACTGCAGCCAGATCGGACAATCGTGGATGACGAAAAATTGCTTGCACTGTAAGGCTCAGACCCGCTCGACGAGCGGATCCTGCCAGGGACATGGCCTTCATTGAGTCCAGGCCGGCTTGGAAGATGTCCTCATCCAACGGGATGCTGTCGGGGGACCGGTTCAGAGCGCATGCCACAAGCTCCTGCAGCTGGGCTTCCAGAGGCGTAGATGGAACGCGTCTCGATTTCACGATGGCACTGTAGGCCTCGAGCTCCTCCCGCGATAAAGATGCTGCGTGCTCCCGCAGGCACTTGCGATCAGTCTTGCCAGTGGCACCCTTGGGCAGCTCTGCTAGGGGCAGAAAGGCACTAGGGATCATGTAGGATGGCATCGCCTCGTGAAGCTGGTCAACTGCAGCACGCACAGCATTGGAGAAAGTCTCCGAAGGAGGATGAACTTGTACGAGAGCCGTGGTGTTGCCCGTGGCATCATCGCCAACCCTCTGGAGGACATACGCCACGAGGAAGGGAGAGTCGACATGCTTTACAAGTTCCACCAGAACAAGGCTATCACAGAAAGCCCGGGAGACTTGCGACTCTACCTCCCCAAGTTCTAGCCTTTGACCACGGATTTTAATCTGGTGATCCTGCCGGCCCACAAAAATCAACGATCCGTCCTCCGCGAATCGAACCAAATCCCCGGTCCTGTATAAGAGGATTGTCTGCCTCTCCCCCCGAATAGCTTTTAGCCAGCAGGGAGCCTCTACAAACACTTCAGCAGTCTTCAGCGGATTATTAAGATACCCCCGAGCGACATTAGGTCCCTCAACAAGAAGCTCGCCGACAGCGCCTTCAGGAACGAGCCGGTGGTAATCGTCTCGGTCCACAACCCACGTAACACAACCCGACGAAAACCCGATATTGCGCGGATTATCAGACTTGACAATGACTGGGGTTGATGCACTGCACATGGCACACTCTGCCGGGCCATAGCCTCCAAAGAGAATGACCTTCCCACACCAGATCGCCAGATCGGCAGCTGAGATAGCCTCTCCGGCCAAGATCAATGTTTTGAGATGTTTGAGCTGGTCGGGATTGAAAGAACGGGCGACTGTGGGCGTTGCCATAGCGAAGTTGACTTCCATGCGATTCATGGCGCCGGTGATGTCTCCGCCTCTCTCGGCATTGGAAGGGATACAAACGCATCCTCCGGCAACAAGAGGAAGGAGGAGTTCGGCAACGGCGATGTCGAATGCATGCGAGCCAAATTGGAGCATTCTGCACGTTGCAGTGATGCCCCAGCGACGGATCATGCCATCCAGACTGGTGGCAAGCGAGGAGTGGTGAATGACAATTCCTTTTGGCTTGCCGGTCGAGCCTGAAGTGAAGATAAAGTAGGCGGCATTCGACCCGTTCACATGAACATCATGACAGTGGGTATCATTCGAGTTTACACTAAGCAGTCGATCGCCCACGTCGATGACGCAGGACGCCAGGTTGCTAGCTTCCTTAACCAGGGTGGATGAGGCCAGTACAAGACGAGCCTTGGTATCTTCAAAAATGGCCCGGAGCCTGATAAGGGGATGTGACGTATCGAGTAGCAAAAAGGCTGCCCCGGCTTTCAACACTGCCAGTAGGGCTACTGGAGTCCAGCGCGATTTATCTAGATAAAGTGGGATGGGCATTTCAATCCCCACGCCTTGCTGGATTAGCTCCTCTGACAGGATGGTGGAGAGACGGTCCAGTTCCTCGAATGTGAAATCTCCGTCCCAAGCACAGACAGCGTGGGCAGTGGGATGGTCAAGGCTTAGACGATGAATTGCGTGATGTACGTGATCTGTCACGGCTTCCGGTACAACACTATTTCGGGTTGCGAGCAATGTCCGCTGCGCTGGATCAAGGAGCTCAATGTCCCGGACTAGGTGGGAGGGCCGGGATATCACCTCGGACAGCACTTGTGCAAAGGTCTGACCGATAGTTGCAGCGTGTTTGCGGGGAATGAAAGACTCCTGGTAGGAAAGTAGCAGGCAGGCTGTCTTTTCAAACACGGCAACATTGACAGATATGGGGAACTGCACATGAATCCCTGGGGTTAGCGCTACATTGCAAGACTAACAAGGGGACATTACCTCGCTCCGGTCCTCTCCTCCATATTCTTCAACGGAAACAGTTGTCAAAGTCTCGTCAATACCCGCCCCTTGTCGTCGCCGGTCCTGGACTGAGATGCTAGTGTTGAACAGTTCATTCCCTGTCGCACCGACTGCCTGCAGAATCTTTGCGAAGGAGTAACTTTGATACTTCAGGCTGCGCAGCCGGTCGTCATGATACTGCTGGAGGACAGATAGCACCGACGCCTCGGGCTGAATATGCAAATGCGCGACATGCAGATTCATCGCGGGCCCAACTATATCCTGTACGCCAGGGACTGGAACACTCCGACCGGTTACCATGTGCCCGAAACAGACACTGGTCAAGCCGGTATAACACTGCAGCACAATTGCCCAGACCGCTTGATACACACTGCTCAACGCCAGACCATGTTCCTCACAAAACTCCTCCATATTCGGGGTAGAACCAAGCTCTACGAAGAGCGAGCCAAACTCCGCTTGCTTCTTATTGTCACAAGGGATCATTGTGGAACCGTCCGTGAGGTTGGGGAAGATGCAGGGAATTGCGGAATCGAGATATCCGCGCCAGTACGCCTCCCCATTCGGACCAGAACCGGTGGTGCTCTGTAAATACGCGACATAATCCCGATACGATGGTGCATGGCTCGGGGAAAGATGCCCACCATAGGCCAGGGCAAGGTCGCGCCGAAGGATCCGCTCCGAGGGGCCATCAATGAGCGCATGATTAATTTCCAACTCAACCAGAATCTCATCAAGTGTGGACTTTTGGAGATGTAGGCACGCGGAAGGTCGAATGCGATCGGTTTTCGTTGCATTGTCCGTCGGGATTTGGATGGCCACGGACACACCTTTGAGCACAAGCTGGTCCATGGATCCTTCGGAAAGCTCTACAAACACCGTGCGCAGGGCCGGATGTCGATCAACCACCTGTTGCCATGCACGTTCCAACTGTCTAACATCGAGGGGCGCTCCATCAGCTTGAGTGCGGATCACTTTCCAACGCATGACCTGCTGATAATACCCTGGGTTGCGGGCTTGGCTCAGAAGCATGCCCTGCTGGACCGGAGTAGTCGGATAAATCTCTTCAATCTCTCCGTCCAATCTGGGAATGATCTCTTGCAACGATCGATCAACCTGGTCGGAGGTGACAGTTCCCAGGAGCGGGAAATCCGAAACAGTGTGGCGGTGCATCATAGAGGGTAACTTATCGGCCATCCCGCGCAGAGACCTCTCACACTGTTCTGCCCACTTCTGGAGACGGTCCTGGTGGCGCATCCGGCGATTGACTAAGAACTGCAAGCGCAGACGATCCCCAATGATGTGAGCCGAGACGTCAAGCAAACCGAACCGGGGCATATCCTCAGCAATATCTCCAACGCCGAGTTCGTTCCCTGCGTCTAGAGTCAGCAGGGCGCCGACGCGCTCCAGCTGCTGGTACCGGCCCTGGTAGTTCAACACGATTTCTATATCTCCCATGGTTTTGGCGCCTTGAGGATGGAGATGCTGGGAGGTAAAATACTGCCAACCATTTGCGGGAGTCTGCCGACGAGCGTCCTTTGTGCGTCGAAGAGCGGTCACCAATCCTTCAGAAGCGGCCAGTGACACTGTGGTGGGCCAGACGGTGGTGAACCACCCCACGGTACGGGAAAGGTCCACACTGGCATCCCACGGCTCACGGCCATGACCTTCGGAAAAAATGACGGGAGCTGGCCGGTCTGGGAAAAGCTGAACGAAGGAATGCAGGACAGCTGCCTGGATAATCTCGACGGGCTGCGTGGTAAGCGCTTCGTTTGCACGGCCTATTAGGATTTGACTAGTTTCCTCGTCAAGACTGAACCCATAACTGTCGACATCAGCGTGAGTATTGTGACTGATCGCATCGATTCCCCAAAACGCCGTGACAGTCTCAGCCTCGTTCTGCGGGGCAGGCAGACACCTCGTTGCATAGTCGGCCTGGAGCTGACACCACCGGAGGAACGGCATAGAGGGAATAGCAGGCACCGACTCGGTAGTCAGGAGCTGCTCAAGGTCGGCGAGAATGACTCTCCATGACACGAGATCAATCACCAGGTGATGTGCAACAAGGGATATGAAGAGCCTGCCATCGTCGCGTTGAAATTGATCGACTATCAGCAACGGCCCATGCTGGATATCCAAAGACCTTTGACTGATGCGACAGATAGCCTCAATACTGTCCTGTGACTGAACGCCATGATCACGGTGCCGATAGCTGCTGCCATCCACACAGGACGGAATCCTCTGCATCCACCGGTCATCCGGACCTTTCTCAAACCGAGCCCGGAGCATCGAGTGTGTCTGGACTAGCACGTCAAGCGCCTGTGCAAGAGTCCTACCGCTCATATCAGCCTTCCCCAAGTGCAAGGGAAAAGTTTGTGTAAAGTAATTTGGGCTTGGAGGTGCACAGTCAAAGAACATCTGTTGAATGGGAGAAAGGTCCACCGGTGTATCAATAATATCGTCCTCTTCCGTCTTCGCCACCTCGCTATGGGATCGGACTGTATGCAGGGCCAATTGCTCGATTGTCCGGTACTTGAATAGGTCTTGCACGGTAATAGGGATTCCCACAGCCCCGGACTGCGCCGCTACCTGCATGCTGGTAATGGAGTCACCGCCGATGCGGAAGAAGCTCTTGTTAATACCGATTTCTTCCGGGGGTATATTCAGCACAACAGCCCAAATCCCACGGATATCACGCTGGATGTCGTTTTGAGGGGGCACCACGACGGTAGATGCCGAGCGATAGCTATCGGCTTCCAGTCGCGAAAGAGAGGCCAGACGATTGTTGATCTGCCGTCGGTCGACTTTCCCATTCACATCTCTCGGGATGCGTGACACGGGGATGAAAAGATTTGGGACCATATATGCGGGCACTCGTTCCTGGAGAGCTGCTTCGGCAATATGTGCGTCCTTCAAAAACCTGGAAGTGCTCGCTGCTGGAAGCAAAATGTCCCCTTCATTCGAAGACTGGCCCGATGCAGATGCACATAGAACTAGGGCGACCAGAGCTCCGGTGCTTGTGCCGAGAGACGAAATAGCAGCCACGGCTTGAAGGGCGTCCGGAAAGCATTGCTGAACGTGATGCTCGACTTCCATCAGTTCGAGACGTTGACCGCGGAGCTTGGTTTGTGAATCCTTGCGACGGATGTACACAATCTCTCCTTCGGAGTTGTACTTCACCAGATCACCCGTGCGGTACACCCGAGCTTCCTCACACTCAACGCGGAGTCTCTGTAGCCAGCTTGGCACAGGTATGTACGCAGCAGCCGTTCGTTCTGGATTATTGAAATAGCCTCGGCCGACAATTGCGCCCTCGATTATGAGTTCACCCTCTGCTCCGATGGGCAATGGATCCAGAGTCTCTGGGTGCACGATCCACGCGGAACCTCCAGTGGCGCGGCCGATAGTGTTGGGGTATGTGTCTGGGCAGAACGGATCGCTGATGCAGCTGACGATGCTGCATTCAGAGGGGCCGTACGCATTGACAAGTCGCACGTGCGATGCCCAACGGTCCACAACGCTCTGCTGCATCGGCTCTCCGCCCTGTATCAGGGTTCGCATGGTGGGGACGACCTCCGGCGAGAGCAGTTGAATGACTGAGGAAGTCAGCGTGGCCCAGTTTGCTCCCATTTCCGTGATGACTTGCGCCAGGCGATTATCAAGATCTGATTGAGATGGGATGCAGATGCAACCGCCCGCTAGCAGTGTCATAAAATGCTCAATGTACATGGGATCGAAGCCGTATGAGGTGAATTGGAGCGTCCGTGTATCACAATTGAAGGCCATCCGTTTGATCACAGGTTTCGTATTGGCGACGAATGATCGATGCTCGATGACCACGACCTTCGGCTTACCCGTGGTGCCGGAAGTAGTGATTGTGTACATGGCATCGGATGGGCGGACACCGTGGCTGCCGGCCTCAACGCAACGCATCAACTGAGCCGGAAGCGCAGACTCGACTATCAGCACGGGTGCATCAAACAGGGCACTGGCGAAGTTCTTCTGCGCTGGAGAAGTCAGAATGAGAACAGGCTGGATATCTGTGCAGATATCGCGGAGGCGACCGGTGGGCTGCGAAGAATCGAGCATTGTAATGGCTCCACCAGCACGAAGAACGGCCAGTTGTGCGACTATAGTCCATCGAGATCTCTCGAAGTACAGAGCGACAAATGTATTCGGATGAACTACATCTAGTCTCTGAATGTGGTGTGACAGTTGCGCGACATGCTCATCCAGCTGGCGGTATGTAAAGTCCCCGTCCCACGCATGGATGGCGACTGAATCTGGCCATATTTGGCATCGTTCGTGAACTAAGCTGTGGACGCACTGCACGTCTTGCTGGTAAGCCAACACGTTCCATTCAATCAGCTCATTCCAGTCATGCGGGCTGACGAACTCCAGGTCACTAATCATAGCATCCATATCCGCAACGTGGATTTGCAACAAGATATGTTCAAATTGCGCGAAGATGCGATCCATCTGAGCACTGGGCACCACAGCCGAATCAAAAGTGACCGTCACACTGATATCGGAATCCCCAAGGAGCGGTTGACAGTGCAGCAGCAATGCATGGCTACTAAAATGGTTGGTATCCGACAAGAACTCCGCATGGCAATACCACAAGTGCTCGGACTCGGGGACCTCTTTTGGGTCAACCACAACAAGAGTCTGAAATTGACACGCTGTGGCCGCACTTTCACTTTGCTGGCTGATCTGCTGCAAGCCCAACTGCTCATGCCCCATTTGCCGCACCGAATGGTTCTGCAACTTGTCCAGAGCCTCGGCTAAACTCTGCGTCGGGTCAAGACGAAGGCGCAGGGGCGCTGTCGCAAGAGTGGGACCTGCAATACCCTCGATTCCAACGACTGGCGCGGTTCGGCCGGACGAGGTCACCCCGAAGATGATGTCATCGCTGTTTGTATAAGTCCTGCTGACGAGGGCCCAAGCGAGCTTGATCTTAGAGGCTATGGTCGCGTCGTGGGACTTTGGAGTCTCCGGCAAGGCGATTGTCCTGCGAATGAAGGATTGGGGCTTGGGTCGATAGTTGAGAGATGGAAGGGCGGGAAAATGCAATGCATCGACATTCTGCAACTCCTCTTTCCAGAACACTGCGGCCGACTCCATGCAGCTTTCCACGTGTGCGATGAACTTTTTGAATGGAGTCAGTGGCTCCAAGGGGAGCTGACGGTATGCTCTGTCCACCTCGTCAACGAGTAAGCGCAGGGACCACGCGTCGTACAGGGCGTGGTGGATAGAAAGAAGCAGGTGACCCGGACAGAGGATGAGGCTAACAAGCGATGTTCCAAGGCCTACAGCAGGCTCGGGTGAAGTGGAATGATCCTCCTGATATGACCAGCTCAGTGGTTCTTTCAGAACAACCTGATAGCAGGTTCCGGTGCTAGTCTGAGTGATGCGTGTACGCAGGATAGGATGAGCCTCCGCGACGATTTCCCAGGCCCGCTTCAGTTTATCAGTGTCGACCCCATCCGCCAGGATAAAGGATTTGCATGCCATATAGGCATCAGGCTGATGGATAGTGGACGCAATAAGAGCAGCCTGCATTGGTGTGCAGGGGTAAATGTCTTCGATGCGGTCAACGGAGGTCCCACATTGATTGCTCGCTACTGGAAGAAGCGTCTCGATATCATCAACAAGTGCAAACGGAGCCAAGGTTAATGGTCCCTGGAGAGTCCCGACCTCGGTAGAGGTGCCAGCTACCACAGCAATATCCTTCAAACAAGGATGATGAAAGATATCCTGGAATGTGACGTGGGCCAGACCCGCCTTTCGAGCAAGTGCTGCCAGCTTCATCGCATGAATGGAATCGCCGCCGATCCGGAAGAGATGGTCGTCCCGTCCAATACGGCTTTCTGGGATGGAGAGAACTCGCGCCCAGAGTGCCTGCCACAGCATCTCTGCTGCAGTACGCGGGGGCTCTTTTGCGCTGTCTGCCCGGTTTGCTCCCACGACATAGGATTGGAGTTCTTCTGGGGACAACTGCTCGGCTGCCTCTCGCAGGGTTCGGCGGTCGATCTTTCCGGTTCTACCCCTGGGGATTTGGTAAACTGGGAGTATCGCCGATGGGACCATATGGGCAGGGAGGGCATCCTGGATACGTGCGGTTGCAGATGCACTCTGGTGCAAAAGCTCCTCGTCCGGATCTTGCAGGAGCGAATCATCACCATTGAAACCGACAGACTCTCGAGCAATGAAGACAACCAACAACGCTGCAGCCGCTTCGCGTGGCCGGATGATTTCCGCTACAGCCTGCACCGCTGACGGAAAGTGGAGCTGCACTTGATGCTCAATGTCTCCCAGCACGAGTCGCTGGCCTCGGAGCTTCACCTGGCTATCTTTCCTCCCCATATAGTGCAGGTATCCATTTTCATCGTATCGAGCCAAGTCTCCTGTGCGATAAATGCGACCGGCAATTCCACCTGGACGAATCTTACGCAGCCATTCGGGAGCTTCGATGAACGCCTGCCGAGACTTCCTTGGATCGTTAAAGTATCCCCGCGTTACCGTCGGGCCCTCGATCAACAGCTCTCCCACAGCTCCCACGGCAGCAAGACGGTTGACATCATCAGCTACGACAACCCAGCCTGCAGAACCAAACAAATGGCCGATCCGACCGGGGAAGTGCATGCCAGGCTCAATTGTGAGGGAGCCGCAAGTATAGGCCTCGGCTGGGCCGAACCCATTGATCAAGCGCACACGCGAGGACCACATTTCCATCATCTCCACAGGGATATTCTCCCCGCAAAGACGCAGCGTTTTCAACCCAGGAACCTCATCAGGACTGAGGACCATCGCAGCAGACGGAGTCATGGCAGCCCAATTGACTCGGTACTCTTCAATGAAGCCGGCCAGGTTGGACATCCGCTGCGTTTCTGACGGGATGCAGAGACACCCACCATGGACCCAGGTGAGAAATACCTCTTCCATACTCACGTCCCACGCGTAACTGCAAAAGTGCAGCGTTCGCATGCCAGAATGCGCACCGGCGGCCTCGCCAATGCTGTGCAAAGCGGATGTGAAATTGCGATGCTCGATGACAATTCCTTTCGGGGTGCCAGTGCTTCCGGAGGTAAACAGGATAAAGGCTACGTCGTGGGGATGGACAGAAGGCCACTCCGCTGGGGTCGCTGCTGGAGCAGGTTTTCCACAGGGAACTTCGAGCAAGGGAACTCCGGTTTGCAAGGAATCCATCACGTGGCGCATTGCAGAGCTTGAGAGGATCAGTGACGGTTGCGATGTTTTCACGATAGCTTCAATCCGGGCCGGCGGCAGGGCGGGATCAATATTGACTACTGCTGCACCGGCGCGTAGCACCGCCAACATGCTCACCACTGGCCAGCTCGACTTTTCGAAGCATAAAGCAACTCGCGCCCCGAGCTGGACACCGGCTTGGATGATCTGCTGGGCTACATCGGCTGAAAGCGAGGCAAGGCTTTCATACGTGAGCTGTCGATCCCAAGAAGTCACTGCAGTCGCTAGAGGCTCTTTTCTCGCATTCTCGAGCACTATGTCGTGCAGAGTGTTGGGAGACTCTGGAGACAAGTCTCCCCCATTCCATTGTTTGATGATGTTTAACTCCTCCTGGCTAACCAAATCCAGCTCCCGGAGCAGCCTATGCTGGTCTCTGCATATCTGCTGCAGAATATTGGCAAATTGGGTGACCAGACGACTCGTCGTGACACGCGGAAGGAGATCCGGATCGAACTGAGCGCGGATATGCAGAGAATCGCCGTCATCAGAAGGTGTGCAAATTAAACCGATCACATAGTTGATGAAGACACTGTAGTTGTCTCCACCGTACGCATCTCCCTTTCCATACATGACTGGAGGCACATCGTCTTCTGGGACATGCTCTGGTCGCTGGAAGATAAGTTGGCTCTGGAAATCGCAAGCGGCAGCGGCTTCGGGACTGATCTGTCGGATGTTTTGGAGACCGGTTTGCTCAAAGGGTATCATTTGAATGGCCTGGGTCTGCACGGTTGAGAGGATTTCTGCTACCGTTTTCTCACGGGGACAAATCACTCGGACAGGAACTGTCGCAATTGCTGGCCCCGTTATGTTCTCGATGCTATCAACCGGGGCAGCTCGGCCAGTGACCGTCGCTCCAAACACCACATCCTCGGACTCTGTGTGGTTTGAAACCACAACTCCCCACGCCAAGCGAACTATGTTGGACAACGTAGCTCGGGATCCAGCCAACAAAGAAAGATTGACCGTGCGCTGTAAGTTAGCCGTTGCCTTGGGCACAACAGCATCGTTTGGCAGAGATGGAAATACCGAGGCACGGAGATCGCTGAATGTGTGTTGCCAGAAGTTTCGCTCCGCCGCCCTGTCTTGGTTCTCGATAAATTGAATAAATGGACCAAACGATTGAACCTGCAATCTTTCTTTGTAGTACGCTTTCTTGACCTGTTCCAGCACCAGACCGAGGGAATGCATATCGAAGACAGCATGATGCAGAGTAAGTGCAATGGATGGGCCTGATGCATCTTGGATCACGCTGAATCGTGCTAGAGGATCCCCTGGGCCCATGGATAAATCACTGTCCTCGCTCCGGTAAGCGTCGACTGAGGAATAGCTCTTCCATTCAATGCCAGATTGTCCTTCATAAAGCACTGCTTGCACTAGCTCATGGGACGGACTCTGTACAATACGAGTCCGCAATATGGAATTAGAATTCACCGCCACTTGCCATGCAGATTGCAGTCGACTCAGATTGGTATCCTTTGCAAGTTGAAAGACAAATCGCGCAATATACTGGCCTGGAACTTTGATCGTCGAGACCATCAGACCCGCCTGGAGCGCCGTGCACGGGTATATGTCCTCCACTGCACTGATAGGGACTCCGCACTGCTCTGCTGCCAATGCGACAGCTTGCTCCTTTTCTTGAATCATAGAAAAGGGTTTCAAGACGGACTTCGCAGCTGGAGCCATTGCTTGGACGCTCTCCACATGAACGGCCAGCTTGCTGACCGTCTCCAGGCTCAAAACGTCCGCCACGGCCAGAGGTGGGTACTCGTTTGAACGGAACAGACCGACTACTCGCATCGCTGACACTGAGTCTCCTCCAAGGCGCAAGAAGCTATGATGAACTCCAAACGCACCGTGATCCAGTGTCAGAACTTGAGCAAAGACGCTATGAAGGCTTCGCTCAAGCGAAGTAGTGGGTAGGGTCACATCGACATCTCTGATCGAGTGATATATGTCTAGCTCGGCACGAGTACACTTTTGCAACCTTTCTCGCAAGGCTAGGCGGTCGATCTTGCCCGTGATCGTGAGTGGCATCGATAGTAGCGGCACATAACTAGACGGTAGCATATGCTCGGGGAGTAACTTCTTCAGTTCGGTCTGGATCACCTGAACGTCGGATCGGAACCGGTCTGATGGGACTGCGAACAGTGTTTCCTTCTGCTCCCGGATGTAATCGGGGGAGTACAAAAAGGCAACCAGAACGTGAGTTTCGCTCTCGTCGGCTAAGGTTCCTGTTTCTGCTATCACCTGTGTGACGCCAGGACAGGACTTGCGGACATGGAACTCAACCTCAGCCAAGTCGACGCGGTTGCCCCGGATCTTTGCCTGTGTTCCTTTCCGTCCAACGTGGCGAACAGTGCCGTCTTCTTCACAGCGGAACAGATCGCCTGTCTTGTACAAGTGAACGGTGTTAAGCTTTGTCTGGCCTGCACATGGATGCCAGGCAGGAGCGTCAATAAAGACGGCAGAGGTAGACTCAGGATCATTAAGGTATCCTCGACCAAGGGATAGTCCATTGATGACCAGCTCTCCGATAGTCCCGACTGGCACAAGACTATGATGATCTTCAGCATCTACCAGCCAAAACTTCATGGAGGGATGAGGTCTGAAGGCAACGCCCTCGGATTGATGAGGTGCAAGGCCGATAAACCCAGAGTTCTCACTGGCGCCATAGATGTACACCATGCTAGTACGGGCAGTCCAGTCATCAAACTCGCCATTGCGGACTGCTTCGCCGCCGAGGATGATTGTTTTCAAGTTTGATGGGGGAGTTCTGGAGTCAAGGCTTCGCAACAGAGAAGGTGTAATACATGCCCAGGTCACGCCCAGTTCCTCCATGGTAGCAGGCAGTCTGTTGATCCGGTCATGATCAGACGGAATACATATCGTGGCACCCCTGACCAATGCAAAGTATATCTCATTAATCGACATGGCAAAGGAGTATGACGCGAATTGCAACACCCGGGAGCTGGCGGAGAGTCCAATGTACACAAGACTGGCCTGCTCTGGCAGGTTCGCCATAGCGCCATGTTCTATGACACAACCCTTGGGCTGACCAGTACTACCGGAGGTGAAAAGCACATAGGCTGGGGTGTTTGGACTTGGTGAAGGCAACATCTCATCACTGACTGGTAGCCCAGAGACGAAGTTGCAATCGATACAAACAGTCTTATCCGCCAGCAGTGCTGCTCTGTCTTTGTTCACATCGGACGCCACTACAAAGCCACAGTTTGTGTGCTGAACGATGCTTGCCAAACGGAGATCAGGATGTGAGGGCTCCAGGGGCACAAATGCACCACCAGCTTTAAGAACAGCGAGCTGGGCGACAACAACCCATTGGCATCGGTGGAACAACAGTGGAACAAACACATCTGGACCAACACCAAGACTGCACAAGTGTGAGGCTAGTCTGGTACTGGTGGTGTCGAGCTCGGTATATGTCATCTCCCCGTCAGCCGCACAGACAGCTATGGCATGAGGATGATCTGCAACCTGGGCTCGGAAGCTTTCAAGTATTGATGGGCGAGAGGGGTTTGAAGTATAGGCTGATGCTCTGTCAACCACTTCGGGAGAGGTTTTATGTGAGGTGACGCCAGGAGTCGCGTCCTCACTCTGGACAGGCAACTCCCACGCGTTATCTATGGATTTGCGTTCCATAGCGGAGGCTAGGATATCGGTAGAGAGGATAGATAACTAACATGAGAATGATAACAATGTCAGTAAGCGCGAGAATCCACAGAGAATTTGATTCTATTCTCACAAGTAGGATTGCTTTAGCGTCAGATCAGCGTCAGATCTTCTTCGCGCCGAGGAAATGTATGAAGGTTGGTGCGTATTAAGAGAGCGCGCTGCTGCTCGGGGGCATATAGTCCAATAAGTAACAGTGAATGCCCGGGCATGAAGGGAGTGAGTAAAACAAGATTGACAGAGATGTCTTCTGTCACAGGTGGGAGTATTCACAACTTTACTCTTTGGGAAAGTGTTGGACCACTGGTCCCAGTTGGGTCTAGCGTCTGCTGGGGGGGGGCCTTCTCGCCTTGTCTGTGAGGCATCTATGCCAAACATCCATAGACTTTGGGGGGGGAAAGAGTTGATGGCTGCGAAAGAAAATCACTTGGCTAAAAGGTGTCCAGAGGGCCAGATAGATGTGATAATGATCGCTAGTTTGACTCTTTCTATGCTAGTAATGTTATTATCTGTATATTCCCACTTTCTTCTAAACTGCCACCTGGCTAGTAGATAGCCTCACACTACTGCTTCAATTCTTCCGTCCCATCTCAATGGCTGGGTTCGTCAAAAGGGAGGCCAGGAAAAATAGCTTGGGAGACAGGAAGAGTTCAGAAGATGAGGTTATCCGCAATAAGAACATCCTCAGAATTACCCACCTAGAGTACTATTCCCTCCTTCTATAGCAAGTGCGGTAACATGCAAATTTCCAACAGTATACAATCTTATGTAAAAGTCTTCAAATTGGCCATTCTATATACTCCATACCCAGCGACCGTGGTCCCAACCCCCACACTTTTATCAAATCACGATATACTGTGTGGGATGTGCATCGCGCGGTCGTAGGCCACTGTTAATGTGACAGGAACCCATTGAGGCAAAGAAAATATTCACCATGTGGCCTGTCAGGAAGAGGGGCCTATGGTTCTGACATGATGAGGAGGAGTAGTAGTAGTAGTTATATGGCCTTGGACGGGTAAGTAAATATATTTTCTACATAGGATTCTTCTGCCCGATAAAAAGATGAATGATTTGATTTTGAAAGTCAGATATTATGTATCTTACCCAGATAGACCGTCTACACCCATCGATAGGATCCAATTCGGGATTGTCACATACCAACAGTGCAATCTTTACTCCATGCAGCAGTGTTCACTGATCCTTGGTTCTGGTACTTTATTTCATCTCCGCCCGCTATTTCTCAGCAAAAGAAATGTTTGAGGGTGTACTTTGCAACAATCATATCATCGATTAGAAACATATTATTAATTAAAGAGATGGATTACCACTTTGTATATAGTTAGTCTGCGCAGTATGCAGTTCTGATTTGGTGGAAAAAGAATCCGCGACATGGATGGATAAGTTAGTTCTTTGTTGCTGGGATATGTAATCAGCCTGTAGGTGTGGCTGGGCCGGGGTGGGTGGGGTTTGCCGGGGATTGCGGCAGGCGGGCAGGTTTTGCATACAGGATAAATTACCCGATGTATTTATGGAGACGAGCACGAATCAAAGAGATTTCATTTAACAATTTCTATGATTTCTAGAATAGAAGCTAGGTAGCGGGGAATCGATTATTAGTTGCAGTCTCGGATTTCAGGTTATTCAAAGTTGGGTTGGGGTTACAGGTTCAGAATATCCAGCACCGTTACCTTAGTTCCTCAGCCTGGTGGTAATTAATAGAGTTAATCCTGACCCGGCCGGACATGGATATCCATGATATCAGACATATTGGCGGCTTCGCAGTTAGCAATTAGCATCTCATCTCATCCCAAGACAGCGGTTTATGCCGACAGCTCTATACCTCGGGCGAGACACACAGTATCAACAGTCGAGCTGTACAAAGTCAATCCACCGAACGATGACATCATCGGATCCGTTGCGGACAGCCTCGGGGAGGATCTCGGACTAGTTAACGCGTAGGGTGGGCCATTCCTCAATTAGTAGTATAAAGTAGAGTCCCCTACCGCCCAACGGACTGTCGCCCCCTTTGGGCATCATAATAAAACTGCCATTTTTATATGTTTCACGGAATATCTTGAGAAGTATTATTTTTAATTAATTTAATATATTTTTAATCTTAAAATAGCTGATCAAAGATCAGATATACTATATTCTATAATTAATATATTTAAATAATATATTCTAAATATCTAAATAGAAAAGATTAAGATCTTAAATAATAAATCAGAGTCTAAATTTAATAAAAGACTATTATATATCTTATTACTATTTTTTTTATTTTTAATATCTATCTAATCTATAATATCTAATTCTGCTTGACTTGTCAAGATTTTTTATATATTTAAATATAATAATTTAAGTATCTTATTAAATTTTTTTTAACTTATCTTAATTAGACTGAGATATAATAATTAGAGTAAAAATACTCTGAATTATTTAATAAAATTAATATTTTTATTACTGTGATATCTTATAAAACTTGACTTTTAAAAATTATAAAATTTTATAGAAGTAGCAACTCTATATTAATTTAGTAAATAATAAAATAATTTAATATTATTTATTTAATATTAATTTATTATTTATAGAGTTGCTAGACACACAAAGTATCTAAGATTATAATTATATTATAGAAATTTAATAGCGCCGAAGAAGATTTAATATATAATTATATTATTTAATAAATTAAATTAGACTTCTCTTTTATTATTAAGATATTAAAAGATATAGCTAATATTCTATATAAATAGAAATATAATCACACAGATATTATTTATAAAATAATAAAAAAGAACTAGCTATATTAATTTTTATAATATTATTCTAAGTTTTATAAAATATAGATTATATATTTAGATTTTAAATATATATAATAGTTAATCTCTGATATTATTTTTATATTTTTTTAAATATTAAAAATAATTATTATTAAATATTATATTTATTTAAAAAATATATAAAATTTTAATAAGAAAAATTATATATTTAATATTTTAATTAAAAATCAGAAAATTATATTATCTAGATTCTTACTTTATAGTTACAAAGATTATATAATTATTATATATAATTAAAAATAGATCTTTAATATTAAATACTGCGGGTTCTTTAATTATATATTATTATTATATATAATCTTTAAAAACAAGCAGTTAAATATTATATAATTATAATAATATAATAATTCTAAGATCTTGATTAATATATAGAATTGTGATAGGATCTACTTGTCAGGGTAGAAAGCCTGTCAACTAGATAAGGAATTAATCATGAAATACTGTGTATTTGTTTGACAATAACAAAGATAGTCTATATTCATAAGATAGACTGATTCTTAAAGAATTAGTAGCTTCTTACAGAGGGATCGATATCTTATAGATATCAGAGAGATATAGAATCACTATTAATAATCTTATAACTCTTATAATTACTAGTATATTATCCTGATAATCTTTATCCTAATAGCTGGATTATTTTATTATAAATAGTACTTTTCTTCGCTGGGACGAGCTATCTAACTCAGATATTGAGAATAGTCTTATATATTTTTGATTTGAAATAGTAAGAATCTGATAGCAAAAGATAGAAAACTTGCAGAATATATAATATAAACAGAATTATATACTGTTTCTATATAGCTTTATAAATATTTAATTATATTTATATAGATGGATCCCCTGCGAAGAAATATAAACAAAAAAATCTCTTATATTATATTTATATAAATAAATCCCCTGTAAAGAAATATAAATAAAAAAATTTTTTATATTACTTCTCTTTCTTCTTCTCTTCTACTTTGTGATTATTATTTTTTTAGTGATTTATAATTATTCTCTTTATATTTCTTTATTATTTTGTGTGATTTTTATTATTTTTATTTATATTATATTGCTGTTATTCTCTTCTTTATTATCTAGCTCAGGTATCAGAAGTAATTTTTTATAATCTCTTTCAGTATTTTACAGTTTTAATAAAAAAATATAGAATATATTATAGATTTATCTATATTTCTTAGATAAATATAATTAATATATCTGAGATCTAATATATTTAAGAATCCGAAAGAGTTCTATAAACTTCGAAGCCAGTTTTCTTGATTCTTTGAGTTATAAGTTCTAAGTCAATAACTTAACTAGATTTTTTTTTTTAAAGTAAAATAGCTTTCTGTGCTTATTATAATATTTCTTTTATTTTTTTATAGCTATTTACTATATCTTTTATAGCTGTTCTTTTATTTCTCTAAGTTTCTTAATTCTATTCTATATCACTGGGACTTCTCGCTGCTGAGAATTAGTTTTAATTCTAATATAAAAGTCCGGCGAAAAGTTATAAAAAATATTATAAGATAATTAATCTGTAATTATATTATCTGTGTTATTACAGGTGAATTAAGTACTTAAAAGAATTAATAGCTAGTTAATATTATATTAACTAGAGTAGTATCGGAGATAATATTCAAGTGTTTAATTTATTTATTTTATTTAATTATTAATTTAAGAGTAGAATATAATTAAAAGCTTCAAGATTATATAACTATTATAGACTAAATTTAATCAGAATTTACTAATAAAGATTAATCCTTAATCAGATATAATTCTATTTAAGGATTTAAAAATTAATTTAATCTATTTATAAAATAGTTTAGCAAGATTTAGAGCAGTTATTATAAATAGAACAACAAAAAAAAAACAGTATTTTAAGAATTAATTAATAATAACTAGAATAGTATTAATAATTTTTTTATATTAAATAATAGAGGGCAGTCCTGTAATAAAATTTATTGCCAATTTAATAAAAAAATATAATAAAATTAGTAATAATTTAAGACTGCTATATAGTCAATACTTTAAAGCAGTGATTTCTTAATATATTAAATAAGTTTGAATATATTCGGCTATATTATATTATAATTTATTTCAGTAAAACTTTCTGTATAGCAGTACTTCTATTCAGATCTTTCCAAAGTATTCTGCTAATAAATTATTATAATATAGCTTAATAAAT